TTTTTATTCAACTTTAGGCCTTTTATTGTACATCGTATTTTCCTGATTGCATTTCTCTCATACTTATTTTGATGTATTTTTCATAAATAATTGGCCTATCAAGCATTCCAGGATTGAGATTCCCAACTTTAAACAAAAATAATTAAAAAATAGGAAAAAATTAAATCAAAAGAGAAGCATTAACAAATTCAAAGGAATAGACGTTTTCACAGAAACAAGCAAAAAAGCATGAAAAAATTAGCAAAAGAGCTTTCAAAATTACCTCCATTTCTTTAAATCAAAAGGGCTTAAATTGTTTCCAAACTAAAAAACAATTAAGAAAACGTAGAAAGGCGTCTTAAATTATTTCATTTCTTTAGAAACAATAAATAAAAAAGAACTATAGAAATGAATGTTTCCTTAAAAAACAATTTTATAAATTGTGAAACAATTATGAAAATGAAAGGAAAAATGTCCAAAATAGTATCCAAACTGCATTCGTTTCTTAAGTGAAAATAATCTATAAACCATGACAAAATAAACAAACTTACATTAAAAATTACATTACTTCAAAAGAAACAATAGAAAGAGACATTTTCTTTAAAAATTGACAAAAACAGCAAAAGAAAAATTTTGAAAAGAAAAAAACGAGAAAAGTGCAATCAAATTTCTTTCTGATTCTTTTATTCCAAATATCCATCACCATAAAATAGCAAAAAAATTCGCACAAAAATATTTACAAATAAAAACAATTAAAATTGTGTTTTCGAAAAAATCAGCAAAAAATTAGTAAAAAAATATCAAAGAAAAAAGTGAAAAATGTATTAAAAGTATATTAAAATTTTATTGGAAACAAATTTGCTACTTGGAAAAATTACAAAATAACAACCAAGAAATAATGACAATTTGAAAAAAACATTGTAAAAAGATACTTACTTTGAAAAATAAAAACAACATAATGAAAAAGGTACAAATATTGTCCAATGTTTTTTCTAATAATTGCCCCTTCCAGAATTTTTTCAAATTATCTTCAATGAACAACAAAAAATAAAAAGACCTGTTTTTATAAAAAAAACTGATCAACAACAAAGTATTGGTTGCTATGACTTTAACAACAATGATGAAAGACAATGCAAAATCTGAGCATAAGTTTTGAAAAAGAGTGAAAAAGAACAAGCTCTGGATATGAAGGCAGAAAAGTAAGAATAATATGTTTTTCTTGCAACAATTACAATCATGCATAATTTTAATCGTGTCGAAAAAAAGTTAATCATAAAGTCTAGGAAGAGGTCAGCTGATAAAAGCTTTTGTATTATCAAGAAAAAGAAAGAATGGAAAGAATTTGCAGCAACTTAGTTCTGAGAAGTTGGGAAATATTGAGATGGATTCCTATATCAAATAAAAAGGTGGGCAGGCAACAGGGTGAGAACAAAAATTATGTGTCTACGGACAAAGTATATGGGTAAAGCACCCTCCTTTAGCAACCCCCTTGCAGACAATGCTTGTTATTTGATAGCCTGTGCTCCAGACCCCTTAATTGCAAGTCAGGGGTCTTGGACACAGGCTAATTACTTGAAGGCAAGAACTTAAGTAACAGCATTGAAGAACCTTCAAAAGTTTATTTTCTTGCAATTTCTACAGCGTTTGACACAGATTAATCATCTTGCACAGGTTAAATAGTTTTTGCAATGAAACAAAATGTTTGTAGTCTTTACAATCTTCCTTCACTGGCGATTAGAAACGCAAACATCTGAAGAGAAGCGTTGTTTTGTTTTAAGCATTTAACAGCATAAATCCAAAAATTAACTGTACAAGGGAACTTAGCCATAATGATAGGTAAAACGGAGCATTATCCTAATTGAAATGTCATCAAACTGTAGTGACAAAATGAAGAAAGTTTGAGTCTTGTTTTGTAGCTTGGCATCTTTGTTGGGAGCATCTACCTTGCTTAGTGCCAAAAACAAGCATTCAAGGCAGGCTGAAACACATCAGCAGTTGGATCAACTCGATACATTCTTTTTTATAAGAACTAGTAAACTTAAGTTCAGGCTGACTGGGTACCTTTCTTAATTTTCTCAAAAATCTGAGGCTGAATTGTTCTTAATTTATTCTTATATTAATAGGGTGTAAGCAGTATGATTGCTAGCTTTTTTGCTCTAGGAACATGTAGTGAGACAACCTTTATTTGCCGACAGGCTTGGTTATTCACCAAAAAGCACCTGAACATGGCTAGAAATCCTTGTTTTGAAATAAAATGTTGTTCAAAATTGCATTTTACAGTAGCTCAGCCTCAGCCCCAGTGTTCTTATAAAATTGTTCTTAAAGAGTGTATAGCATTGTGTGGACTGTGTTGGTGCACTATTGATATTAGTTTTCACTATGAATGCAAAGATGCACAGATTTTCATCATTTAGAATGCTGCCGCTTTCTAAGTTTATAGACAAAAACATGTTTTCATCAAATTTTTGGACTGGCACAGAGGAGCAAAAAATTCTAGTTGGGCAGACAATGCCCCCTGTGCCCAACCTTGGCTTCATGCCTGTGCCACATAGAATAGAAGAGAAAGGAATTGGATTTCGTGCCCATTTTGGTTGAGAACTCAAGAAAGTGCACAAGCAGGCATCCAGGACTGAAATGGTTCTTTTTCAGGACCTTAATGCCCAACTTTAAAATTGTAAATTGAAAAGAGATAGTTGAGGACCCCCATTTTTTGGATCGCTTCACCTGCCCTTGTGTCTTGGTACCATTTTTGAATTCTACCCATTCCTTGTTAAGGAACCAGTACACGTCTGGTTCCATGCCCTTCTGGTTGACAGAAAAAACATATCATCAGTTTTTAGGATTGACAGACCTTCATCACTTCTACAAATACTTATTTAGTTTCATGGATTACTGGAATATTTTTTCAGGTCTTAAATTCTAAAGAATATAAAAAAATGAAATTTTAATTACAGAAGAAAAAATTAAAAACATCAAGACCTGTGAAATCAAACAGCTTTTTGGGTATGTAAGCATGTGAAAAACAAAACTTTTGGATAATCCTCACCTTAAAAAAATTATAACCCAAAGTGTACACCCCTACCCTAAATATACAAGAGCCTTTATGCTTGCACCTCTGTTTACATTTTCCCTACAAATCACGGCATTAGGCAGCCTAGATATGCTGAAAAAACATGGCTATCTGATCACAGTTACTTCCGTCATGTAAACTATACCATAGTCAGGTATGAGTGTCACTGCTTGTAGCAGCAAAATCCAGTGAAACGTAAGCAAAATGGCAAGCTAATTTTGAAAACGGTCTAACAACAATCCAGACAGCATGAAACTTTCGGCACAGATTAATTAAATTTCTAAACAAAATTTAAATTCTATGAATTATATTTGATTAATATGAAGACAAAATAGATCACATAACGCTAACTCGCATTAAAAAATGTCCAAAGAATGTTTGCAGAATCTTATTTTGCCAAACCATATTTGTGTGCACTTGTCCAAAACAGATGACAGATGATGATTCATCTGAAAGCGGTTTCCAGTGATTTCTTACTATTCCATATCAATAAAATACTACACTACCGCTTATAGGAACAAATTTACGCTAATAAGAGTATTAAGATTGAAATACCTTTACTTTGGGATGTTTACATTCCTGTCGACCATGTGGATCAGAGCGGCCATTTTGAGTAATAAGTGAGATCAACTTTGAGAACGAGGCGGCTTCTTGGAAGCGAATATGGTAGGTCAATAGGGATCCTTTATTCGAAATTTCGGGGACTAAACAAATACGATAGTTATTTCTACATCTGATTGGTTTGGTAGAAAGTATCATGTGTCCAATAGACTTTCATTATCGTTGAGAAAATTATTAGATTTCAAGGTGTAAAAGACTGAAACACCGATGTAAAAACCTGAAAAAGCTTTTCAAGTGCTTTGGAGGAATTTTTAGTTACTTCTTTGCCAAGCATTTCTCGGAGTATGAAGATCTGGTTAGTTGCCAACACATAAACGAACATGTATTTACGTTCATTTAAAAATGAAAAGTAGAGAAGACTTCTTAGGTAATGTAAACAAAACCTGCACAAGTCAAATATTGCCTGATAATTGCTTTAAGAACGAGATTCGCAATTGAAAGTTAGAACCATCAGCGAATTACCGAAAAATAATTGTTATGCTAGATTTTTAATAAAATTTATTTTGCATCACTCAAAAAGAAGCGTGTTCCTTAAGCAATTACATAAAACTTCTTTGATCTGAATCAAAAACTGGGGTGGTACCACACCCCACACCACATCCCACTCCTCCGCTACGAAGTCTACGTCAACCCAATATAACCCCTGCATAAACGTTTTTGAAGCTATTTCTCTCAAGAATTTGTTTAAAAGTTTTGACATTGATGCTCCTATAGAATCAGTTCTTCGCAGATCATTAAATAAAAGTTAAAGATCATCAGATAAAAGATTCTGACGATAAAGATGAGGGAGACGATTATCGAGAAGAATTGTAGTAGTTTTCCTGCTAGCCATTGAAAGATGCGGGTGTTTAAATGGCGAGAGGTTTAATGAAAATAAATATTGCCCACCGTCAATTTCGGAAATGGTATTTTTGCATCTTTAAAAAATTTTGTCGAAAAAAAATTTGCGGGAAAATGTCAAAAAGGCAAAAATAAAATCGGCAAAAAAATTCTTGCGCGAATCCTTTCTTCCTTTAAGGTATGCATGTGTTAAAAGACATTCGCTCAACATCATTCATTTAGGCCCTTCCTCAATCTCTTTCCAGGAAAACCTCTTACTTTTTCTAACTGAATTCTTTCATTGTATAATATTTCATCAGTCAATATGCTTTAACTTGAATGATATTTTTTCAGATTTGTTTGCATGATGAAAAATCTCCTTGATGGGTCAATCTACTGACAGTGTTCTTGCTTAAGAAATTTCTCTCCATACAAACTTTGTGTAATCCTATTACAAACTTTTCAGTCCTGTTGACGTTGTTCGAAGAAATTGAGGTGTCAAAGTATCTCCTTCTTCCTGAAAATCACTGGTTAGATATTCAAATAATCTTATTACATATAGATGCACAAATACCGAAAATTACAGTAAAAACTACCAAAATGCTATCCTCCATGCAGGGTTGAAATAAATGTTATAGTGTCCTTCGCCTGAATTTCATAATCAAGTTCACCCTGTAAAGAAAGGCAGAATTATGAGACACAATCTTTATTATCAGGATTTTTTATTAAAATTCCTCTTCAAAAAAGGATCTTCCTCTTTAGAAACTTCTGTACTACATGTGAATCTCACACACAAGAAACTGCTACCTTATCCTGTTAAGATAGACGAGGTAAAAGATACCAGTACTCTCAAATAGCAAAAACAGTTTCTTAGAAAAGAGAAACGCTACCTGAATCTTCATGCCAAATTCGTTACCAACAATGGGAATCATAGAATTTTTATTGTTTTCTAAGCAATTGTGGGAAGAGGAAATAAACAGGATCTTTCTCAAGAAAATAAAAATTTCGGTTTTTGACAACGGCTTTAGAACTTTGTAACAAAACCTGTAAATTGGTATTTTATTCAAATTTAATTTTGTATCTTAATTTAAAACTTACCACAAGTTCCCAGTCTGCATCATTGACTAGCACCAGTATGCCAGGACGTCTGCAAATGAAAAAAGAATTCGTTTAAGTAAGTAAGTAAGTAAGTAAGTAAGTAAGTAAGTAAGTAAGTAAGTAAGTAAGTAAGTAAGTAAGTAAGTAAGTAAGTAAGTAAGTAAGTAAGTAAGTAAGTAGGTAAGTAAGTAAGTAAGTAAGTAAGTAAGTAAGTAAGTAAATAAGTAAGTAAGTAAGTAAGTAAGTGAGCAAGGAAGCAAGTAAGTAGCTTCATTCTGTTCTTGATTTGCTGCCTGATGCTTCATAACAGAGCTCAAAAGCATAGCATAAACTTACCCAAGGGTATTCATTGATTTGGTATGTACAGTCCAGTTCCGCTATCTCGAACTCGCACGTGAAATGAAAATTTGTTTGACATAGCGGGATTTCGAGATATCCGGATTTGCAAAGATAATTTTCTTTTTCTCAGGGCAAATGAATTTAGTTCCTGCATGGCTGTGGTGGATGGCAATTGTGTAAACTTTGGAGATGGCCAAGAGTTTTTTGAGATAACAGAGTTCGAGATAGCGGGATTCGACTGTATTGAATTCCTAGTGTTATTGTGTAGTTGTTCCAAGTCAGAGGTGGGCAACCTTTCTATAAACGGGCAAAAAACAATCAGCTAGCCTTGGTTTATAAAGAAAAAGACTATTACAAGCTCAAAAAAATAAATTTAGAAAAACAGGAAAAAGTCTGTTTGTCCTTTCTTAATGATAACTTTTTACCTTGAATTCCAGTTAAAACTATAATTACAAATCTCACTATTACATCTAGGTAATTTGTAACTGGCTAGCCTGTTTTCACAAAATAAAACTATTACAATCGTAGTAATGAAAAAAACGTTAAAAGGGGAGTAGCTCTAGGTTAGTTATTCCAGGTTTTACTTCTACAGCAGAATAAATAGTATGTGGTGGAATGGAGATGCTTGAACATTTGGGGATGAGATAACGTTTCTGTTGATGATCAATGGACAAAGAGCCACATTTGTCCATGAATGAGCTGCAGGAGTTGCCAAAGATACCAAGTAAACTGATGGAAAGATTAACAAACGAAACTGATTTAAACTGACGGTTTTGAGAAATAATAATAATGAAAACTTTTGACTTCAATTCAATTACACTGCAATTACAAACCTCTCTATTACATAGGTAGTTTGCAACTGGCTAGTCTGGGTTTACAACATAAGAGTATTACAGTTATAGGTGCAAATAGGAAAACTCAAAAAAAAAATCAAAATTAAAAAGGGTGTGATTCAGGGTTTGGATAAATCATCCTTTTCACCCAAAAAAAATTATGACAAGCTTTTATCATCTTGCAGGCCCCAACAATTCTCTTCCTGGGCCGGATTTTGGCCCAAGGGTAGTAGGTTGCCCACCCCTGCTCTAAGTAAACAGCAACCAATCTCTGGAATACAGCAATGCATCAATACTTCTAGGAGAGAAAGACTTTGAAGAAAGCAACTCCACTATCATACTTACACACTGTCACCCTGGATGAATAATTCAGGTCTTTCTTTGAGGAGATTTTCTTTTATCCAAATAAGAAGCTTTCTAATATCCCCTGAAACAAGAAAAAAAGCTAGTAAACAACTTGAAATTTAAACAAAGCTAAATTCTCAAAAATTTCAACTTTTCAAAACGAGATAAATCGTTTTTAGAGTAAATCAGGTTATGGTATGTTGCATTCTAATTGGATAATCTAACAACACAAATTCATTTGATTGGTTGAAATTTAACATTAAAAAATCTTGCAGTGGAAAACATTGTTAATGTGTGCAAGGGCTGTACATATAAAAGAACCTTGTTAAGAACCTTTTAGACTGGAATTTAAAATAGCAGCCTGTTAATTCTAGGTTCTTTTATGTGGGTTTCTACTATACTCTTTTTACGGCATAGCTTTTTGCAGTTATCCTTCTTTTGAAAAAATGGTATGTTATAACTTAGAAAACAACAAACTGCAAGTACATGCAACTAAAAAGATTATCAAAAATTGTACCTTTAGACATCTAAAAACAGGTTTATAATTGCTTGAATAGTTTTCGCCCAAAACAGGAGTTTCATACTTTTAGGCAAAGTTTTAAACAACTAAATGGGCATTGCCTGCATTTGCTAATTGAGAAAAGGCCAAGGCTGTCAAAAATTTGCGATACCCATCTTTTTTGCCCCCCCCCCTCCCCCTCCCATTTCAATAAAAATTCAAATGTCTTGGAAAGAGCTAAGAGACATAACACATTCTTTGAAATCAAGCTAACTTCTTTTCAACTTCATTAATTTCCAAATTGTACTACACAGAAATAATTTTCAAAAATGTACAAAAAGCTATGTGTTAAGAAAAAAATCTTTAGCTATACATAACGATATGGAACTCTTTACAAAACGTCTTCTATTAGGATGACCTCCGGGCATCGATTCCTAACACTATGCTAGAGTATTTGGTGACAATACCTTACAATCTTTAAAAATGCACAGGCATAAAAAACATAGTATACAGGAAATTCCTCAAAAACAGAAACAGTATTTCAATATTGATCAATGTTATATAAAAAGAGGCTTCTTTGGTAATCTCTGTATACAAGTAGAGAGAAAGCTTCATATGAAGAACTTCAATCAAATAAGGCAAAGCAACATTTTAAAAAGTTCTTACAAACATACATTTTGTTGAGCCTTCGGGTAAACAAACATTATGCTTCTTGACTTTGTTGAACAGGAGCTCAGCTCCACCACTTCAAATGAAAAAACAATTTAAAATCAACATCAAGATATCGCCAAATTCTAAAATTGGCATATCGTTCTAAAAATAATTTGGTCCATCCATCAAAATTAATTTCGGGGTGGGAAAGGGCCTTATAAGTCTAATCCTGTTGGTGCTGTTACAATCAACTGATGTTTTGCGTGCCAAAATGTGAACAGGGGTTAGTATCGTCAACTGTAGCGACAGAATAGGGATTCTGTGCTGGAGCAATCTTAATTTTAATGAATGCGGTCGCAAAAGAGAAACTTTCAATTATTATAAGGGAAATAGCAGAAATAGCATCTGTGTGTCTCATTCTGCTTGCAGAATGAGAGTGCACTAGCTATATTAGCATACAGTGACCACAGAATAGTTCATTCCTATTCTATTTAGTGATTAGGGCTGTCCAAACCTTCAGATATTCCTATTCGGTTATTCGGCTTTAAATTTAACGAATATTCGGTTATTCTGCGAATATGGGTGTGGCGGGGTGGTGGTGAAAAACTGCAATCTGAAAATTTATTGCAATTTAACCAAGCTGTGAATATAGTTAATCAGTCATTACTGTTCGATAAGTCAAAACCATTAATTTTTTGTTTACCTATTGATATTTCCTGTGTTTTACGTAACTTCAAAGGGAGTGCTGCAAACAGGGGCGGACACTTGATCAAATATTGGGGGGGCAAGCCTATTGTTTTAATAAGATGATGTCACATTTCCCATTGTTCTAGAACAAAATACCATTGTCCTCTAAAGTATTGGGGGGGCGGTCCCCCCCTCTTCCCCCCCAAGTGTCCGCCACTGGCTGCAAAGCAATTTTTAAAACAATTTTTTGTCAAAATAAATGTTTTCTCGAACCTTCCCTAGCATTAGTCGCCCCTAATGGCCAGTAAGTCAGTATCAAATTAACGAGAAACCATAGTCGTAAGTTTTCGAGAAGGGTTGTTTTCCAACCATTTGTGAAATGAAAAGCTTTCTAGCACTGGCTTCGACACAGGTTGGGAAGTGGAGAAAAGGGGGGGCAAGGGAAAATTTAACACTCACAACAAAAGATTTTTTGAAAAGTTATATTATTCTGCAAAATAGTGGTAGGGCCATAGCCCCCCGGCCACCCTTCGTCGGAGGCCCTGTAGCACAAAAATTTCCTGAGGAAAAGCCCCATGACCCCCACCTGCAACCCAGGCTCCACTCCCCCTGCCCCCTTCCAATCTTGCTTTATTGGCTTTCTAACTATTTCTTGGGTTTGCGATTTTTGAAGAAGGCCTGTATCCATGAAACTCTCTTGAAGATTGAAGATAGGAAGTTGCCTTTCTCATTTAGAACAATCCTTGCTATTCGACCAGTCAATGCTATTCGATCAGTCCCAGCTATTCGAATAGTCAATGCTATTCGATCAGTCACGGTTTTTCGAATAGTCATAGCTATTCGATCAGTCACGGTTATTCGAATAGTCAACGCTATTCAATCAGTCACGGCTATTCAAACAACCATTGTGGACCTCCAACAGTGAGGTTATTCGCACTATTCGTCTCCAACCGAATAATCATACATCTCGAACTATTCGCTTGTAACCGAATATTCGCTTTGGACTTTAGCTAACCGAATAGTGAAACAGGTAACCGAATACCGATTATTCGACCTTCGGTGGACAGGCCTAGTAGTGACCATATGGGCAAATTAGCGGATGGGAAGAACAATTATTTTGAGGGCAATAAGTAGTCAAGTCACATGTCTTATTTTTACATCATTCATTGTTACTGGATGTGGAAGATTTTCAAAACAACGGAAAATTGCTTGAATGCACAAAGGGAGCGTCAGGAAGTCAAAATCGAATTTGCTCCGCATGTATAAACCTCTGTTCGCGCTTTTGGCGTGCAAAACATCAATTGGTTGTAACAACACCAATAGCATTGCCCCAAAATTAATTTTAAATGATTGACCACATTATTTTTTGAATGATATGCCGACTTTTATATGTTTTAAAGGGTGTTCATCGGCTTAATGGGGATTTTATGGCTTGTTCTTGGGGTGTTCTTGGGGTGTTCTTGGGTTCTTCAGCCTGTTCTTGGAGCATTCAGTCTTTTAGAAATGATGATCAAGATATTCAAGGCAGTTCTATCATGCATATACCAGAAAAAATATCAAATGGTAATGCAATACACAATTGTAGAAAAGCTTCTAAATCTTGAGAAACTGTATGAGTTACTTATCTGTCTAAACTTCATAAGAAGATATTCTTACTGGCTGCAAAACAGTTCCATATGTCAATCTACTGACTTATATGATAAACATACAAGATTCTTACCTGAATTCTAAACAAATTTCTACTCTACCACCTTCCGCCATTATAACTTTCACGCTGTTGTTGTTGTTGCTGTCAACACTCGGGTCTCGTTCCCAGGCATCGTGCTTCTGTTCACTCTCTTGATTATTCTCGGCTGTAAAAATGGTGAGTGGATAACACTACTAGCATGAATATCCTCCCCGATCACGTACAATCGTTTTCAAATATCTATATTATAACCGGTTAGGTGTTAAATGGTCTGTTTTTAATCATGCTGTAAAACCATTTTTCGTTAAGATAGGTATTTTTTGCAAAAAGGACCCCAAACTGTTTAGGCCTAAATTGTAGTCAAAGGTCTATACTCAGATATGGAAGCCTTAATCGTTTCAATCATTTGCATTTCAGATTCGTTTTGAATTTTTATATTACGTTGAAAAATTTGTATAATGTAATTTCCAACCTTTTGTCAATAAATTTTCAGTCACAAATAACCTTAATGTTTGAGTCTACAGCTTGAGCTTGATATTGCATAGAAAAAGTGAAGATTGAAGATTATTAAGTTACTACAAATTGCTTTGCAACTATTTGCGCTTTTGATTTAATTGAGCGCTATAAAATGTGGTTTAGTCGCTTTTGCTTTTTGTAATTAATTTAGATTAGGTTTAATTCAAAGTAAAAACATCATGGATTGCACATGTGCATGAAAAATTAACTGCTCCTGAGGATTAAAAATAATAAAGCTATCAAGTTTTCGTCAGGCAAATGTCTTGTGCTGTAAACTCCAATTATAGTCACAGCATATGTTTCTATATTAAGCAGAGTGTTACTGCAAACAGAGCTAAATTGAACAGTTTGGATATTTGGGCCTAGATATTACTGACTGTAGCCAGTATAGTAACTTTAAGCAGAATGATTCTAACCTGAGTTTTCTATACATGATGAGTTTCCATTCAAGCCTTTTCCTCTTCTCATTGTTCTTGTCAAAATTGCTGCTGGGGTTGTCAGCCTGTTTAAACCAAGATCCCTTAGACAATAATGTTTAACTTGTTTTATATAATGGCATTCTGAAAAAGAAGACATTTTGCCTATTAGCAAAATTTTGATTGGTTTCAATTAAATGAAAACAGTGGCCAACCTTGTCAAGCTTCAAGCAAAACAAGGGTCAGCTTAGATAACAGTGGTCTCAGATATGAAAAGATTCACCTGATTTTATGTGCTGCCCGACTATAGATATAGTAAATACTTCACTTGGTCAATGTCAAACTTCAATTTACTGTATCCAAAAGCAACAATTATTCCACTAAGGCAAACTACTCAACATACATTAATAAATCAATATGATATATATATATATATATATTAGATATACATAAATATAGATATAAGTTCATGCAACATGGACTGTTGGTACTGCCCAGTCCACTGTGCATAGATCTTGAGCTCTTAAATATATGTATATTATATGCTTAAATTCTTAGATAATTGTGACAAGATGTATATAAATCTTTCGATCACTGACTTGGAGATAAGTGAATTTATATTAAATGATTTTGACCCATTCATATATTATAGTTCAAACTTCTCAATGTCCTTTTTCCATAGGCAAAAGTCAAAGCACATGAGCTGAGAGGAAAGAAGAAGGAAGACCTTCTTAAACAGTTAGATGAATTGAAAACTGAGCTGCAGCAACTCTGCGTTGCAAAGGTCACAGGAGGACAGCCATCAAAGCTCTCCAAAATGTATGTTTATGCTTGGATTAAGGTGGTATTAATCAATGATAAATCAAATCATTGTTGTGTCTCAAGTCAAAAGGCATCTCAGTTTAATAAACTTTTTGAATTTCTTTGTTTAAGCTATCCAGCAAGAGTCACTGAGCTAGACATAAACACCAATGCAAAGCAGCTGAAAATAGTTATTTAAATTATTTGCTTTGAAGTTGTTTATATATCTTCTGAACTGCGCGGGTGTGATTTATAATTGTTTGCCACTTTTTATGGAAAGTGTTGCTAAAACAAATTTTCTTTGCAAGAATTTATGATGTTGGCAATTTTGTTTGATGAAGTTTTTTTTGTTTACAGCAAAGTTGTCAGGAAATCCATTGCTAGAGTGATGACTGTTGTTAGTCAGACTCAGCGAGATAACTTGAGAAAGTTTTACAAGAAGAAGAAGTACATGCCACTAGACCTGCGCCCAAAGAAGACCAGAGCCATGCGACGTGCCCTGACCAAGCATGAAGCCTCATTAAAAACCCTTAGACAAAGGAAAAGGGACCAACATTTCAGCCAGAGGAAATATGCTGTAAAAGAATAGATTTAATGAAAAGGTTTGATCATTTTGAAGGTTGTGTTTTTTTACTTGTGAACCTCAACTAAAAAGCTTAAACCAGAAAGAACAGAATTATTTGCAAATTCATGAACTCCAGTTAAAAAATGAGTCTGTTCAGGTTGTGAGGACTAAGTTTTCTCAAATCTTTCTCAAAATGCATAGAAGAGCAGAAAATGTTGCTTTCTGCAAATTTTAAATCAATCAAACTGAATTATGGTGGGCTTGTTGCTGGTTTCCTAAGTTAACTTGCTATAAAACAAACAAATTGGTAGCATTATTTGGCTATATTATCCTAGTATGTCCAGTCCTAAATTTATATTTAGAATGGACAGTACCCCAAGTAGAAATGAATTTGGCTATTTTTTGGAATGTTGTTGGCATGCTTGGTGGGTTTCGAACCTTTAATAAAAGAAACTGTCTGAAATGTGATACATTCTTAACGAAAAGTTTATGGTAAACATTTACCAACAAAAGGTGAGGGTTATGAATAATAATTAAATTGTTTCATGAGTTGAACAAATTATGCAAGATTGAAATTATACTAAAGAGATACCCGTTGCCAACTGTGCTAAAAAAACAAACTCAGACCTGTGAAATATTAGTGACCTTGGTGGACTTTATGTAAAAAACAATATCAATGGGCCTTTTATTTAGGACTAAATGCTGATGCAAAGGAAGAAACCAATGAACTAGTGATAAATCTTATTTCTCAAATTCAGCAAATTTTATGTTTCCCCAGACAGGTTCTTGATATATTGGGGTAGCATTAAGAGCAATGTCACTGAAATCCCTAACATTGAAAATACACCTTTTTCTTATCATACAAGAGCTGACCCTGAGGAGGTACCTCCATCTCGCTGCTATTTCACAGTGACTCAGCACTTCATCAAAGTGTTCATTTTGCATATCAATCTTCTCAAAATCCTCTTGGTAGAGAATCTTAACTGTTGGTAACACTTGGCATTGTAATATGAACGCGACATTGTCAAGTGCAGATAACTCCATTCAGTTGGTCTTAAATTAAGTGACCCTTTTGTCAAACGACGTCGTTTGAAGCCAGCACCCTATAGCTTGTTTGTTTCTTTCATGAAATAGAGCAAGTAATCAGAACGTTTAAAATCGTGCTAGTTATTATGAGATCAAAGCATCAAAGCAGCTCAGGAAGTAGACGTTGAATCAAGCACAAAACGCCTCAGCGCGGTCGGTTATCGGCATGGAAATTCAACTGTAGTTATCTACATGCTTCTTCCTTGGCATGCAACAATCTTTTGATTTTGGGATTTGTCGAAAAGAGTTATCATCATTTCACTGTTCGCATTAAGCCAGAAGGTTTTCCACCCCTATTGAAAAGAATGTCCGGCATATTTGATTGAATTCAATTTTTTATTAAAAACATGTAAGTTCTTGTGAATATAATGTTGCTAAGTTATCAGCCCGTTTACTGTAGACAAATGTTCCATTTTCCCCAAGATTTGACAATAAGGCAGAGAAACTACACTTCCTCATTTTCGGCGAAAACTTAAAGATCATCCTATCGGCCTTTTATTATGGCGTTGAAGGGGCCAAAGTTTTGCAAATTTGTACCAAAGGCGGCGTTATATTTCAAACCCTTGTTTTTTCCATTGCCAACCAAATTTAAATCTTTTTTGGAGAAACACTAATTATTCGATGCCCAAGCCAAAAATTGAGCTAAAGTCATACCCCGTTATGTCGTACCAACTATAAATCAGACTTTCAGTAAATCGGACTGACTTTCATTTTCCATTTAGATTTTCCTACCTTTTCAAAATTACAAAACATAGCAAACAAGACGAACAAATAGTGATCTTATTTTAACGAAATTGAAGGGAATTCTGCCCCTGATATCGAAGATTGCGCTGAAACCAAAGAAAAGAGACCTAAATGGTAATGAGAGTCGTAATGGTTGTGATTGGCTATGGAATGTCAAGAAATGACAAAAAAATATGTAAATAATTTCCTTATCAATTTTCACCTTTCTTACCTTTTGAGCGGCTGAAAATGTGGGTCAGTGTTAAACAGGGTCGGCATTAAACAGGGCCAATTTATAAGCTTCTCTCAGCTGACATTTGGCCGCAAATGCTGTAATTTTTGATAATTTTTGATAATTTAAAGTACGAAGTGATAGGCAGTATATTTATTTTCAGAGACTCCCTCGTCAATTTATAACTTGATAGCCTATCTATCGTTTAAAATTGTTACTTAATTGTTTGAAATCTTCATGGTGTTATGTGCCTAGCTTGGTATCCGTGAGCTAGGTTTTCTGATACTCCACTGATTCGATAGTATCGTATTTTTATAATTTTAGAGAATATTGAGAATTTTGAGAGCTACAGGTAAGTTGGGAAGGTTGATCGGCCCAGCAAAGTTTTTTTCTGCCTGAAGTGGTGTGGAGCATCAAACTTAATCATGAAGATATCTTGCCCACATTGTGGCCTCTAGCTACATCCTGTCAGATATTTTTGCCCTTTATCGGATGCACAACAAATATCCTTGCGCTATTTTTAAAGAATAGATTCCTTGTTTACAAGAAGTCAGGAAAGAGCTTTATTTCTGTCCTTTTTCGATGACAGAAATTTGTTTGCAGATAAACATTGAAGGGTCTACCGAGAAAAGCGTTGCCATTTTGCAACCCTAACAAACCATGCCCAAGTGGAAAATACCCTTGTGTCAGAACATGTTCAGGTCGGCCCCCTTTACAGAGCTAAGACACCCCTGCACGAGAACTAAAGCTACGACATCCCCAAATTCTTCAAACTTTTATTTTTTAAAGCTCCCATTACAGCAAAAAATACTGATACTGTTAGGTGATACCGCATTTCCCTGTATTGAAGTCCACCCTGTATTCAAGTTCCAGAATCAAGTTCATGGGCATATTTTTTGATAAGTTGAGATTAAAAGCAACAAATTTTATTTTTCTGATCTTTTTCCTAACTACCGGCTCTAAGCTGCATCTTTCCAAATCACAACCTCACTCGCGGGACTTGATTATTTGATCAAGAAGTATTCTCGAAATTGGCTAGCATGCGAGGTAGTACGGTGTATTATTTTTGAAACTGAAAGCGAAACTTTCGATGTGCAATATTTTTACACGGTATGGCACGTGCCTGGGCTCGTACCTCTTCGGTACGCGGTCTGTTGCAGGTGAAAAGCAGCCGTAATCCACGTGCCAAGACTCAACACTGTGACAACAATTTCCGTCTTTCCACCCACTAGCAAAACTTTTTACCACATCTGTTTTGCAGAACATTGCCTCCAATTTTGAATTCCAAAAAGGTCTCAACGGGGGCGATGAATGGCAAATAGTCAAGGAGTGATTTCATGCTATATTTTTAGCTTCGAAACTTTGCTGAGTAATGCTCCAAATGCAGATGTAGTACAATCCCACGACCTGTATATTTGTTGTCACGTAAACAAAGTTCTTTTTTATTAAAGAACCATCTGGTTCTGGAAATTGTTCCGCTTTCCCTCCCTCTCGTGGGATTATTCAATTTATGTGTTTACATTTGTTTACATAGTATGGTTTAAATAGAAAGGAGTGGTTTGAGATGAAGCATGATGTAATCTCGTTCTGTGAACTCTAATATAACATCGCATTGTCTAATGGAATCTTTAAGCCACAACTTCAAATTCATGTTTTGCGTTTTACGAAAATTGCGGAACTTATTTGTACAGATACGAAATTTGAATAAACCTCTGTAAAAAAAGAAGATTATGTTTGATAGTAAATTTAATTATATCCTGGACTTCATAACAGGAGATTTTCAGAAATTATGCTGATTATCATTGTTAGAAGAGTTTCGATTTCCACTTAGCATCAGAACCAATAGCGCTTATTATTGAACTTATAGAAATGGTTTCAAAATATCAAAGAACTCATAGGACTTTTAGGAAATGTAAGCTTTTACTTACGGATATACATCGGTAGTTTTTCACTTCATAATGTGGGTACAAGGCAGGAAATGCTTTGCTTCAAAACCTTTGAAAGACTTTAGAAAAATTTCGTGCTCTTTTTATCCTGTGCAGGCCCTTATATGCGGGTTTTATTAACACTATTAAGTATGGGTACAACTATACAAAAAGCTATGTTTTTGTTTGATTGTGTACTGATTCAAATTTGTCTCCGACCTTTGCAACTTGTAATGAAATTTAACAACGTGTCAGAAGAGAGAAAGAGAATGAGCATTGATTAGGCTTTTGGGAAATACGTCCTTTTCGCAAGGCATCAGTTATATTAGTGTTGAGAATGGTTCTACGCGATGCATCTTATTAAAACTTGATTATTTCCTAAGTTCATCACTTTAAAAAAAGTGTTACTTTAAAAAGATTAATGTTAGTTTTTCGAATTTTATTTCTTCTGAAGTTATTGGGGAAGGATGTTTGTCTAACCCAATTTTCAGTAAGTTCCCCTCGTTTTGGGGTTTGTATAGAAAAGTCTTCACAGTCTTGAGACATTCCTGATAAAATAGAAACTAAAATGCTAAAGCAGTCCAATCCTTGAAAAAACTGGATTCTGAAATGCTTGTTGTAGACTTTGCTCCAAGGAAAACGGACTTGGTTTAACACTTTTGAATGCTTTTAATTTTTTTTTAGATATTTGATTACAACTTTGGAGAATCACTTTATACACGTAGAGATTCCTCGCCTTACACAATTCAGGATTTAAACGTTAGTGAAACTGTGAAGGAAATAGACAGTTGTAGAATATCGTCAGCCACCTGTGACGTTGAATAAAGAGAAATTGCCACATAAAAATGCCATGGCTTTTTCAAACACATTTACAAAATGGGTGTTTTTCCAAATTCTTAGGGGTGTGATCAGCAAAAATATCTTCTTCTTTGGCCTAACAATCTTCCAAACCTGGCTACCCCACAGTTAAAAACCAATTTTAAAAAATGGGCGTTTCCATCATTTACCAGTGACCTAAAAGGGCGTGGCACCAAAATTAGTGTCTAGCACCCCCCCCCCCCCCCGCCCCCATCATTGTTGCTCAAATCCGCCCCTGCCTATCAAGACCCAATGTGGACGCTACTGAGCCCTTTCTGGGTATTCTCCTGTCCTTTCGATTCAATGGACAAAGGCGATTATAGTTTAGATTGGGATAAATTAATAGGAAAGATTCGAAGAGGAGAACTATGCAAGGTCTTCTTTCAAATCGGAGCCACTTGTGGTCTAAGAGAAATGAGGACTGGCAGCAGTTTTGCAAGAGACAGTTTTCCATGGAATAATATGGAATTAAGATACAAAACACAAAAAATAAGAGAATAATCAAGAACAGAGATTTCATTTGAACAGTGTTTTTGATTTCCCCAAATTCCTAAAACTAATCTCCTCAATACAGGTTAATTGTATATAAACTAGAACAAACCAGACCTTCTATATGTCATTACACACTGTGAGGCTCAAGGTAAGATGGCGCATTAACAATAATAATATTACATTAATACCATCAGTAAATATCAATCACAAAGGTGTATTGAATACATCCAAGGAGCAAGGATGATCAGTGTCATACCTTTGCCTTTCAGAGAGGTGACTGTGGGGGGAGGGTGGGGGGTGGTGCGAGGTGGTTGTAAAGTAAAATTCACCAACTCAGACATAGATGAAGAAATGAAGACAATCTTGTTTCCTATTTTACTTACTTTTAGACGATTTTCGCGGCTAACTGGCAATTTTACAAACCAATTAATATCATTGTTAGCTGGGGGTGTTACACAGTTCCCCCTTACAGCCCCTCTGTTAGGTCCGCATGATGCCCCAGAGTAAATGACATATGCGGAAAGAAAATAACCCCATACTGGAAAGTAATTGGCTATTCCTGGAATTATTTAAAAAAATCTGTGACCCCTTACGACCTTGCGCGTTTTAACGTCTGTTGAAAACAAAGATATTTCTATGGTTGAAAATATAATGAATCCCCTGCATATAATTAGGCGATGAATCAAAGATTGTTTTTCTCCCGCGCTGACCATTAGGCTGTAAAAGCTCTATTGTCAAGAAAGTTTTCTGCCTGAAACTGAAAAACATTTCATCGGATAATTGGTTGATTTTACAAATCCCAGTTTGTGTATTCACTGGGTGAAAATTATGACTCTTTTTGGCAAACAGGATTACATGAAATGATCTTTCGGGACATTGAAAGCAATTAACTTTGCATTGGCAATCAAGGCTATTTCTTTAGTATTTTCCATAAGGCATGTAAAATTTGTCGGTCGAGGTTTTTGACAAACAGCTAGCAGCTAATAAGCGTATACGGTATTGATCTGTGTGTAGGCGAATAGAATAGAATAGCCCGATGGGAGATGATTGAGTTTACACGAGGCATTCAAGTCAGTGGACTCAGTTATGACTAGCGACTGGTAATGTGTACAGAGCTATAAACGTGCAAGCAGAAAAGTACGATTTCGGAAGCAAGTTTGGATAAGGAGTCAATGAAACTAACCAGAATGTGAGTGATTTTTGCAATCATTGTTCTTTTGTTATTCTTAGCCAATCATTTTTCGAATTACATCGCATGCCTTTAAGGTAATGAGAAATTAAAAATTTATGTTTATGTGACTTGTTTTTGCTGAAAACATTCTTAATTGCGTAAAATCTCACAGAACACATTTGCTAAACTTGTCATCTATATTGTGGAGGTTTAACAATGTCACTAGCATGTGGCTCGTTTCCCTGACGTCACACCATTTATATATTTACTGAGAATTGCAAGTTTCATAGTTTGAATCGACCTTGTGTTGCAGAGCATTTGCACTGACTCTGATGGATTAATGTTTATTCGGCTGTCTCCTATTATTCAGCTGCACGTGTTTGCTTGAGGCAGCCATAAGACGCTTTCTTGAAAAAGTTTTTTTTGCTGTAGTTTATTCTAACAGTCTGGCAATTTCTTGGTTACAGGACAACGACAACGCTGAAATATACAGTGAGACTTTTACTAAGGATGGTCTGGAGACGCGGTAGAAGAAAGTCTGCGGCGGTATGTATTAAATTTTCATATATTTTTACATATAAGATAGAACCACTGTTTGCGAGTTCTTTGATTCAACTTTGATTGCCCATTTTCAAGAACGTTGATATTTTCATAAACGGTTTGAATATTCAGAACAATAACCATTTTGCTGCGCATAGGAAAGGAGCGGTAGTCTTGTAGGTAACCACAAACTGGTATGCTGTGTTTCGATAAACATCTTGTTTGTGCATTCCAGATCTCCTGGCTGCCATATAGGCATTTCAACCCAGAGATGCAGGTAGCAGTACCCGGTGAGACTTGCTTAGAGACTTTACCTGGGATTTTATAAATAATTAGGTAATGGTCATATAGTTTCTCTGTTTGCCGAGCGCACTCATCTCTAGCATTTCATCCCTGGTTCTTCCCTGACTAGAACTTCCTCATCCCCCTCCCAATACCCATGCTAGTTGATCGCCATAGTTCGATTATTTTATCTTGATCATATGTAACAAAGCAGGTCGAGGTTTTCAGATTGAAGTTTGGTTAATCTAAGAAAACCGAGTGCAGGCTTGTTTCTGCTAGTATTTTCAATTCTGCTAGTAATGATTTTATTTAACATGGGCGTGTATATCAAGTTTTCATTGGCGGGGCTCTTTTGTGGCATAGTGAATCCTGGAAGATCATTGTATAGCGACCGACAAGATCATTAGTGGCATCTAACCTTGTTGCCCCCAGGTTGCAGGCCCTTTCTTAGAAGGATACTAGTTAAGCTTTGGGAGGAAGCTGGCCCTATCAATCAATGGTGATACATTTTGATTTCAACATATCAAGAGAGGAGGGCTAAAGAAATGCTGCAGAATGCCATCATTATGTATGCAGAAGTTAGAGAATATTTTTTAAGTGTAACGAATAAGTTCAACAAGGTTAAAAAAACGAAATTTGTTACAAAGGTATAATGGATGCGTCTACATCCACGCCGAGCCTTGAAAGAGTCAGCCAGTTGTTAGCTATTCTTCTCACGCAGCTAGCTCCTTGCTCTTTTCTTTTATTGTTACTTTGAATAGAGCTCTCTTGAACTCAATGAATTAAACATCGATTTGAGGCATGGGCGTTCCCGTTTGGGGGAGGGGGGGGTTCTGAATATATAGTTTATTTCTTGTAGAAGAAAACGTGGCATAACCCCTCACCAAAACATTTTGTGGGCACAAAACAAGTGGACTCATTTTGTGGAAAAGATCAGCACTTTGCTGAAAATTGACTTTGGTTCCTTGATATCAAGTTTTTTTCTTTGCCAGGTAAAATTTCTTGCGTGCGCGCAAAATGTTTTTTTAAAGAGAGGAAAGGGAGGTGCAGGCAGTGGCGGCGCCAGCTACTGCAGAATGGGAGGGTAATGGGCGTGGCCAATGATACCACCAATGCCAATGCAGATCCTGACTTGGTATGTTTACAATGGAGAAGATGGCGCAGTAAAACGCTAGTCCATTTTATTTGAAAGGTGGCCATATCGGATAGGATGTTGAAAAATTCACAGTAACGACATTGCCAAAACATGTTTACTTATTCGAGTTTACATTCCTCTTCTCAATCTGTGCCTTTGGTATGCCAATCGTTTTTAATTGAAACTGTTTTCTTACGTCATTTTGTAATCCATGTTTTCTAAACACGGTTCATAAGAGACTTGCTTTTAATGCACGTTATTTTTTAAGAAACATCGATTTTCTCCAGTCAGAATTCCATCTGATTGGTATGCAATGGTTTCCATAGTGCACAATGGTACATTTTTCTTAAACAACATGGTGTGGGCACAAAAGTAAACATATTCAAATCGATTTGTAGCTAACCCCACGCGGTTAAAATGTTTCTTCCTGTTTTCTATGGCAAGGAATTTTTATTAGTCGTTTTTTTCGTTCTGAGTTTCATAGCTTTTGTCACAGTGCAATCAAAACCGTTCTATTTAGAATCAAGTTAGAAAGTGGTCAGATGCATTTAGTTTCATGTCATCGTTTTTTTTCTTCCCATAATGCATCGGCCACTCGCATAAGCTAAGCTTTGGTTGAAATTCAAGGTCATAAGAATATGGGGGAGGAGTTAAACTTCAAAGCATTTCTTAGTATTCCGTGACACATGACAAGTACTCCATAAAGCCACAATCTTGGCAGCATGAACACGTTAAAAGAAGAGAAACAAGAAAAAAAGAATCTCCTAAAACGAATTTTTTCCGGAGCTAAACGATCATCTTGTACTACCCAAATCTAACATTTTTACATCAAATAAACCTCCTCTTCTTGATTTCTGATCCAGATGATTTATGAGTTTAAACAGAGATATCGAAAATAAAAGCCCTATGCTCATGATTCGAAAGTGGTATTTTTGCTATGTATTTGTTCCGCCTTTCCACAGAAATATCTAAGAACCGTCGAATCAATAGTACGAGGATGAAAAATAGAACCTGCTTAAGAATGCCGGAACTTGTAGCTGAAACCATGCTCTGAATCGCTGAATCAACCACCACAACGTATATGAAAACCAACCAAGCCTATATGAGACACAGGAAAATTGGTCCCTTGCTCGTTGCATGTTTGTTAAAGTATTTCCGATACATTTAAAATTATCAAGCACATGCATAAATAAGATAGCCAACATGGCCTTTTTAAACGAAGTAACTCTGATGAAATTGCTCCTGCAGCCACGCCCCACCCCATCCCCCCACACATGAAATCCTTTTAAAAGAATATAAGAGATAATTATATACTAAAAGACAACCGTAAATTTTGATATGAAAAAAGAAATAAATAGATCTTCCAGCCTGATATTGTTGAAAACGATTCAGAGATACATTGTGTTTTGATAATATTATGTTTAAAAAGCCTTTGTTTTTCATTTCTTTTTCGAATGAGCCAAAAGTTTTCACTAGAACAGTACTCCAGTGAAACTAAATTTTACAGCATCTCGTTCTGAAGGGTTGCGTGGGAGACGTAGCGAGTCCAAAGAATTTCTATGAACGACCCGAACTACTCTAATCCTTTCGAATCTTGTTTTCAAAAGATAATTGAAATCCTCCTTGTCTCTCTCTCTTGAAAATAATAGTAGTTCAAGAACTTTTGAGCAATCTAGTGATGCGGGAATGTTAATCATCTCCAGTGGAATTTGCACAGCAACATGATGCAATAGGTTATTTAAAACAAATATTGAAAACCAATAAACCCAAATTACATGATGCTTTGCACTTCCGTTTCAACCAATGCATTGGTTTGGGCACATGTAATGTCAGTTAAAATACCGCTACTGCATGTAAGAAAGCAATGTATTAGTCGGCAACTGCACTTCTACGGACAATCAAAAGATTTGGGGACATTTGACTCTACAAATTTTTGATGGTATGACCTGATATTTTGAAAGATTCAAATTTAATTGAATATTGGCTTTTTTAGCAAAAAATGAGTTACTTGATTACTGTGCTTGAAAGTCAGGGCTTTCCAAGGACTTTCGAAGTCTTTGTTTTTCAACTGGTCTTCAGAATGCACCGAACTTCCTTCGATCTGTATTGTTTGGCAACACCGGGAAATAAAGATTGTAACTAATTGTGGTTTGTCTTGTAACGTTGCTTGGTTATACGGGTTTCCGGGTTTTGCTACGTCACATAACACATTTATTGTGGGTTTGGTATAAAACTTGGCTAGATATGTTTCGGCAGTCATTAGGAAAATTTCACTCGTGATAAGACGACAATAAGAATTAGCAAGCTGCTTCAAAAACAAGTGAGGCAAAAGGAATAGTCAGAATGTGCTTAGATATTTTCAAGGTATGCATAGATATTTTTCTTGACAGTACACAGCAAATTTAGATAGGTATTTCACGTTATTAGTTGGGAATAATCGTTCGGAATTGATATTTGTCTATCGAAGAAACTGGCGAAGCATTTTGCATTTTATTTATTTGTTTAAAGATAGCGATGTACCACCAAGAATAAATAAAAATCATTGGCTTTTTATTTTATTCTGGTACCACTCGCTCTTGCCTTCTAAACTTTCGTTCATTTTTCTTATTGTTCATTTCCAATACATTCATGTATGGATTGAAGCTTAAGTGTGTAGTTCAATGAGGCTGTGGGTGGGGGGCTTTGCGGGGGGAGGGGTTTTGAGAGGGGCTCCAGGATGTCAGACCCTCTTATTCGTGCCAAAAATGAGCCAATTTGTTATTCAGCTATTTTTAACAACATTTTCATTTGAATTTAATCTCCCTTGAAATAACAGACGGAAGAAATTACTTTTAACCTTATATTGTCATTCGAGTACTTCACTTCAATGCGGTTCTTTTATCGCCCATTAATATAAAGTCTGGTCTCTGATTTTGACATCATTCATCAAGAACGTGGCTATGCTCTTGCAAATATAAAGGTTGCATACCGTTATGATGACGTATCCTAATAACAATGCTCATCGTGCATTTTCCGACACATTTGGAATTTCAATACCGCAGATTTATTGAATTAGATATTTTTCTTTTAACTGTAGACTAAGAGAATGGAAAACTTTCTAAGAGACCGAGTTTAATCCAAATCTTTGGATAACCTTTGTTTAATTCAAAGATTAAAACATGATTACTATTGAAGATGCATCGACTTCCTTCATTTTTGAAAATCTTAAAATGCTTCAGAAAGTCAAGTAATATGATCATTGAAGAAGCTCGGTTTCAAATGTTGCGCAAAGAGATTTTTCCTTCAAGGGAATATTTGTTCACCTAGCAACGTCAATTTCTGGGATGAAATTCGGATACTGCATAAGAATTCGTACAATTTAACTTAAAGAGCGACTTCGTATATGAAAAGTAAATTAATAGTTACGACTTTTCATGCAGAACTCTTCATCAAGAGCTTTTATAATCAAATTCCAGAAAATGAATTATGCTTTTAATATCGTTAAAGCTAATATGATGCCACTTTTGCATTAAAACATATCAATTCGCATTCAACACATGTAACTACATTGTTTCATTTCTACATGATATCGAGCATGGTATTTTCTAGTAAAGAAGACAAAACGGGTATATTTTCTTAAGAAGTTTGCTACGACCGCTTTTAAACAAATTTTTTTTATAAACTTCAAGAAAAAAGACTTGACGTTTAATCCAAATATGACCATCATCATGGAATTATTTCTTCTTTTTCAGGTCAAAATCCCTTCAGTCAGGATCGTTATTTTTGGATCAGGAGGTGTTGGAAAAACCTCCCTCGTCCAACGATACCTCTACAATTCGTTTGAGGATAGGTATCAGCCAACGATAGAAGACGATCATAGGAAGGTCATTCCATACAAGGGCAACCTTTGTGACGTCACAGTATTAGACACAACTGGCACACATCAGTTCCCAGCAATGAGGGAGCTGGCTATAAAGAACGGCGATGGATTCATTGTCGTTTATGCAATTGACGATAAAATGTCTTTGCTTGAAGCAAAGCGGCTGAGAGACGAGATCGTCAAAGTAAAGGGAAACAAGGAGGTGCCACTTGTTCTTCTTGGCAACAAAAGTGACCGTAGTCCTGTTGGAAGAAGAAAGGTGGGCCTAGATGCGGGACAAATGGTGGTTGACGAATGGAATGATGGTTCCGTGCATATGGAAACATCTGCAAAACTCAATCATAATGTTGTAAATGCGTTTAATAAAGTTCTCGAATTGATTGACTTACAACCGGCTTTTGAGGAAGTAGACGGTGATAGCTCTCCCTGTCAGAGGAGGCCATCGAGAAAGGACAGTATCCGAAGAGGAGTAACAGGTGCATGGAGAACTGCAACGCACTGTTTCCATAGAAGCAGAAAATACAAGGCAGACAAACAAGAGCAGAAATTTCTTGCTTAGTTATCGCAATGATATTTGTTTGCGCCATCGTAATTCAATCGATGTCGCGATGTTGCAAATCATGAGCGAAACGTAACGGAAGGTGCTCCAAACATCTAAAATTGATGATAACCGTTCACGAAGGATGGTGGATGAATCTATCTAACCTTGACATGTGCAGACGTTTTCACCATGGATCGTCAAGATGCTATCTTCTTAATTTAACCCATCATATGTACTGATTTGAACCTAACCAACGACCAAATGTTTCTGCATTTGTGGCTAAACTAATGAAGTTGTCAAGAACTGAAGGTATCTAGTAATCGCTAAACGAAAATGCATAGTTTGGATTGAGTATCTAATGTAGACTAAAAGTATAACATCGACCAGAAGCATAGCCCCAATCCATTGCAGGGGGGATCAAGGAGTGAGACTTCCTAGGAATAAAGCTTTGCTGTATCCTAAAACAAAGTTATGTTAAACAGCCTTAGTATCGTTGCAACATTCCAAGAAAATTCAAAATCGTTTATCTAAACAAATGTGACCACACCTGAAACCATCCATCCCCAAATGCTTCTCAACTGATGTCAAGAATTCGATTGAAAAATTGTTGTAGGATTTACGCGTCAACATATACGTCTATGCCTCTGTTAAAAATAATGATGACAAATAATGATTATTTTAATGCGACATATGATTTTATAATCATGCTAGAAATGTGCGTAACTAATCTATTTCATAAAGGTGACAAACTCTGTTCTTCAGAACCATTTGGTAGGAATGACAGCTCAATTCAAGAACCAGTAGAGAAAATCCCCTCATTTTACATGTAAATAATATGGTCATAATCCTTTGAATGTTCCTAGATATTTTCGAGAATCAAAAACCAAAGTTATTCCGTTAGTTTTTGAGCTGAAGAACAGGGGCCTTTTTTATGACAAACATACTAACAAGAGGACGTGGTATTTTCGATAGCCTCTCAACCCTGACAAGAGCTTAACTATTCCACATTAATTTCCAATGAGAGACGCTGATGCTTTTCTAGAAACATCACATGGTAAGCGGAACTGTATTGTCTTGGTAGAGAGGTTAATGAACATTAGAAACATACTAACAGTTCTAATTTCATTATCAAAAGTAATATTCGCTATGGCAGTGTAGGATTCTGCAATGTTGTTCTACGAACAAAACAGTAGAATTACAGATGGTTACAAATTACTGAATCGACTAGAAACTGTTGCCTAGGTAAAAATAATGATATCAGTCTCTATAGGTTCAGATTGCTAAATCATATTATATTAAGTGTGGTCGTATTGGTACAGCCGGCTGGTTCAATATGCTATTAGTTATCTCAGAGAGCAAAATCAATGTTTATCATTTAAAATAATATGATAGTACCTAGAAAATATGAAACTCCAATATTTTGAAATTTCAAGCCCAAGCAAACTTTGTTCATTTTATTTATGACCTAAATAGAGATGGTGTTTAAGGGAAAAGTATTTTTCCATTGGTTTTAAGGAAAGTTAAAATATCAGGCAGTCAGAAAATCAGACTGTATTATGATGTATCACAACATTGATCGAGGCATGTTGAATATAATATGTTTCATCAACTCGTGGCATTCCCATTTTTAAAAAAGATACACATTAGGATAAATATTCTCAGATGAGAAAAGAAATGTAAACTTGCTACAAGTACTATATGTTTGTTGATTGGTATGTGTAATTGTGAATTTATGTGATTTGGGATTTCTCAACTTCTGTTATACTAGTGATTCTAGTGAAAAACCTTTACAGTTAAATTGTATTGAAATTACAAAGTAACTGAACTTGAGAAGTCCAAAAATAAAGTTAATTTCTTCTAGAAAGATAATGATATTATTTTGTATTGTTGTGCTGTTAATCTGTCTAACAGGAAATCCGTATTTATGAAGTTTGCTGATAAATATTGTCTCTTTTTACCTTTCTTCAAATACCATGTACCCAGATCACCATTCAATATGGAATAACACTACAGCCAATTAACAGCCTAACAAAATCAGCAGCAGCAAAACAGTAAAAAGCACAGTAGAAGAAAAAGAAGCTGATGCATATCATCAAATATAAGAATTTCAAGACAAGACTAAAAAATATTAAGCACAAATAAATTATCTGCCCTTTTAAAAAGAATTGGATGCTAAAACAAATTCTGACAATAACATATGTACCTAATTTGCCAAGTTTGGTATGAAAGTACCAGCAAAGTTCTAGGTTCACTGGGTTTGTTAAACTAAGACTCTGTATACACTGGAGGTGGTGATCTTGCTCTTCTTCCTAAACAATGAACAAAAAGTCCTTCAAAAATTTTCTGATAAACAACAAATTTGACGATATTTATCTAGTTGAAAATACTGTCAGTTTGTGGTATGATGGTATATGATGGATGAATGGCTTGATACATCCTATCTTCCTCTTTAACAGAATGAAGATTGAAAGTCAAATGATGATTAAAGATCAACAAATTTTAATATCAGTAATTGTTGAAATCTGCAGCATGCTTATGTAACAAACAAATCTGGATGATCATAAATTTGCATTAACAAGACCCCAAAACTTGAGCAATGGAGACATTGTGCCAAATTCAAAAACAAAATGGAAATAACAACTTTATCTTGATAACAATTTCAGTCTGTTGAGCCATATTCTGTAAAAGGATTCTGGCCTAGGCCTTGTGGCTTTTCTTTTGATTTCATGCAAGCAATTTAAACTAAAAAACCACGCAAAGTTTCTGTGACTAGAAGACAAATTCATGTCAAGCAGGCTACAATATATTAGATTAGCTATGCAAGGTGATTACAAGCTTTGGGTAGAGTAGTCCTTTAAATGAAAAATCCCATTCTCTTATAGGTGGGATGGTTTTAATTTCTCCAGCCAGTCAAAACACTGGACGCTAGGACATTTTAAAAATTTAGATTTAGGGGGGGGGTGGGGGTAATTAGAAGGCAAACAGAGTTAAAGCCTTAATGCAAAGAGCTCAGAGCTGCCACAAAGAAAAGTATAACCAAACTCTTAGATGTAGGCTAGGCTTAACACATACCCCTGATTTCACCATTTGTGGTTGTTATATATTCTTCAGGAATCTCAAAATATGGAACAGCTGGGCCACCAGGCCCCCCTGGAACAGGTAGCTGGGCTTCTGTCAATTCATTACTACCATTTCCATTAAATAATGAAATATCTAGGTATAAGGGAAACAAAATGTATAAGGCAACATATTTTCTGTGATAAAAAAAATAATATTACCTACACTTTCCTAATAGTTTAGAAAAATCTATCGACTACTATGGATAGGCATTTTGAAATTTTAATTGATTTTCAGAGTAGCAGAGGTTCAAAATAACATTGTACTTAGGATTACTGGACGATGCAAATTACCAAAAAGTGTTGTTAACGCAAGCTAGTTGGTAATTTTTCAAATAAAAATAGACAATTTATTCGGTGATGGTAAGTATTTAAAAGACAGAGTAGAAATATTTTAGATAACCTAAGTAATTTGAAACAACAACATTAGAAATCCGTGGCGATCTTTGACAGGCTTCTATCCTACATAGAAGTTTTTATGTTATGCTATGTTATGATATAGCTCAGTGTGCTATTCACTGAAATAAAACATTACAAACAAGAAATCTTCAATTGCAAGTGTAAGCCTAGATGGATAAAGGAATAAAAAAACTGTTTTAACTAGTTAAAAAAGAGTACCAGAACAGTTGTCCAGTTTCTTTTGAAAAGAATCGAGAATTGCTTTCAGAATAAAGATCTGGGTCTTATTCTGTCTGATTGCTTCACAGAAGTTATCAAAACCATCTGATCCTCTGCTTTTTACAATGTCCAAGAGTCGTTCATTCCTCCTTCGTCTTATTTTTTCTGCCTCAATTTCTTCTTGATCATCAACATCAAGCACTTCACGCGATCTTAAAAAGGCAAACAACTTTTGACACTCCAGGTTTTGGACTAGAAAAGGTCTCAAATCTTTCAAAACCTCTTCTTTTAATTGAAGATAAATTTCTTCTACTTCCTCGTCCGCCATATTATCACTTACTCTAAATGTTTGTTGTTGCTGTTGTTTGTGCTTGTATTCTCTATTGCGGCACTGGACTTTATACAAGTCTCTCAGGGACAACAAATCTCTAAAGTGGGAGGGCCAAGGCTAAAAATGTAGGGGGCCAAGGCTTCTTACCCCTTTTAATGCAGTTTTAAAACTACTTGCTTCGCAAAAAAGTGAGGGGGGGCATGGCCAAAAAAGTGGCGCGGGCCCTGCATCACATGCAGAGACCTGGGAAGCACATGCTCCAGGGCCTCTGACGAAGGTTGGGTTGGCCCCCATTTTTTTCAAGACAATAGGATTTTTCTCAAAATCTTTTGTTATGGGTGTTAAATTTCCATTGGACACCCCACTTTCCAGCATATATCGGAGCTCATGTGCTCCGCACTTTTCTGCCAAATTCGAGACGTGCTAGAAATGCTTATGAATTAGAATCCTGATATATGTAGTCACCAGAAACATTAAATATGTAGTCAATGTTTGCTCAATTCTTGTGTAAGGAAGCAAGAATGAAAAAATGTTCAATGGTGTCTTTATAACATACGTTGACCATTGGAAAGGGCTAGTTACGCTTACAAGGTGAGATGCAGTGAGAGTAGACAACAACTGTAAATTTCATTCTGAAGAAATAGAATGACATTAGAGAAAAGTGCATGCAATGAAAAGCTACAATCGAACATTTCATGGATAATTTCCTCAATTAATCTCAGCTATTTGTAAGTTAACATGGCTGTTTCTTTTCTTACAAGACAAACAATAGTTGATCTGAACAGCCAAGATTTCAGATGAGCGGTGCAGCAACATCATTGTATGGGCTACTTCTTACAATCCTTGTAGCTCTACTCTAGTATCTCTAATAGACGGCCCCCTGTGTATTAATTTCAGAAGAAATAGAATGACATTAGAGAAAAGTGCATGCAATGAAAAGCTACAATCGAACATTTCATGGATAATTTCCTCAATTAATCTCAGCTATTTGTAAGTTAACATGGCTGTTTCTTTTCTTACAAGACAAACAATAGTTGATCTGAACAGCCAAGATTTCAGATGAGCGGTGCAGCAACATCATTGTATGGGCTACTTCTTACAATCCTTGTAGCTCTACTCTAGTATCTCTAATAGACGGCCCCCTGTGTATTAATTTCAGAAGAAATAGAATGACATTAGAGAAAAGTGCATGCAATGAAAAGCTACAATCGAACATTTCATGGATAATTTCCTCAATTAATCTCAGCTATTTGTAAGTTAACATGGCTGTTTCTTTTCTTACAAGACAAACAATAGTTGATCTGAACAGCCAAGATTTCAGATGAGCGGTGCAGCAACATCATTGTATGGGCTACTTCTTACAATCCTTGTAGCTCTACTCTAGTATCTCTAATAGACGGCCCCCTGTGTATTAATTTCAGAAGAAATAGAATGACATTAGAGAAAAGTGCATGCAATGAAAAGCTACAATCGAACATTTCATGGATAATTTCCTCAATTAATCTCAGCTATTTGTAAGTTAACATGGCTGTTTCTTTTCTTACAAGACAAACAATAGTTGATCTGAACAGCCAAGATTTCGGATGAGCCGTACAGCAACATCATTGTATGGGCTACTTCTTACAATCCTTGTAGCTCTACTCTAGTATCTCTAATAGACGGCCCCCAGTTTATTAATTTCAGAAGAATTTGCCCTCCCTCTTCGCTTATAAGCACCCCCCTTCTATTAAATTTTACGAATCAAGTCATTTGATTTCCATTATTCGTTGTTTTCAAAGTTTTTTTGCAAAATCTCAACCATACAAAGAAAACCGATGATTTTTTACTTGGAAGTTTAAAGCTGCAAATTTGATTTATCTTTGTATGATTGCAATTTTCACTAAAACTATGTAAGAAACTGAAACCAAAATTTGACAGTCTGTTCTAAAAGGTACTTGGATTTCAGAGAAGGAATGCCGACATGAACACCCCCTTCTATTAGCACCCCCTTCTATTGAAAATTGGTCGGAATGAACACCCCCTTTTATAACCTCCCCGTTCTATTAGATGCACTAGAGTATTTTGGATATTCTGCAAGACAGTGATTTTTATTTCGTTACAGAAGCCCGAAAGAAAGCAGCAGTAATTCAAATGCGACTCTTTACATTTTGTCAAGCACATCGGATGGAAGATATTTCTTGGAATTCTTAATAAGTACAAGGGCTGTTAGAGTTATTTTAAACCAAACCCTACCTTTCCTAGCTATAGCTAGGCTTATCTAATACCATTTCTATGTCTAATACACTGCGTCATCTGAAAAAGACACACTGCGTCGTCTTATTTTTTAAACCCTTTGACGTTTGGCAAAGCAATAAAGTTTAAACTCTCCAGAACAGGAACCTCTTCAGCCTTGCAATGCGAGTTTGTCGAAGGGCAAACTACTAATTAAAATTTCTTACCCTTTTGCAATAATCATACCCACTTCTTAACTAAAAAACCGTCATGATTTTAGGCTTTTGAAACTACGTTTCCTCAACGTAGCTAGCCGGGATGGACTTCGTGTATCGGCTTAAAGTTGTTTCGCTTTAAAACATAAAACACAAAGGCCATAAATAAGTTCTCCAATAATAAAACCGAGGGGCGTATCACTCCAAAAATCCTCGTACACCCTGCCAAAGATCCGCAAAAATTCACTAAAATCCTTTCAAAAATCCAGAGATCCACAAAGAAAACAAGATTCCGAAAATCCAATTAGACTAAGAAATGTGCAAGAAATGTCCGGTACCAAGTCAAAGAAATAAGGCCAAACTCTGACAACATCAGCACTGAATCACATAACGGACTTACATTTTGGACAGAAAATCTTTTGGATCAATCAAAGACATCATCGAAAGATACGGTTGATGATCTGGACGATGATTTGGATGATTTGGAACAGTGAATACAGAGACTTCCCGTTGTTGTTGCTGTTACCGTTCCTCATCATAGTTCCTCGCTGGCTGACAGTCATCTTTGGTAACACAAGTTCTTGATCCAGTCGTCCAGGGCCTCCAACGAAGGGGGGGGTGGGCCGGGGGTGGCATGGCCCCCTCGCTTTTTGCAAAACAATAGAGCTTTTTTTAAAACCTTTTGTTATGATTGTTATATTTTATCTTGGCCCCTCCACTTTCCAACCTGTATCGGAGCCCATGTCGTCCCTTTATATTTGTGCACCAACAGTCCCTTCCTTGACAAAAAAAAACGTGAAAAAGCCACCAACCCTTGATTTCGCAAAACCAATCTTGGCAGAGCAGGTGCGCAACGTAACGAGAACGTAACATTGGAAAGCCTGGAAACCAGTGCCTCTTTAGGAGAGAGGATGATCCTTCCAAGTCATTGTTAAGGAGAATACTATCATTTTCGTGCTTAAAGGGCAATAAAAGGGCAAGAGCTACCTAGGAAAATGTAGCCAAACCATAGTTGAAAATTTTCTAGCATGATGAGATGACAAAACGATATATGCTCTAAGAACTTTAACGAAACTCAATCGAGCCATTGTATAAAAAGATGAGTCGATCCAGATTCTTTTGTGGAATAGCTGAATGGTCCATTAAGTAATATATGGTTTAATGAAAGTGCCAAAACTTGATATCGTTGGAATGAAGATAGAATGTTATGCGTCAAATTAATTCAAATGTCATCACTTTTTGAAGAATCCCAAAGAAAGGTGGGGGAGTGTTTCTGACACCCTGTCCGGTATGCGTCAAATTAATTCAAATGTCATCATTTTTTTAAGAATCCCGAGGTGGGCGGAGTGTTTCTGACACCCTGTCCACCCTACATTATTGTTATACTTTTGATATAGTGGCTTCGTTGAGTTATAGGTTAAAAGGACATGGCTTAATAACTTGTTTTGTTAATGTTTTGATAATATCTTTTCACAGGACTGCATGAATAAATAAAATGTGCCAACTAACATTTGGCGATAATCGGCATTATCAAACAAGGAGGCATAATAAAGCTAAATGACTTTTCTTTGAGATTTTCGGAGGAAAAATCCAAAAAATTTGCTCAAAATCTGAAAAAATCCGCAAATCCGGACCCGAAAATAATACAAAAGCCCATCTCCCGGTGGGTATCTATAATTGTGGTTTTTGAGTCGCGGTTGAAAATTAAAATGGAAGCTGTTTTAGTGAGTTTAATAACTTTAATTGGATTTCTGGTATGAATAGAATTTCCATGGAGATACCAGATGATACAGGTCTCTGTATTGTGTTGGCTCAGTCATCTTTGGTTGTCACGGTAGCAATGTTTCCAGAACAACTGTTCTCCCCTACAAATTTCTTATTTCTGCCCTACAAAACAACCGCTACAGCCCCTATAAGGAATTTAAAAATCTTAATCTTCTTATTTCTATATTTTGAGGTTGTGGGGTTCGTGCGTGACACCTCTCAAGAAACATGAATTAGCACTTTACTCTTCAGATTCAGCATCTTTCGCTACTTACACTCTTTTTTTATAAGAACCAGTAAATTTAAGTTCAGGCTGACTGTTCTTAATTTTTTCGAAAATCTGAGGCTGGATTGTTCTTAATTTGTTCTTAAATTAAGAGGGTGTAAGCAGTGCAAGTGCTAGCTTTTTCGCTCTAGGGTGGTGTACAGGCCCATTTGCCAACAAAGTGAGTATTCACCGAAAAAGCACCCACACATCTCTAAAAATCCTAGATTTTGAGAAAAAACGTTGTTCAAAATTGCATTTTGCAGAAGCTCAGCCTCAGCTTGTTCTTAATTTGTTCTTAACATTTGACCAATTTTGAGGCTCGTGTTCTTATAAAATTGTTCTTATATAAAAAGAGTGTGCTCGGCAAACTTTATGGTTGGCTTAAATTTAAGAAATCAGCCTGGCATTGGAACACATCCCTGATTATGATATTAATCTAGAATGAATGTTGCTAGGCGTAGAACGTAGCTGCAGAAAGAGATTCTTCTTGTCTATTTCACCTAGTGCTGATAACAAAATATAGATCAGAGATCTTTTGCAGAACAGTTATTAAGCAATTCTACGGTGACCCATTAACCGCCACTCACTAATGCTAAACTTATTCGCATCCAAACAAAACTGCTCGCACAAATTCAAAACTGAATAATCTTAAAACCAACTGATTCTTACGGAACCGAAAACGGTTCAAAAGAAAACCAAGCGACTCGCAAAAAAACTGATATTATTGTGTGGCAGTTATGGGACACCGACCAAACCAAATAATTTTTATATTGTTCAGCTACATGACACTAGAAGAAAATGATCCAGGAGAAAGATGATGTTTAGTTTTCCCAGCCTACAAAACCATTTTTAGTTTTTTCTACCCAACGATGGTCTAGACAATTTTTTCCCCACCAAACCTAAAGCTTACAATTTGAAATATCAAAATCGAATGTAGCCTTGCCATCATTAAGTCTTTGCTGCAATTCCCAGTTAACTTTGACGGGACTGTAAGTTAATTCTGTCTGCTTTCTTCCCATGCTTGCCGAGGAGATTGTGTTCATCGAGGTATTTATTCAATTCCTCAACAGTTAGTCCATATAATTATCCCTTCATTACAACATCCAGCCAGTCATAGCCATGGACAGCCTTTCTGCTGCTCTCTTTATTGCTCTGATTTCTCTTGCAAACTTCAAATTGGTGAAATGCTGAAAAAGTGAGATAAAATTTCACTCATAGGCCGAAAACTGCTTTGCTAACAGTATAATCAAGGTAGACGGAATGAAATTTCCTTAGATAAACTGGCACTTTGAAGAACAAGAATTGTTTCTTCGTGTGGATAAGTTTGTTTTTCTCTCTGATTATTTTCATTTTTTCTGAATTCATGCAACTAAAACATGGTAAATTCGGCGGGTTCCATTCTTCTTAGTACACTGTCTCTTTGACGAAATTTGAAATTTCAGTTATTAAGTACAACTACTGAATAAAACTTTAGAAACCATGCTACGAGTTCTGGAGCAACGATTATATCCTGAGAAATAATTGATGTGTGTTTGCACACCTGTCAGCTGTTCCACTCCAAACTTCTTCCTTTCGTTCTTTGGGCCCTGGGTCGAGGCTTTTTCTTCGATATTCATTCTTGTGTGAAACTTCAGTCACCAGCGAAACGAGACTTAGGCCATCGTAACATTTTCTACGGGAAGGCCGCTGTAGCCTTTAGTTATTTTCTTATCATAATGGATGCGAAGGTGATCAATATGTGAATGTTTGGGAGCCAGAAGAAGCTCAGGTTATTTTGTCTGGGTTTCTCTTAAGAGTCGTATCGCTCCCGAAATATGACGATACCGGTTGCTGTTCATACCGTTTTCGGGACGGCGGTGATTGTTTTCATCGTCATTCTCGGTTCAGTCAATGGCGATATCCAGAAGACTGAAAAGATTGCCCTGAAGTAAGCTAGTTGCTTTTGCTCCTCAAATCATCTACACTCTGACTTTAAACTGTGTGATAAGATATGTGTTTTCAACTAACATATAACTGTTATTGTATTTTCTTCATTAACATTCATGAATCATGTTAACAAACTTTTAGTGACAAGGACGCCTAACCTGTCGACTTTATTTAGAGGAAAACGTATTTCCTGTTGTATCATGCTAGTAGTTGGTATGTATAATTTAGCAAAATAGTATTGCAGACAATTAAAAATATTTTCAACCACGCCACGTTAACTATACCTCGGCGACCTAAGTTTGACTTTATCATTTTATCTTGCTTATTGTAATTGTAATAGAAGAGGATGGAAAGCTCGCTTCTTCTCTTTCTTTATTGGTAAATATGCCACCAGCCTATTTTTATTTCAATCGCTTGTTAAGAATTTTGTCTTTATTTTGAAATTGTTTTTAACTGTTATTATTTGTTATTGTTACATTTTTTACTAGCTTTTTCATTTATCAAGCTATATATTAAACATTTACTGTGTAAACTTGACTGAAAAACGTTTTATAAATTACTTTGTATGCTATGCTAAAAATACATTTTACATAAACACAAAAAGCTTCTCGCTTTCTAAAAATTATCTATTTGTGTACTGTTTTTAGTATACAAAACAAAGTTTTAAGGTGCTCTGATTTTTCAGTTTTGATACTAAGCTGAAATTTGATTTAAAACCTTTATTTTGACACATTCAAAAACAAACAGAGGACTGATGTGAATTTAAACCTTTTTGTCTGAAATTTCTTAAATGTGAACAGCTCATAGATATTATGCATTTAAATCCTCTACAGACTTTCTGAAGCATTGTTTATAGCACCTCAAATTATGAATTTGTATTGCAGTCAATGTGAATTTAATGGCAATAGTAATTAGCATTGTCAATTTACACATGTGCATTTATTCTTTGCTGAGAATGACAGGTGTTGTTGTCAGGTTTTTTTAGATTTAATATCGAATCTATTGTGTCTCTCTTTTTTTCTAATTGGGACACTTTGTTCATCTATTAAACCTTTGCCTAAACTTATACTATGTTTAGTACTATATTTAATGTGTTCTTCTAATCTTTTTTGAAGCTGATTATATTTAACTTTTCTCAATAATGAGAGTTCCATCTTTTGGTCAAAGGCCCCATTCCATTCTTCATCCATCCAGAGTTAACAAAAGAGACTGAAAAAACATCAAGGATTTGTCTTACCTTGACAATGGAAACTTAATGATAAGTCTATTGTATAGCCCAACCAATGGGAATTTAAATGGCAATCAAATGCATTTGGATTTTTTTCCTTGAAATCTTTTGTTTTTTTGAAGAGCGCTTCATAGTTAGGGAGTGTTTTTTCTTAACCAATGTACTGTCACTCAGTTAAATTTTTTCTATTCTAGGGAGAGAGTAATAAAGATGTTCTACCATGCATATGATTCATATATGGTAAGAGTATATTACTGCAAATAATTACAGCATTGCTAGTTGGATCTTTAATGAAAATTGGATGGTAAACAACATGCATTACTATTAGTTGCACAATTAAGCAGAGCTGGCTATTGATGGCACACAATCACTTGTGAATATACTAGTCCCAAGATTGTTGTTTACATGACCCATGAAGTTGGTTTTTTGCTTAGGGCACTAGGTGCCTCTGTTACACCAAAGCACATAAATTTGTTGTGTCTCAATCACTAAATCGAGCATAGATTTCTTCCAAAACTTTATTCATTACATTGTAGAATTTACTTTAGGGTTTTGTCCCTCAGCTGATATTGATATGTTGAACATAAACATTGTTGAAAAGCACTTTGTCAAATTTCTAGGAAAGTTTTTGTTATTTTGTTTTTTCCTAGTATATAATATACAACAGTTCAGCTGATATTTTGAATATATCTTCCAAAGAGACTCAAATAGACACTCCAGATTAATCAATTATCTTGTTTCTACTTATCTTAAATGTCTAATTAGTTAAGGAAGTACTCTTTTTGATAATGAGATGTAATTAAACAGAAGATCGATCTTACTGTGCATATTTCCAAAGATAAGTTACTGAATGATACAACAATTCTATTTAGAAATATGCTTACCCTGCTGATGAGCTTATGCCACTGAGCTGTAAAGGGAGGTATCGAGGAAGTGAACCAGATAGAGGAGATATTGATGAGACTCTTGGAAAGTAAGTGTTCATCATTTATTTTGTTTATGGTTGATAAGGTGGTTTCGATAATGTCATGAATGGTTAGATGATAATATCGTGTACATTTATCAAAACTATGCAAGAAAAGCAATATAATATTTTTAAAATGTCATTTATGAATATCCAATCAATTAGCTTTCCAACTGCATCTCCGAATAATTTGCTGGATAATTTTATAATGAGATAAGACTTCATTGTTTCCCATGGACCAAGGACACATATAACAATGAAAGTCTGGTCTGAGAAGAAAAACTTTTGTCATATGTTTAACTATGATATGATATGTTTAAAACAATCCTTTCTTTTTCAGCTTTTCACTTACACTTATTGACACACTTGACACTTTAGCTGTAAGTATTTATCAGATATTATTGATTCTTTTTATCGATATGATATTTATGCAGCTGCTACTATTGTACTGTAATGCATAAAGATAGCTATTGACCCCTATAAATGTGACATAGCATTGATATACAGGCTTATTAGTCTTACACTGAACCTTATCAAGTAATAATGAAGTTAAAAGAGTAATTGCAGCTCAGTAAGTACTTTCATTACCGTCAGTGAATACAAAGTCAGCAATTCTGTTAACAAGTTATTTCATATGCATTCTTGCTGTTTGAAGCCTTTATGCCACCCTCATTTTGAGTTTTGAAAGAAACAAGTGTCTTGAAAATTCAAAAATTACTTTATTTTTGACATTTAGAAATGAGATACTGATACCCTAGATACACACCCTGTAAACCATACATTAGACAGCTTCATGAAAACTGTAATTCTATCATTTTTGCCCAAACAGAGGAGTTTTATCAATGATTGCTAGATCATAGAAGAGAAATTAAGCATTTGTTTTCATTATAACTTTTAGAATTTTTAGAGCACATTAATAATTTCGAATTTTTGTTACTTAGGTTCTTGGCAATATCAGTGAGTTTGAAAAGGCTGTAAAGTTGGTTATAAATGAAGTAACATTTGACACAGATGTTGTTGTATCTGTGTTTGAAACCAATATCCGTGTTTTAGGGTATGTAATTTTATTGTTATCTAGCTTAAAATGTTTCTGTGTTTATGGTACTCCTTTGGTTGGCCATGTTTTGTTCAAGAATATAGAAGTGCTTTTGCAAACAAACCAATCAATTTGATGCATTTTAAGATGTTAACAAAGATTGGATTAAGTTTATAAATTACTGGCCTTACACTGTTGAACTGAAGATATTGCCCAAGCTAATTTTAATGATTTTGAAATAGAGTAGGAATTAGGAAAAATTTGTTAAAGCTTGTCAATATTTTATCAAATGAAGTGTTAAAGGAATTTTGTTGTTTATTTGGTTCTCTGAACTGCCTCTATTATCACTACCAAAGCATTTTCTTTATCAAGAATCAAGTTTTATTATACTAATTGATTGCACATAATAGTGATAAAATATCATGCTAATGTAAAGTATACTAACTAAAAGCACACTAAATTTGTAGTACCAGAAACTTTGTTGTATACCAGAAAGTTATCTAATAATGTATATATTTTTTGTTACTTTAGTGGGCTACTTGGAGCCCATGTTGTTTCAGCGACCTTAAAACTAGAAGATAAAGGGATGCAATGGTACAATGGAGAGCTGCTTGACATGGCAGTTGATATTGCTGATAGATTGTTAGTTGCGTTTAACACAACCACTGGCATACCATACTCAAGGGTCAGTATAAATTACTAATGGAATTTTGAAGACATATATGTTTGGAATATGTTGGAATATTTTATATAAGTAAGGTTGCCTGTCTTTGCTTTCAATTTGAATCAAAACTGTTTTTAATTAGATTAGTATTCTTCAACTGACACTGTCATATTTTCCAGGTGAATCTTTTATATGGCATTCATCATCCCATGTCTCGAATTGTCAATGAAAAGGACACGTGTACTGCATGTGGTGGAACCATGATTATGGAGTTTGCAGCCTTGAGTCGACTGACTGGAAATCCGATTTATGAGGCAAGTGGACAGTTTTATGCAACACGTCATGAAAACTGTGTTAGCTGGCTTTACCACTGGAAAGTTGATGCTGCTTTCTTTTTAAAAAATCATGTGTAATTTCAGTTAAAGGTCACAAAACGGACAGCATGATTTGGGAACTAACTCGCTTTAGATGCAAACCATCATAGAATCGACGGAGTTCACAGAACGTTGGCTGCTCTGCAAAATAATTTAGACTCTTGAATATTCACAAATTTATTTACCTGTTATGTTTACTGACGTCCTTAGGGGCATAATCATTGAATTTTCCAGTCTTACCCCTATTTTTGTCGATAATCCATTATTTTCTTCTTCAAGTCAAAGTAATAGTCATGGACGAATCAATTAGCTAAATCAGCATTTCATACATGGAAAACGCATGCTACGTCTCTATATTTAGATATGTTCAATTCTATTTCTATTTCATGATCTTAATCTTTGTATAAAGTTTTATCTTTTATGTAAGATTCCTCGCGGGAAAATATAAGGAAGTATTTCATTTCAGGCCAAGGCCCGAAAAGCAATGGAGTCGATCTGGCATTTCCGCAGCCGCAGCAGTGACTTGGTTGGTACTGTCATTGATGTTCATAATGGGGACTGGATACGGAGAGGTTAGTATATAATAGCACTGTTGATCCTCTATTGCACAGCACCATACAAGTCTATGAATTGGGATATTGCGAGTAGGTTAACACTTTGTCGTTCTAAGTCACCTTTTATAAGCGCTCTTTTGTTTTTGTATATTTAAGTTTTACCAAAACGTATGAAAGTTTTATCTTACAATGCTATTAGGGAAAAGAAAGTCGGGGAATATATTTCGATATTTTTCATTTTTCAAGTACTTTAAGGGGTAACCCTTCGACATTATCATAGTTGGTTTTCAAAAAGCCAACAGGAAATTAGTTTTACAGTCAATACATATAACATATAATATATGATTATTTACAATGAAGTCTTAATCGTAAAATTGTGATAACGGCCTTAGGTAGGGGTAAATCATTCGTGCTTGTGAAAGGTAGGGGTAAATCATCGCTGGTATTGTGGAGAATACGGGATGAGTTACCGGATTTTCTTTTGGTATGGTCAGAAACATGTATACTTTTGTAGAATGAAGCGATGATTCTAGGAAGCTGTAAGCAAAAGACAAGGCATGTCCTTCCTTGTCAAATCGAATGCTTCTCCAGTACATGTTACTTATTATTTCAACTGTAATACAAATATCTTGTATTGTCACCAACACTTGTATTGTCAAAAACAGCACTTTGAAAACTTTGGTCAAATTTCAGATAGTGGAATTGGCGCAGGGATCGACTCGTACTATGAATATTGCCTGAAAGCTTACATCCTTCTTGGAGATACAACATACTTAGAAAAATTTAACAAGGTAAGGAAGGGTCTTTTTGTTAAATTAGTATCACAGCCATCAGATTAGCCAGAAAAACGTTGCTGGAACAATGCCAAGTCTTGCTTAAATGTTAGTTTTCGTTTAGCTGAATAAGGTTTTATGGCTATTTTATCTAGGAAAAATTCACAAGAAAAGAGTTGAGTGCTAATATATATTAGACATTCGGTACTACAGGGCTTGCGACGTGCTTTTCAAAATGCATGACCTATCAAATTCTAGCAAGTTGCAATATGATATAGAAATTGATATAAAAACATGTGGAATCGTCAAATGTCCACCACTTTGATCTGTGCACTGATTCTTAAAATGAGAGACATTAATCACTGTTAACGATGGTAAATTGCGAAGATATCCCTTTCTTATACACCTAAAATCAGCCCACATCGTACAGTGGCATATCTAAGATACAGATGCTGTTACTGTCTATACTCAATCAATAAGCGATTTCACAGTTTTTGCCGCCATTATGAATTGGCAAAAATGGCGGACACGCAGCAAACGAGTAAACAACCACAAAATTTCCAGTCAATTTTGTAGCTAGAATTGCTGATAAAATTAGAAAGTAATCAGCTTAATTAGAATTTAAATGTTCCTTTTTTACAATTAGCAACTCACAAACAGCGTTCCTTGTTGTTTTTCTTGTGATTTCACTACTGACTTTGACCAGGCTGAGATCAGTCCCCTTTGACCTCTCGTACAAAAACTTCCGCTTTTCGATTCAAACCTTAGCGAAACTCGTTATTTCTAGCCTGTTTTCAACCATCTTGGGTTGTTTTCAACTAGCCTGTTTTCAACCAACATAGAAAAGTATGCATCCTCGACACACTCTTATTATCTTTGCAGCACTACGCGGCCATCAACAAATACATTCGACAAGGTGTTATGATGCTGGATGTCTTAATGCACCAGCCTGATCGTCCAATCCGTTCTTTCGTTGATTCTCTTCAAGCGTTTTGGCCAGGTCTTCAGGTATCCATCAATATGTTGTGTTTGCTTATGACACCATTCTAACTATATATATTCTAGTATTTTCATCAGTTGGGTCCTTCATCGTTACCGACATTACTAATCCGACTTTGAGATATCACCAGACCTTCATGTTACTTCTGAAACTTTTTCAAGTGGTTGTATATGTATTTTTATATATGGAAAACATAAAAATCGCAAAACCACGATATTTTGGACTCTTCTTACAATTATACACAATCCCTTACACTCAAAATAAAGTAAAATTTGATAACAACGGTTCATTATTGATCAGTTTGTTTTATCATCTTGCTCGTAGATCCTGTTAATAAGTTGTTTGTCTGCAACCGAGCATCAACTCAGTTTGCAACTAAAAGAAAATTCCTCATAATTGAAAGCATACAATTCATTTCATTACACTCAACTCTGTTTTTTCAAGGTTCTGATGGGAGACTTGAAGCCAGCCATTGAAACACACGAAATGCTATACGAAGTTGCTAAGCGACATAAATTTATTCCTGAGGTATCTGCTTGTTTACTGTTTATCTCCACTGTGCGTAGGAACTGTTTATCCATAGGATAAAATCGCCCCCTCCCCTCATCGGTGCCAAAAAGACATACCTGCGATAACTTAACACGAGGGAAGATCTCTAGTTGTACGATAAATCATTGGCTTTATAAGTGTTTCTTTTGCCTAGATTGAAATATGGTCTTCAAGTCCCAACGGCTCTACCATTGCAAATATAAACACTTCTCTGGTAGCTCTTGTTAATGAAGCTCGATCTAAGCTAGATTAACTATCATTTGGCGACACTGTTTGGTACCATGTCTTACCCCATCTACGAATGCATTATGCCTTGGTTTGAACTGTGTAAATATAGGCCAGTAAATGGCTGGCAGATGATTTTTACAATGTTGCTTATGGATGAATCTAGCGAGGTTTGTTTGAATAAAAAACATATATGCTCTAAGAGACTCTGAAGACCCCACGCTCCATATTCAAACCTCCTGCTCCATCGACGAAAAAGGTCGATGATTTCAAAATTCACTATTTTCCAGCAGTCCCTTTGCATAGTACTTTAGCGGAAGGATAGGCCAAACGCCGTTTATTTTAATCCTCTCGTTTATTACCGATTTAAGAGTGGGTTTAACGGTATGTGCTTGTATTTGAAGAACCTTCGACAAATTTGTTTTTTTGGCTTTTCAGCTGAAAACAATCTTTGAATTTTTATCTACATTTTTCCAAACCAGGCCTTCACTACAAATTTCGATTTGTACTGGTCACAGCATCCATTGAGACCAGAATTTGCTGAAAGCACATATTTTCTTTTTGAGGTAAAGCAATGTTGTTATTTTTCAATCACTTCTTAAATGACCTACTTCTTAAAGTCTCTTATCCGCCAACAATATATCTAAATTGACAGTGGGCAGTAAAGCCAGTGTAAGATCTTAAGAATAAAGAACAAATATTACTTATACCACGTTGAATAGGCCACACATATAAGCAGATTAGGGCTGCGAGAAGCTTGTGCATCGCCCTTTGTGAGATAAGCTCATGAAATCTCGATTAGATGTTGGATCTGATGAAGGATACATGTTTCTCGGTTTCAATTCTTGACAAAAGGGCTTAAAACTACCCACACAGATTTGAATGAAGATTATCTCTTTTGTAACTGACAATTTATGTACCTGCAGGCTAAGCATTATTTCGTTTCTCGTTTTTGGGACGGACCATTTTGCCTAAATGCTCTTTTTCCATGTGTAGTATCGCTTAATTTTCTGCCTTTATATTGCACAGTACTATCATCAATAGACACTTGCCACTTTCAAGTACCCTTTACAATCCCACCGCGGATATCGCTCCATTGCTAAATGCCACGCTGTCTACACCCCAGGCATGTTTCACAATTTTCACTGTATTTTATGCGTCATTTACTAGGCAACCAAAGACCCATACTATTTAGAAGTTGGCAAGCACATAGTTGAGACTTTGGAAGAGCATGCAAAGGTTGAATGTGGATTTGCAGCAATAAAAGACTTAAGAACGTTCACACACGAGGACAAGTAATTCTCTCATATTTTTATCCTGTCTTAAGATTTAAGGCTTGTCTAATACGTTGCTATAGAAAAAGTTTCAATGGCTGAATTAATTTGAAAAAATTATTTTAGATATGGACAAAAATGCCAAATGTATGGTTTATCATTGCTTTCTTTGGTGCCTTTCTCTTAAGTTAGATTGATTTCACCCGATGTCTCAAAATTTAGCAAACTATGTTATTAGATGCGATCTCGTGATTTATTCAACAAAACACTTGACGAAATATGACAGCTATGATATCACAATGGGCAGAGCTGGATTCGTAGGTGGGCGAGGGGTGTGAATCCCACATCTCCGAGCTGGAAATTTTTCCGAACCTCCAGTTATTTCAAAGTTACCCGAACATAAGTTTCCAACCACTTGTTTGTTTCACTTGGAACATCAAATAGCTACGAGTCCACTGATGTAGATATCTAATTTCATCTGTTAGTTGTTTGTATCTTATTATAATAGTTATAAACATTTATGATTCTATTTTTTGTAGAATGGATTCCTACGTGCTTGCTGAAACTTTCAAATATTTGTATCTGCTCTTTTCCGAAGATTCTGATCGTATTTTGAACATTCATAATTTTGTGTTCACAACTGAAGCTCATTTGCTGCCACTAAGTTTGGGAAATGTCAAATTTGAAAGAAATAAAGCCCATTTTGACAAGGTTTGTTGAATTCTTCAAGATTTATTCTAAGCGATAGTTGGTGGATGCTAAGCTTATACCTTTTTCGCCATTAATTCAATGAACGGATTTGTTTTGGTAACTTTTCAAAAAATAAATTTTTTATCAGGTTTTTTCGCTGGTACTCAGATACAAGCCAGATTGTAACATTCAAACTTTTTCATTTTATTGATCTGAGGTTTTGAATAAACAGATGGCTCTGAGTCAGACTCTTTTTAAACCCCTTATCTTACACCATCTTAAAGTCCGTTCTGCAGACTTGAAGATAGAATTAGCAGAAACTGCAAATTATCATTATTAACTTTATATTTTTACATCATATCCGTTAAACTACAAAACTGAAAATGTTTCATTAATTTGTATTGGCTAACAATTTGGTTTGTGCAAAGATTTGGCCCAAGCTAAGTTCCTGTCTCCTAATTCTTTACTTTTGTGTCGTTTTCCAGAATGAGACAAAGGTGAAAACTCAAAAGTCGGCTGGGGAGGAGAAAGAGCTGCAGTCTACATGTCCTAACGATGCAAAAGACAGGTTCAGCATGCGCGAATTTGCAAGAATTGTGCGCAAAGGCTACAAAAAGCCAGCAACTGTATCCCCAATGTGTGCATCTAATCCCGAGTCAAAACAGCCCGACATAACTTTAAGCTATGACCCAAACAGGTAAGAATTGTATTGTTCTTTCATTCTTGTAGCGAATTTATATTGTTGGTTGTAGAATTCAAGAATTGCACCCCTCTTCTTATGTTGTATTCCTGGAAGCATCTTGAATACATCCTAGGGTAATAGCCACTTTGGTTAGGAGCACCCCTAGCCTACCATACATCTTATCAAGACGATTAAACATGAAGACCAAACCCTAGCCCGTTGGATAAAAAACAAGTGTAGATTGTCTGGGTTGTTAAGAAGCAGGCTTCAGGCATAAGGGCGGGAACGCTGTCCACCAGCCTGCCACTTTAATTAAGAAACTTTTTTGTAAATCGCTAATGCTCCCCTATAGCGTGATTTTGATTCTGTATTTTTAGTAAATGTTTTAAGTCATGTGCCCAGCAGTTTCCCACGCCTCTTTCAGGGTTTGTGCGCTACTATTCCAAACACCTGTGCTAGAAGAATTGAAACTTTTAAGATGCTATTATGAATTATTGCCTAAACTATTGCCTAAAGTTAAGTTAGAATTAGATATTTATTAATGTTTAACAACGTTGTTTACACTTTATTTTCAGGGAGCCTAAACTTCGTGCTGAGCACTTTCAGGTTGGCAACACTGATCATCTTCAGTTATTGAAAGAAATGGGAATCAATGTGCTCCAAACAAATGACGGAAAAGTCCAGCTAATCCACCAAGCTGGAACGGTAAGTTCGGATTTCTGCAGTAAGTAACTAACAATGTATATCTAACAATGTGTATCTTTTAATTTCATTTGGTATATCAACCAGAAACTTGCAAATGCTTGTCGACTTCTTGATTAATTTTGTGTTATTTTCTACTTTTCTGTGTTGAAAATGATGTTTAAAACCTTCTACTTTGAACTACTTGCTGCTTGCAAGTCATGCTTTCAATTCAAGTCTACTTTTCTGACAATGCCTGGTTGCAAATTAAGTTTGTTTAGGAAAATTTGATTGCCTTAGTCCTTATCCTTTGTAACTTTAGTGTCAAATATCATAACACTTACCAGATAAATTTCACCAGTTATTTAAAAAACACGATTAGAAAGAGAGAATATCGAACGATTAGAGGAATAAACTTTGAATTCTAGGCTGCTTGTTTTTTCTCGAGATAAAAACATGGTGTAACAGCTTTAAATGGCCATGACTGTTGTAGCATCTTCGTGCAGCAGATGCTATGTTCAGTAAAGCTAGGTTAAGCCAGCTTGTTAATATAAACGTCGATAAAAGCACAAAAATAACATTGCTTAGACAGATAATATCTTTAGTAACACTATCCCTTTTTATAATTCATAAAATTCACCTGCAACAATTTCAGGTTTTTGCTTTCTAATGACAGTCCCAGCAGAAAGGGCTGATGGTTTGTTTACATGATATGTTTGAAGCTATTTCCTGCCTGTGTTGAATCATAATATCATAATAATCTGTATATTTTGTTATTATTATTCTCAATATAAATTATTCTTTGCACAGGCTGCAACCGCTGAAGATGCAGCAGATGGCATCAGATTCATGCAGGACATGATTCAAGTGTCGAAAAATAGAGGATTTGAACAAAGTACCATTTTAGATTTTTTTGCACACTTATCCAAATATCACTAGCAGCTAATGGAACATATCGAATAAATGCGCGAAATTAAACATGGGTTTATGAGAATTTTTTTCATTAAGATCTAAACTTCACTTGATTGTGAAAATAAACTTAAAGTCGTTTTTTTCAGTCATTCGCTCAAAGTAATTATTGTTTTGTACCCACTGTTTCATTTCCTATGAAGGGAAGCATGTTCTCGTAGGATTCAACAACATCAAACAATTAAGAAACATAACTTTAATTTTCAGACTCAGCAGCAAAGCCTCGAGTGGTTCAGTTATTGTCTCCTCCCTTCAACGGTGAGGTCTATTACGGTGCCGGTGCCGCTCAGTTTGGACTGGACATATCGATTCATCCTGGGGTATGTCTCTTTCTACACATTAACACATATTTTGTTGTTTCTTCGCAACACTGTAAAAAGGCGATGACTACCGTAATCGATGGTTGCATGCGCGGTCTTTGTCGTAAAGAAGTTTGCACAAAAAAGAAACTACAATCACTGCCAAAATTACTTGGAACAACCAACGTTTTGCGCTGTGCTTTTTTCTATTTTCCATTTGTTTTCCCGAATACTACTACTTTGGTTCCCTTTTCTCCCCAGAACAATGTTGGAAGTATAGAAAAATATCAAACGAGCATACTCCATAACCCCTTCTTTTTTCTATAGTAATCAATATTTTTCCTAGGGGGGAGGGGGATTGCTGAACTAAACTTGAAAACTGGCGTTAGTGTTCCAAGATGTTTGGCAGAGAGTCTAGTTAGGTTTTTGATATATCTGCAAAATTTATATAGCTGACGAGCAATTGCAAGTTATATTTTTCATTTTATCATCTTGTGTTTATAACTTGATATTAAACTAATTTATTTTCCTTTAACGCTTTGCTTAGGTAACTGGAGAGGTTGAAGAAGCTACTCCATTTAATGCTTGTAGCGAGATAGAAAACAAGGACGACTTTGAAGGCCGCATTGTGATTGCGCAGAGAGGAGGTTGCATGTTCATTGATAAGGTACAAGATTAGTTTGAATTCAGTATGTGTCATTATTGCTAGTACACCCCTGGTCTTTATATGCTTTTTCACGAACTTGTGATATACGTAAGACTGAAAAGCGGTAAAACACTGTTGTTGTTTTCTGTATCAACTTAACAACATTGTGGTTCTTCAACATAGACTCTTTTTCTCGTTGTTCAGGTACGACGGGTTCAAAGCCTTGGTGCTGTTGGAGTCATTATCATTGGTAACTTTCATTAAATATCATTATTTTTTATTCATTCTCCACAGTTAGAGTAAAAATTTCGCCAGGCGGGGCTATTTTATATCAAAGTTAAAAGGCAGTGTTTAGTTAGCGTGGAAAAATTTGACTGGATTTTTACATTTTGGCAGCAAATATTTTCAATGTACCATTCAGATATTTGTATGAATCGTGAATTATGATTCTTAAGATTAATCATTATAATTATAGCAAACAGATTATTGATCGAAATCATAATTTTTTGACAGCTTGTATTTCTTTACCAAACTTTCTAAGTATGCTTTTGCGAATTTTAAACAGTTGTGGTCTATCGTGGATTTTCACAATGTTACCTTTAATACCACCTGTACTGCCATCGTACTTATTGATATATCATCCATAGTTTTGGTCTACGCTGTATTTTCCAGTCTTCTAGTCTGTACACGTGACTTTTTTAGAATTATAAAGTCATTTTTTATTGTATGGCACTAAATTTTATGTTCATGGCCTTGATCTGCCATAAATCAAAGAGCTACATTATTTGTTTGCGCAATGAAAACGATTAGCGTCCTCCTTGTATTTTATTTTCACCAAGGATTGTTGTGTATTACTTTATTGGTTTCCTTCGTTTTCAGATAACAACGAAAACACATCCGTTGATCAGCCTTTATTCGCCATGAGTGGTGACAGCCATTCTGAAGATGTCTCAATTCCATCTGTGTTTCTCTTCCGCAAAGAAGGAGATGTGCTCAGACAATATGCAAAGGAATCCATCGAAAAGAACAATATTCGCCTAAGGGTTCGTCTTGCTGGAAAACCTAAGAAAAAAGGTTTTAAATTTTAACTTTACTGACATACTTTTCACTCTTAATTCTATTCATACTTATTTGTCAGTATTTCAGTTGGGTATCATCATGATATAAAGATTTTTCTAACTTAAGAGATATAATTCCTGTTATTTTGCTTCTCACCTTTTACAAATTGGCTCCGAGCAATGATGATAGGAACTTTTAGAATTTCTTTTTTTCCTTATTTCTGAGCAAACTATATTAAATTTGATTTCGAAGTAAGCAAACACAGCCTAACCCCCCCCCCCCTTCCTCGAGCCTCTTCAGTTCAGCTTGTCCCAGATTTTCACGCCCAAATCCTCATATTTTTCTACGTTTCTCTGCTATAGGCTGTTCTTTCCAATACCTTCCCACCATTTCAGCATGAAGAATTTTACAATTTAAATAATTTTTTCACTACTGATCTTTCTATTATTTTCATCAATTCATAAACCAGTGATAGTGACAAATTGCTTAGAACGCTGTCTTTAAAATGCTTTCATATTTTTGCATCCTCACTGCATAGGAACAGTAGTCGATTTGAAATCATACTGAGAATCAATGCAAACTCTTCTAGAAATTTATGTTTTGAAACATAAGATTTAAGACCTACCAATGTTTTACTTAGATAAATCTACCGAACTCCATACCTACTCATTACAGTTGCCTGATGATTGCATAAGGCGTAAAACTCGGAGTCGCAACTTAGAACTGTCCTGTTCTATACACAAAATAGCAAGCACCGCTTTGCCTATACGGCATCATTTATGACAGACCAGTAAACAGTAATTTTCAGATCAACATACCTAGATAAGATATAAAGACAGGCAAATTGATGATATAAACAGACAAAGAGTGCCTTTATTGTTTTAGAAAGTAATTTGTTCAAGGTCAAATTGATATTCTAAGATCAAAATTGTATTTCAGAGCAATCTGAATCAGGTAAAGAAGGAGGCCAAGCTGCTTCAACGGGAGACTCAGATGAGAAGAGTAAGGAAAAGACGATCGAGGAATTTTTGAATGACACTGAAACTCCTTCTCAGATGAAAACAGCTGACACCAGAGTTGATTCGACTGAGGTACAAGATGAGAACAAAACAATCCAAGATCATGTTCTGGATAGAATGGAATCGTCAATGGAAAAAAAGCCCAAAGTTGTCACAGTTGATGGCCAAAAAGTAAGTTGATTTGTTCTCATTTCTTGTTCCTTTGCTCATTTGTCATTGTCCTTTTCCCCTCTCTGTCTCCCCCTTCATTTTTCTATATCATAAAAATACATTAAAGACAATTTTCTGACAGTCAACAATTGTCTTGAATTATTTAACTCGATCGAGTCATTTCTATTTTTAAAAAAGTTTCATTTCAAGATATTTAGGATTATATTTGTTAAATCTCACAATGATTTTCAATGGGCCTGTTAATGCTTAGAGTCGTTAATTAGGGATGTGGGCTGGATTCTTAGAAGACCATTTGATGACTTTGTTGTCGATTGGATCACTGTCTGCGTTTTGTCATTAAAGGCGTGCCTTTTTTCAGATCAAGACTCAAGTTGAAACTCACATCGGCAAAAATGAAGATGGAAAAATAGTTACTTACGAGACAACGTTTACTACTTATGAAGGCAAGGATGAGGCGGATCACAGGAGCGAGGTGCGCGTGGTGACTAGGATTATCCCTTTTAAGGAAAATTCATTAGAAATTGACAAAGACCGTCTTAGTAATGTGGAAAAGGGCGATGTTGAGAAAGTTATGGACTCTCACAATGTCGAGAAGGGAAGTAGCGAAGAACAGAAGAGGGAGACTGGGGAAGAAGAAGGTGGCAATAATATGCTGGAGGCACATGATGTTGGAAATGAGAATGATTTCGACAAAAGAGAGTCTAAAGTATTGGGTGATGTCAAACAAAATTCTAATAGTGTTTCTGAAATTGGAAAGGCACCCGAAAAAGGAGATACGGGTCTTAAAGATGTTAATGAAGGTAAGGAGGGACACTTGCAAAGAGTAGGTCAGCGAAAACACGACGCTGTCAATAACGCAAACGCCGCAAAGGATATAACTGCTGATGAAGAGAAAGGTAATATTGAGTCCAAGGGTGAAAATGATGAGAATGTTGATAGGAAGGAGCCGTTCATTTGCACAGGTGCTGGGTGCTTTTCTTCAGTTGAACAACTTGAGATGTTTTCTAAACTGGCTTTGAAAGTACGCAGTGATTTGGAGAAACTAGAAGCCGCGGAAATGGAGCAGAGCTCAACTGAAAACGCGGCTTTAAAGTCATCGGAGGACATTGGGAAAACAGATACAGTGGATAGTGATAATAACTCAAATTCACATATAAAATCAAACCCATCGGGCAGGTAGTACATGGCTATTTAAGCATTTTTAAACAAATTTATTAATGAATCAATGCTCAGCGAATTTGTTGATGCAGTTTAAATGCCAACCTGAGCCCCCTACCCCATATAGGCGATGTATTCAATGCATGGCACATTCATGGGAATTTTCAGTTCCATCAGGAAGAGCATTTAAAAGATATAGTTGTTCCGCATCCTATAATGTTTCCAATACGTACAGCACCCGTTGGTGTTAGATCCTTTCTTGCTCTTTAGCATAGATATGCTCACCTTCCAGAAATTTCGCATTTGAGCTGCATGCTGAGACTAACAGTATTTGTTAATACGGGCTAAGCAAATGTAACAAAAACTGTCGTTATAATCAGATTAAGAATATCAATGTTTTACGAAGAGTTTGAAAGACATAAGCTTTTGCTTATAAAAATTAATGGCTAAATGTATTTGGTCCTAAATAGTCTATGTTTATACAGTAATACGTGTGCAGCTTTCGGTAATGCTGCTATCTTTAAGAGTGTTTATAAATTAGCACTGTAACTGAATTATGGATCCAATACATCAAGTGGGTATTTTGCCTCTTTATTTTCTTTTAGTTTCAGGCTGTGCCCTTGCTAATTAACACACATCCTCCTTGTAATCGAGAATGTTTGTTTCACAAATATCCCCCTATTTTAAAACTGAAAGCTATTCCCCCCCCCTCCAAGTAAGTACATATATTTATAGATCAGTTTTATCTTCAGTTGCAAGGCCATGCATGAAAGTAATCTGTATACTTACTCTTGCATCCTTTAGCTTTGTGTAGGTGGTTTTCTTTTATCACGTGCCATAGATCATGAATGACCACGTTTCTTTTCCAATAGCTCCAGCTCGTTACTGAAATGTAATTTTTTAAGCTATTTAAGATTTTTGACATGTTTTGTTGAAGTTTCTATCTTGTATGCTATTACGTGACGTCAAAGCTAATGAAATCAGTTTGATGTGTTACTGATAGGGAACATTGTAAGCCCTGGAATAATTAACTGTGAATGCCCATAAAATGGAAATAAGCAAAAGCTAGCTCGGACTAGAGCAATTTGTTTTAAATATTGCGAGGAAAGCAAAAACCGAGTGCTGGGTCATTGCCAGATTACTACAGTGTGTTAAAATGTTTTTACTTCCCTCCTGACTAAGGAAATAAAAGAAAACCTCTCGAGTATATATTTCTTCGAATTATATTTACACCTGATGTTTGAAGTTAAATTTTTTATTTTATTATAGCCATAGATCGATTTATTTCTTCACTTAATGTGAAACTGAATTTCATACAGAAATTATAAGATTTGTGCTCTGTAATTTTGAAGATATGAATTGAATGTTTGCCTACACTTGTATTTTTGTCTTTTCTCTTGTTCTTCTCCTGCTATTTTGAGAACATGGAGATCGTGGTTAGAAGAACAGGAAGTTTATCGATTCGTTGACATTGTTGCTTGCTCTTCATAGTTCAAGAGAAAATTTGTGTTGCAAGCAGACGCCGAGCAATAAAGCCTGACTAACCCCTTTATTCCAGTATGGTTTAGCCCGACAATGTCTTGTTCAGGCTTTCGTGACATTTTTGGCTTACTGGGACATTACTTTCAAAATGGCTGATATCAATAAAAGCAAGTGGTTGCTACTGCTCTTATGCCAGAAACATCTTTTGCAGAAGTAAGATGGATACCCCAAAGAGATTTTGATAAGACCTTTACTAGTGTTCAGTGCTGTTGCAAATAAATCTCATTAGAGGAAGGGTACAGGAAAAAAGATTAGCCGCAAGATGGGCGTGGCATTTTTCTGTAGATGTGGCCTTAGAATCGAATTCTCGTTGAAGAAGAGATCTGCTAGATTTGACAACAACTGAGAACAAATTTTGCTTTTCACTTCGAATGAACAGTTGGTGCACAGGAAGGAGTTAACACTGTAATTTTAATTTTATCCCTTATTCTTTATAAATTTTAAACTACTGGCCCAGTTCTGTCAAAGCGAAGATGCTATGATGCGAAGGAGCTAACGGAAGTCGACAGGAATCTTGTTTCATTCAATTGTGACAGACAAAAAAGACTAACTTGAAAGCGGAAAATGAGGAAAAGTTGGAGTCATGAATGTATATTTAATCTTTCCCAATAACTGCTCCATGAGTGCTCAGAAAAAATAAGTTTAGCGATGGAGGACATTCACCAGGTAAGTATGATATTGCAAATTTTAGGCTTAGGCCCATCAATTTTTACGTTGTATCCAGATGCAAATCAAATCAAACTTTTTGATTCAGCAACAAACGTACAAGTATTCCTATGAACACCCTTAAAGCTCGATAAAAACGGCATTATTTTACATTGTTAGAGACTTTGTTTTCATCTGTTGTCTCCAGTCTCAAGGGCAAGTATGTAGCAGCATCAAAACACCAGCTGTGCATATAAACAAGTGTTCATACATTAACATAGACAAAAAACCAGTCTAAGTATCTTCAAATTGTTTAAGGTTGCCTGAAGTTTTCAGTGGACATGATAATTTTCCTAAAGTTAAATTAAACATTCCTTATGACAAGAATTTGTTTAGAAAAAGAAACATGTTTAATGTTTTTTAGTTTTTTCATTTATCAGGGATGGCTAGACATATCTGCTAGCAAAACAAGCTCTAAAGGTTGGTTAAAAAAGACAATCACTAAGCCATGGAAGAAAAAGTATTTTGTCTTAAGAAGAGATGAACAAAACAGAGATAAAATTTTGCTAATGGCTTTTGATAAAGAGGATAACATTTCAAAGCAGAAACCAAAGAAGGTACTTGATCTTTTTCCAAAGTATCAAGTCGCCAAAAGGACAGGTCTCAAAGGAAGAGAATTTGCATTCCAAGTAAGCAATGAAACAGAAAACTGGTTTTTGGCAGCCAAAAACCAAAAGATTTTGGATCTCTGGGTCATTCAGATACAAATGCAAACAAAGCTAAGCTATTCAATTACAGGTTTGTTTTTTCTTCTTCACATAGCTTCAAGTAGCTTTCTACTCTTCATTCAGTCAACCCAAGCATTGTACACAGCTTTGTAAGTAAGAACGACAGTCTTAAATCAAGTTCCCTTAAACCGTTTAGCCCACAAGCAGGGCCAGATTGGGAAGAGGTTATGACGAAGATTGAGATTGTCACCCATACATAAAAATATTTTCAAGTTTATTATAATAATTAATTAGAATAATTAAAAGTTTTGCCTTTAATGCTCCTAAATTTGCTGCAACTTTCAAATGACTTGGTTAAATTTGGATGTATTCTCTAACCTTGTACACTGTTATTTTAATAAAATTCAAGTGCCATTTTCATACGATAGATAGCGTTTAATAAATTATTCAAACGATACAATAAACAATCTATGCCTGCAGATGTGCATTTGGCTTTCCAATTACGAAAACCTTGGGATGCTCTCCCCTACACCCCAGTAAGATACATAGTAATGGTAATAGGGGCTTATCAGTATGTAGAAGTTCCCTTAGGCTTCATTCACACTCCTCCCTAATTTTCATTGTGAAGAATTGTCATTGCATGGCCAAAAATTATCAGAATAATTTTCACATTGACTAGAATAATTTTTAACAATTTTATCTCAAAGTGGTCAATAATACTTCCAGGTGAAGTATATTACAATTGATAACAAATAATAAGTTGATTGAAGATTTTGTGGTTAAATCCTTAAAATTGGAAAATTGATTTGAAGAAAAGCATAAAATTTTATGTTTAACTGTTGTTTATAATAAAGGCTTCTACAGGGCCCAGAATTTTTTGTATTGTTAGTGCTCTTCTATTATGAAAAAATGTGTTTTGGATATTATGCTCTTTTCTGCTTCTGTAATGCAGGGATTTATCTATTTCAGGACCGGCTTTCAATGTAAAAGCAGCTAACACAAAACAACTGCAAAGAATTGGAGCAAAAGACCAGCCATGTCTGCTTCATTTTTCAAAATGGGGACTTACTTTGGCTTTGCAAGAATCAAGATCAGTGCTTGCACTATGGCCTTTAGATACAATCAGGAACTATGAGTGCACTGGTACATGCCAGTTCATCTTTGAGGCAGGGAGAAGGTCTCCAATGGGTGAAGGGAAATATGCTTTTTTCACATATGAAGGAGAGGATGAGAAAATGTTCAATGCTATTGATGCTTTTGTGTCAGCAAGGCTGGCGGCTAAGGCTGACTTGACACCTGCAGGTAGCAGACCTGAAGTGACTGATGATGACATAGTGCTTGCATATGATAAACTGCATTCTTCTATACTCGGAGAGCTAACAAATGATGCTTTTGAAGGTGAGTCTTCACATATAAATGTGCATTATTAATTTTAATGAGCTAGCTAAACAATTTTTGCTTGAATAAGACACAAAAATAATGGCAGCTAAGAGAAAAAAACTAAATATTCTTACGTTCATATTTTTCAGTAATAAAAGTCTCAAAAATGGGAATAATTGTTGCAAATGTTTTTCAGTTATTCCATATAATGCCAGAACGCAACATTCTTGATGTTTGTTTTACGTTGTTGTTTGAAATGCAGAAATCAACTTGATTTAATGCATTTCAACAACATAATGAAGCAGAGACAGCGTTTTTATTTCAGGTTAACAACAAGAAAAGTGATTAATGTGAGCCAATTAGAGATAAATTTATTTGATAGTCCTATTTGTTTTTTCCAAGATAATGCAGATTATTCAAGGCTTTCCCACCAAGGTTCAAGTAAACCAATGGCAGTCTCTTTTGACCGCCCTCCATCATATGACCATTTGACAAGAATGGGAGACATTAGGCCCATACCAGATGATCTGGACAGCTGTCCTCCAAGCTCGTATGATCAACTGAATAGAACAGGTAGCTGGGGCTATAAAGACATGGTAGATGAGGCTGGATATAATTTCATCGATAGGCCAGACAAAGGTCCCTCCAACAATTATGACCATCTTGACCAGTGTATTGCAGACCAAGCAGCCCAGGTAATGATTACCAATATTTGGGATTAATTTACTTGAAATGCTTATGAAAAACGTATTTGCAAAGGAATGAAGTGAAAGTTTTGTTTTTCTATCAATAATATAATCTAAATTTTTTTAGGAAATCTTTTGGTCAGAAGGTTTTTCAGTACATTCATAATGCCAACAAACCAAAATCTGGTAGTGTTGTAGCGCTTGGGGGCCATGGAAAATGATGCCATGCATTATTTGTAAAGAGCACCATGCTTTTGCCTGGTGCAAGAACAACAGCATAAGGCACAGAAACCATAAGATTTATTGGCCAAAAATATGGCAAAAGCTGCCCACTGAAATTAAAGAGTCCCAGTCACTATATATTTTTAAACGAAACATTAAATCTTTAAAAAACTTCGAGTGCAGCTGTAGATTGTAAAAAACATTCATTGTACATTTAGACTTCTTATAAAGAATTACTTTTCATATTCATGGTAAATAGTTGGCTTATATAAGCTTAATGCCAGATCTCGTTGCCAACTGTAAATAGATTATTTATTATTATTTTTCAATATTTTACATTATTCAGGGTTGCTAATATTTACAACTGTGCTGATGTATTGGAAAACTGCAGGATAAACCATAAAGAAAAAACGTTTCATGGAGGCTTATGAGCAACAACTGTCTATACATTTTAAGTTAATCAATTGTTTGCTAAGCAGCGAGCACAAAACTCTGTTATAAAAGTTGGCTCGTTGATGGTTAATGTATAACTCTTCTGTTTAATAAATGCACTGGAATGATATGTTCACTGTGGGGGAGGTACCATAGATGGTTGAAACAATACAATTTCTTGATTTTTTATTATTTTTCCAGAGGCCTGGTCATTTTGCTCGCCTCCCGAGTGCAGATAGTGAACCTGGCAAGTCTTTCGGAGCATGGCCGCTTTCAAGACATGAACCATCGGTCCCAAACCTCCCTGAGCGCTCGCATAATCCCAACGATGACAGTTTTCTGAGTGAACGTTGTGATAGCCTCTCATCTGCAACTGATCAAATGGCATGCTTGAGTACATCTAGCCCACCTGACCAAGATGCATTTCAGTCTCGGCAAAACAGCACCGGTGGCCGAAAGCAAAGGAGGACGACCGGAGAACGAACTGCCCTGTCGTCTTCCCTGCAAGATGAGCCACCGCCTCTCCCTTCACCCAGGGCAAAATCTTCAAATGTAAACGGGCCTGTTATCTCCAAACCTGTACCAAAGCCTGGTGATGTTCTCGTGAAAAGGAGTTTGTCAAATCAAGAGTCTGAATACCAAAATACATGAATAAAGCACCTTATCTTTTAAACGATAAAAGAAGAAATGGGGTTTAATGGAAAAGAGTTAAACTGCTTGCATCTACCTGTCATCATTTAGTTTTTACAAAACTATCAAAACTACGCTTTACTTTAAAAAGTATTGGAGCACTTAGGCAAACTAATTATGGCGTGGTATTTGGTTAATCTTCGCAACGGAAGTTTGTATAGAAGAGGGATTCATTCTTTATGCAATCTGGATCTATGCATCCTCATAAATTGCTGGCAAGTTGGTAAAAAACCTTCTCTCTGGAATTGTAACCCGAAAACCATAGGACTCTTACGAATTAACTGAAAATTTTTTAAGTATATGGTCGTGATTGCTGCAATTTTCAACAACCTTTCTCGTTTCCCCAGCTTCTTGTAAGCTTTTCCCTTCAATTTTTTAAACGAAATCGTTGATGTTTCGAGTCCTACAAAAAATTTTCAGTTAATCTTTTTCGATTTCATTGGCATACCCGAAAACCTCCAAAACTTAAGCAATATTTTATGAAAAGTTTGTTGAATTGTTTTTCATTCATATTTAATAAGAAAGGATTAAAAAAGGCCTTTCAAATTCATTCCATAAAAGTCTTCAAAATTTTGAAGATGCCCGGGTACTTTTTAAACGTAAGTGTATTTTTGAAGAGAGTTCGTAAAATTCGTGGAAATATAAAAAGCTTCGGGAAGTACAATAAAATAAAAGAAGGTATCTTGGTTTCAGAAAATTGTTAATGAATTTGCAGATCAAGTATAAATGGATATGATTTCGTTACATTGAGATCCTTCTTGCAGAATATATTTAAAGCTCGTTGCTTCTATTTTTTGAGTTTTGGGCTTGTGGAATATTTTTTATTTTCCGGCAGAGAAGATGTCTTTAATATTTGAAAGCCAATAAAGCATGATTCATGATTTGTATATTTTGTTTGCACTGGGGTTTCTTTTTAGAATTGATACGCTCTGTTTCTAGAAGTTTTAAATGATTTTAAATTTATACGCGGATATGCTTTTCACCTTCTGTTATTGCTTGACTAGTTTTTGCATTTGGATATGATTCACTTCAAATTAAAGATATTATACCCCATTCTACGCGTTTTCATCGATCAGTGGGCGACATATTCAGTTTTTGATTCGATGACGTGCAATGTAGCTCGAGGCAAAGGCATTTTAAGGTATTCAATTCTTCTAATTAACCTAAATTCTATTCCTGAAACTGCGATAATTTATTAATTTTGATAATTTTTATAGTAACGAAGCCATCACGTTTGAAAACTAACTTAAGTTGTATTGTATATCGTGCTGTTATAGATGTAACATTGTGTAAAACCTATTGACAACTTTTAGCACGTCAACGATCATATTCTAACGCACTCTTGCCTAATCGATTAAGGCTTCCTATAAAGTCCTCATAGTTAGAAATAAATTTTCTGTATCTTGAGTTAAGTAATTTTTTCTCGGTATATAGAATGAACGCAAAGAAATCATTGCAGTATGCCATAAACATTGGATTGTGGTGGCGATGAATCGTATCGTCGTATGGATATCGAGAGAATGATATCGAGAGAATGGATATGTATATTTGATTGTCAAGCTAATAATTCAAATGATTTATTTCAATAATAAATGATTGTGTGAATATTTTTTCTTAAATTTTTCATTAATGATATTTTTATAGCTGTTTCTCTGTTAAGTTTTCTTTTTTGTTTTGTTTTTAGTCTTGTTTTTTGCATCTTTTGATTCCAGTTTCTCTGTGTTGCTTGATAAACACAGGACCCATGGCTAGGAAGGGGTCCCATAGTAATAAAGTGCTAACCCTGTTTTGATTACACATTGTTTGAAGTTGCTTCAAGCACGTTTACAGGATTCATCTTGATATTTTTAGATAGCCGTTATTGATTGCCAACTTCAAAATATTCGATTGTTGATCTGTTGAAGAGCATTTGGAGGCCAGATTTAGGATTCCATTAAATTTTAAACCAATGTAATCGCCAAGCCTTTTAACTTCACAATTGTATAGAGGTATTTCAGCAAGATATTTCCTTCACGGTGTCTTAATTGCACAAATAAACATTTGCTACGTGACAAAACAAGGGGGTAGACCAACCGAATAGACTACCGCAAAAGACCTCCGATTAGCTTTTTTAATTGTAAAAGTGCTTACGTAGTTTACATTAAAAATAAACGAAGAAATTAAAATGCGATGAAATGACTAAGCAACCACAAATGCAGTTGCAGTTACTAATGAGAAAAACTGTGATCTTTGTTTTTTGTGTTTTTGCAAAATGTTTTATCCAGAAAGCAAGTAACTATTGGCTGATGATTAATTGGGCTCGGTGGCCAACGTGGGAACCATGACGCCACGCCCTTATTACCTATGACGATTTGAACAAAACAGCCCGCCGGTTTTCCTTTAATAACTTTTGGCAGAAAAATTGTAAAAATACAACTTAAATTTGAATCAATTAGGAATGGTGCGCTACACTGTTTTTTTATAGTTTGCAAGAGGTTGAAAGTGATTCAAGAACATGTTTAGTCCCCCGAATGTTGGGAAAATCTCGAATTTCCCGAAACCGCACCTCAGTTCTCCTTTAGTAACTTTTCGCAGAAAAAAGGTAAAAATACAATTTGAAGTTTAATCGATAGAACACAAATTGCTACACTGTTTTTTATAGTTGCCAATAGGTTAAAGTTGTTTCAAGAACATTTTCAGCCCCCCGAATGTTGGCAAAAACGAAATTTTCCCTCAATTTAAAAATGAACTTTTTAAATCTCAGGTTTTTGGCCCAAACAGCCGCTAATTCATTTTTTCGATACCTGCTACACTGTTTTTTCAAAGTCTGCAGTCGGTTTTTGCGCCGAAAGTGGGGTAATTTTTAGAAAGTGCGAACTTCCGCCTCTAACCACGATGTAGACTTGAGTTTATAAATCGTGCAAGGCGCCACCCTCAGAGTCGGTTTAATGCTTAGTGGTTGAATATTCATCAAAACATTGGTTTATTTCTGTTCTTCAAAAAAAATACGTTTTATTTGACTTGCGAGGACTAGGAAAATGAGATACTTTCCCTGTCACCCTGTTTGAAACCGTTCGGAATCTCAACTGCCGTCAAGTTTTTTCAAAATTGTTTCTGAAACTTATACCTATCCAGACTTGTAAGTGATGCCATAACCTAAAGTTTTATTGCTTTGGTTGTCCAATTAGAACGGCCAACGATTCCAAAACGGTCGCTTGAAAACAGCAAAAATCTCGCTACTCGGCTCAAAAGAGTCGATTATATGATTGAGGGGAGGGCTATGACACAGATACCCTGGGTACCAGACTCACTATATATAAAATAAAAAAGAGACTAACATAATGTGGTTTTAGCGACATCAAAATTTGAACCCCTGCTGATCAGTGCGCCATATGGAATTGGTCCAAATAAGGAATTCCCAATGTCCAATTGGTGGGGCTTTTTTCTGGTTATTCCCAGTATCGTATGGAACCTTTGTGCCAAATTACAGCTTTTTATTATTTTTGTCCGGGTAAAATCGTAATTCCACCACACTATCCCCCGAATGTTGGGAAAATCTCGATTCTGTGACATGGTTGAAAGGTGTATTCGCCCCCAGCCCTCCTCCGTTGCTAAATAACTTCACTTCCTTTACAAGCCCGATTGATGACAAAACCAAACAAATGTCACTTGCTTCCTTTTAGTTAGGTTGATGTTTTCCAGACATTTCTTGCTAGGGTGTTAACAATTCTTTCGTGGAGGACTATTCTGAGATGGCCTGATCTTTACAAAAGATGAATATATGTTGAGGAATGTGATTTATCACAGTAATTGTAACAAGGAAGACACATTTCGCTTAACTGGTACTTGATTCCTAAGTTTCAATGAGAGAGTTTAACACTTGAAGTTTGACGGTCCAACCTACAAGTATGGATGTTTTGTATGAGGTATGCTACTTCCTCGTTTTAATTTGACTCATACAAGATGAAGTCATTACTTGTCATGTGAGTTCTGCTATCCAGCCAAAGATTTTACCTCCTTCACTCGACCTCTTACAGTTGTAAAGCGATAGTAGAATTTGACGTGAAGTAATAGCACTGGGTGGTTAGATCACCCCCAAACTGTGAAACAGGCTGCCAAAATCGAATCTGCTGAATATAACCCTAGGCCTGATATATTTTTCTAAGTGAATTTCTCGTTACAATTTTCATGCAAAACAAAATTGCAGCCAGAGATTCTTACTATAAAAACAAAAAAAAAAAGAATATTGAATATTGTAGCTACAAAATTCGTTCTCGACGAAGAACTCTGTTACATGCGACCTTTGGTCTCAACTGTTGACAGGTATTTAATGGCCTAATTTAATTTCAACAAAGTTTATATTTAGAGCAAAATTTGTTTATTTTGATTGTCCTTTGACTGATGTAAATTTGACAGTTTTCTTGTACAGGGATGACAGAGCCTGGGGCTGGGAGCTAAAGCCCCCCTTTTTGCTGAATTTTGACCATACCCCTGTTTTCAGCCAGTTCCCCTGCTTAATCCTGATCTCAAAGGAAAATTACAGAAAGTAAATAATCTCAAAGTAACAGAAATACAGAAATAAATTATTTACCGAAAATAAATAAATAATTAATCACAGACCATGAGCTAGATGTTGCTTGTATTTGGATTCCAAGAACAAGATTGAACTGCATTATTTTGGAAAATATAATTTTTCTTAACATGTAGCTATAAGAATCTTCAGTTAACAGAAGAGCTGTAATTTGTTTTTCAGGGATACCTGGAAAAATGTTTGAATCCTGAAGAGATCAAGAGAGAGTGGAGAAAGCGATATTTTGTCCTGAAAAGAGCCCTGGGAAGTGGTACTCAAACACTTGAATATTTCAAAGACAAAGAATGGAAGAAGCAAGAGCCAAAAGGGGTACTTACATTGTTCTCAGGCTATGCAGCCTACAAAGTACTTGATTCAAAGAAAAAGCTCACTTTTGAGGTTAAAACAATGGATAATTTCTTCATATTAGCTGCATCCTCAGATGAATTAAGAGAAAAATGGATAGAAGCTCTGCAGCAGAACAGCTCTGGTATGTATTTAAATTGTTCTTGATAAATGTTAAATTGTCTATAAGGGCTAATCTGTAAAGGGTTTTTTTAAATTTGGCTCATTCATTGGTACGAAACAAACTGATACCAATAAATGAGCCAATTTTAGCCTCATCCAAGCTCCAGAAAAATTGGCTTGGGTTCTAATGTTTCTTAGAATAGTGGTCATGCTTGTGCACACCTGAGAATTGTCAACCAAATTTCAATGTTTTGTGTATTTTTATATATAATGATAATCATGTTGCTTATCAGTAGATTCCTGAAGCCTTTGTTATTGAAGTAAAATGATTAAAAAATGATTATGATCCAATCCAAATGTAAAGTGGTTTATATTAAACGTGATAGATTCTTGAAGATTTGATATGTTTCACAGGTATTTTAGCTAGTCACCTATTTCTTTTTTCATAGTGCAATATTACCAGATCAGGTCCCTAGCAGCTACAGTCATCTCTGCTTATAGTCACTTCACTTAATTTCTCAGTTCAATTTATGGTCCTATAAAATTGGACCCAAATATGGAAAACTGTTCAATAAAGCCCCCCTTTTTCAGTCCTATTCAGCTTACTGTCACAGCTTTTCAAGCAACATTTGGTGTGACTATAACCAAAGTCATTATATGGCATAGGCTATATTTTCAAATTAACCTACATCTTTTGTGAGATAATTGGACAAAATTGTGATATTACTGTAAAATAAAGCATTCTTGCTGGATCCAGAGGTGAAATTCCCCCCTATTCCCCATTTTCACTTTTCAATACTTTTCCTCTCTCGATGCCCCTGCAGATACAAATAAACTAGCAACAAAGAGGCATACAAACACTAACAAACAGTATGCAACTTTAACTGTTATATAAGATTCAGTTTTTGTGTCTAAGGAATGTAGTCAATATTGTACTGTTTAAACAAAGGGAATTTGTAGAAAAATACCCTAAATACTAGAAAGAGGAATCATTATTATGGCTTTCTAAAAAGAGGAATTTGCTTTGCCAAGATCATAACTATATACTAAATATTAAAGTATTGTAGTTTTTTCCAAAGAAACTTAAAGAAAAACCATGTTTCATAAATGTGGTATTAAAACCAGAAAATTGTGGAAATTATTTAGTTTAAAATTTTTGCTTTTCGTTATAGATGATATATATTTCAAGATCTTTTTGGAGGGCCTAAGGCTCGTTTGTCTAGCAACTTTCCTCATTAAGTAGTTAAAATTAGCAATCTGGCAATCATGACAAGCAAGACAATCCTGAGTCATAGGTTTAATGTTTATGCGCATTTCAATTTTAATTTTACATACATTGTTGATCAAAATAAATGTCGGTTTACTTTGTGGTCGCTTTTATCAGTAGTAATACATTGTTGGTTGTTTAAAGGTTTGCGAGGAAGCTGCTGTGTATTGAAATAATATTAACCACATAAGAACACAATATCTCTATTCTTTGTTCTGGCCATTATAGGTTGGTCTCCCGTTCACATCTTCTTTCCGACTTTCCAGTTTGTTGCAAAAAAATTTGTAGCTAGTCATTTGAATTTTGTATTCTTTTCTCTCTTTAGTTCGCTCATATAGTGTAGCGATAGAAGAAACACAGAAATCATTGGAAATGGGGCTAAAGAACAACGAGCCTTGCATGCTGCAAATAACCTCGTCAACAGTCTTGCTTATATTAGAATCAAGTGTTCCTATTTCATGGCCATTCAACTGTATTCGACGATACAAGTGTCACCCCGGCTCTTTTCTCTTGGAGGTTGGGCGCAAGGCTGCCACTGGCGAAGGGGTGTTTCGCTTTTTCACCCAGGAGGGTCAAGATATTTTTGAGATTTTAGGAAAATCGGTTGCTGAACGCATGAGCTCAAAGCAAGAGTCAAAAACAGATCTAGCATCTAGTTTTGCGGCAATGTCATCTCCCAGCAATGACAGCCAAAGTTCAGGGCCGCTAAACATTACAGGGGGTAAACAGAACCCGTTCATGGATATAACAGGTGGGGGAGACGGAATCAGATTTGTGATGAAGAAACGCAGCACATCATCACCTCCGCCTTCACCCAAAGAAATTTCAAGATCACCACCAACCATTGAGGATACTGGCAGAAGCTATAGTCATTTGAAGTTTGGACACGAGAAACCAGTAAGCGGGCAAGACCCTACAGATTATGAGCAGCTAGCAAGGGCAAAGCAGTGCAGCCGATTCAACAAAACGAGAATGTCAGAAAGCAGTCGATCCGGTGCCGCATCGAGCAGCAAGGCTTTGAAGGTCCTTGGTTTGATACGTTCCAATAGTGCAGAAAATTTGCAGCGCTCAGGCAGTGTAAGTGGCAGCTCAGAATCAAGCAACAATATGTACTCGCGCCTAGAATTTGAAGGGCAAAGTCCTAAGAAAAGTCATTCATCTTCAAATATTTTAGAAGAATCTGCAAGTGGAAGGAAAGTATTTGAATCAAATCTAGTGCGACAGAATAGTGAAAAATCAGACGAAGATAGCCTTTACAATAAACTTCACACAGATCTAGGAAAAAAGATTGCAGCTTTTCACCATGATAGTACTACCTACAATGTCCTCAGTCAGGCCGGCTCAAGTGATGGTTCTGTCATTCAGAATGATCAAGATGGTACATATGATAAGTTAGGAGGGAATCAAGGTGCTGCTATACATCGAGGCAACAGACCAGAGCCAATTCTCATCACAGATGACAATTACGATGCTCTAAGATTTTCAAGCGATAAAAAAAATCTAGATGAAATCAAAGGAGAGCAAGTTTCAAAAGATTACGAAGTCCCTTGGTCGGCGCAACATGTCCCCAGCCCCCGATCACCAGAGGAGGTTCAAAAGCCAAATCTAGCTGGCAGGGCCCCCATTGCTAAGCCAACGCCAGCTGGCGGGAAACCAGCTATTGGTAAGAAGCCAATACCATTGAAACCACCGAGAAAACCCAACGTTTGTGATGTCAATGCAAACACTGATATTCAAAGAGACACACAGCAGACAGAGGTGAAATCAGTGGGTAATGGAGCTAGGGAAAATCTAATTTCGCAATTAAAGAAAAATTTTGAGTCTCAGGATTCGACTCAGCCGAAAACACCAACATCGCCTCTCAGTCCACCAAACTCATCGAAAAAGCTCGTTGAACCATTTTACGCAGTGTCGCCATTTGGAGGAGGAAATAAGTCACAATTTGCGTTGTCAAGTGAATATGATGTTCCAACTAATAATGCTCCAAGATTCCCAGTGCCATCAGAAACCAAGCAGCCTATGGGTTTTGTCTATGCAGTCTCGCCATTCCACAGCGGAAGTCAAAAAGCAGAGTCACAGCTCGATCAAAACCTTTACGACACACCAAACCCGATGGCTGCAGTTCCAGCATCAAGTTTCGCCCCAACCAATGCATATGATACTCCAACACCTCGCCCTGCCTTCAACAACGATGCAAATTTGTACGATACGCCTAGTCAGGTTAATGCTGTGAGGAATGCTGCGCCATTTCCAATGGCAGCAAGGGCTCCTTTTCAAGCACCAAATAAAAACATACAGTTTACCTATGCTGTGTCCCCTTTTGCTGGTGGTCAGAGTAGCTCAAATCAGATCGACTTCGGCTGTCACCAAGAGGAAGCTGCATACTGTGAAGTTTCTGAACTAAGGGACGGTAATATGCGTATTCCTGGCTATGATCCTGTAAGTGGTGTTGTTACTTCTGGCAGACAGGTTCAAGAAGCTATATATGCCAATCCTAGAGACTGACGCATAAAATGCTTCCCTTTGGTCGACCTAATGGTAAAAAAGAACGGGTATTAATGTAAATATTGCCCTGGGCTGTCAGAAACTTTGAAGGTAGAGAAATAGACTGATTAAAAATGATACATTAACCACGAGTTGCACTTTTAAAAGTCAGAAATTTTTTACTTTCACATAGCAGTAAAATTTCCTTTATTTAATCTGACATTTTCGTTACTGTCGCTTTGCGAAATCATTTGACTGCCCAGATTTCCTTACCTTGTTTAAAAATGTCCTCTGCTTTTCTACATTTTAGAGCTCATTTTGTACGCTTGGTGGATTTGTATGTTTGCTTTTTATATGATGTTTTTTAATCGGAATAGAATCAAGCCAGAAGAACTGAATTTATTGTTGGACAGTATTATTGTTTATTGTCAATATATAGCATTGGCAATTTGTATCAAGGGATTGAATTTATAATGAAATTTACTTTTACTCGACACAAATCCTTGGTGTAATTTTTAGAAATTGTCAAGTAAAAATCAATCGTGTATAATCCAACGCTCTTCAGCTGTGTCCACCAGACGTCCCACTAGTTATGGACCCCATTAGCTCTTGACCCCATTAGATATGGACCCCATTAGTTAAAAACCCCATTAGTTATGGACACCATTAGCTCTTGACCCCATTAGTTATGGACCTCACTAGCTCTTGACCCCATGAGTTATGGACCCCACCCATTAGCTCTTGACCTCATTAGTTATGGACCTCACTAGCTCTTGACCCAATTAGTTATGGACCCCATTAGCTCTTGATCCCATTAGATATGGACCCCATTAGTTAAAAACCCCATTAGTTATGGACACCGTTAGTTCTTGACCCCATTAGTTATGGACCTCACTAGCTCTTGACCCCATTAGTTATGGACCCCACCCATTAGCTCTTGACCCAATTAGTTATGGACCTCACTAGCTCTTGACCCCATTAGTTATGGACCCCACCCATTAGCTCTTGACCTCATTAGTTATGGACCTCACTAGCTCTTGACCCCATTAGTTATGGACCCCACCCATTAGCTCTTGACCTCATTAGTTCTGGACCCAATTAGATATTGTTTTCGATTGTTCTGCGAAGTTATAAGACAGCAGCTTTTATTCAAATCTTGAGCATGTTTACAATGTCGTCGTATAAATCTTTTTCAGTCATGAAAAGTCACATTTTTCTTTAAAAAGTATTGGTGGTTTATGATGTAATGCTTATTTCTTGTCCTTTGTTTCCTTGATAATTTTTATTAGAATAATTTTTTTGTTACGTATTTACCCTTTTGTAGCTCATTAGCGAGCTCCATAATATTGTATTTACCCTTTTGCTAAGCCTTCTCTTTTGTCACGAAAACTATCGAGTATTTGAAACTGATAATGACGTCATCTTTGCGAAAGATTGAAATTAATGGCGTTAAACTGATAAAAACGAATTGGCATTCGTGACTGGAAATTTTCCATCCTTGGTATCCAATTTGAAGCCATTAGGTTCTAGAAATCGTAATTATATTGCTTGGAACTTCGATTTTAGAACTGTTATTTGTGTAAAAGCTTAGATTATATTTTAATTTTGATATATTGTTTGGTGTAAATAATGATTTTATGAATTTCCAATGTAAGATTTAGAATGCAGATTATTTCACATTTTGCTAGTATTTCTACCAGTTGATTCTTTTCAATGCTTCACATCGATCAATGAGATCTAAGACGTCTCTCTCTTGATATCGATTCATTCATTTCATTTTTATTTTTAATTTTACATGATACATTTTGACATAAATAACTACCATATTACGATAAAACTACTGCAGAGTTGTGATATGGGGAGTTTCTTAAGGAGGAACTCTCTCAAAAGATGAACTAATAAATGAGAGCCTCCCTAATATTTTGTTATGAAAATGTGGCAGACATGGTGGGCAAAAAATTGAAGTAAAGAGACAACACGCAAAAGGTAGCTAATATTTCGTCCCGGCATACGGGGCTTCGTCAGAGCAAACGTAAACGGACTAACAAGTGTATAGATCTAAAATAGACTATGATCAGACCTGTCAACCCTCCCGGTTCAGCCGGGAGATTCCCGGTTTTGACTGCTTTCTCCCGGTCTCCCGGTTTTTTAAATTTTTCTCCCGGTTTCAAAGATGTCTAGCAGAATGTCTAGGAAGATTTTTCACCGAATGTTCGATTGAACTGCGCATCTCGTGCTTCAAAGACAGGTCCATTGTGTACGTTTTCTTTTTACAGACCCCTTTAATTGTTTTGCCAATCTGTCATTACCACTACTTCTTTTGGATAACATATTTTTTTCTTAAGAATAAAAAATTTTCGATGAATTTATTTTTATATTACATTTGCATGGTTTGTTTCTTTTCTGAAATCGGCGCTAATCACTCCATGTGGGTAATGACAAACAGATGATGCAAGAGTTTAATTCTAGTAGAATTACCTATGACTACCTAATACACGGTTAGTTTTTAGATTAATTCTGTTTAAATACGTAAACACTTATCTTATGACCACACCCACAAATAATGAGGCACGCCTTTTTGTCAACAAAAACCAATGCTGTACTCCTCCTAAAATCTGTTTGGCTTCGTGCCTGTGTCATATTTTGCCCCATTTGCGGTTCTCTAGGAATAATGTCCCCGTCTGAAGACCCCCATCTCCATCTGCAGTCTTGAGTTTCAATCTACCTATTTCATTTCAATTATATGGTCAGGTTTTACATATTCACAAAAGTGGATCCTAATATTTCTGTCTTAGAAAAGGGTAAAATATATCGATGACACTAATCAAACTTTTTGCTATGGGATTGGAGCCTTGTAGAACCCCCACCTTTGTGAAATGGAGACGAGGCCAATCCTTCGAAAGCGTAAACTCAGGGCAAATCTTGCCGACCGAAAGTATGGCTGAAGGGGAAGAAGAAAGTTCTAGTTCCCTAGAAGCGGACTTAATTACGCACAAAGTTCAGTTGTTGATAGACCCAAACAGTTCAGCAAAAGAAGATCAAATCCAGAACCTCGAGCTTCTCCTCCGTACAGTAACTGAAAGGTAATCCATTAGGTTGTGTGCTAGGTTAGCGTTATCCATTGGCCTAAAGTTCGCAGGCGGCTTCCAGGAAGAAGGGGAAATTTTAAAAACAGAATTAAACAAATGTTCATATATACTCCTGACCTGTGCTTTGAACTTAACCATGCTAGGTTTTTTTGGGAGGTATGGGTATAGAGAAGCTTATTTCGTGATATCAAATACTCCTTGATGATAACGAAAGGATGATCGTATCATCATGATACAATGTGTGTTAACAGTATTCTGGATATTGAATGAAGGGATGTTGAATGTGTGCTATTCGAAACAAGTATTCTGTACATGGGGTTTCGCCAGTATGGATTCCATGGCAGCTGCACTCCCGAGAGATTTTGTATAATAATGGGTGCACTCTTGCACACCCAAAAGACGGGCGTGGTTTGGGCGTCTTTTTGGATGTGACCATAGAAATCAGAAATTTTTTTCAAATATGGCAAAATGACTTTTTAAAATCTGTCTCCAACTGAGGTTAGAAACAAGTGTGTCATTCTAAATTGAATGATCCACTTTGGATTAGGGCAGGCAAAAAGTTTCAGTGGGGCTGAGGCAAAACTGAAAAAGGAAGGGACCCTTGCAAGGGAAGCGAGCAGAAATGGGTGCACAAAAGGGTGCCAAGAGAAATGGGTGCCAAGAGAGAAGAAAATTTTTGTGACCCCTTTCTTTAGATTGGCTGCAGAATACGTGTTTTTTGGCCTTTTTAAACATTATTTTTTTAAATTATCTCTTTACTTTCCAAATCTTTAGGAATTTGAATAACGGCCACTGATGGTAGTGGTAGCTAAGCATAGTTCAATTCTAAATCATAAATTTCCCAGAGATGTAAAATTGATGTAAACAGGAAAAGTGCCGGACTCAAGAATCACTGAGAAATTTGATGCACACTCAAATGTGCACACTTATCACAAATGCACTCTTTCACCCCAGGTAATAGCTTGTGCACTCCCAAGATCTTGTCAAAAACTGCCATGAAATCCAGACCGGGGGTTTCGGAGGTGTAACTTTTAATTTTTAACAAACTGTACATTTTGGTTATGTGCACATTTTGGTTTTAAAGGGATTAATAGACCTACAAAAGATTTTAGATTTTGAGTTTACAAAATAAAAAATAGATAAGATTTCTGCAGGTGGCAGTTTTGTAAATTTTGCAAACCAACAAACCCTTGTTTGAAAACGTATGATTCTGGCTGTCTGTAGTTGTTCTCAAGTTGCAAGTTGCAAGTAGGATTCATATTGACTCAAGCATGATATGCTGAATTTTCACAACCTGCAAATGTATTGAGGGTTAAAGAGGATCATTTAAGCTGTTAGTTTAGATCCTTAGCCTTGCATGCATCTGAAAGTAAAAACAATTCAAATTTGAATATATTTCAAAATTCTTGTAAATTTATTTAATCTTTGAAAAGCTTTGATGAGGAGTGCTGTCTCCTTGATTAGCCTAGCTTTTCTGAAAATCCCTTCTTAACAGATTCTTTCCTTTACAGTTTTCCTTTTATCATGTATGATTATTTAGTTAAGAAAATAAAATGTTTGAATCCATGCCCCCATTATGCCCTTCATATTGCAATGAAAACAATTGGTTATGCTTTTCTATTTCCAGACTTTTAAGGTTCCTGCATGATTAAGACAAAGTTTAAGGGTTTGAAGAATCCTATATGACTTATTCATACTTTGAAGTATTTGATGAAGTGTTATCTATCATCACTTTTCAGATTTGAAAGGCGTCACTATGTATGCAAAAAACCCAAAAGCATTTATCTATTGTGAAGCAAATTATCTCATCTCCAGTTCTGGTCATTTGAGGAGAGCCACGGCTCTTGCTCCCCTCCAGGTGCTCCTCAAATGTTGGAGGGGAGCTACAGATTGCTCTCTTATATTGCTCTTAAGGCAAATTGTTGTCCTTGAAATCGATTTTTCCTTATTGTTTCTATTCTTATCTATCTACAAATAGCTCTCCTGAAAACCACTAGGAGATCTATCTACTGCTTCTGTGCTAAAAGTCTTATGGCTAGGCCTGCATCTCAAATTAATTTTTTATGTGTCAAAAGCTCATTGTTGTCTTGGTTTCATTTCTGTAAAGTGAAATTTTCTTTTTTCATAGGGAAAATGAAATCCTAGAGAGTTTAGGGGAGGATGACAAGTTTTACTCTGTGTTGCTGTCAGTTGCAGCCCACAGGGTTGGCACCTGGATTGAATCATGTGAGTGGCAAATGTTGATTACAATTTTAATACTTCACTAATTCACAGGGTACATATAAGAACCTTGCAATATGTGGATTTTGTTTCTCAACATCACAGCAAGCTGATATCCTGTTTGTTCACCCATAGGCAAAGAGTTTGCTGACTTGACATTAAAAGCAGCAGACCTGATTCTCAGATATTGCTTGGACAGAATCCACAGTACAAAGACCCATTCCTTTTTTTCAAAGGTATGTTGTCAAAACCCTTGACTGTCTGTTTTAACTATGACAGGTTTATAATAGAAGTAACTGCACAACATGGTCTAGTTCCATTGCCATTTTTTCAGCCATTCAAATGAAAGTAGGACCAAAAATAATTACAGTGATATTTATTAATGATCTTAAAGGCTCTGCTCTTTTGCTAATGATAATTGCTGTTGATGTATTCTAACATTGATGCATATAGATATGGATTTTAAAGCTTTTTGTATTCATGTACAATGTCTCTCTGTGTGTACTATACTTAAGGTTTTTGATCAGGCAAGTTCTGTTGCTAGTCAAATGATTTCATACTCTTTTTTTTAAAAAGAAAAGGATATTGAATGTTTTGTTAAATGACAGCAGTTCAATGTTCTTATGTTTTAGAGCTAATATTAAATCTAAGACACATTTTTTCAAGATATTTGAAGTTTTTAATCCATGCATCATTTGCATCTTCAGATGTTGTTCATTCTAAAAACAATGCTATGTATATCTTTTTACAGTTGATGCTAATCAGAATAGTTGAGGGCATTTGCTTAGCACGAGGCTGTTTGGAAAAACAGGACCTTACACTGATTGCGAACTCCTATGATACCTTAACAGTTCCAAAGTCATTGCAAAAATCAACAAAAACAGCAAAGCAGTTGAAATCATCATTTGGCCTAATAACTTCTCTAAGTCAAATACCACTTCATATCTTACAGCAAAGGTGAGAAATTAATAAATAGAGACACTTATGAAAAGTAACTGGGAAAACATTTGATTCAAGGCAGCTTGTTTTTTAAACTGAAGTTTTTCTCACAGCCCTAATTCATCTAAGATAGAATAAAGTCTATGTCACAGATATGCAATCACCACATCATTCCATCTAGCAGTTTTGGAATCTATCTATGTAAGCACGAAAAACGGCTATTGTGTAGACAAAAGGAGTCCGTTTTCACCTTAGGACTCCATTGGTAACATTCTCAATACGCAAGTGGCACTGATTGGTCAACCTCAACAGTCATGTGCTCGCGTTTCTGATTGGCCTATTTCTATCCAAAACTGGGTATATATATTTCCTAGCGTAGAGTTTTTGATCTATGTTCTGACGATTTAAACTCTGAAGAGTGTCAGACGAAAAGCTTTAGTTTACTCAAATGTTTGCTTTTTTCAAAGCCATTTTCAAGTTTTGTACCACCAAAAGATTGTTTGATTTTTATTTATTTAGTAAAATTTGCATAACTAAAACAAGAAACAATCTTATTATGCCTTTGAATTGCAAATAACTTTCTACTTTCAGTTTTGTGCTTGTTGTAAAGTTAAATTTGATATTTCTTTAATTTCTTGAAGCCAACAAACTCTTAATCAGGGGACAGAATGGCAAGACACATACAAGATCTATTGTCGCCAGGCAATGAGAAGTTATAATGGGGGTTCGATTCTACTCGAGTTTGCACTATGTCTACCCACTTTGACACTGTTTCACTGTTATTTTGATGAGAAGAGTTCTCCTGAATCCTCAGATATCAATTCTATCAATATTAAAAGGTGTGTTAGTACAAAATAAATATTTGCTTAAATTGTAGTTTCTTAACCAAAAGGATTTCCATATGATTTGTGATGCAGAAATAAAGTAGCTAGATACATTGGCTAGAATGCTGCTTGTTACAAAGCAAGCTACTAGAGTTAGCATCATCTTACCAAAATTAGCTTCGACTTTCTAAATGATTTACTATCACTCCATTCTATAGCATTGGTAAAAAAGACGTACATATATGTTTTTATGTTAAGAGTTTCACTATTTCGTGTATCTTGTACAGTATCTATAAGATGTGTGATCAAAATAGTTTTGTCTTTAGAAGCTGCTTTGATTTTAATTATTTCATTATCAATTTAGGTGCTTTAAAAATTTCTGTCCATTAAATCTTCCGTTGTTTGATTCTTGATCTTGCATCAACCGTTACTTAATATGAATATTTTGCATTCATGACTGACAACCTTCTTTTTTCAAAGAATCGAAAACCTTTCTGAGGAACTCGTAGCCATCAACAGTATGGTCAATATCCCAAGTGTCATTGCGGTGAAGCCAGAGGAGCTGCAAAGGCTTGGCTCGCTTGTTTGCAGATGTATCAAGGCAACTCTCTTTGTTTCTATTGGCTCTTATGAAGTCATCTGTGAGGAAGAGGTGAAGCAGACCGGGCGTAAAGAAGGCATCTCTCTCGAGGATCTGTGTCGAAAATACACATGGAGGGCCACGGAAACCAGTGTTAGTTTTCGATCCTTCATTTGTTTAAAATCGTACTCGTTTATGTCAGAATATCTTCTCCGTGAATTTCCTCTATATTGGCTTTAATATATCAATCTGCAAGAACTGGAGTGTTGGAATACTATGGAACTCAGCTTTAAGTTATCATTATTGCCAAATGTAATAGTTTGCTTCGAAAAATTAAATACAATTTATTACCATCAAAATGCCATTCTGAGCACAAAAGAAGACCATTTTAATTTCTACTAGTAATGCCAACAATTAGCGAATGGTCAATATTTGTCGTCTGTCAATGCTCTGTTCCTAAAGAGACTAGCTACAGTTAAATTTTCTGTATGCCTTCATCTTTTGTTAGTGACTTCTATTGAAATTTCTAGTTGTCCATATTCAAATCTGTACTAACGGCTGTCAATTCATCAACGCGATTCGGTGGTGCTATCTATCAGAATGTGCAAGCAATTGTTGCTGATGCCATTCTTAGTGGGTTCAAACTTGTTCTTGCTGCAAAGAGAAGCAGCGTTTCTGGGAAGGAAGAAGCAAAAGAGATTTCCCGGAAATGGAAATGGTATGACCAATCTCTTGTTGAATCTCTTATTTTTTCGATTCAAGGAAGCAGTTTTTTCATAAACTCGCTTCAATTTTGGTAGTTGTCAAGTTATTGTCTATTTACATTATTAGGACTTTTCTTATTAGATCGTTTTGTTTTGCTAAAAGCAAATAAGCTAATGTTCTCTCTCACATTTGATACAATTGTTTTTGTCCTACAAGTTTAATGGCTACAGCAAGTCTCATTGGTTGAAGAAGGTGTAGTATTCACGTTTGTCACAAGTAAAACCCCCTTCTAAGTGTTGTAACCTGCCTGTATCTAGAGTTTAGACTAGAAAATCACTGATTGCAGTCTATAACAAACAGTATATATATACATTTGCAGTCTGAACTATTGTAATCACTAATTATATGTAATTACAACAACAACAGCAGTAGCTAAGAAGGGGGTCTTACTTAGGACTAACGTGAATACTACAGAATGGTTGTATGAAACCAGTATTATTTCTTTAAGAAACTACTCATAACATGCAGAATCAGTTTTTTTCGAAAGATTCCTGAATTCAACTTTTCTTTTTCATTTCCTTTTGTATCTCTCCAGGTTTTCTGGTCTGAATATTATGCTAGTGACAATGGCTTCGCGAGTCGTCACGCTGATGTTATCCTTGATTGAAGACTTAGAGCTGGAGAGCTTACCACAAGGGAGCTCAAGCGAGAAAAGCCACACGATAAACTACTTGTCGATAACCACCCAGTGCTCTGCCTGGCAAAGAATGCAATGGCTCTTGGCTAGGAATAATCTGCCACATCTGCTTTGGAATCTATTTCGTGCTTCGTATTCCATGGTATGTCGTTCTTATAAAATCCGGTACAAATACCCCTAGTACTAGACAGGTTTACATTAAAGTTTAATTGTCTTCTCTGTTTATACAAAGTCATTTAGTATGAACCAGTAAACAAAAATTACCTGCGTTATTGTTCTAAAACATTGTTAGTTTATGGTTGTATAAGTTTGGAATATAAAAACAGGGTGTGTTTTTGAAAACAATTGTTTGGGTTTTGAAAACAATTATTTTTTGGTAGAATATGAATTGTTGATTTTTTTGTATGTTTTAACCTGTCAATGCAAAATTGAAGCGACTATTTAATAGCTAGAAAGCTTATGGTTTTTGCGTACGTCGAAGTTTTCATAGCCACCCAAAACCATGTTAAGGCTAGAAATTTTCCTTTCTTAAAATAACCGCATCTTCTTTCGTTCAGTGATGATATCAGGAAATAATAAAATATTGTGCCTTACCCAGTTATTTTTAGAATGTGTCCAGTTTCTTGAAATATCATAAACTTTGTTATTTGGTGGTTTGTATCTAAGCATATTATACGACATAGCTAGCATGAAAACATTGATTCAATTCAATTGTATCAAACTTTTAAGGCAATCAAGATAAAAGACATCAAAACAACACAGGCCCAAGAACAGGCCAGAAATGAAGAGAAGCAAAATGAAGCCAGTGAGAGCGAAAGAGCGTCCGCTGCGGAGGATAGTGGGGAAGGTGAGTAATGGGTCATATAATACAGCATAAAGACTTCGATGAGGTGCTGTCGTATATGTATGTGCTGTTCTTAAATATTGATCGTGTAACGAGCTAACTAAGGTGCATTTCGGTAACGAGCTAACTAAGGTGCATTGACCTCGCTGCTCTAGCTATTCCCAATAACAGGGTCATAGAGTATAGGAAGTATTTCAGTTGACAAAGGTGAAAGTATTTTTTAACGCTTATTTTCAGCCAAAGGGTGAGTGTTTTCGTTATGGGTCTATTCAATTCATATCTGGTAACTTGTCAGAGACTAGTCAAAACGATAAATATCCTTTTCGAAAAGTTTGAGATGACATCCCTACGGTATCTCTCGTACTGTACGGTTTTGGTAGAACCTACGATATAATCGCATTTATTATTGGAGGATATTATCATTTTAGCATCCGTCTAGTCCCTTCCATTCTGCTTAGCAAACGCTACCTGGTTCCTGTTTAACGAACTCCTAACCTAAAAAACTACATTTTGTTACTTTCAAAATTACCTATATCAGGATTCTGCTTGAGAGGTATTTTAAACCCTTTATTTTCGCTTTTCACTGGGATACTTATTTGACGAAACTGGAACATAACGATACTGAGTGAATCAAAATATTCGAGTTACCTTCGCTGGAAGAACAGTTTTAGGCATCTTTTATTTTCTGAATATTTTCAGAAATGCGATGGTAAAGATTCCCTCGTGTTGTTTTTACTTCTCATCACATGACATTCTATTTTGTAGAAGAAGGATCTCTCTTGGGTCAGTGGTTGGAAAACATAATGTCAGAGTCGACAACTTCTCGTGTTGAGCCGAAAAAGGACAAAGTAGAGGATGGAAAGTCAGAAGTTGCGTACACACAATCATTGGACATTGTATGTTTCCAGCTTTGTTTAACTGACAGTGTTCTTTCAGTCCTTTCTCTTTGTTGCTATTCTCTCTTAGACCCAGTCTCCAAGAGCTATGTTTTTAATTAATGCAAATTTTTCAAGCATTAATTAAGGTTATAATAAGGTAATAATAATGGTAACTTGAATCTGATTGTCTGATGAATAGAAGGTGCTAATAGCACTTGTGTTCTAAGAAAACAGAGGCATTTATCAATCTGGCTATTTCAGTATAAGCTGGCTTATAAGGATGAAAAACATAGTTTTCCATTATTGCGTTTTCAGTATTTTTCATTACATTTCAGTTCGTTCTTCTTGGCAACAACTTACTCGACCTTTGCACACGATTCTTCCCGATTTGTATGAAGTACAACCTCAGTGACATCGTTGATAGAAATTTCACCAAAGATGGTTTAAAATCACTTGCTGAAATGGTGAATGAGATTGACAAAACTGCAGATGACCTAAGCTCGAAAGAAGATATTGGATTTTGCTTCAGGAGTTATCTTATCATGCTACATTCTTCAAAAGTGCTTGACCAAACGAAACTGGTAATATTACGTTTTTATACCGTATCATGGCAATTTTTTGCTTTAAAACAAGGTTATCGTTTTTGAAGAGTATTTAAGGGGCTGTACAGCAGCAATTAAATCAGTAATTTTGATATTTCAAACACAATAAGGGAGCATGGAACAGCCCTCATGGAGTTATGTAAAGGAGTTATGTTAAATATACATTTATATTTAAATATGTCATTAAAAGCAAGGAGAAAGGTTTAGGCCGCTGATTCACGGGTATATTCCTTTACAATATTTTCCATCGATCAAGTGTTTTTAGAGAGTGTCCCCTTGCTATTATCTGTCAGCTTGAGACTTCTCCGGCACAGATCTTCTCTTTAACTTATTTTTCCATTAGGATCAACAGTTCTTTTAAATACGCATCCCTAAAACTATGATGTTCCACATTTGACAGACCAAACCCATGCAAAAGAACCTATTACGGGATGTTGTAGGATTTTACTAAAAATTGGATCGTGCCTAGCCTAATAACTTAAGTTACCATGCCAGATTGTGCTGTTTGAGGGGATTGGTTGTACGGTTCCTCTAAACATTAAGCGTATTAAGCTAGTTGCTTTGCTATGTGGCACTTACTATAAGCAAGAAAGCAATTAGGAATTTCAAGAAATGGTAACATTCAAATGCTCTTATCCAGGTTTTTTTAGTAGGGAGTGACTAAAGGGGCAGCGATCTAAATTACAAACCTGCATAGCAAACGATGCGATCTAAATTGCACAATAGAATTGATGATGGCTTTGTTTGGTATAGACCAATCAGCACCCATCAAAGCACTAATTAAAAATCGTTATAAATTCTAATAGAGGCACTTGAGACATTCTGGTGGAGATGCTATTTTATTTACTTTTCAATGTGTCACCATTTTTCAATTATAAATAGTCAATCACTTTGATTCCGATCCACATTCAAATGCCATTCACTGTCCAATTTCTATTTCGACAACAGGAGTTCTTGCTATCAGAGCTCGGCCTAGGCGTCGATTACAAGCAGCCAGGTGATTGGCCACTGTACGTTTCACCGACTGTTTTGTCATTGTTTGCACGGCTGGCCTTATCCGAGCAAGATGCTTGCTTGAGGGGCGGAAGCTCTTCTGCAGACACTCCAAGAAGTATTTATGCATGGAAGGGGCTGCTTCACACACTTGCAAAATCTGCACAATCTTTGCCAGAGAATATGGGTACGCATTCGCATTTAATGCATCTAAATATTTGATGTAGTCTATTTTGAAAGAAGAGAAAGAAATTTTATTCAAATCATGAAATATCTTGTAATGCTTTTAGTCGGTTGAAGTTATCTAACTACTGTCGAGATTTAAGAGCAACTGCCGTCTTTAGCTACTTGCTTTGACATGACGTCTTTAGCTACAAAGCTTTCAATTCTATGAGACATTGCTCTTTGCAGATTTGAACGTCGAGCACATACAAACGCTGGCTGCTTTATATCTCAACTTCTCTGATGAATGCAAAAGGGAACTCATTAAAACTTGCATAGATGCATTGGGTAAAATTGCAGCAAGGCCATTTGAAGATTTTCCTCTAAGGACCTACAGACTTGTTGTTATATTGGATTTCATGTTCCGTTGCTTTTCAAGGATTCCAAATCAACTGTTGCTTCAGGTACGCGCTGCACTTTTTACCAATTTGAATCTCTTAGAACCACTATATTCGCGTTCTTAATCCTATATCTCTTTTTGATAGTTGGAATTGTAACAGCAAGATTTAGATTTTTGGAAGATTTAGATTTGTTTGCAGTATAAGAGATTTTTTGTTTATATCCGGCTTTAAGGGGATTAATTTATTGCAGTTTTTTTGGACACTTTTCGCTCCAATAGATTGAGTATTCCGTGTAAATTCATGTTTGTTATTTAAGTTAGTTATTCAAATAAAAGTGACGTAGGAAAAGCCTAAAGCTAGAGACGCGAGGATGGTTTGGTGGAGTAAGGAATGTTGCTAGCTCACTGTAATTGCAGGTGAAGAAATCATGAGGTGTGGTCAAATTAAGAGGAGGAACCAGGACACTGTTCGAGCACAGTTTTTGGTGCCTTAAATACTACTGTCGAAGGAGGAGTACAAAATTCAGATGCAAATAAAACGGAGGCATTGCCTTCTTTTGTCAAGTCACTTCTGTTTAATAATCCATTTTCTCATTTTCTTCTATTTTTGTTAAGGTTTCAAAGAACATCTTAAACATTGCTCCTAAAATCGATGGTATCAGACAACAGGAATTTATTAGCTGTACCTTCAAAGAAGAAGAAGCATTTCGAAACTTGGTGAAGAGAATGAGTCCATCTCCAATGCAAAATTCGTTTCAACAACAACAGCCAAGGTTCTATGAGTTGTTAGCAGAGGATTTTAGCAGGCAATCACCAGACTTCAAGGTTGATTTCTCATTCTCTGTGATTTAAGATTCTCTTAGAAAAATCATTTCAATTGACATTCTATATAATTTCTATTGCCATTTCACCTGCTTAAATGCAATTTATGCATTTACCACGTTTCTGAATTGCGTGTTAGCAAGTGTCTCCATAATATGTAAAGATTACTGATTGTACTAGAAATAAATATAGCTCTGCAAAGCTGGTATGAGCAATCCTAGAAAAAAAATTAGTAGGTAATCTTAACAGTTTATTTAGGTTAAAAATTACCTTATTATCTTCAAGTATAACAAGTTATGTGAAAGGCTCTGAAAGTTATGTGAATAGTTTTTCTAGGCACCAAGTTAAAAGGTAGTGAGGAACCTATTGTGAATAATTTGGCAAAACAACGTATACTTCTTAATTATATCTTTAGGAAATGTTTTTATTATAGTGGAATCAATGTTCTCTGCAATTGGAACTGAAATTTTTTTTCCAAAATAAGATGTAACCATTTCTTGATGTAGGTGTTCCAGTTCATCCAAGACTTTGATATTGCGAGTGCATCGTACAAGGATCTGTACCAAGATTTCTTGAACTTGTCAGTCTTACTGCTTCAGTTTATCGAATCTCATCATGCAGAAGAGGAAAGTATTCTTCAAATTGTTGCTGCACGAAGCTGTTTTCAACATATCTGGAAATTTTTTCAGTGTATGCCTCCACCAATATTGCTTCTACAACAAATGCTCGTACCAGAAAAGGTAAAGTATCAAAGGAGAAGTTACCTTCCGAGATAATTATCATCATTATCTTCAAAGGGTTATTTGAAAAATCTCAATCTCTTCAGGTTTAACTTGACCCAAAGGGAAAAGTTTTTTATCTGGTTCTCAAAATATAAGTTTAGTGATGTTGCACTTTGATATAGCTACTGATGATAATGTGTCGGTTACAATTGAATACTTAAATTTTATTTGAAATTCTAAATTTAAATAAAATTCTAAATTTTTCTCATATTCTTTCTTCCTTTTTTTTATTCAAAGACTTTTCTTATTCAAGCGTTTCCTCGAATTTTCTCAATACATTTGTTATGTCAGTTTTGTGTGCTATTATTTAAAGTATAATTAAAGTTTTGAGAACTTTATATTTTCTTGATCGTTGCCGGATGAAACATATGATTGATTACTATAGAATTGTTTCGTGAATGTTTAGTAAGCATTATTAGATTTAGTGAAGCTTTAATAAACTATGGTGAAGCTTACATTTAGCAGCCATGTTAAGTCTGTACTTTATTTATTTCAGGCATTAGCTTCCAGTGAGATGATACTCTTCTTTTTGAGAGTAATACCTATGTTTTACGCAAACCGTAAAAGATCTGTTGAGGAAATTGCCAAGGTATGGATTTGAATTAGAACTCTTTGTTTTTGTAATACCTTTCTTGGAGTTTTTTTAACGGAAAATTGAATCAAGTAAACATTCAAAGTAAGTGATGGTAGTTGTATTTTTAGAAATTAAGTATTGTTTAATGCCCTTATTGTGGAAAATTGAAAGTTTGATGAGTACATTGTATAAAAGATTTTAGGCAATTTTCAATCAAGGCTGTAAGGTTTTTTTAGATTCTAACTGCATGACAACCCTTATCGGGAATATTGAGCATAAAGGTATTTATGAGTTTAGCGCAAGCGCAACGATAAAGGGACAATCTGTAAACCTTTTTATATGTTTCCTGATAATATGGCATGTGTCTTAACAACTTGAACCCATCTTTTTCTTCGAGGTCAGTTGTCACGGTTTTAGCTATCTCATCTAGAGCACTGAAAACAAAAAGTATTGTTATTATTGAAAGCTTAGCCAAATATTCTTTTGAATTCTTTTCTTACAGATTGTGTTGATGTTTGATGAGGTCATCAATGACGACGCCTTGAAGCTTGTTGGGAAACTCGTAGAAGAATGCCAAAAGACCGCATATTTAACACAGCTGATCATGCACGTTGCAAGTGACGAGGGGGTCGAAATCCTTGATGGGAAATGCCAGTGGATACGGCTCATGTTGATTGATGCATTGTCTTCCATGTCCCATGTTCTCTTTGAAAGATTGGTTAGTTGTGAAACACAAAATGAGGAAGACAAGGAAATGATAGCAAAGATGGCATGGCTTGTTTTGAATAACACCATCGCCTGTCACAGAAAAATCAAGTAGGTTCCCATAGATGTTACATCATTTGATCATTCACGTTATTTTGTTTTTGGCCGTTGTTGCTACACCTTTTTCTGCGCTACACTTCTGTATTTGAATCTTTTTAATGCAGAAATGCAGTAATTACACACAACAACGAGAAGATAAGCCAAGATATTGTGGCAGTCTACAGCAAACTGATTGGAACAAGCACTACCCACACAGTAAAAGATGCTGGAGAGCTCAATTTTGATATAGGTAAAATCAATCATCAAGTGGTTTTGTTCGCCAATTTTTCGTGTTGAACAGGGGTGGTTGAAGTTGAAACTCGGAGTTTCATGCTCAACTGTTCAACAACAATCTCTAGTGCTTTAATGTAAATATAACAACTTGATTCGTATTAGATTTGTATATTAGGACGGTATCAAGCAACTCTACCTTAATCTTCTTCTCATGGGTCACTGTTCCTTCTCATGGCCATGCACTAACCCTTGAGCAATTAAATTTTGAACGTTTAAATATTTTGTCTGAATCAATTATCTGTACTGACAGAAACAGGCCAACGTTGATATGGAATATATCCATTATGAAAGTAACAATGAAACTAAGATAAGATGTGCTATTTGGAAACGTTTTCACACTGGATCTTACCTCGCTTTTTAGTTAATAACTTGAGAATAACTCAGTCCCCCCTCTCTTGCTGCAGGCTTGCCAAGTGAAATAAAACAAGCTTCTGAAAAGTGGAAAGATGCCCTGCTCACGCAGTTTCCATCTCCAAAGAAAAAGACGGATGAATCCGGCGTTATCGAAGAGGCTGACCTGTCGTCATTTTTGGATGGCTTGATCAATGCGCATGTCTCTGTTTGCGTCACAGGTTTGCAATGTTTGGTTTTACAGTAGAATAGCAACACAACCCACAATGCTGTTGCCCGATTTTTCAGAACTATTTGCGGAGATTCCAAACAGATTGAATGAAAAAAAACTCCCGCAAGCAGGGATCTGTGTTTCGAGATTCAGACTGTTTTTGAGTCTTATTCTAAAGGCGCATAAAGGAATTGCAGGTCAAAGGCCCTTACACTAGGCTCTTATCTAGCTTGTGTATTTTGATGATGATTGGTCAATGGTGCCTGGCAATAGGGGTGCTTTCTCATGACAACAGATTGATTAGGGGTCACGGTTTTTAAGATTATGGACTAAAGCTTTTTTTGACTGAAATAGGTTTTTAAATGAGAGATTTCTAATAAAACCAGGAAATCCTGTTATTGATAGGTTTTTCTCTTATGGGATTTTCGGTATTAGTAAAATCTCATCTTTTTTGAACGGCCTACCATTTTCTTGAAGTATTTACATGCAACTGCTACCCACAATCGAATTGTTAGGGCACATGTTATCATTTCTCCTCTTTCTTCACTTAGGTATATCATTTAAAGAACCCGCATTCACGCTCAAGCACCTTCTTAAATCTTCCATCGGCTTAATGCATGATATGTTAGAGTGGTTAAAGAAAAACTCCGAGAATCATTTTCAGATGATTCAAGTAAATGCCATTACAGCGTTTGTCAATATAGCAACAGATTCTATTGTTGACCACGTGGCAGATTCTGCCAATCAGATACTGGAAATGACAGTTGGCTCTGGGGATGGAGATCGCCTTCAAGAGATTATACATTCTCATCTGTTATCTCTCTGCTTTTTTGTTGTTGACGAGGAAATCAATAGAGTTGACAGGTACTGGCCTACTTTTCACGATCATTTTGACACAAAATTTATTTATTTGGACACCAGAGTAAAAAGAAATTGGTTATTGTACAACCAACTGCAGTAGAGACCACTTAAGTAAAAAATGGCAGCTACTGCACCAATACCATATTTAGTTTCCATTGTTTTTCCAAGAAACAATTTTAGAGTCACTTTCCGAAATATGATGGACACATAAAAGCGTTTCTCCAGCAGAAAATTGCTCCAGAAGGCCTGTAAAATGTGAACTAATAGAAGTCGTTACCTAAAAACTGTTAAAGTCTTCTGGTTGCAGGTCGATATTTCAGTATAGACTAAACCTATTACCCATGCCACATGACTTTTGATGACTTTATGTTTCTCCAATCACCGGCTAGCCCATGACATGTCAAAATTTACTTGTTTCCTTTTTAGATTCATAACTTCAGAACAGACAGTCCTACAGTGCCTTGCATTCATCGAGTCATCTCTTCAAAGATCTGAGGCACCGTGCTCTGCTGCAAGCTATTTTAGTACTGGGTACTATTTCAAACTAGCTTCGATTCTTCTATCAATAAGGCTATCGAAATTCAGCAAGTTCTATGCCTCAAGAGTGCTTCAGATGTTTTCAAACCTGCTGCTTTCACGTGAGTAACATTGCTAGCCTGCTGAAAGTTCCCTTTTTGATGCGTTATAGGCAGGGAATCCACAGAGATGGGCGAGGATATCCAATATCTTTTACCTTCTCTTCTTTGCATCCCATTCCTCGCCTGCTGATGTTTGCCTGCTTATCTTTGCATGCTCCTCTCTGTCTGCTCTTCTTTGTCTGCTCTTCTTTGCCTGGTCTTCTTTACCTTAACTTTCTTATCTCATTTTTGTCTCCTCTGCTTTGCCCTCTCTCTCTGTGTGTTCATCTTTGCACAGAGGCCTCCTCTAAACGCGATTTATTTTTCTAAACTGCAGGAGGTAGGAACGAGGGGAGTAGCTTCACTGCTTCTGAAAAAATGAAAAAATTTAGCTTATTTTGCAAATTTTCTAATTAGGTTGGATTGATTATGTTGGCAACACCTGCTTGCTTACTTAAAATGAATATTTATGTCGTTATTTTGCAGCTGACAATGCGCAACAAGGTAGTGTTCGCAAAGCAGTTGTTCAGATCTTCAGCGTTGATGCGGTCGACTTGCAAGACTGGCTTTTTTGTGAGATCATGTCCGATTCGAATACCGAAGAGGAAGGTTCCAAGAAACATGGCATTATGGCGCTGCAGAAATTCGTTAACTGCATCATACAGGAACAAGAGTACGTACTGCTTGACATCAGTGATCAAGCCTTACTGACTTCTGATTGCATGAAAATTTTAGTAGCCTATTGCAGACTCCTTTTTTTACTTCCATTATACCGGACTGCTTCATGGCTGCTCGCCATAGCGCTATTTTTAGTGTTAGACGTAATGCCTGCTTTCTGGTGGTGGCTTTCGCACGCTATCTATTGTCTAAAGTGCGCAGGTCTACATTTCATTAATTTATTTTATTTTCAGTAATTCATATACAGTAGCCCCGCAAGTCCACCCGAATTGATTTTCAGGGGGCCGCGGCAAACTTCAATTGCAATTTAAAACACATCAAATTGATAGAATAATATTTTATATTGTAAAGTATTTATGAATCTTTTCTCAAGGAGGTTGCATCGATTTTCTGACATTTCGAGTGGAATTTTCGACAACAAGTCCAAAGCTACTCTAAACAAGACCATTTGGCGATTTGTACATGGTAGTAGCAGTCTCGCTCTAAATGACGTCACCGAAGTTCAACTAATTAAAACTTTGTATTGGTACAAAAACAGGCGTATCTACATTGTATCACCTTTCCTTTTTTTCTAGGTACTTAATGAATAATTTTTTCTTTTAGAGGGGATCTAGATAGTATTCTTGATTCAGCAATGAATGTTTTTGCTAAACTTATCAAGCTTCATATCGAATCACCCAATGAAACACGTGGCGTTCCTTATGGCGATTTTCTGGAGGTCCTTGTCAACATTGCTTCAGCAGTAGGAGCTAAAGGTCATCTAAAGTTGCTGCAAGCCGTTCAGAATTGGATCAGTCTTAGGTCTGTATTGTGAAAAATCGTTCACAGCAATGTATAGCATGTTAATAAGATAAAAATGTGAACTTTGAAGCAAGTGCTCTTCGTCAGTGGGAAAACCCCTACAAATGTCTAGTTATTTCATGGTTTCTATTGACAATTTTGTCATTAAGGCCATAAGAGTGTCAAAACATACTAGTTTTTTGCAAAGGAATCAAAATGCGGATGAGTTGTATAGGATGAATGGCTAGCCTGGCTGCTAGAAGAGACAATGACCAAAAAAGGGCCATTTCGATCGAACTGTGCAGTTAACATCAGAAGAAGAACCCAATCATTTCAAGGTTATGTTAAGGTTCTTGGTCGTTTAGTTATGATTCGTTCATGATCCAAAGCGTTTTTAGCTTAACATCTATTTGCTATATTTTATCATGAATTAAGTTGTGTTATATAATCAAACGGTCCATTTTTCTAGCCGTATTGCGTTGGCAGCCAATTTCAAAGATGTCGAGCAAAACTCTGTTTCTGTTGATGATGATCTGATGAGCTGCATTGCTTCATTGCTGCGATACATCCACCAGATTCTGTCGGCTATGAAGAAGTATTGCTTAAAAGAGAGTAGCAGTCTGACATTGCAACTAAGCTATTCTGAATCTGATTATGGGAGCAAAGATCGTACGGAAGCCGATATCGATGATGAAGTCAACACAGATGACGAGGACTCTGGAGGGGAGGAATCGGTGGGAGAAAAATGCCAATGTTTTCTTTCTTCTTGTTCTTGATACAGATGACTTTATGTGTAACTAGTGCATAATCTAGAGATGCCACGCTTTAAGCATCGATTTTAACACTGAGTCAATCAGATCAAGATCAGCCATAGGTTTCAGTGTTTAATTTACTGCTGATATTGTCAGCATAAGTAAAATCTGCATAAAAATGTAATTTGTACCTATCACTTTTAACTACGCTCTCATTTTCAAAGCACGCTGTCGCAAATCAGAGATGGGTTTACGGCGAGAATCTTCTTTAAAAAATCTTGAATTGTGAAAATGTTAATTTTAGGAAGAAGAATCTCTTTGCAACAAACTATGCTCTTTTACAATGACACAGAGAGATTTTATGGACCAGCATTGGTATCATTGTCACACATGTAAAATGAATGACGGGGTCGGATGTTGTACCACTTGTGCCAAAGTCTGCCACAAAGATCACGATGTCACATATGCGAAATATGGCTCTTTCTTCTGTGACTGTGGTGCGAAAGAGGACGGAAGCTGCAAGGTATTTTCTTCATCTCACTTTTTATTGGAATTCGGTAACAGAAAATCTTGAAATTCGGTATTAGAAATTTTTATTATCGACATTGAGGTCTGCTGAGGAACTATTGCAACTGACCTCGCCTTCTTTGACTTTAAATGTAGAATTCAAGCTACCACCTTTCTACAATAATCCCTTTAGCATTTCTTCTTTCTCCTGTAATCCTAGCCATAGTTCTTTCCATTCCTCATTTGTAATTCCTTCAATTTCCACTTATCTTAAAATCATCTTCACACTTAGCAGTTACTGCTTTCGCTCTTTTTTACACCGTTTTTGACAGCTTTTTTGCCCCTCTATATTTTTCTTCTTTAATGACAAGATGCTTACAAGGTATTTCTTCTCTTCAGGCAATGACAAAGAGAACAGCCGTTACTGGTCTCTCTAATACGCGGAGTATGCCATCATCTCCATTCACAGCTTGGTCAGCAGAAAGCGGGGAAGCGGATAAGCGACAGCGAGGAGGAGCAGCATCTGAAGCGAAGCCTGATATAAAACGAGGCAAAAGCATAGAGAAGAAGCCTTCTTCAGACAACTGGTTCCAAGACACCAGCTTCATTCATTTGCTGTCAAGCTTGCTCAAAGTAGGTTGATATGTATTCTTTTTGACAGTGTTGTGTAACAAATTTTGTGCCTTATGTGAAGTAAGTAATACGATAATACTTAATGTAAGTGTTAATAATAACATTCATAATAACGATAATACAGCTAGCAAATAAATTAAGTACCATAATGAAAATGTAATAGTTTGATTGTTACAAATGTAATGTGTTTTTAACAATCAAACTATTACATTTTCATTCTGGTACTAAATCTATTTGCTAACTGTATTATCGTTATTCTGGATGAAGTACCACACGCAACGTACATATATAACAGCATTCATAAACCTATATGTTGAGATTTTCCCGCCTACCCTTATTCCGGTCAGTGCTGCTTTCGGCTCAGCTGACATACACAGGATTGTAGATCAACACAAATTGTCACTTTTCTGTTATCAAAGAGAACAATGTTTGTCAAAGTGTACCCTTCAATGTAAAGAAGTCTTGTCAAATGAAATTAATTTTGGTATCGAAACTCATAATCACGATTTATGTCTTATTGTAGGAATCTAAAGACGAGATTATTGAAGCTTTGAGAAGCGAGAAATTCATGGAAATGTACATGAGTTTGTTGAGAGATCTTCAAGAGTACAGAGAAAATGTCAATAAATTTCTTTGGGAATGTTTCCATAATATGCGAACAGTGCACCAGGCACTGCAATTTCTCTACTGCAACGAAAAAGACGTGCAAACTTCAGATCAACTAATGGTTCGTATTTGGTTCTACTTTCAACTCACTTGCTTGCGCATCATCATAATCATAGCTATAACTGGCATGATCATCACGCTCTTCAAATCTAATTTCATAGTGTATAAATGTAAGTGACAGGAAATAAGCTTAGTCCATAGACAATGTTTGAAGCAAGAAAATGTGGGGCATTCCTAATTTTAAGATGCAGTGATGAGGGCTTTGTGCAGTTATAGAACGGTTTTGTCTAGTGATAAGCAATAAAAGTATATAGTAATGAAACTATTTCTAGTGATGGCAGGCAAGTTTTACGCATGTTTCTCAAATTTTAAAATTTATGAACAATGACAAAGAGAGTTGGCAGCCTGATTTACTTGATACGGAAATGTATTATCGAAATGTGCAGTGACAAATTTCTCTTAGAATTAAGTATGGTATCGGAAGAGGGGCTCTTAATGATGTTGAGATATCGTGACTGCTCTATAATCTCATCCCGAGTACTTTTATCTCGAAATATGTCTTTTCGTTTTATGAATTTCAAAGTCTCGTTATTTGACAATGCCAAGAGCACTTGTTATTAAATCTTTATCTAAAATATGTATTGTACTCTGCTTGCATATGTTGTTAGATTGCCGAAGATTATGTCAGATGTGACATCATTTTCTCTGAAAGTATACTTAATTGGACAATACAGCAGCACATAGTCCGCATCAGCTATATCACTGATGATTTGACTAGGGTCAAAATCTGGTCTTTGCATAGATTCTGTATAGACAACAATAACCCATGCAAAGAAATTTATTTTTAGATTCCTATCCTTGGATCTCAAGAAGGAGCCTTTGAAAGTGTGCGCCTGAACTTCAGTGGAGAGCAAGGTCAGACTCTCAGGCAACTGATAAATGCACATGTGCTACGACATTCTGCCATGTGCTTAATGGCATCAACTAATGGCAAGAAACAACATCTTGCAGTGACCCACGAGAAAGGAAAGGTTGGCAAACTATCGTCTTATCTGTTTATGGATTCTTAACCTTCTTACTTTTCTCTATAGTTTGTGTAGTTAATTGTTGTAAATTTTCATGTCAAGTTTGTCTTATGTTAATGCTAGTAAATCATATCAAAGCATGATTTTGCTATGGTAGCTAGAGGCGAAAAGATGCACCTATCTAGACCCCAATACTTATGAGCTTTTAAGTTTGATCCTGATATTGGCCATGTGTCCCAGAGCGGTACGACTGACAACTAGGAGAGGCACATTACAAAGATTAGAGCTTATATTGAACTGTTCCGAGCGATGAAATGCAGGCAGACTAATAACAGTTTCAAAAGGCATAGTTTTACGTTAAACGTTTTATTGTATAATTTATCATACAGATCACGATTTTGCAACTCTCTGGCCTGCTCAAGCAACCAGATACAGCAAGCAGGAAACTCACTTTGAATCGGCTCTCGTCCACTACGCTGCCATTTACAATCGTCTCAATTCACAGCAACCCAGAAAATGATGATGCCCTAGCTGTTTGTGGACTCAAAGATTGTCACGTGATTACATATGGGCATTCTGGCTCAGTTGTATCCCATCTTGCTCTGCCTTTGCAATTGGAGACTGGAAATTTCGTCATCAAAGCAATATGGGTGGCAGGAGAACAAACAAAATTAGCATTACTCACTGCTGACTTTGTCAAGGTACCCCAAGATAGCTTTAATTTTACGGTATTATTTTGTTTCTCACTTATTCAAACTCCTAATACACTCGATTCGAAGTTCAAGTGAATCTATTTCCAGTGCTTCAGCACACAGGAGCACTGCTAACGTCACACCCTCTTGTTTCTGAAAAAAATATTTGAACTCTTTCCAAACGTGACCGAACTTTGACAAACTAAGATGTTTTCTGATGAGCTGTAATTTTAAGAGGAGTCCATAATTTAATAAGATTAAAGGTTTTACCTTTTCATTACGATCAAATCTCTACCTTGTGACTAGTAACATGTTACCTGGATGCTTCATATTTCATAAGCAACGTGAATGATATTTAAAGTTATTCTCAAAGACTCCTTGAATGCACGGATAAATTTATATCCTTGCAGTGTCGTCAAGTTCCTTTGCTGCCTGTTTGAAATGATTTGCGACATTGCTGGTTAGTTTTGTGTTGCTTGCATTCAATCTAAAGATGGTGTTCTTACGAATATGATGGCCTCTGTGATCGGCGAGGACAGCACCCTTGGGCAAGGTGTTTACTTGAATTGTGTTCTCTTAACCCAGTTGTGTAATTGGGTACCTGGTCCGTAGTAAAGAGGGGGCTGCACCTTTATGTATTCTCCAAAGCTTTTGAGGATATTATCTTCTGCTGAATAAAAGCCTGTAATCCACCAACTTCACCTTTATTCCTCTAGGTATATGATTTATCGAAATCTGTCAGCTCCCCAATATACTACTACATCCTTCCTGGTGGCAAGGTTAGAGATGCGACGTTTATCAACGATGGTACATCTCTGCGTATTGCAGTTATGTCTTCTCATGGACATATTTACACAGAGGTTATGAACGAGGCAAGCAATGCCTCTGGTGGCGCGTTTTTCCTAACAGATGCAGTAATGGTGTCCCATCCAACATTGAAAGACAGTAACGGGCAAGTCGCTGGTGGTGGTGTCTCTCTCTACTATTCACATGTTCTCAAACTGGTTTTCTTCAGCTACTCCCAAGGTGAGATGGCCTGATCTTAGCGTCATGTGAATCACAATGCCTTCGGATAGATATGAGCAGAAATAGGACTATAAGCAAAAAGAGGAGTTTTGTGCATTTTGGGAATTGGAAAGTAAAGGAATTGTCTTAGTGTCTTAAATGATTTATAATTAATTTGAATTCGTCTTTGATTATTAGAATCGCTTGAGCTTTTTGTAGCAAACTTATGAGACTTATTATTAAGCTTTAAGGCAGCTCCTTCATTTCGTTAAAACAGGGCCGAAAATGTATGAAAAGTGCTCTACAAAGATGAGCATATTACTAGAATTATTTAGTTTTCATATGTCGTCTTTTTACAGGAAAAAGCTTCATAGGTGTCCCGAACAAGTCATTTTCAGAAATGGAAAATATCTTCAACCTGTCGACTGCAGTTTCGAGCCATTCAGCGCTTTGCCAGTGGCATGAAATAGCAGGCCAGCCTGGTTTACTGCACTGTGTAAACCAAAGCACAGGGAACCCAGTTCTAGTCATGGTCAGACCTGAAAAGATTTTGGTAAGTTTTGCGAGACTACATCTTTTAGACTATTTGGCTTCGTTGCATTCATTTTAATTTTTATTTAACAGAATGGTTGCCGTTCTATCAAGATTGATATTTCAAGTGAGCTAACGATTACCATGAAGAATAAGCTAGAACAAATTTATTATCAGGTATATAATGATAAGCAAAAATCTCAGTTCCAAATGCCCAAAATTTTACATTACATTAATTTCACATGTACAATATTTGGAATGTTAAGTGCATTGTTAGAAAGCAAGAAAAAGCAAATATCATTTAACACCAAGAGAATTAGCTAAATTATCGAAATCCTAGAGGGAAGCTCAATGGCTGCGCAAGGGGGGGGGGGTGGTGGGGAATTAGGGCGTCTTGTATTTCGTCTATATTCGGTGAGAAAATATTGGAGCAGAGATTTTATTTTGGCAAAGTATTTTTTCGTAACAAAACGTTTTTCTTGGGTGTTCGTTATCGGTAAAAATAGCATTTCCTGGTAGATAACCATTTTCTGACTGTGAAAAGGACGTGGTCTTTTTTTTCGAACACCCCCCCCCCCAACAAAGGTGTCCTTCGACCCCCTTTCATTAAGGTTACCACGAATTTTTTTTAGGTTTATACTTCTGCGAATAGAGACTGTACATTGTCTTTTTATTTCTATTATTTGAATATCTTTATATGGATTTCTTACCGCTAAAATCTTCAGAGAGAATTATTCTACTCAAACATTGCCGAAAAGATTGTTACAGTTAGTCTCTGCCATTATGTTGGAGTTGAATTCAATTGAACTATAATTTATTATAAAATTTTCAGACCATTGATTAAGCTCCAATTTCTGCAGCTAGATTTTTTTACAACAGGAAAAAGGATTTTCTCTGCAAGATCGATATGTAATTGTATTTTAAGCATGTCACTCTTAATCAGTTGCTACTGCTTCGAATGCTTTTGCTCATGCAAATATCATGCAATGCCTTTCAGATCCAAGAAATCAAGGGATCTTCATCAAAAACAAAGATACAAGACGCAGTGTGTTACTATCATATGTTCCCAGTCACCAGAAGTACAGACACGACAATACAGCAGAAAACAACGATGATTATTCTCCTTGAAGACGGCAGCTTGCGCATATACAATGCCCACAAAGAGTATGCTAGCTACTGGCTTAAGAATAAATTCAAACCAAAACCGTGAGTTTCATACTGTTTCTTTATAATAAGGGCAAATTTTATCGGGTCTTCGTTGTTTAACCAAACAATAACAGTGTTGAGAGGTGTTTTAGCCGTGAAATGATAGAATGTTCATAAATTATTGACTAGGACACTGAGATTTACCCAAAAGGTTATCGAGCTCAGTGCCCTTTTACACACGTATAATGCAAAAAAATCATCTTTTGCGTCAAAAATGTATCAAACATATCATAAATTTGATACTAAGTTCTTTGGTTATTTAAATCTAAAAGGCAATTAAATGTTAACATATACATATTTACTGTACAAGGTCTCGGATCTTCGAGTTAGCAGAAAGCCTGTTAATCTTGTGATTCTCGAATCAGGTACAAAGTCAATGTATTATATTTGTTTTAAAATCTTAGGCACCGCTGGAACAAATCCATGAATTTATGCATGGGTATGAGTGATAAGAATTGCATTATCGTTTGAAATATATTTTCTGCCCTTGCTTTCGTTTCAGTTTCGTTCCAACACCTTCACCACCAAGAAAGACCAAAACCTCTCGAGCTATTGCATCATCAATGCAATCAAATGCAGCCTCTTTCCCAATCGATTTTTTCGAACATTGCCAGGCAACAAATGATATAGAATTTGGGGGAAGCGACATATTGCATATTTACAACAGTCAGCAAGTGAAGTATCGTCTTAACTCATCTGGGATGTATATCGCCAGCACTAAGGTATGACTACCTAGGTTGTACGTTGCCTTATACTTGTTCTCTTATATTGCTTTTCTTTGAATCGATAAGGTTACTCTACCATCAAGATCTACACTGCCAAGTAGCATATGGAGCTATCTTTTGCTACCTTGATGTATAGAGCGATGGTATATTTGTTCGTGTAGTTTTATTTATTTATTTATTTATTTATTTATTTATTTATTTGTTTATTTATTTATTTATTTATTTATTTATTTATTTATTTATTTATTCATTTATTCATTTATTCATTTATTCATTTATTATTTATTAATTATTTTAATTTATTTATTTATCTATTTATTTATTTATTTGTTTATTTACTATTTATTTATTTATTATTTATTTTTTTATTTTTTTTGTATTTTATTTTATTTATGAGAATTGTATCAGCATTAGCATCAAACTGGTATCAGCATTAACACCTGTCATTTGTATTCCAGGCAAGTGGATTTAAAATAGAGATATCAAACACAAATACATCAAATGTGATGGTTGGCCTTCGTGTCCACGTGGGCATGCAATCGCTTGAAAAGATCCCAACCTACATCGAAGTATTCGGCAGAGTGATCCCATTGAGGCTCAGCAGGGGCCGTTGGTTTGACATTCCTTTTACAAAAGCTGAATCGCTCACAGCAGACAAAAAGATCACTGTTACTTGTATGTACCATTTGGAGTTTGATTTTTCCACTAGCAATCTTTCAGCTTATCGAAAATGAAGATTTTTGTCTTAAAATGAACACGCGTTTCATCCTATGTTTTTATCCTGTATTGTTTTCCCTTTTTCTGTATCGATTTGTGCTTCATTGTTATTCTAATGATATTAAAATATCAAATAATTTAATATTTTTTTAATTATTCAAACGTTCACAATACTCACGTATTCATCTGAGGACAAATTTGGATGCTTTTCTGAATCAGTATTCTGTTCGTATGAGATTTGGTATTCTTAAAAGAGCCCTACCTTTACAAAATGAGATACTGGAAAAACGATAAGCTTTTTATGAAGAGCAGTTAATTTATCCTTAGTACACATAAGTATAATACATTATGGTACAACTAGCTTGACATTTTTTAACCCTTGTCTACCTAAGCTTAATACCTTTGCAACAACTGGGAACCGAACTGTATTCCTATGAAACTCATTTCTCTGAAATGGCTTTTAATTTATCCATCCGTATTAACTTGGCAGGACGTAGTTTCTTTCTTCTTTATAATTACAGAATATTTCAAATTTCAGTCGGCCCATCGTCGGATTCTTCTGGCATAAACATGGTTGATTCAATAAAAGTACATTGTAAAACAAAAGAAAGTTTTGGATGGCCGGAAGATCCACATGAAACTGCTGCTCAGGGCACGGATGTGCCTCATGAAGTTGGATCTCCTTCTAGACCCACTGATCAAGCAGAATATGTTGATGTATCTATGTGTGAACCGTAAGTTGAATCATAGTAAAGCCCTGAAGACTAGTAAAAATTTCACTGGGGGATCTATTGAAATCATTTAGATGCAGAAATTTCGAATGTAGATGCAATAAGGTATATTCTTTTGATGTTGTTGTTGCAAATATTTCTCTTAAGGTATCTGGAACATGAAGCGTCACAAGTGCTTTTCCGACAGGCACAAACTGTACCTCATTACAGTAATCAAGTCGTAAGATGGTTTAGATTGATGACATAAGGCCATCTAATATGGCACAAAATGTACCTCAGTTCAATAATCGACGTGTAGCCCAGAAAAATTATGGTTCTAATGTGGAATAATTTTTTACAGAGTGTTAATAAGGATGTGTGCTGAAATCATTATGGGGCAAAATTTCTAGAAGTCACCATAACCCTTGTTTGAATTAAATTTAATCAGTACTTTGATAACTTTTTGCAGGCTTCTTACAAAGCTTCTGGAGACATTGCATGATCATTTGGTGTGTTTTCCTATTGATGAAGAGGCACCCGTTCATCAAGAGTTGCTTGATTTTGCAACCAAACTGGTGACTGCCCTTGGCCCTGCGAGGCTGCAAAACCAAGCCAAAAGCCTGATGGCATCTCTGTTCAGTTCAAGGAATGACTTCTTTGACAAAAAGGTACAAGCAGTTTGCATGAAATATCGAAATGTTACCCATTTTTATGCTTGCTTGGATATCAAAATTTCATGTTAAGAGTCCCTCCTACTTTCATGTAGAATATAATTTTGTTCCTTTTGCAGGATGATGCTCAGATCAAGTATGCTTTGGATCGCTACAAAACTGCCACTGCAGATGATAAACAAGTTTCTAACGCAGCGTACATTGAATCTATACAAGAGCTGCTAATTATAGCAAGGGCAGTTGGAAATGCTAGGCCCAAAAATCTCATCAAAGCCCTAAAAGGTACTTCACACAAAGATTTGGATCGCTTTTGATTTTTTCTCTCTTCGTACAACATAAAAAGTAGCATTTTCCCTTTGAACAAAAAAGTGTTGATATCATATATTGAAAAAGTATGTAGCAAAAATTGATTGGGCCTCACTGAAAAAACTCGTCGCTAGTTTTTTGCTCTTGTATTCTGATCTTTTGCGCATTATCTGAAGTGATTCTGTTTAAGTATATAGCATTTTTGTAAAATTCCTTACCATTTGGTTTGTTTTAGAATTTGATAAAGACAATGATGTGCTTGATAGTCTGATGGCATCATTTTGGAAATTATATGCCGCGAGACCTGTTAACTACATGCTAGCCCCAATCGAAGCACGGGGTAAGATTGAATGGTTTAATTTTTTATCTTTCCCAGGCTACTCCAAGCCGTATGGTTTATGTTTTCTTCTAGATCACGAGATTGCCTGTTTGTTGGGTACTTTTGTGAACTCTAGAAATGATTGCTCTCGTCTAGAACTATGTTCCCCTTTCTAAGAGCATTTTTTTCTTAGATTAAATGACGTTTTTTTGTCGCAGCCATTGGGACTTTAGATGGTACGATCGAAGCTCTTGTCGAAGTTCTATTTGCAGTATTGCTTGGAGACTCTGATAGGTTCCAAAAACTAATGGATATCATCATTAACCTACTGCTTAGCAAGGTAAGTCAACTATTTATTAAGGCTTTATATACGGTGACTGTAAAACTGGAACTAACAAAGATTTTTTGTAGTTAGTACCTTGTGTAGCAGTACTGAAATATGGGCAGTAACCTTATGGCCAGTACATTTTTAAATGCATTTGAGTGTCTACTAAGAAGTATGAAGTAATAGAATGCATGGTTTTCTCATTCTGTATGAATCGAAAGATTTTCTTTACAATGATTTGGGGTTTTTTGTGCATTTGTAGCTCAGTAACTGGCCCTTTCTTTCTTTCAAGGACACAAAAGTTAGTTTTGCTGCAAAGCAAGGTCTTTCGCAAGCAATGCAGCTGAGAAGAAAAGTGACCGTGGTTCCGGATCCGAGTCCAACTCAAAGCGAAAGTCCAGGAATCGAAGAGTTGAATCAAGGCAGCACATTGAAAGATGAAATTCAGGAAGCAGCTGATCAGGTAATGATGTTTTTCAGTCATATTAGTCTGTTATATTCATCTAGTAGCCTTGATACATGCCTTTACCTTAAGTTATCTACTTTAAATTAGCGATGAAAATTATATAGTAATGACAGATCACTAGTTTCTCTCACTGAATTTATTTAGTCTCAGGAAAAGAAGAAAGAGTAGAGTCTTTAAGAAGGGGACAGTAGAGTTGCGTATGCGAGCATGATAGGGATTTCAAATTGTTCTTGCACCTCAAGTTGTGTCAATTTTAATAGTCTGTACTGAAATATTAAGGTGACACGTCAATAGTTTGTTTGTGGATAAGATTCTCCTCCCACCCCTTCCCTAAGGATGTTAGAGTAGCTATACTGTAATGGTGGTTTTTCATTCTACTTTGATGCCAAGATTAGTTAAAATTGATAGTTTGCCAAACTTGTGTTAAGTTCGACGATATTTTTCTTACTCCTGGTACAATAATCGTTTTATCTTGATTAATTTACTTATCTGTTTGTTGTGTTCTTCGCATACTGCTAAACTGACTAGTACTACTGTTATGAAGAAATTAGATACTGAATTAGTGTAGTTATTTTCGGTCGATTAAAATGAATTACAAGAAAACGCAATTGATATCTAGCATTGGAAACTTTATTGGATTGAGACCTACTGTTTTGTTTATCTATTGCATTCATTCTTGTTCCTAAGCAACAACCCGTGCCTGAAATACAAGAAAACAGCTCGTTTGCTGAAGGTGTTATCGAAGAACTAGAACCCCAGCAAAACGGATTGCAAGTTCTTCTTGGAGGTAGGGTTTGTATATTGCCATTTGAAGTATCTGATTCCATTATAAGTAAGAAAAAATAATATAATTGCTGTTGAAAATCAGTAAGATTGTAGAGTTGATTGAATCACAAAGATTGTGCTTTTCTCAAGTTCTATAAGTTATTTCTGCTGCAAATGTCCTTTAAAAATGTTCATATTTACTTTTGATTATTTTTAAAATGAAGTTTATTTTCTGAATCGATGTTTTGTCTGTTACATGCCTTTCTTCAAATATGTTGTGTCTACACAGGCGATGATGCTGTTATGGAGCTTGCTCTTGCTTTGAGCCTTCAAGACCAGGATACAGAGAATGTTGATGATGATGATGATGACGACGATGAGGATGACGTCGACCTTGAAGATGATACTGATGGACCCCTGCCCGAAGATTTGGATGATTCAATTATGCAGGAAAGTGACCAAATAATTGGTAGGTATTTCAATAAAGATATTATGCTAAAAATATATGACTTGTGCTTCTATATATGTTATTATCTCTAATATTTCAAAGTCAAGAATCGCATTTATAAATATTTTTGTGAATTTTATTGCTATAGTTCTTAAGTTTTTTTCGTCAATTTTAGTTTTTTGTGCAATAATTTTGTTTTTAAATGATGTGAGAAAATTGCATGTTTTGTATTTATATCGTATGGATACCGTTAAATACAGGGTCTCTATCGCATTGCCTGAAGAGTGTTGAAATTTTGCTTTGTGCTCTGCTTCACTGCGAAAAATTGAAGAAGAAAAGTAAAAAGGTGTAAATTTATTTTCAGGAGCCGGTGGCTCTGGGGACAATACGGCGCTTCTCGAAGGGCCTGCTGCATCAGGAGAACTATCCAGATTGCGAAAAGGATCGCACGATTCGGAAAGATCCTGTCCTCCATCTTCAAAAAATAACAAAGTTGTTGAAATAACCGACGTGGCGCTTGAAGCTTCGTGGAGTAAGATCTTCAACCTGTTCATTGACCGTTTGCAAGATCTCAAAACGGCTGACGGTGTCCAAGCCATTCCATTCCTTCAGGTTTTTATTGCTTCATTTTAATTTTCCAACACTTGCCATTGGGAGAGTTTCATCCTACCTCCCCTCAATAATGAGGCTGTTAACATAATCTGCCAAAAAAACAAAATCTTTACTTTACAAAGTTTTTATGTGTCTTTGATGTGTATTTATTGGTATAAACTTGATGCCCAGAATCAAACGGACAAGATGGAGGAAAAATGGTTTTCGCAAACATCGTTTTATAAGCCTCATGATAAAACTCGGGGACTTTTTTGACATGCTAACTAAAAGGGCAATTGTCCCTGTAGCCCCAATGACTTTACATTGTTTTAAAAAAAGGCTATTGTCCTTCTCCTTCTATAAATAAAGGTTTACCCCCGCAGCTTATTTCATTGGAATAGGCTATGATAAAACTGGTGCATAAAGATGCTCGGAATTTAATAAGGTCCTTTTCTGAGGATATTCTAATATTTAATATTATTAGTAAGCGATATTGTAATAGCATTAGCTATAGATACTGTTTAATGTTTAGTAAAAAAAGAATATAACTAGATCATATATATACGTTTGTGTTGATACAGTATATTGAAAATTCAGGTCCTCCTGATGCTCTGTTCAAGTCTAACCGACTCGGCAGAAGACCAGCAAAGTTTGGAGAAAGTTGTGTCAGCATGCTTGGATGTCTTAGACCCCGATGACAAGGTCCGTAGACAGCTTAAGAAGTTGTGTCAACGATTATATGCATTTTTATGAAACCCTTATTGTAGATAAATAAAAGGAAAGAAATAAACGAGTAAATGACCAGAAGTGCACGGAAATAAGAAGAATGCAATTTGGTGTTCTAAAATTAGCGACAATGTGGTTGATACCTTTCATTTCCCATAGGGCCATGTCCTCATCAACTATTAATCTAGCTTAACTTCATTACATTTACTGTTATTTGTCTAATGTCTTGTCTAAAATTTTTCGAATGCTCTGTCTCAAAATATTTATGTTCAGGCATGTTTTAATGATATTACATCCGATCAACAACAGTATACGGGTTTTACAGGTAACTGGAAATATCGCTGAACGGAGTCCAAAACGAGAAGTGCAACTAGTCATTATCCGTTTCTTCAGCGTCTTGATGTCACAGAGCAGACCTGTTGAAGATGTGAGCCGGGACAAAGAGGTATTTTAAGTAAATTTGATATATGTTGACCTTCCTCGAGACACTTGATCGAGCTTTTCATCATCATGCTTTTTGTGCAATGTTCCCTTACTCCTTTGAATATTTTCTAGGCACCCAAGCTTGCATGCATATCTTCCATGCATTAAGCATCTAATAAGATTTCTTTTCTTTCAAATGATAGCAAATGTCAGCTGAATCGAATCTAGTGAATGTCAATTTGTTTTTAAATCAGAAACATTCCGTCTATTTGCATTTTATGAACTGTTGTCTGCTGTATTCCCTAATTGTTGTATACATCCTGTTTTTATAGTCAAGTGAAGCTCGAATTAAGGCAAAACCAGGAAAAACTGTTGCGAAGATTCTTGCAGAGAAGGGAATTGTGGGTTACTGTCTGCAGCTACTTGAAAGTCTTCTTCCTCACTGGAGAGAACTGAAAACAGATGTAAAGGTAGCTAATGCATTCTTATTGTTCTTGTTGGCACTAGCCAGAAGTAAAAGATTTACTTTTTTTTCTCAATAATTTTTGAATTTTTTATTGGTTCAAGACATGGCTTGGTTAACTAGAACTATATTTATCCTTTGTGACTCATGGATAATCCTCTCATCTGAAGGACATGAAATGTGGATTTATACTGGGTTTCAGGAGAAACTTTTTGATGTCCAATTTATACTTTGTGCTAAAAGTGAACGATTTATATGTAATTACTTGTGTACTCCAAAATTTCGAAATTGTTCCAAAAGAGGATACATATGTGCAGTGATATTATAGAACAACGCTAGTATTCAGATTGCGAAGATTCACGACAAGTTTAAGATCATTGGGCAAGCAACTCCCCCTTTTAACTTAGGTGTTTTGGAACACGTCGGTTTTCCATTAACTTTTCGGTCGTTTGGGCGTTCAATTCTTTTAGTATAATGTGCCAATATACCAACCTCAATAGCTTACATTTTCAGCTGTCTTTTAGCAATACAAAGTAACACTAATGTGAGTGTAGCCGAGCTCATATATTTTTTTGCTATTAACTAATTATATCTAATTTTTCTGTACATCAGACCGAGGCATCAGATGAAGACGAGGTTCTACTGAAAGTCAAACCATACCAAAATCCACCAGACATGTCACCTTTTTTCTTGAAACAATACGTCAAGGTAAATTGATCAGATTTGCCATGTGCTTTGATGGAATTTCTTTGAATTAAATGGAAAAATAACTGTGTGATTAAGACGCTATCTGTAAAAAGGTGCGAGGATGGCTTAGTGGTTAGAGTCGCTGACACAGACCCAAGAGTCCGTGGTTCTTGTCCCTGACATGACCAAACTTACTTAGCAGGATATGAGCTTGCTTTGCAATGAAAGATCTTTCTGCTCGCAAAATAATTCAGCACATTCAAACTCAACTTTTACTCAGATTGAGGAGAGTCGCCAGCTCTCTGTAGTTCCAGGCATAGGAATCACGAGGTGTGGTCACATCGAAAAGAAGTTCCAGGACACTGCTCGATAAGCAAAAAGCTTTTCAGTGTCCTAAAACTACCTTCAGAAGCTAGGTAGCAAACAATACAATTACGGTATCTGTGTGCTTAGGAATGCTTGCTTTTGATTAAGCACTTGCTGTTCTGTCCAATAGTCACCACCGCTGGTAGCTCTGGTAAGGAATCATCGATTGACCACGGATTCTAACACACTATACTATTGACACTACTTTTTTCTATATTCAATTGTCCTCCATACGAATATTCGTATGTCCTGTATTCGAATTCTTAAGCAGTTGTTTCATTTTTGCTGATTATAATTCACGTAAAGCTGGATTTTTTCTGTTTTCCCAGAGTCATGCCAACGATTTGTTTGAAGCATTTCCACAATTGGTTACTGAGATGGTGCTTAGGATGCCATATCAGGTATTTTTTGGTTCAATGAATTTGTATCTTCTTGTTGCTTTTTGTCTTAAAAATATTTTAATCATTTGATACACCTCCTGTACTTTCTTCGAATTTTGTATCTTGCTCATAAAGATTGACCAGCTTTTCAGTTTTCCAATACCCGGCATGCATCCGGATGTTCGTCTCGTGTGCATACTAACTTGGGATTTTTCTGACACCCCAAAGCATGAAAACTTTGTGGGAGGGGGGGGGGGCGGATTATTCAGTTTCTTACAAAGATCTGATAAGTACTATTATGTGAATGGAACTGACCATCATACTAACATATACGCTCCAGTGGAACAAAGTTGTTTAGACGTAAAAAGATACGGGAGTCTGTTTTTTTTCGAAAAGTTGACAAGTCTTTCTCTATGGCTTTAAAAATATTATCATCACCATTGTCATTTCTTTTAGATTTGGAAAAGATTGGAAAATTTGAGTGACCTGGAGACAGGGCCGTTTGATAAGCAATGGATTCATTGTCTCTGTGAGGTATATGTCCATGCAACTTATTTCAATTGATCGATGACTTCTTGTTGCTTCTTTTGGTTGCATTTCTTTTCATTTGACATTAGATAAGCGAAAGATTGATTGATTTTTTTTCTTGCAGTACATGATGGCAAACGAAACACCTTTCATAAAAAGACACGTGAGAAAGGTTTGTAGTCGAGAAAAATTCGCTTCCATTTATTGCATTAAAAGGCGCCTATAGCAAGCGTTGAAACTTCTCAGTTTTTGTTATTTTAACCTTCTGAATCTCTTCATTCATGTTTCTAGCTGCTTTTGGCTCTCTGTGGCTCAAAGGAGAAATACAGGCGAGTAAAGGACGTACACACATTGAAGTCTCACGTTAGCAACATACGGTAAGTCTACAGATTGCCTATGCTTTTTTGCAAAATACAATATAGAGGTTGAAATGATGATGCATCTCGTAACGTTAAAGAGACAGGTTTTACAAACTAGTCTTTTATTGTAATACACGATAAAATAACAATGAAATGTTAAGTGCAGATCACTTTTGTCTTGAGTAGGCTTAACTGCTTGAATTTTATTGTCCCTGTAGGAGTATTCTCCAGCCATCAAGCCTTTCTGATGCACAAGCAAGTTTCACTTATGAGGACACCGTTCGTCTGGTATGCATACTAACTTCCCATTTAAAAAAATTTCTTGAAACTACGTGTCATTTACAATAACTAATATCATGGACCAGACTCCAAACATATTTGTAAATAAAAGACATTGTGCCGGCTGCTGCAACTCGTGTTTTGTTGAAATCCAGGCCTGGAAGATGTACAGCCTTCTTTTGTTTTTTTAAAAGTATACGGTGGTTAGAGGGACTATTTCTATGTCGAATTTCTATGGGCATTTATAATACCATTCGTTGCACTATACAATAGACCTATTGTTACGTATTCAATCGTTTTCTCAATCATAAAATCGCTGCAGTGCTCATTGTCAACTCAAAACGGTTTGCTGAAGGAACATTTGCTGACTTACGCGAATTGAATTGAATGCATTTGTATTTAAGCTGCATGTAGTACAACACAACAAAACAAAACACAGCACAACGCAACACAACACAACACAATACAATACAAGGCAACACAATACAACGCAACACAACGCAACGCAGCACAATGTAACGCAACACAAATCAAGGCAAGAAAGCGCAGCGCAACACAAAACAACGCAACACAAAACAACACAGCACAACGCAACACAAAGCAACACAACACAACACAACACAACGCAACACAACGCAACACAACAAAACACAATACAATACAAGGCAACACAATACAACGCAACACAATACAACGCAACACAACGCAACGCAGCACAATGCAACGCAACACAAATCAAGGCAAGAAAGTGCAGCGCAACACAAAACAACGCAACACAAAACAACACAGCACAACGCAACACAAAGCAACACAACACAACACAACACAACGCAACACAACGCAACACAACAAAACACAATACAATACAAGGCAACACAATACAACGCAACACAATACAACGCAACACAACGCAACGCAGCACAATGCAACGCAACACAAATCAAGGCAAGAAAGTGCAGCGCAACACAAAACAACGCAACACAAAACAACACAGCACAACGCAACACAAAGCAACACAACACAACACAACACAACGCAACACAACGCAACACAACAAAACACAATACAATACAAGGCAACACAATACAACGCAACACAATACAACGCAACACAACGCAACGCAGCACAATGCAACGCAACACAAATCAAGGCAAGAAAGTGCAGCGCAACACAAAACAACGCAACACAAAACAACACAGCACAACGCAACACAAAGCAACACAACACAACACAACACAACGCAACACAACAAAACACAACAAAACACAACGCAACACAACAAAACACAATACAACAAACACCACGTAACACAACACGACACAACACAACACAACACAAGTAATCTGATTTACCTATAAAATGAATACTCCTATTCACTTCCTGTTTGATTGTGTTTTGTAGGCAGACAATTGCAAAGCATGTGCCGATATTGCGATGGCACGTGTTGATAACTGGCAAGCTTTCTGTAAAGAAGAAAAAGGTTTTTCTATTTTTTACATTTTTTTCTAGTAATGATATTTTTAGCAAGATTGTTGTATGAAGCCTATTTCCGGTTTTGTGAGTAAATTTTGCAAATATTAACATTATTGTTGCTGTAAATTTTATCAGAACAGCAATGATTTTTTCAAGCCACAATGAATTACAGTACAGCCATTCTGCCGTGAATATTTCCTAAAATCTCCAGGGACCTTTGAAGATTGATGCAATGCTGTATTGACGACGGCAAAAATTTATAAAAGTTAAAAACATTGAAAATTCTTTCAGTATTTGAATAATGACTTGATGTTTCGATTCAGGCAGGACACATTGATAACAGCGTTCATTCGCTGAAGTGTTTTTATTCCTGTATAAATATTCGAATTATTATTATTATTATTAGGTGTGCTGCCATTTTTGGTGCAAGGCAGCTGTCGTCTCTCTTCTGAACATGTTTCTGGTATGTTCTTGCAACTGATTGGTTTAGCACTTGGCAATTCATCGCAAAAATCTACATCTAGCAAAGTAGAGGATAGGCCAGAGAAGGCTGGAAACAAGGGTAACCTCAGAATTTTAAAAACCTCATTTATCTTGCTTTATTGAGAGATCTTGAGCCTTAAAATGCACTTTATTTTTTCTGTAGTTGACATATTCTCGCAGTTCCAATATTTAATAATTTGATAATTTGATGGGCTTTGACTCCAGAAAAGCTAATTTAGTAAAAGTCTGCTAGAAAATATTGAAATATTGAATATTAGTGTATTTTCGACGTCATTGAGCCCTATAAGCTGTTTTAAAACCATTGCTTGTAAATTGTTCTAAACTTTAGGTCCTTTTTGCCTTTGAAGACATTTACTGCTCTTCTGGTTTTTTACATTTTTCCTTTAAATTGTTTTTTCTTTTTATTCAGGTCACGTTAAGGAGCTTGTTGGTATTTTGTTTGAAAGTTGCTACAGCTCGTTGCTTTCAAACTTCATCAAGTTCTTTTTACTTGAATCAAATTCAACAAGCATGAGATGGAAGGCCCACGAGCTGATGTATACAGTCTTCAGGTAGGTCTCATGATAGAAAATACCTGTATGGTATTGCTACCTATCTCCCGAAGGTATTTTTTAGGACACTGAAAAGCTGTGCTTATTTAGCAGTGCCCTGGTTCTTCCTCTCGATATGAAATTTGTACGCCTGAAATTACAGCAAGTAGTGACTCTCCTCTCTCTGAGTGAAATTTTAGGAATATTATCAATATTTTGCGAGGAAAAAAGATCGTTCTCTGCTAAGTGAGCCTCGTAATATGTGTTATTGGTTCGATACCCAGTTTTCAGTATTTCTTTTCAAAATGCTTATCATTTTTTCTGCATTTCTCACAGGCCCTGGCCAAATTATAAATAGCAACTTCCCAATAAAGTTTTTTGTTCAATACAGTTGTCTTTAAATCTTAAAATTAAGGAAAACGGTTCTCTTTCTTCAAGGAACGTATCATCTGATCAGTGTGTTCGCCTCGTTGAGCTGATGTGGCAGCTGTGGAGGTGCGTGCCGTTCTCTGGACACAAGGCTGCTCAGTTTGTCGATCTTCTTGGCTACTTCACTGTCAAGACTCCTGAAATTAAGGATAAAGTGAGTTTATTGCATATGTTGTAATCAACTTCGTAAGAATTGCTGACAAAAAGGATCGATAAGGCAGGCATGATCCTCTTGAAATCGTGCATTTAAGGGTTCAACCTTGATTGATATTATAAAAATAGCGATGAAATTGATCAATAAGAAGAAAATGCTTTTATAAAAATTACCAAGACCCGAAATTTTTTAATTTGGCGAAATACTTTTTGCTTAATCATCAGATATTTCAATATCTTGCCATTATCGTTCTTTTAATCTTCAACTATATATTCGTTTCATCATTCCTTTTTTAAATATCAAATCACATTTTGTTGCTTGTTTTTAGATGAAGCATTACACTAAAACAATTTGCTCGCTGTTGTCTTTCTCGAACAATTTGCTCATGAACCATCCAAATGCCAGTGTTTATAAGTAAGTAAATTCACACAAATCATGCCTATACGCTACTTATGCCTACTTTTTTAGCTATTGCTTACAATTGTCTCAACCAAATCTTACACCAACAATAGAGTTCTAAAATGTGACGTCACCAAAATCTATCTTTAGAGTTTTTGAATTCTAACCACATACTATAAAGATCACCATAAAATACTTTCAATTATGCAAAATTAGTAAAATGCGTCAAAAATCAGTTGAGATATTACCACTGAAAGATTTGAAGTTTGCTAATGAATATAGTTATGAACAGAGACCAAAATACAGAGGTTTGATGGAGAAAGAGCCAGTACACATGTAGCCATATCTCAGCCAATTCATAGAACATTTGACTGATTTTGTATATTTAGAGATATTCCATAATGCACTTTCTGGCTATGGGACCCAAATTCAAAAATTCTAAAAACAGACTTTTGTGACGTCATCACTTTAGAACTCTTTTGTTTGTATCCAAAAATTCCACTAAATTCAAGCTATTACATTAAAATTGCATTTGAAATGCCTTCACACGATTAGGTTAAATAAGATCAAATTAGAATCTGATTCGAAGCTTTGTTCGCCTCGTAAACTAAAATCAAAGATTTTTGCCGTGTTTTGCCAGATCATCAATTCTTGATATGTTTTGTATCAACTGATCGAGAAACATTTTTTATTACTTATATCTTTGTCTGTTTCCAATCATTTGCTATTGCCAAGTAAATATGGGTTTTAATGTCCGGCAGAGTACGGCATTAGCATGTTGGCTATTTTGTTTTAGGCGCCTGCAAAGTCTCGTGGAAGTTGGTGGATTCTACTTGGAAAACGATCCTTGTATCGTTTGCAACAATCCAGAAATTCCTTTTGCGGTACTTCTCTACTAGTCCTCTTTATTCTCACTGTCATTCAAACAGTTGCCCTTCCATGAATTGTAACGTATTTCGTAGGCACCCACTGGAATCTCTATGATACAGCTATATGACGTGCTTGAAGTACTTTCCAGGCTGAAGGCAGTCTATGTTGTGTTTGATGTCAATATTTACAACAATGCCATTAATTGGCCGACGAAAATGATGATTTTGCTGCTCTTTTGAGCATTTGATAATGTTCTTTGATATATAGCAAAGCAGAAAAATTGCTTATAGAAGGCTCTGAACTATTTCAAGTTTTTTAAAAAATCTATATGGTGTGTCAGATCTAAATATGTGAGACCAGCTTACTAAACCATGTTTTTGCTTCTAGCATACAAAGCTGACATCGATTAAATCTGACATTCGATACACCACAACAGCCCAGCTAGTCAAGCTCAATGTTAACTACACGATTTCCCGCCTGTTACTTCGCATATCAGACATCAAGAGGGCAAAAATGGTGAGTATAGCTTTTCATATTTCTTGAACTGTGAGATTCGAATTTTGAAGTATTTAAATTATTATAACCCAACCAACTGTTGGCATTTAAGTCAAGTTGGAATTTTCAATTTGCCAAAAAGTCAAGTTGGATAAGAGTTAAAAATGCGAGTTAAAAATGCCGAAGGTCGCATTAAAGCCAAAACCATATACCCAATAAGATGATCAACCTCAAAGTTGTCTCACATCAAAGTTGTATCACACCATTCATCAAGACCATCGGTTTTTCTTGCATCGATGGTCTTGCAAAAGGTTTAATGACCCGTTATAGCCACAACCATACCCTTACCCTACTGGCAGTTGGGTATATGGTGTATGATAGCTTCCCTATATTCAAGAAGTTCTGAAACTGCCTTGAAGTAAATAAGAAGAAAATGCGAGACCTTCGTTGTGCTGCCCTGTTTTACTGATATAGAGTTCAAAAATTTGACGTCATCAAAAATTTCTTAATTTTGACTACATATTTTGAAAGAACGGCATAAAATACTTCTCAATATGCAAAATCAGTTAGATATGTTCAAAATTGGGTGAGATATGGTCAATGAGCGAATTCTTGCCTGGTTCACAAAGTTATGAACCAAGATCAATTTACAGAGGTTTGGTGGGGCAAGAGCCTGTGTTCATGTGGCCATATCCTAGCCAATTTGTAACACATTCTGCACTTTTAAAGGTTTTTCATAATGCTTTTATGGGTTGTGTGGTAAAAATTGAAGAAATCCGAAAATATATTCTTATGACATCATCATTTCTGTACTCTTTTATCTGGCCAGAATGCTTACTTGGATTTTGACAGAGTTTGCTCAGAACTTTGCTCAGTTAGATTCCTATCTTGAACTGCTGTAGAAAGAGTTTTCTCCTAGTTAATATCACTTGATTGTCTATACTGTTTTGACATAAAATCCTGTTGTTCAACTATCGTTGTTCAATACTGTTGTTAAAGAGATATCATCTCAGCAAGATAATTTGTTTCTTTGAATACTGAACACTGAAAATTTTATTTTGTTTAAGGTGAAAACAATCAACATCTATTATAACAACAAGCCTGTGCCGTCAGTGGTGGAGCTGAAAAACAAGTAAGCTAGACATTTTTTCTGAATGCTTCTTGAGCAATTGTGAACGAATTGTATTCCTTGCTTGTAAATAGACAGTATCCATATTGGGTATATCAATATTAGCTTTTTATAGTTAAAGGATGGTTTTGATAAATATTTTAACTGTTCTATTAGGAAAAACATCTGGCAACGGGCAAAGAGAATAACATTAACAGCGGAGCAAACTGATGTGAAGGTAAGGTGTTTTTCCATCCTCATTCCTTTGTCCTCCCCATTCGTCTCCTTCATGGCATTGAAGCAAATTGTGTAATGGAAAACCATATGGCAAGCCTTTTTTCATCTTCGTTCTGTACTTTTAGGTCGATTTCACTTTGCCGATCGTTGCGTACAATCTTATGATTGAATATGCAGATTTCTATGACAATATTCAGGTAGGCCCTTATACAGTATTTGTTTGCGTGAGCGAATGCTAACCAACATTCTGTCTGCATTTTTACTGGATTTTCACTTTATTCCAAGCACGTGATTTGGTGCTGTATACCAAGATAGAACACTCTTCGTCAATTGTTTCGGTTGTAGAAGGAAACGGGTTTGAGAAGCAACCTTAACTCGCGCATAGTCCTCTTATCAGACTGTTATAAACTGACTGAATATTTTTTTGAAACTCAATATGACACAGTATTGTTCAAAAGAAACTGACTATTGTCTAGCAGACGGTGATAGCTCATTTCAAATGACTATAAAATCGAGGGTTTTAAGAACAGGTTCGAAACGTCACGCCCAGAAAACTTCATGCTGATCCAAATGCCTATAACCAGCTTCCTCAATTCGAATGCCTATATAACCAAGGTCGTCATTTTGTTTTCAGCTTTCAGCAGAGTCTTTGCAATGCCCAAGATGCAGTGCCAGTGTGCCAGCAAATCCTGGAGTATGTGGAAATTGTGGTGAAAACGTCTACCAGTGCCACAAGTGCAGGTATTTTTATCTCTTTCATAATTACAATTTTTGCTGAAGTCTCGGAAGTAATGGTAATTTTTCAAATATTCAGGTAATTTGAGAATGTCTTGATCTTGGATTCAAAGAAGGAAAGTCATTTAAAAATGTTGAATTTTGAAGAATTTAAAAAATGTTGATGTCAAAATATTGTAAATGCCCTCTTTGTAGTTAGCATTCTGCAGATATAGGATCAACTTTTCAAGTTCAAAAGATAGGAAGGACTGTAAGAGAGCCGGTTTTTTTATAATAGTGGATCATATTTAAACAATTTTCCGAGGATGGTGTATCAAGATTTTGCCGAGAATGGTATTTTGAAAGGCAACAATTTGTTAATATCGTGGGTCACCATGGTTTGTTACGTCAGACGTTTAGACTCAGATAGGTTGCTCTCACAAGTAAATTCAGTTGAAATCAGTTATGATATAACACGTGTTTGTTCATGTTAAGATTGTAAATGGAATGCGTTTCGTGTGTCTATCATGAAAGCTGAAGATTTCTTGTGCCCAAGACACGTAACAAATTGTTTTTATTTTTTCACACATTTTGTTATCTATTTACATATATACAAACTTTATTCTCATCGACATTCTACTTTTTATTTTATTAATGGTACATATTTTTTAACTTTTAGAGCAATAAATTATGACGAGAGAGATCCTTTCTTGTGTACATCTTGTGGCTTCTGCAAATACGCCAAGTTTGAATACACATTAGTTACGAGGCCATGCTGTGCTGTCGAGCCAGTTAATGATGAAACAGAACGCCAATCGGTATTGCTGGATTTGTTTTTCCCTGCTATCTAGACTAGACTAATGCTTTTCTAGTGGAGTGTTTAAGTGAGTACTGAGAATGATATAGAGTCAGAATTATGGTTTCCACACGGATCTAAACCAGTGCATAGTAGCTACACTGATTTCCATTTCGAAATGCAGGGGAAACAAGACTCTCGAATATTAAGAAACTTGAAAAACTTTAGTTTGGCTATAAATCCCAAACCATTGAGGACCTGATAAAAATGTGATGACTGAACAGGATAATCCCAGTTAAAAATTCATCAAAGAAAGAGCAAAGTTTGAATTTTCCTGTACTGTTCATGTTCACTATAAAACACTATAATTATTGTGAAATACATATTAGGCTAACATAGTTTGACCTTCGGCATTATGCCTTATACATAAATCGTTCAGATATATCGACCAGTCACAAGCTCTTCGATCGATGTACTTTACCCTTGTCAGTCATACCTCTTTTAGTCATCTGCCTGTTGTGTTAAAATGGGTCCACTTTCTCAAGCTAAACAAGTTTCATTTTAATTTTAGGCCTTGAATTCTGTCAATACACTCTTGGAATCAGCTGACAAAATATACCAGCAACTTTCGAACCACAAACAATCGCTTGAGACATCTTTGCGCAGCGTTTCAGAAGAAAGTAGCACATCGGTTAAGGTAAACAATTTCAGCATTTTTAGACTCCTTTTGATAATGTACTTTTTAGATACATTATGATAGACCCAACTATGAATACTGAAATTTAAATAAGTTGTTGACTGGTGGGTGAATATTTTTGGATTCGTAACAAGGCAGACTATTTTATCCCTGTTCATTTCGCCTTACAACCATCAATCAATTAAGCGACTACACTCTGATAAAATTTTATTCGTACCTTATTCATAAGAAGTTTATATTTTGGTGTTGCCTTACTCATATACAGTTTATATATTTTTGAGATGCTTTTTTCCTTAGGATTCTTTATTACATTAAGAGGCCCTTTACATAAGACCTGAAATGAAACTGTCGAATGCTTTTTACATGATATTCAAGTGACTACATGATTATCATAGTATGAAGTTTGACATTGATTTCCCCCGACATGAAAAACTGTTCTGTTTACATGGCACTTTCATTTCATCTCATGGCATGAGTTGCATTTTGGTCAACGCCATGTATTAGAACAGTAGCTCAGACCAGCACCCGACATTAAACTCGTTCCGGCATGAAAACTCGTGCCAGCATGAGTTTCATTTCGGGTCTCATGTAAAGGGCCTCTAAGTGTTGCCATCTCATAGACACAAACATTGACATGCACTTTTCTTTGTTTACAGGCTGTTAGCGCCTCCTCAGCAGCACCCGGTGGCGCTGCCGCATCTAGCGCAGCTCTTGTCAACAAGAACATCCAAAGCATTGCGCAGAAATACTGCAACGACTGTAAAACATCATTTGAGGAACTGAGCAAAATAATTCAGGTTCGCTACAGAAATCATTTATGATACGCTTCAAATGACGTGAAGTGAAATATGACCTTGATCATAACAACAAAAGTTGTTTTTTGTTTCAAAAACCTCAGACAAGAGGTAGCGTTTATTTAAGTTTCCTGACCAATTTTAATGCAGAAACTATGCACCTTCCGATCATTTTCAAATCCTCATTTGTTAGTAATGGTTCAACCAACTCGCTGTGTTAGATCAAGTATTTTATGCTACCAAGGTCTGAAATATAAATTCTTTCATATTTCGGGGGTTTTGTGATCGTTCCAACCCAATACCTTTGCAAGGTTTTGCTTTTGATTTGTCAACCTTTAGTTAATTTTCTGTTCCCATCATCGATTACATTAATTTCAAGAAACTATGTTTATTTTCTCGCACTAAGAGTATCTTGCATAAATTTTGACTGTAGAAAGTGACAGCCACTAGGAAGGAGCTATCTTCGTATGATCAAAGACAACAAGAGGCCCTATCAACAATAGTGGCAACAAGCCCAGGTGCCTCTCCGGACCCTACAGGAGACTCCCCGTTCTCGCCTATGGATTCACTTGTGTCATCAAAGGGAGTGAAACGTCAGAAAGATGAAATTGCTGCTAATATGATGGGAAAATGTTACGGATGTGCTTTGTACACAGTTGGGCATTGTCTCACGATTTTAAGGGCTTTTGCAACAGTTGAAGAATCGCACAATTGGATGCTGTCACAGGTAGTTTTTTTAAGCAAGTAGCCAAGTTAAGTTGCTATATATAAGGAGATCTGGATGTTTGTTTTTAATGTCTCGAAGTTATTAATATCTTAAAGAAAATATTTAACCGCATCCAATCAAAAATCGGACCATCAATAACTGCTAAAATCATGTAGGTTATAGCAAAGGACAGATGCGTGTATGCTTGGAAAACTCGTATGAGTTGTTTTTGCCGCCTGTAACATGCCAGTCATGTGCAAAAATTGTTTTTTATGCAGTGCTTGATTGTATATTTGAAATTTCATGCTGGTAGCTGCTCTGCAGATGCACTGAAAGGACAACAACACCAGCCACTTGTATCTGTATTTCTGTATCAGGTGACGATGTGCGATTGTTTCTTTTAGGGACTTCTCCATGAGCTGCTTGAACATAGTTTGCAGCACAAAAGACCACAAGTTACATCTCTTGCACAGAAGTTGATAATATTAATGACAACTGGGAATTTCATGGCGACAAATGAATTGAACCAGATGATTATGAGACAAGTGTCGTTGTCCCTTGAATCAAAGGCTGCCAATGTCATATCTGTACGTATGAAGTTTTTTTACATATTGTGATCTACAGTAATGGACACACCAATGTCTCAGCATATGACGTCTAGTATGCTTATATAGGACAGGGGGACCTTTCAACATAAAAAGCAGTGCGGAAAACCCCCACTATGCCCTTACATTTCCCAGTGGGCAGCCCCTGTTTTCTAACTTTAAGTCTCCTTGAGTTGAAATTTTTTTATGTTTTGTCTTATGATTCAAGTTCTTCCGTACTTATTTATGATTCAAGTACTTCCGTACGCCCCATTTTTTCCCACAGTTGCATCACAGAAAGAAAAATACCCTTTTGCATTTAATCCCAACAAGTAAAAATCCCCACAAATATATATCAAAGGCAATGTGTCACCCTCTAACCACCATCAGAAGATGAGACTAACGTATTTGAACAGCTATTAAACTTGGAGAGCAGTCAATACCGGTTTGTCAAGGATTGTTAGCATACCGTCAAAATAAAGGCTTTGATTTTATGAGGATCCTAATTTGTCAAACGTTTCTGAAGCTCTGATAACATATGTTATAAGTAACGAGAAATAACTTGTTTTTTTTTTTTATATTCAGGATATCTCGCTCCAGAGCCAGATGTCAGTCCTTGGACTTTCACTGAATGCATTGGACGATTGTTGGGACGACCGATTGCGTTGTGGTATTGCACCTTTATCATTCTCCGTAAATCCCTCTCATGCTATTTTAATGTTTATATCTTGAATCACAAGGGATTTGCAGGTAATAGCATCATGATGAATTACTTAGGGTGAACATCACATCATGGGTGAAATTGGAGGGGATAAAGGGGCAAGGGCTCGTGTCCCTCAAGAAATTTGAAGCTAGAAATTCGTAGTTATATTTAGTTGTCGATTTTACAGTAGATCTTTTTATCGCAACTTGATGTTCTCCTTTGGAAAATTAAAGGTGTCTTTTTGGTCCCTCGAATCCTCCCGGTTGCCTTTTTAGATGTCTTACAATAATTCTTTTTTTGTAGCTTTTTCTATTTAGCCTTAAGTAGCAATCCAAATTGGTACAGAAGCAAAAACAGAATCGCTAGTTTGTATTAGCATTGCTAACATCTTAGCCTCATGGAAATTTCACTATCAGATATTTGTTTTTTTTCTAGTTTTCAATTTATTTCTTGATTCAATGCGTGATAGCAACACAGATGTCCTTGAAAATGTGACCCTCCCGTGTCTGAAAATTATTGCGAAGAGTATTCAAGATGCAACTACCAATACGGAAGAAAAGGTTAATGTCTTGTTTTATTCCGAGGAAAAATAGATTTTCTTCTTCCTTGCTATTGAGAATATGTTTTGCTTCTCTGTTCTAGGTCTTGATACGTCACTCTTATGCGAATCATTTTCTTTGCTTGTCAAAGAGTGTTTTTTAACCCCAATGGCCTAGAAAAAAACATTTTCTGAATGAATTATCTGTGAATTCTATTGATAACCAGTATCACATAAAAAAGTATTGCTAGCGATGATTATAACTGTTCTGGAGACTTTTTATTTTTTTCCTTTTGTGGTATATTTTTTCAGTTTCTTTATTTCAATTTTTCAGGGAACAAAAGACGGAGCAGTTAAGCTTCGTGATGTGAATGCCGTTAAGTGGCTGAATGGTAGTTCACAGCACACCTTGGCCTACTGGCGTGCCAAAAACCCAGTTCCATCAAGAGACGAGTATTTGGCTGAAAAGTATGGTGGAATCTGGTTGCGGAAGTTAAAGGTTCAGAAAAAGCCTGATAAGGAGATAGGCATAACTGGCGAAGCATGGTTGCGTCTTCTGCTCTTTGCACCGTCATCCAGAGCCATTCGAGAAACAGTTTGTGGGATTCTTGAGAACCTCTGCCAGGTAATTTCCCCTCAGTCCCTAAAAGTAATCAATTCTTTGACTTTATCTATACAGGAATCACCTTGAGAAGTTTGCCAAATGTACCAGATATGTAGTGCTGGAATTTGTACATATGAATATATATATATAATCATACGGCAAATGCTGACAGGAGGAAAATTCTTTCCACAAGGGTGCTGCCCAATTGTATCGAACCACTCCTGGTCGGAATCGAACTCCAGTTTGCTGCTTCAAAAACCCCCGCTCATTCCACTGAGCCAAAGGCCCTTAAACACATATATGTTATCTGGTAGCGTAAATCAATTTGCATGTAAAGGATATACTTTGATCTAATTTATTGTATTACGATATTGACGGAAGCTTTCACTGAATTTTTTCAATAAATCATTATAGCTTTGTTTCTCTTATGTTTTCTACTTAGCTTTAGCCACTAGGTTGATCTTTCTTGACGACATGTTCTGTGAGATTTTTAGTTCCTCTTGCTGAGGTTTTTTATTTTTCATTCAACAAGTCGCAATAGGACCTTAAAAGGATATCCAAACCAAAAAGCTTCTTTGTTCAACTTTAGGAGTACTCTCAAATACTTTGATACTGAAATATACAATTGGATTCCTTTTTTCGATTCTATTCGTGTTACCCCACGCTAACATGTAGACCAGTTTCACTTCTTCAAAAGCATCGACTCATATGATTGTGAAAATGTTAGACTTTTTGCTAAAAGATTTTTCTGCAAATTTTAGTCAAAAGTGAATGAAATGTAACTAGACCAGTGTCCAATAAATTTTATTTTTTTCAGGTTGAAAGCAAGAAAAAGAAATTGCTCCACATCTTTACAAAGTATGTATTATCCTGGTTTGCACTTTTCACTTCCCGTTTTATATAGTTGTTTTCAGTCCTTTTCTGTGCTTTATTGAAGAGCAGTTACTAACTGAATGGCTAAATGATCAATCTTGGATAACAAATGACCCTACAAATATTGTTACTCCCCAGACTTTTCTGAGATCTTTTGTACCGTCTCACTATTATAGCTTACTTTTGAGTTCCACGCTTGACTTTGTCTCTCATTTCTAGCATATAGTTTTTTAAGTTGCTGGTAAAGTTTTGCTACCGTCTCGCTATTTTAGCTTACTTTTGAGTTCTACTCTTGACTTTGTCTCTCATTTTTAGCATATAGTTTTTTAAGTTGCTGGTAATGTTTTGCTACCGTCTCACTATTTTAGCTTACTTTTGAGTTCCACTCTTGACTTTGTCTCTCATTTTTATCATAAATTATTTTAAGTTGCTGGTAACGTTTTGATATTATGCTTAGGTTCTTGGAAGATCTCCACGCTGCTGGTGAAAATGCTAGTGACTTCTTTAGTCTGTTCAAAAACCTGATCAAGTCATCTGACTGGAAGAGATACCTAGTCGAGTGTGGTCTTTTGGAAAGAGTTACTTTGCTTATTATCAAGGTAGGCCTCACAGCTCGATTTAGTGTCAGATCTTGATTTAGGGTCAGATTTTCTTCATATTTCTTTTTCAATCATGTGGGTTCAGTCACCTTGCTGTTATCAATTACATTAGCCTAAGTTCATTTCCACACAGAACAGTAAGTCGCAACCCCTTTGTTATGGGATTTCAGCCAGAGTCTGTGTTCTTATAAAATGAGACTTTCTTTAGGTTTATTATCAAGACAAATTCATTAGGCAGGGGGCTTGAGAGGCAGTTGCCCCTAGGTTAGCTGGTGTGTTGACAAAGGTCTTGGTAAGTCGTTTGTTGGGTATATTAATTTGTTTGTTATTAGATCTATATGGTCGATAAAAGATGTTTGTTGAGCAGGGCTGCTGAGAGTTTTTGGAGGCCCTAGCTTAAAATCACTCATTCATTTAAAATGTTTTACTATTTTCAGGCACAACTTTGTTACTTTTCATTAATTCCATTTTAAAACGGAATTCATTACTTTATGAGGCCCCCCAAGACCTTGAAGCCATGTGGCAATTTGCCCCCCTTGCCCCCCTCTTAACGTCACTGTTGTTGAGATACTTGTCCAAGTCAAGACGTTTTATCACCTTCTGAATTCGTCCACAGGGTTTAGAATTATATTAATGCGAAAGCCAAGCTATTAGAATTTGTTTTTGATATTGGGATCTGAGTATTCGAACGAATGAAAATAACGTTTCTTAGTCTTTCAACCTGCATTTATATTTCCATAACTTTTGGTTTGAACTTTCTGTTTTAAAACAAAAAAAAATTTCATTCTTGCTAGTCCGAGTATTTCTAACGTTAGTCATCTATTAATTGTGGCTGTATATCCTACTCATTGGAATTTGTGCTTGATGAGAAATAAGTTACCTCTATGTAGAATAGTTGTTTATGTAACATAACAATTAATATAGACCTTTACACTCAAGGTATCTATACATAATGTTAATGGTTAATCGTTCTTAAATGGTTTTTTTAGGAAGTTGATTACTTGAATTCGCTCGAGAACAAAACTGTTGGTTTTGATTTATCCCAAGGATTTGCACTCCATGCTCTTGCAGGTAATGAATTCATGACAAAATTAACCTTTTTTGTAGTTTTTGTTGATGAATATTTTTCAAAACTTCATGTCAACATCTTTGTCCTCCATTTCCACCTTTGCTGTCGGGTCGGAGCTTCCGTATCTGGTTTCCCTATAGTGCGCGATCCTCTGCAGTCCTTCTCCCAACATTGCATCTCCCATGTCTTATCGCACATTCTCAATCCAGTCTTTTAATGATTTCCATCCAGCTGGTCTCTTGCCCTCAATGTTCATTTTCTACGTTATTTTTACTACATTCTCCTTATCCTTTTGGAAAAAACAGCAATACCACCTCGGTTGTGAGCGCCTTGCCTGGTTTACTTTGCTGTTCATTCCGGCTATCATAGTTTCTCCATCAAACTGTTTGTTGTCCACGAGCAAGTTCTTTTGCATTAGCTTAGATTCAATTGTATTTCACTCTGTTTAAATTTCTCGCGGAGTTCTCTTAATGTCTTGTCGGTTTTATTTTGCAATGCTCAGATATATTGAAAATGCTGTTTGAAGATGACGTTGTCAAGACAACCTACAAGTCCAAATTTGTTGGACACGTTTTGCAGTGCTATTTGTCTCTCAGACGGTATGACAACTCCCTTATAACTACATTGTTAGCATGATACTTCATTGAAGCGTAGATTTGAAAGAAATGTTTTAGCAATACATCAAAGTTTTTCTGCAATTGGTTACCCTAATAGTAGAGGAGATAAAGCAATCTTTTGATCTCTTGATAGAGAGGATATAGACCAATATCAAACAACAATAATTGACAACATAGTTTATGTAAGATAATGTATGATAATTTCTAGGATAGCACCCCAATGACAATAGTTGATTACAAAGAGGCTAGATTTGTTCTCGGGAACTTTTATGGGCACATTTCTTTTTATCTTCGCAATTGTATATTTTCGAACTCTTTTAATGTATTCTTGCAATTATTTTTCCAGTCCATTGTATGACTAGTGTGAAAAAAGCTTAAATTATCAATAAGGACTGCCAGTCGAAGCATGAAAAACCCTCTTAAGTTTTTATGCTAAAAATGTTTTTGCAATAGTTGCTGTCTAAGCTTTTTTAGCAATATTTAATTTTCAATTAGCCTCGTTGTCCAACGAACAAAGCTTATAGACGATGCGCAAGACATCTTGCTAGCCCTTTTGGAGGAGCTCACAACTGGTTAGTTTTTGTAACATTAAAATGTTTGCCTAAAAGATATCTCTTGACATGAAAAGATACCCATACTATGTCTAAAGCAATGTTTATAGGTTTACAACTATTTTTGCTATTTTTATCGCAGTTTTACTTACGTGAGTTTAAAATTTTTTTGTGTTAGATGATGTTCATATTTGTTTGGTGCGATTTAGGCCCATTATAGCTGCATGATTTATAAATACAGGCCAGAGCTAGTTGAAGAACATGTTGCCACTGACAAATTCTTTGTGTATTTGAGCTCTTCTGATTCCTCTAGCAAGTGTTGTTAGCAACGGGCATCTCGCAAGCTTCAATTTGCTGATTGATAGATTGCATTTTTCTATGACACTTTGCTTATTTTTCAAATTTTTTTGCCAATTTCACGATTTTACGCTTTTACGCTTACGATTTGCCACTTGCCACTTTTACGAATATTCTTTGTCATTTGTATCATAGGAACAGAAGCCGAAGAGCGTGCATTCATGGCGGTCTGCATTTCTGCATTAAAAGAGTAAGTATCTACAGTTGCGTCATGCGTTTTTTGGGAATCCATCCAACCGTTATTGCGAAGTAGTGAAAAAGAAAAGAGTAGTGTTAAAGTCCTCATCACCATTTGTTTGTTGCAGGTATCCTGTCAGTGACATAAGGACCCCAGTGTTCATTTTTGAGCGGCTATGTAACATAATTCACAAGGTAAGCTACCATAGTTTCTCATTGGGAGCTAACGATCTAAAGTTATCTTGGTTTTCTCAAAAAATTGTGTCCTTGCTTACATGAAATGATACCAAGAAATACGAAGTGCTAGGAGCAGTCGTTGTGCTCATTGGGATAGAAAGTAGTCACAAGTGTCCAACACCCTCCTCCTCCCCCTTCCATCCGAAGCATTTTGTAATTCCGTTTTCTTTTTGCAATACTTTTAAGATTCCCACATTCTGCGCAATTTTGCTTCCAAGAGGTTAAGTCTACACCCTATTCGGTCAAGTTCAACTCTGGGATGAACAATTCGGTCTCCTGCACAACCGGGACGACCAGTTTTTATCTTGGGGAGACTGCTTATTGTTATACAGGGTTCCCTCTGGGTGACCGAATTTTTCTGAAAATGTCCATTCCTGTCGTCAGAGTTCCCTTTCGGAAGACCACAGGTCATATGCGGGAGACCATAGAGACCACAGGGAGACAACCTTTTTACTGCACTTGTCCACCCCTGCAGTTTTGTTTGCTTAAAACTGCCTCTTTGCTCAACTCTGCCCCTCCATATCTTCTCAATGTTGTAGAGGGACTACACATGTAATTGTAATTGTAAAGCTCTTTATCTTTTGTAATTGCCAATGTTTATTTCTTTATGTTCAAAAGTTATTGGATGGTTTTCTACGTTTTACATTTCTTGATTAATCATTTTTAGATACTATAAATAATATTTATCTATTACCGGGGATCATTACTGCATATCAATTAGCAATTCTTCTCTTTTTATTTCTCAGGAAGAAAAAGAGGTGGATGAATTTTTCCTGATAATTGAAAAAGATCCGCAACAAGAAGACTTTCTGCAAGGACGCATGCCCGGGAACCCATACTCTTCTAAAGAATCCGGTTTGGGTCCTTTGATGCGTGATATAAAGAATAAAATCTGCACAGGTAAGAACTGGTATTGAAAAACCATCCATACTAACAGCACATCACAAAACTAACAGCCCATCAGTTTCTTTAGAATAAGAAATAGCTAGTTTTCTCAGGTAGAAAAGAAAAGAAATTTCTGAGTGAAAGAAACAAATGACTCTCTCTAGTATCAGTGAAAGAAAGCTTTTTTAGTCACAGAAGAAAAATTGATAGCTTTTGCTATAAACAGAGACAAAATAACCTCAGTAATAACAGAAAGATATTAATTGCTGTAGTGAAATATCTCCCGTTTGAAGTATGGACAACATTATTTTGTGAACTATATTTTTGTGATATTTGTTTGTGCCCGTTTTACAAATTGAAGCCATCACTGTATTGGCATGATAAATATTACCTTTAAAAGCTTTTAAAATGTTTAATGAATTCAAAATGTATTTTTTGCTAAATAACACTACTGTGAATTCCAAAGAATTTATATTGCATTTCTTATGTTGAAAAATGTTAATTTTTTTTAGAATGTGAATTGGTTGCCCTGCTTGAAGATGATACTGGGATGGAGGTATGTAATTGTATCTATTGGAACCTCAATATACCACAAGCTTTCTGTGCTTTATTATGAAGTTATTCATGTAGAGTAGCTATTAACCAGGCTTTCGTAAACCATTTTAGATTAGATATCAATAAATTATCCATAAAAGCAACTTAGAAGTGCTGTGGTGGAAGAAAATTATTATTATAAGCGCTGTCCTATCGATCTGAAAAATTAATAATTAAAGCCATTTTTCTGAACCAGTTGTGATTATTTTTTAAAGCTCCTTGTCAACAACAAAATTATCAGCTTGGACCTTCCAGTTTCTGATGTTTACAAGAAGATCTGGTGTGCAAAGGGTGATGTAAGAAGGTTTTTTAGTTCTTTCGTTTTCATAAAAGTATGATTGCGTGTACTTCTACATGGGGCATACAGAAATATTCATTTCCTTCGCATATAACTTTTTTTGTTGACGCAAAGTTCAAACTGAACAAAACTTTCTCTTTTTGTCTTCAACAATTGTTTTAATTTTATGTTATTATTTTCCACTTCATTCCATTTTGAAAAATATTTGCCAAATTTCCTTTTTAAAGATTTTCATCTTCTATCGATTTGTTATTCTTGTTATGAATAAATTCGGAATTTTTCGCAGCGCCCAGAAGCCATGAAAATTGTCTATCGAATGCGAGGTACGTTGTAGTTTAGATAAATGGATTACTTAAGTGCTGTTTACATGGTCTTGATACAGAAAACATTGCGTAATAAATATACAGCTTCTAGATCAGATTTATAACTTAAATAATTTTATAATGGAGTTATCCTTTGTTTTAATTTGTTGTATTTTATGATTCCTCTCCTCGATAGGTCTACTTGGCGATGCGACCGAAGATATGGTTGAAAATTTAGAGAGTGATAAGGGTAAGCATTATTACATCCCTGATTTATCTGCTCTCTAGTGAATAGATGGAATTACTTTGAGGTGCAAGTAGAGATATTTGAAAGTATCTGATTTCTACTCAAGATTGTAAAGATCTTCGGCCCTCAGTCGTTATTTTAGTTTGTTTAACAACCAGTTTAAGATTTCAAACTTTATTTATTCGTCATGATCGCTTTTGATCCTATGTAAGCTCAATATTTTATTTTTCCTATTTGCATATGAATCTAAAAAGCCTTTAAAATACCATTAATGGTCGGATATTTGCACGAACAGATTTTTAAGCTATATATTTTAGATTCTGATCGGATCCTATGTAAGCTCAATATTTTATTTTTCCTATTTGCATGTGAATCTAAAAAGCCTTTAAAACACCATTAATGGTCGGATATTTTCACGAACAGATTTTTAAGCTATATATTTTAGATTCTGATCGGATCCTATGTAAGCTCAATATTTTATTTTTCCTATTTGCATGAAAATCTAAAAAGCCTTTAAAATACCATTAATGGTCGGATATTTTCACGAACAGATTTTTAAGCTATATATTTTAGATTCTGATTGGATGCTATGTAAGCTCAATATTTTATTTTTCCTATTTGCATGTGAATCTAAAAAGCCTTTAAAATACCATTAATGGTTGGATGTTTTCACGAACAGATTTTTAAGCTATATATTTTAGATTCTGATCGGATCCTATGTAAGCTCAATATTTTATTTTTCCTATTTGCATGTGAATCTAAAAAGCCTTTAAAACACCATTAATGGTCGGATATTTTCACGAACAGATTTTTAAGCTATATATTTTAGATTCTGATCGGATCCTATGTAAGCTCAATATTTTATTTTTCCTTTTTGCATGTGAATCTAAAAAGCCTTTAAAATACCATAAATGGTCGGATATTTTCACGAACAGATTTTTAAGCTATATATTTTAGATTCTGATCGGATCCTATGTAAGCTCAATATTTTATTTTTCCTATTTGCATGTGAATCTAAAAAGCCTTTAAAATGCCATTAATGGTTGGATGTTTTCACGAACAGATTTTTAAGCTATATATTTTAGATTCTGATCGGATCCTATGTAAGCTCAATATTTTATTTTTCCTATTTGCATGTGAATCTAAAAAGCCTTTAAAACACCATTAATGGTCGGATATTTTCACGAACAGATTTTTAAGCTATATATTTTAGATTCTGATCGGATCCTATGTAAGCTCAATATTTTATTTTTCCTATTTGCATGAAAATCTAAAAAGCCTTTAAAATACCATTAATGGTCGGATATTTTCACGAACAGATTTTTAAGCTATATATTTTAGATTCTGATTGGATGCTATGTAAGCTCAATATTTTATTTTTCCTATTTGCATGTGAATCTAAAAAGCCTTTAAAATACCATTAATGGTTGGATGTTTTCACGAACAGATTTTTAAGCTATATATTTTAGATTCTGATCGGATCCTATGTAAGCTCAATATTTTATTTTTCCTATTTGCATGTGAATCTAAAAAGCCTTTAAAACACCATTAATGGTCGGATATTTTCACGAACAGATTTTTAAGCTATATATTTTAGATTCTGATCGGATCCTTTGTAAGCTCAATATTTTATTTTTCCTTTTTGCATGTGAATCTAAAAAGCCTTTAAAATACCATAAATGGTCGGATATTTTCACGAACAGATTTTTAAGATATATATTTTAGATTCTGATCGGATCCTATGTAAGCTCAATATTTTATTTTTCCTATTTGCATGTGAATCTAAAAAGCCTTTAAAACACCATTAATGGTCGGATATTTTCACGAACAGATTTTTAAGCTATATATTTTAGATTCTGATCGGATCCTATGTAAGCTCAATATTTTATTTTTCCTTTTTGCATGTGAATCTAAAAAGCGTTTAAAATACCATTAATGGTCGGATATTTTCACGAATAGATTTTTAAGCTATATATTTTAGATTCTGATCGGACCTTTGTAAGCTCAATATTTTATTTTTCCTTTTTGCATGTGAATTTAAAAAGCCTTTAAAATGCCATTAATGGTCGGATGTTTTCACGAACAGATATATTGTAGATTTTGGTTAGATCATTTGTAGGCCCGGTGCTTTTCTTTTAGATAAGGACATTGACGAAGAACATGAATATCGTCAAGCAGCTGTCATTTCAGAAGTTGGTGGCTTGGATGTCATTCTCAAAAGGTTAACGATTTGGTTGTTGTTGTTATTTGATATATGGTTGTTGTTGTTGTCCAGCATCTTCTCCTGTCATTGGTTGACGAATCAGATTTAAAAGTCACTTTCTAGCACGTACCAGGAACTTGCTCGAATGTCTTTTCATTTTGAGCATTTCTGTTTTTCTGTGTTCTTTTGTTTTCAGAACAACGATCCCGTAATTGTGTTTTCTAGTGCCTAATTACGATAGTATTTGTTTTGCACGCTATGTACTTGCAAGCTTGTCAAACGCTGGCTGTTCATGAGGTGATGCACGAATGACTCACTGGACAAATATGAAAAGTGATCTAGATAATTGTCGCCATTAAGTGAATTGCCAAGTTTCTGACCATAGTGCAGTTTGATGCGTATTGCGTATAACGAAGTTCCAACGAACCTTTTGTTCAGTTAGGAGATCTGCTCGTTGAATAGCCTACGTTATGTGTATATAGGCTCCAAGAGAGTTCCACAAAGGGGATCAGGGGGCATTTCACGCGATTTTATTAGGGAAAAGAAACCCATAAAGAACGTTTGGCAAAGATGATTATAATACCAAATACCTATTATTTTGGGCTATATCGAAAAGTTTGGCCACAACAACTGACGATGAAAGTTTGTATTTTTGTGTATTCATTTGAAATCTGAACCAATGATGTAGCGAATGATAACAATAGCAATAATGAATGTGATGAGCTAGCTTGCTGCTAGATAAAACCCAAAAGTAAGAGGCCATTAAAAAAAGCGGTATTGCCATTGGTGGTGGAAAAGTGCACGCCTTCCTGTTTATTGATGGTATCTATCGACTATTAACGATGAATGACATAAACTCATCTGGTTTCTAATTGATAACCTACTGGCTTTTATCCATAAAAAACAGGTTTCGAATAATGCATTACGAACAAAATGAATTTATTTTAGGAATACGTCCCAAATGGCCGCTATCCAGTTTATATAAATACTTTCTAGAACGTCGACGCGCTGCCGAAGAATTAAATCTACGCGTCGGAATAATTGCCCGATCGTGCAGTATAACCACAGTCTTAATTGCCCGATCGTGCGGGAAATATGTTTATCAGCAACACGTTTGTTAATTTCCCCACGGAGAACGACGTTTGTTACTGTACTCAACAACCTATGAAAACTAGTTCCAGCAGTTTGTTACCTATATCTTCATTAGTCCGTCTAAGTTAGCATAAATTAGCCTAGTGCTATGTACCACCATAGATAATCTATGGTACCACGCCAACCTTAAATAAATTAATTATCATTATTATTCATTATAGGTTTCATTTACATGTCATTCGCAAGAATATGAGATCCACTGAACCCTATTTTAATAGAAATTTAATAGAAACTTGCTATAGGAAAGGGAGACTGGGCACTCAGGACAAAAAATTAAGAACCTCCCGTACTTAAAGAAAAAGCAATTGAAGTGGTTAAATTTGGAAAAATGCCGTAATTTTGCGATTTGCTATTAATGTGACTGACGGGTCGGCATAAAGCTTACTGGTATAAGATACAAGCAAAAAGAACTTCTTCAAATCTCAAAAAATTGTTCATAACGAACTACTTATAACTTCTAATGTAAAAGTTGTTTGTAGGACTCCAAATAATTACATCTATGTTGTTGAAATTGATAAATGTTTAAGAAATAAAGTCCACTGAACTTTGCCGTAGAATTAAGAAGTGCACGATCTCAACCCTTGGTTTCTACGACATATTTTGAGTATGCGTAGAGAGTTGTTGTGCGGGAACCCTGCTTTTGTAGGGTTGATATAACGATGTTATTTTCATGTTGCAATAAGTTATTGCAATGCCTTGCTAGTGTTGTACACTTTCATACACTTAACTGATTTTATACGCAGTGCGCGCAAGAAAAACTTTCATGAATCAGCTGAATTTTTTTCCCACCTACTATCTAAATTGTATTCCCCCTTCACTATCTTATCCTCACATTTTGTAGTACCCAAGGTTTTCTCTTTGTTATGTATTTGTAATGAAGTTTAAGAGTCATCCTGTCTACCCTCATTTTTTAGTCACTGCTTTAAAACTTGTAGTAGGCATTTTTTTCTCGGTTATCGTAGACGAAGTCCCATGTAAATATCCTTAATTCAGCCCGCTATTGTCTGCAGCTTTTCATGTAGGATAGGTTTGGTTTTTTCAGGTGGCTGAATATGAAATTTCCAGACTTTTCCATAAGTAACCCTATAATTTCGGGGAATTCACCAAAGTAACAAACGGAGTATTTTATAAGTATTTTATTTTTCAGAAGGACTATCAAAATCCTTTTTTGCTTCTTTTGTTGTAAAAAAATGGTATAGGCAATAGGGTCTGGGAGATTTTTTGACAATTATTCGGCATTTCAAAATCAAGATCTTATATACGGGTATGATATGATCTCATATACGCTTTCAACCACCACCCCCTCCCTAACCCCTATATAAAGGGATTTTGCTGAAGGGCAATGTAACAAATCCAGTAAATTATAGACAGTAGAATAAAAAATTGAATTGAACTGAATTATTTTTGCCACTTCTATTCAACAGCTAGGGCTATTGGATAAGAGAGTCTCGTATATTGTATATTTGCCATGGCCCCAAAACAGGGGTACTCAGTTCACACTCTAGAAATTGCTGAAGTATACAACTGTATTATTTCTATATCGTAGGCTTTCTCATATCCGAAACCTATCTCGAGCCCAAGAACTTATATCCGTGATGCTCAAGTTGTTCGAATATTGTGTCAAAGTCAAGGTAAGATGGGAGAGTTACCTGAAAATTTGTGAAGTTGTGTATTTTTCAAATATTTTAGATATTGTGCAAAAACAATTATTGCAAAGATGGTATTTGTAAATATGACCTTAAAAACGCAAAGGGCACTTTTTGAATTACTTACATTTTTGTTCATGTTCTCGAATCTTTTTTGGGTATTTTCTCCCTGGGTCCACTTGCTGTTTCATTCTTAAACGTGATTAATTGGATAATGTTTTTTATGAAATTTTACATGATTTGTATTCTGTATTTGCCTGGTCGAACGCCTTGCCTGGTGGAATGCTTTTTGTGTCTAAAAGTATGGTCATCTCACGCCCGAATTGCAGTCATTTGTTCTTATAAGCTTTCATATGATGTGCAATTACATATTAATGATCGGTTTGTGCTAATGTTACACTGACATAGTTTCTAATTGACATGGGAGGCGTAGTTTCTAATTTACAGGCTTTGTTAGGTAATAGTTTCTTATACAGTGTTTATGGCTATTAGTTTCTTCTGCGATGAAATTCGTATCATACAATTCTTTTGACGTTTTTATTTGAGATTAATCTTTTCATTGCTTCTTATAGGTGAATCGCCAGTATCTAGGAAAACCATCAGTGAATTCCCTGAAGATTCTGCTTGGAACTCTGAATTTAGTACGTATATTCATGGTTTTCGTTGCTATTCTATAGTGATAATAAAAATAATAGTTTTTGGCTAGAGGTAGCGTTTACTTTTAGGGTAGCTTTTAAAAAAACCACCCATCAGCACTCTGCCACTCATTTTATCTGTATTGTTAAATACATATATTTGATATGAAACAGGCTGATGATTCCTCGTTGAAAGGATTGGAATAACCTAATAGACTATGCGCAGGAGCATTACTTTATGTGACCCATGTTTATATAGAGTTTCAGATTACAGTTTACAGTTATGTGTGTAGGCTGTTTGAAGTTAATATAAAGTTATCGTTCTGTTCTGTTCAACCCATGCGTTGTTTTATCTCCTTCACATCATGGCTCCCGTGCGGGGAATCTTAACAACGATGAAACGCGTTTCGGAAAAAATAAATAATCTTTGGTCATTGTCTTTCAAAAACATTTTTCTTTATAATACTACTGCTTTTTGGAAACAAAAGTTTAGTTAAAAATGTATATATATATATAAATAAATATATTATATAGATTTTCAAAAACAGTATCTCTTAAACAGGGACGGCTGGCAGGGTCAGAAAAAGTTAGTCATAGATTCCAAGGAGTATATATATTTGGAAAGCCCCTTTGAAAAAAAATGATGGTAGAGATTTTATTTTGACCCGGAGTCAAAATAAAATCTTCAACGATGGATCATTATCGCCAATTAAGCGGATTAAAAACGACAGATAGCATCAAACTTTTTTCAGCAATTTAGCCTTTTACACGATCGTTGTCGTTCATCGCGGTCCAATATCGAAAACAAATTTAAGGAAAAACGATCGTGTAAACCCGCCGCAGCTGTAGAACAAAAGGTCAAAGTGGCTGTTTCTTGATTTTGTGGCGGCCAAGAGACAGATACGATCAAAACAACAAGACAGAACACAACAGGTACAAACAAAAGTATTTGGATTGGGCCAGAGGACAGACGGCAGACTACACCTCGAAAAGACGTCATTGTGCTTATTGAATTATCTTATCTCAGACTTTCCTTCTCTGGACAAAACTTGCTCATAGACTATTCATACTATGAGCAGTGCCCGTCGCCCCTGCAGTCTTAAACGTTTATATGATATAAAAAACTGTTTACTATATAAAAGTAATCATTTCTTATATAAAAATATCACTCAGATGGTCTATAAAATATTCTTGGCGTTTTAGGCATTGCGGTTGGAAAAAGAAAGAGGCTCGACAAGTGGAGGGGCCATGATTGCCGAGCGACTTCTAAATATAATGGGCATCGTTTTACACGAAGCAAGTGAGCAAGCAGATCAATACCAGGTATGCTCATAGTTACGGACATGACTAAATTGGAAACCCTCTGTTTTACTCCTGGCCGAAAGAAGAAGTGCGCCTTCGCAGGGCTCCGTATGCTTGCGTTCATCCATAGGGCTTCAAAGGAGAATAGGACTTTATTCTTACGAAAATAAATATTAATGAAAAATTGTATTTTTGGAAATGAATGATCATGACCGGCTTGACAAGCATCACCGCTAGCTACGCCACTGCAGCCTAATTAAGGCAGTTTTCGAAGCATCTTTTGCATTTCCAGGCACCGCGCAGCGTTGAGAAAAGCTGAAGGGTCTTAAAAAGTGGGGGGGGGGGGTTAATTTTTTCCTCAAGCCCAAAGCCCCCCTGCTCCACAGCGCCTGATTTCAGTGTTTTTAAAACCTCATTTCTCCCTTTGGGGTCCATTTGGCAATCAGGGTAATGCTGTAACTGAGTCGCTGTGGAGTGTGCCCTAGATCTAGAAGACCTACGATTCGTGAATTTAGTGGAAAACTCCTTTGTATGTATGAATGACTCGAGATTATTAAGATTATCATACCCAGATTCGCAGTTATGCGTTAAAGGTTTCTTTGGATTTGAGTCATTTGATTTTTCAGTTGCTTCACTACTAATTTGATTGATCTCCCTAGCTTTCGTCTTTGCCCGGTGAAGAATCCCAGCTGGAGCTGCTGCTTGGTCACATCACGAGCCCTTATGTGGTAATTGTTACTTTCTTTTCAGCAATATCATTATCATTGCAAGCAATGCTATGTTGCCTCGAAGGCGCTAGATACACATGGCGAGCTGAGATTTAACGACACATTGATTTTTGGCGCAAAATTTAATCCAGCTTCAAGCTTCAAAAAATGTCCCATTTTAAAATGTTGGCATTGCCATTCATGAGAAGTTTGATGATAAGACACTTGTATAGATACAACACAGCTAAACACTTTGTGGTCAAGGCACCAATTTGTTTTAGACTTGCAAAATAATCATAATTATCAACAGTCTATGATCATAATCATAACATCAGATGCTCATATGCAATCAAAAACAATTTTTACAAAAATTCATTTTACATAACAGTACTAAAATGAAAATGATCCAATTAATAGTCTGTTCTAAATGATGCTGAAATCCGTGCTTTTCAAGCACCAGTTTCCAAAGAGATTTCAAACCCAATGAAAGTAATATTTTTAATAAATTATAATAGAACTACTGATTGGTAATGTTGTGACTGCAAAATTGCGTCTTGCTTATGCTCTACAAAATCGGACAAAATCGGACGAAGTTATATTGGACAAAAGCATATTGCTTGTAAGCATTTTTTTGTTTTAGAGAACCAACCCAAACGTTCTAGAGGCTATGATGCGACTCATACCATCGCTATCTTTTGGCAGCGAGCAGAGCATGCGTACCCTTATCAACCACTTTCTGCCTTATCTCAACTTCAATAGGTAAGTTTCTGTTCACATCGAACCTTAGACAAATAAACAATTTCTGTGTTACAAATTTATGTATCATTGTGCTGTATGAAATTCAATATTTATAAAACTTCATTATGGAAAGATCATATCAACTATATACATAATCTATATTAATTAGATCTTTTCAGTACTTTGTAATCCGTACTACCTATGTTGGAAGCTATTCAAGATCGCATAATTAGTCTTAAAACTTGATACATATCAATATAATGTAAATTGTTATTACACGTTCCGATTTCTCTTCGATCTGATGTATAAATTGTTGTGCGAACTGTGTGTTAAAGAAAGGAAGTTAACATGAGTTTAACATTGTTGGCCAGTTGTGGCCATTAGTCACAAGTCATTGTAAACTGATAGTGACTGTTGATTATTTTTAGAAATTCATATACAAGATTCTTGTAGCCAAATCGTGTAGCAGGGTCCTTTTGGTTCTTCGTAGTTAATGGTCCTAGGGGTCATAGGGGTCCTAGGGTCATAAGGTCTGGTTTTTCCAGTTTGCCCTGTCGGATACAAATAGTTTCCTTTTGCGTTATCTCGCAGCATCATCATTAACCAAATTTAGTAGTAAATTATTTGACAACTGTATTTGAAGTTGTGTGGTTTTTAACCTATCCACCATTGTTTCTTCTTTGCCATTAGCTGAAACTGTGGAGTTGACAGGAACGTGGGGCTTTTTCAATTTTAAAGTGTGGCCGAATCATAATTAGAGGGGAAATTCCCATTTACAGTATCCATAACCAAAAATTCAGGAAAATGCAAAAAGTAAGAATACTTAGCTAGTGATGGCGATCGTGAAAATTTTGTAGACCAGCAGCAATTTGGCATGAAAAATGTAAAGTTGAAAGCGATCCAATAGCGCTGCAGAGTCGTGCGACCGATTTGCATGAACGCACCAAAGAATTGGTTTGCATGAACTACCGAGCTCTCTCTTGTACTCCTCCGTAGCGACGGAGTCGATGATGAAGTAGAATAAATGTGGTGTGGTGAACTACTACAGTAAAACTCCCATTGAAGGGACATCTTTGATGCCTGATTTACAGCCAGTTGTAGGAAGGTTTTCTTTTGTACATGAACGTCGCTATGAGAGCAAAAAATACATTTTAGGACAAATTTGCACGTCTGTTCTTAATAGAGAGCCTGTAGGGGTATTTTCGTGCAACGTTATTGAAATTTATTATTTTTCGTGTTTCGTGTTTCGAAAAAATCATGGTGAGTGAATCGTGATAACTTTCAACTATGTTCGTGATTCGTGCAACCCCAAATGACATCAATGTATTGTGTTTTCAGTGAAAATTAACTGCATTTGAATAATTCTTTGGATTGATTCATAAAATAAGAATGGCTAAAACATATTAATGATGGAAGAACTGTTCAAACGATTATTAACAAGCTATTTATTTTGTTTGACTGTCCATGCGTTCGCAGTCGGCTTCCACTGATTTTGTTGGCTCCAGACTTGTGGCCTCACTTTGGAGCTTCATAGCGAGACTGTTTCTCGCCAATTTGGAAAGTAGAAAATGGCCGAGAATGACAAGCTGTTTACAGTTGAATGTGTGATCTATTTTATTGATCCAACTGTAAAAGACGCGCTCAAGTTTATAGAAGGAAAAGAGAGAATGCGACTTCCAGTCTCCAAATCACACTGCTCAATAGCCAATTTAAAACGCCATATTATAGAATTCGCAGAAATTCAAGAGGAGTCACAGAAAATACAAAAAATCCAAAACAGGAATGATTTTGTATTGTTTCATATGTTTGTTGCAGATGACCTATTCCAGGTTTTCTGTCTGTCCGATTATTTCGTGTTTTATTCTAAATTTGAGGAGCACAGGGAGATGCAAGGCAAACCATCGGAAAGCCATGTCCATGTCCAGCTCCTAGTTTAAATATTGAAGTCTCTTTTTGTGCACAAAGACTTACAGTCTGGCCCTCGCTGAAAAAGTTTAAGCGAATTCGTCTTTGAGTGAATCTCGGCTTCTTGTTTACGTACATTGAATGCATACCAACATTTAGAATTGTACACTGAATCGTCATATGTAGTTGGATTTTCACATTTTGTGTGACCTACCTACTTCTACAGGGTTGTCAAAATATAGCATGTTAGAAAACAACTGATTCTTTTTTTCGAGTCTTTCTGAACAAATTTTTTGTGTGGAGACATTTTTTAGCATCGGTATCATTTTGCAAAAAAATTGATTATTTATGTGCTTACATGAGTGGCGTTATTGTGATGAAAACCTTAGCCACAACGTTTTCATGAGGATTTTTTTCGTGAACCGTGAAAAAGGCAAATTTATCTTCGTGATTCGTTATTTATCATTTTTATTTCTTGTAAATCTTTATTGCCCCCCCCCCCCATTACCGGCGCTCTTAATAGGTTTCCCGTATATTAAGGAAGAATCCGTTGTTTAAGTTTATAGTTTGTTATTGTGATACTCGTTTCTGTTATAACTTGAATGAGTTTTCTTCTCGCAGTTTTGATCAGGAAAGAACAGCCGATGAAACTTTGTATTTGGAGTGCTTCTGTGTCATAAGTAACGGCATTTCTGTAAGTGAATCAATTTCTGAATTTTGTAATCGAAATCTTGTTGAAACTGGATCTATTGAATCTGTCCTTTTGTTTTTGTGCAAGGATCTGACGAATCAGTATTTTAGAACGTCCAATGGCCGCTCCAGTTACTGAAGAGTGGGAGGGATGTGGTCGTTGTCAATGAGGCCACGCCCTTTTGTCTTGTTTCAGTGCTTTGTACCAAATGTATTTTCCTTTGGCGAAAATATGATTTACCCCTTATCTTAGGCTTTATATCAATATCTAGAGAAAATATGTAAACCCTGTTTTGACGAAAGTAGGAGGGTAATTACCCCCCCCCCCCCATACCTCCCCTTGGCGCCGCCACTGAGAACGTAAATTTCTTTCTCTCTGCAGAACACATTGAGTGGATCAAGACTGAAAGATCTGATTATCGACCATCACATACCACAACGTGCTCTTGACTATCTCACTGAACACACACCTCCAAAGTCATTCAGGTACTAGCCAAGTTTAAGACCGCATTGAGCCTTAAAGTGCCACTGAACTGAAAAAAAATGAAATTTTTTTTATTATTGATTTTGGTAGACCTATCATCGCTGATTTCGGAAAAAAGTTTAGTTTTTTAATTTGGGGCCCACAAATAGGGGTTTCTGGGGTTCTTTTGCGAGTAGGTCGTGCGAAAAGAGGCTGCGGCGAGTGACGCAATCAGATTTATATAGTCAATTCAGCCATAGTGAGGGCTGTAAGAAGATAAAAAGATACAAATTGTGTAAAACATGACACAAGCATGAAACTTGATAGAGATAGGCAGTTTAATACGCCGAAAAAGATAGGGTGTGACAAAATTAACTATGCAATAAAATGAACTTCACCATCGGATTCAGGAGCACTGATTTGACTTAGAACATCAATAAATTTTTTTTGATTTTTTCAATTCAGTGGCACTTTAAGGCACTAAAGCGTTACCGTATTTCCTCTAATGAACGCCGCCCTCTATTGAACGCCGCCCTCTGTTGAACGCCGCCCTCTGTTGAACGCCGCCCTCTATTGAACGCTGCACCTTGATAAAAGGCGTTCATTAGGAAAAACACCAAACAAGAAGCAAAAAATAGTTTATAATGTTACTATTCGAAAGCTATGAAACGGTACAGAACTGAAAAATGGCTTTGAAAAAAGGAAACATTTTATAACATATTGGCTAAAAGCTTTATCGATTGACACTTCTCAGAGCATGAAACGTCAGAATAAGGGGATTAAATGAACGTGTGCCTCAGAATCTTGGGCGGTGCTAGAAACATTTCTTAAAGGGGTTTCAAATTTGAGGTTGCCAAGTAGGAGATCTTTAAATTGAATAAAATGAGGATATACTTTGATGTCTTTTTACTTTACAATACAACCATACCCTTAGAATTAATGTCCACAGGCGCAACGCTATTTGGCGATTTGAATCGGTTTTCTGGCGGTCACCCTCGTCATTCACTTGCGGGTCACTGGCTCGGGGTGTCGCGGCCGGCGGGCCACCCGAGTTATGATGTATAAGGTGTACCTCACTAATCTTATTTGGACCAGTTACTTCCAAATTAAGACATTATTCGGTTTTTTGATAGGCTTTTTCAGAAATTTTAATTGCTATATCGTTTCATCGATTTCTGGTTTTAGTGCATCTGGAATTCTAGACGCTAACAAATGGAAAGAATTCCTTGTCCGACCTGCGTTGCCCTATGTTCTGAGAATATTAACTGGTTTAGTAGGGGGGCATTCAGGGACCCAGGTAAGGTTTTTTAAGATTTCCTATGCTGTATCAGATTATTTCAGATGCGATTAATCATACCATGCGTTCATCTCATGCATTAAGTCAGGGGTTGGCATTCTAAGATCTGCGGGCCAGAATCCGGCCCGGGAAAAGAATTGCTGTGGCCCGCGAGATAAAATATATCAGAAAATGATTTTATTGGTTGGCAAGGATGATTTTCAGAGGTTTTCAAAGGGGTTGCAATTGTAGAAGGAAACATATAAAACATGAAGCACGATTCAGAATTAGGTTATCTAAAATCTTCATCAAACCTGAGAATCATGGAAAGATTTGTTCACTTTCTGTTATCTATGTAAAAGAGAGGTTTGTAATTGTAGTGTAACTGAATTTTAATGAAAGTTTTTCATTAAAATATTATAATTTTATTATAACTATCGCATTCGTTTTTCTTATTACCTTTGGCCCGCTTAAAAGTTTAAAGGATCTGACAAAGGGTCTCCAAAAACGTTGCCCACCCTTGCATTAAATCCTCAATACCGGATTAATCATATCGGATTGATGTTAGGTCTTGATCTTAATCTAGATTCATGATTATGCTTTTGTATACATCTCGATTATAACAAATCTAGAGACGTTCCTTGCATTTGATGCTCAGTTAAAGATAAAATCAAGAACGACCAGTTTTTTTAAATTACAACCTCTCCTTTGTCTCCTTTGGTGACTTCAATATTTGATGTAGTCGAAATATTATGGATAAATGTTTGGATCCATTTTAAAGATTTGTCGTTGTTATGGTTTTTGCCTGTACCTATCATTTTGTATTTATAATGTACCACCTACTAGCTCTTTTGGCTCTGATTGCTTTTAGAATCTTGTTGGCACAGAAGAAAACATTGCTGTGTTTCATCGCCTTGAACAAGTTTCCTCAGCAGAGAGCGTTGGTTCACTTGCGGAGAACCTGGTCGAGGCTTTGCGTGAAAACCCAATTGTTGCTAAAAAGGTAAGATCTAACATGGCCCTTTCGTTCACTTGAGGAAACGTGTTGGACAGGACAGCACTAGTAATGTATCGACGGTCTCAGATAGACCAGTTGTTTGAAACAAAACTGAACCGCCATTTCCAGCTGCAAAATGGACATCTTGGAAGTGCAATACCTTTTTCTATCTATGCTGTAGATCGAGCTTCTCCAGCCCAGCGTTTATTCCACATTGCAGCATCCATCTTGAGACCTTACCGTGTTGTATGAGACTAGAGTGTAATCATATTGGTTTTAGTTCAACTTGTTTTTTTATAGCAGAATTCAAAGTAACTGTTGAAACAAAAGCTTGTAGCACTTCTAAGTGGCGTTAAACATTTTTGCCGTGGTATTAAGCTCATTAACGGGGAATCCACTGTTTACTATTTCCTAGGCTTGTTGTTTCTTAGAATATTTAAGAATGTAATGATTAATGCACAATTCAAAGCGCAGCAATGTGGGTGCACCATTTTAACGAATGGCAGCCCAAAGCTTTAGGCGCGAAATGTCTCAAGATAGAGAGACTCAATTGCTTCTTTATGCTGATGTAGGTGAACAATAGGTTGTTGGATCCAGTTTTTTTTAGATAAGTTTTAGTGCACCATCTATTCCTATGCAAAAAAAGAATTGTCATATTTCTCAAGGTGCACGCCGTTCGAAGACAGACAAGAGAAGACAAAAAGAAAATGGCTTTAGCGATGAGACAGAAGCAGCTTGAAGCCCTTGGCATGGTGGTGTGTATGCTAGTACTATTTTGATAGTTTTGTGAAGTTCATTTTGAGACAATAAGAACGATCGATAGAGCCATTTTCAGAGAAAACACATCCGTTCTATAAATTTTAAGCCATGATAACCAAACAAAACTATTTACAATTTACATGCTTTGTATCACGACTATTTTAGCGGTATTCAGTGGCGAATCTAGGGGCTAGGCGGGGGGGGCAGCTTTCAGGTAAAGGGGCCTTTCCCTACGCTGGGTTCCAGAGCAAAGGGGTTTTCAACGGGAGGCAGAGAAGCTTGGTTTGGGCTTACTACCCCACCCCATGAAGCACCCCAAGAAGCAGGTAACCAAAGAAAGGAAACAAATTTAATCAATGTTCGAGTCGGTTACAAAGCAAAATGCTCATTAGGGCTAGCCTGTGTTCCAGACCCCTTTCTAACCGGGACCCCTGGCTTATTAAATAAATGCAATAAGTTTGTGTTGAGTGAAATAGATAACTACACTAGCAAAGGCAATAAAAGATTGAACAACTTTGGTAGAAAGCATCAGATTATTAAAAGTATCTTTTGTATAAACTGGGGCAAGAAAAATTCTGTGTGGTCATGGCGAAATTTCTCCGTTTGTTTTTCAGGTTACTGAGGGTGGACAGATAAAGGCAAAGCCGTCGTCAGTGATCAAAGAAATGGAAGAGTTACTGGAAGAAAAAGGACTGATCTGTTGCATTTGCAGGGAGGGATACAAATTCCACCCAAAGAAGGTATTTATTAATGCCAGCATATTTATCTTCTTGGGTTAATCAATTCTAAGATCTGGCAGGCGAGGGCTTTTTAATGCTAGAGCCCTTTTTGACAGACGCAAAGGTACCTTGTTTTGTTAAATGAGACTGAACAAAACCATATGTTATTGCAGGTTTTAGGTATATACACCTACACCACAAGGTGTGTCCTGGATGAGTTTGAGAACAAGCCGCGAAAGACACAGGTACGAAAAAACCTTCTAGCTAATGTCAAATTATATGGTTTTTTTTATTTTCGAATTTTTAATCGAAAAAAATTCACTCACACTCCCGTGACTATCACTAGGAAGGGGGTCGCCTTAAATAGAAAGAGGGTAGAGGCTCCCCGCTTCCTAGCGATATTCACAGGAGTGCGAGTGAATTTTTTTACCAAACTTTTTTAACAGAGTAAGCTGCTTTTTATCACGTGACCCCTATGGGGCGTGTCCATTCAACTTGAGATAGAGGCTAGACATTTTTGTCTTTTCTTTCAGGGGCAAATTTTCTTATAATTCATTTGGGGTTTTAAGAGAATTCTTGTCTTTTCCGAGGCTAATCTATGTAACCTACCGTAGGGCCACTGGCAAGCCTCTACCTTCGTTTTGGGCGGGCGCCTCTACCTTCGTTTTTTGAATTTGTAGGTCATAAGGATTTTGTTTATGTTACCATCAAGGTCATGTTTAGGACTGATTTCTCTTTATGATTCATTTTGTCACCTCAGCTTTATGCAGTTTTTGCAAATGAGAAGCAGCATCACTCCCTGCTAGAGATGTGTTCCTATCTCTATGGTATACTCAAAGTATGAAATATTTCAGATGATGAAATGTTATGTTTCTTAACACTTTTTAAGGGATATTCGTCTGTCTCTCATTTCAATGTGATCCACGTTGACTGTCATAGCGAAGCAATCAGGTAAGAATGCCATCTTATTAGTTTTGAGTCTTTTCAACTCCTTTTCAACTCCTTTTCAACTCGAATCTTTTCAACTTTCTGAATACCCCTTTTATTAAATTTGCGACTTAGGTCAAAGTATTTTATTTCTAATTAGGTCAACAAAGGTTACCATGTTTTCCTGTCTATAAAAATTTTCGTAAAGAAGACGTTTCTAAGACTCTTTGAAATGAACCATTAAAGAATTGAGCATCTATCAACTCAAATGCGTCGTGTTTTTAATATTAAATTTTCCGTAAAGTTCTCAATTTAGCACTCTAAGATTTTCCAACGAAAATTTTAAACAATTTTAAAGAAACTTCTAGGCCGAAAAGTCTGGAAACGCCCATGAAAATTTCAATTCTGGGACCTAGTCGTTTAAATGAGTCATCGCTTTGATGCAATCAGACTAATTTCTACATTTTAATTTATTAGGCTGGAAAATTTCAATTATTTAAAGCTATTAAGCTTTTGACGTATTCCGTTAATTTGTATTTGACAGACATGCAAGATCGAGGGATGAATGGGAGAGTGCTGCGCTGCAAAATGCAAATACGAAATGCAATGGCCTCATTCCTATTTGGGGTCCAAAGGTAATCTTGCTTATATATCTGATAAATAATAATTATTGGCTCAGTGAGGTGGAAATTGAAGTTACGGAATAATTCCAGTTTAGGCCAGCTATCGACTAGTTTTACAACCCTGAAAAAAAACTAAGAAACGCGAATAGGCAGTATGTAGAGATCAAGAACGAGACTTGTCAATATCCAGCAGCCTCCTTCATCGAACCTCCCTACACTCAATACTTCAATAAACTACAATGATTTTTTAAATTTTCATTAAATACGTTATATTTCCTGAAAGTTCAGCATTCTTCTGTATCAAATTTCTTATGCAATTATTTACAAATACCGAATAAAGAAAAATATATACTTTGTATATACAAAATATATATATGCAAAAAAGCACTTTCTGAGTTGGGGATAAAAAATTCTCCATGTTACAAAGCAAACGAAAATTAATTACAAAGGCTTTTTACAAAAAAACGATTTATGCGAAAGCACGCTAGCATAACAAGATCGAAGCAAAGGGTCGCATTTAACCCTCAGTAAACAAAAGCATGAAAGCAAAAACTTTGCTTTTAACAGGAACAATATCAGCTATAAATTTATTCATTTCAGCCAACACAGTAATAATTCAGCCATTTAACTTCAGTACACAACAGCTTTTTCATATCGGTTCATCACAACGTTTTTAAAAAGAACGTTTGCCTCTATCGCTCCAAATCCAAATTACCTCTATTTCCTTAGCATCATTTTAGTTTGGTCGTCTACGAAGTTATCCTTGTTATTTCTCTGTATTTATACGGACAGTATCAATAGATTTGGAAATTTCTTCAATCATTTGCCAAAAGAAAATTTAGGCTTTTCATAAACGAATTTGCTTGTTTCATTTGGTGTTGGACGTTTTGGGTTTTCGCTTGTCTATGTTATAAATTGGACATATATTCCAATACGATCGAAAGAGCAAACGACTTTTTAATATGAGTGGGGTTTTCTACCATATTAGGAATATGGTGCAATGTTTCGTATCATCGTAACATGCTGCCCCCTAAATCAGTTTTCCACTCTCTTACTTCTCTCTCACCCTCGCCTTCATTGCAACTTTTCACAATTATTGCAATGACAGTGGAATGTAGGATGCATACCTTGATTGCTTGTTGCCATTTCGTATCGTTTCTGGTACTCCTGGTTCAACTGTTTTTTAGCAATTGACTGAAGTTCGTTTCTCATCAACCATTCTGCCCGGCATTTCACCATTTCTTGATATTTCCGTCTTTCCTGCTGCATATCTTTTGTCAAGCAATCTGAAGCTTCTGTTTCGGGTATCACTACCCTTTCCTGTCGCGTTTTGACATCAGACTGTCCACTTGCAAGTTGATGAGGTTTTACCTGAGGTATTACAAATGCCGATGGAAAACTCTGCAGACATGTCAAAGGTATTGTTCGATGCAGTTTTAAACTGCTTGATCTTCTCCGTGTTTCTTTTCGAAATTTCGCTCTTCGGTTTTGAAACCATACCTAAATGCACGTTAAGAAAACATTCAAAACTTCCTCACCAACCGTATATTGTTATTACACAATTAAGTATTTGGGAAAAAATAGATAACTGTGTGCTCTTACCTTTAAGCTGTTACTGTGTATGAGGGATAAGTACACTATATGAGGAGTTTGCATCACGCATAAATATTTAGATAGTACTACTGCATAACCCTTGAATGCATTTTAAATTGATTCCCGTACTTCGAGGCGAGATACTTGGTATTTAGTTGTAAGCTGAAGGGATTTTTGTGTATGAAGAATTTAAAATGAAATGAAATGAAATGAAGTGAAATGAATGAAATGAAATACTAGCAATACCCTCGCAGATCGAGCCTAAAGACAGTCATAAAAATTGTTTCGGGAAAAATTAGACGTTTTCGTCGAAGGCGATTCTATTCAAAATAGACGCGTAAGGGAGTAACATTGGAACTTTCTAAAAATATTGTAGTCTTTTTATCAAGTCCGCGGAATTAATTTGATATAAACGTATCCTAAAACGCGGCCTCAATCTCGTGAGGCATTTCCTGCCACCTGATAGTCGGAATCTTAAAACGACCAAATTCTTCAACTTTAAGGGTTTCAAATCTAAAAAGCAAGTAAATAAAGAACAGTTGTCTACAACACAGGAGCGTCGTGGCGATTCAATTCTAGAGGGGACCAGAAAGAAAAATGTTCCGACAAAATTTATTTGATTTATTTTAATTACATAGAAGTATTTCATGTAAGTGTAAGGGGGGGGGGCAAAAACTCATAACTTTGACCTTAGCTGGGAAGATATTTATAGATATATCCATAGATAAAGACAAGGGTAGAATGAAGATACTACCTCAGGCACCACCCTATTTGCCGTCGAAGGGGAACATTTTTTCCTAATGCTTCATATCTAATGCTTCAAATTTGCTAGAAATCGCATTCTTTGGAGCAAATTTTTATAAAAAAATCTTGTTCTGAAATTGAATATCCACAAAGTAAATCCTATGAAATCATTTTGATTTGCGGAAATCTAGTACTTTCTTTACAATAGTGAATTGCCCTTCGAAATAACGGTAAGTACTTTAGTCCAAGTATTTATGTCGCTAAAAGTTTAAGAACTACCCACAGCTCAAGTTTGAGAATTTGCAGAAAAAAAATGATTTTCCCAAAAATCCGTCAAGTTTTTAAAGCGGAGGAGGCCAAGGTCCCTTGCCCCCGGTCACAACGCCCTTGCCCCCGGTCACAACGCCCCTGCCCCCCGGTCACGACACCCCTGCCCTCCGGTCACGACACCCCTGCCCCCGGTCACGACGCCCCTGCTACAACAGCATCTTAAGAGTACCAGCATTCTACATAGACAGCGACAGGATACATACCATTAAACAATTTCTTTCACACGCACTCTATTTACTTAAAGTTCAGGCATAATCCTACACGCGTCCAGCAAATAACACCTTTTATGGCTCTGACTTCTAGAAGAAAAAGCCCTGCAAAAGAATATCTAATAGCTTAATAGCATCATCTTTATTCCAGTGTTATCCTTACTTTCTCCGAATACTTTTAGTCCGGGGCATGGACAGTGGCGTAGAGAGGGGAGACAAGAGGGGGCAGACGCCCCCGCAATTACCAAAAACATCTTCGAAAAAAGGCGTTCCTTTGCGTACAAGCTGGTGTGGACCCCATTTTTTTCTTGGCTCAACTACCCTCTGCCCCCAATCTTACCACCCTGGCTACGCTACTGGAAATGGAACTCGGTCTAATAGCTTACCCACTGAAAATTAACCAACTTTAGGCTCCAACAGTAATGAAGTGCAACGAGAAAGAGTGCTTTGGGGAGGCGAGTTTTCAACATAACAAGAATTAATTATTAAATGGAACCCATGCACATAGATGGTCATTAACATTGACTCTTTCGTAATTGGCGGTTGATAACGTGGATGAACTCGTGAAACAAACGTCTAATTTATTAGCTCAAATTAGATATCTTAAAATCCTTGTTAACTGTTTGATATTTTGCCAGGAATTCTCTTTAATACCTTTCCCAAATTCCCATCTCTATTAGTCATAGCCCTGAAATATCTACATTGGAACCTTTTTGTAAACATTAATATTAATAGATGTGCCAAATATTTGATTATCAATTAGGACCCTTTGAGACTCGATAATTAAAACCCTTTGATTTCTTCATTCACATTACATAGTGCACACTGCCCCGTATACACCCTCTCATCCTTATCCGATTTCGAAAAGCGACGCTGGTCCATGTTCGAATGAATGGCTGCGACATGATTTGGCGGAAATTTGACAAATAGGATTTTATCACGGCAAAACGGATTTGGCCTCAACAAACAGGCAAAAATTTGTCCTCTGGCCCCCATGAGAGTAATTTATGCTGATTAAATCGCTATAGTTTCTATCATGATGAAGAGGTCCTTTTATACAAATCTTAATTTGACTAGGCCAATCTCGGAAAAATCCCTCAAAGCTCTTTCAATGTCCAATTGTTGAAAAAATCATGCACAAAGCCCTGACAGAATGATAAACCCCTCGTTATAAATAGAAAAATTTGTTTGAAGTATCGAGGCCAACCGTCCACACCCACTTTTAGGCCACACCCATTTACTATGGTATTTGTACCGGATCTATAGTGAACAGAGATTGTCTTACCAATCAAAGATGTCAGATCGTCCCACCCATCGCAAACAAAGTAAGCAGATTTTTCGGCCATTCCTTGTGCGTAGTGAGAAGACCATTCCTGTCTCATTTACTAACGAAGTCAAGGGGGCGTTTCCGTCCCCCGTCCCAAAGTGCCGTCTGGACTAGCTATTGCAATGAAATTTAGCACAGACATGAACTAGTGTCCCTGAAAAGCAACTGCCAAGCGTTCCTTTCCAGCCAATGTTCCCATAACACATCAAATATGATGCTCTATTATTTTCCATCAAATAAACAAACCAATGATTACATAAAAATCTTGTTTTTCTTCACATATTAATGATAATAATAATATTTTTTCAAATTTATTTCATTCCATTTGACAGTAAAAAGAAAGTATTACTGATACCATAGGTTCCAAATCTTTGATTGGCTAATGAAGAATCTATGGATGGGCTGTGGGGAATTTTGGTAGCTTAGCCAATCAAAGATTTGCAACCTATGCTATTACTTATTACAAAGATTGGACCGTTAATTATGCATACCAACAATTATAAAATGATAGATAGTCACGAGGAAAGAAAATTGGTAAAAATAATTTTTGCTAAAAATGGTCACCCCGTCGAAATCTGCCTTTGACAGTGGCGGCGCCAAGGGGGCACAAGGGGTAGTTACCTCCCCCCCCTCACTTTTATCAAAATAAGGTCCACAGAATTTTTTTGAAATAGATTAAAAAGAACTAGGTAGGTAGATCATATTTTTCCTAAGGAAAATTCACCTAGTACAAAGCACTGAAACAAGGAAAAGGGTCTTACTGGTCACGCCAATTACCATCCTACTCTGCAGTAGCTGGGCTGCCACTGGCCTCTGATGAGAAAAGTTCACTTGATTTGAAATTCCATTCAGTTAGCAATTTACGAGACTTTAATTGTTGCAGAAACCTTTTCACCAACCCACCCCCTGGTTTTGCCAGCCCTCCAAGATCTACCCGCCATTGTGGCTTGCAATGTCCTCGAAAGGAAATTGCTATTGTGAACTCGAGGCGGAATTGAAAAATGTTGATTAGGCTGGCTGTTCCAGTGTTGATTAGGCTGGCTGGCAGCTTTTATGCTGGGATTACGAAAAACAAGGCCCAATATCTCTGATTCTCTCCTAGCTGCCCATGAAAAGAGATATGGAAAGTAGCATAAATACACTTGCCTTAATAACATACTGTGGTAGACCAAGTTGTTCACTGAGATGCTCCACTTTCTCAAAGGTCGGATATCTGTGCTTCGTGAACTGTCTCTCCAGCTCGCTCCGTTGCCATGTTGTTATGGTCGTTCTGGCTCTTCGGTGTATGCTTGAATCAAGCTCCTCCACCTCTCCACTTGTTACGTCACTACATAATCTTTGCCCAGTATCTTCACCATGAACTGACTGGTACCAACACATTCCTTCTAGAAGTAATTGGATGAAATTAAATCGCAAGACTTTGTGTTACAAGTCCTAAGAGTATGGATTGATTTTAAATTGCTGTTATGCACTCGAGTGTGCATAGTCCCGAAAGGAGCTTCTTCTTCTTTATATGGCTAGAAACAAGTTAAACTTTATATCTACTGCCATTTTTAAAAATCTATTTCCACAATCTCAAATCTGTGCTTTTCTGCGAACACCGTTATTTTCTTAAATGTCAATACTTCAGGGCTTAAGGCTATCCGTATTTCCTCTTCAAGCAAGATCAAAAGATCTGGGTTTGGATTCGTTTTTCTTAAGTTCTACACGAGCGCAGAATTATGTTGTCGAGGAAGCGAATAATCTACCGATTTAGCTGTAGTTGTTTGCTATCATTACCGGACTATTTCCCTACAGATCTGTTCAAGGAAGTCACGAAAATTTGTTTTATGGAATACCCTCCTTTTTACTTGATCTCTGATCTAATTTAAGTCCATTTAAGTACGAAATCCAAGAAACAAGCAGCTATGTTGAAGTTTCTGAATATTGTGGTTTCCCGGTTACCTTCACTGCATTGATAATGCTTAATTCAAGATGCTCCATACATATTTCCAGTTAGTTTATTTGGTAAACTTGTTTAGGCCCCGGCCGTGTGTAGTGTAGTGCTGTCGTTACCTTATGCTTTTGTTTTTTGCAATATTTGCTTTTGCAGAGAAACTTGTTTTAAAAGTCACTCTCACGGAAACCCCCCTTTTTTATAAGAACAACCCTTATAAAAAACAACAGGCTGAGATTTGCCCCCAAAATAAGAGCAACATAAGAAACAAGGCAGGCTTAAATTCAGCTAAACTTTAGAAATAAAATACCAGCAAAAATTCAAAAATGACACAAGAGTAACAAAAAGAAGCAATAAGCAAAATAGCATTGATGTATCATCTACAATAGCAGCCTTGGGCAGCCTTACCAAAACTGAGGTCGTTCTATCAAGTATTTTTCCTTTGCTAAGATAAAACTGCAGGTAAAAGTGCAATATCCCTGGCAGAGGCTCTAATTACTATATCAAACACATTTCCACTACAAAAATAAGAAGCAAAATGAGAAACTCGTCTGGATGAAATCGTGTAAAAAAATAAGAAACGCAAGGCTGAACAATTTTATAAGAACACGAGCCGCAAATCGGTGAAAAGTTAAGAACTAATTAAAAGTAGCCTGAAGCCGAGCTGTTGTAAATTGTCATTTTGAAAAATCACGTCAAACCCTCTAAAAATATTTCATCTCGAAAACGAGGAATTTTTATCATCTAGAGTGCTTTTTCGGTGAAAATCAAACTTGTCGGCAAATAAACGATGTCTCACTAACTTTGTTGGCAAAAGAGGCCTGAGCATCCCCTAAAGCACACTAGCTAGCAATGACCCTGCTTACAGACTGACTTTTAAACAAAGTTAATAACAATCTAGCTTAAAATTTTTGAAAAGATTAAGAATAGTCAGCCTGAGCTTGAATTTACGTGTTCTTATAAAAAAAGTGTATATGCCAAATGTTAAGAGATGGTTTTAGAGAAAACAGCCTTAAAAGGCAGTGATTATGTAGTTTTTTATTATTTTAGGCATACTTTGATTTGAAGACAGCTAAAAAAGCTGAGGCTTGTCTCTGATAATACTCCATTTAATAATACTTCTGAAGGTCACAGTGTGAATTAAGAGGACACCTTAGCCCCTGTCAATTACAGACCTTACTTGCTAGCATTAAAATTGCCGTTTTAAAGACCCATGGTTCGTCACAAAATCAATTTCTCGATTTCTCAACATACAAGAAAGAATATCCCCTTTCGATATTTTCATTTGTACACCACAGTTCATTTAGGTATAAACGCACAAGGCCGGGGAATAAGGTAGACTGCATCTCCTAGAGTAAAAAAGTCCGAAAATTAACATTGAAAAGATTGCCAATAATCAGGCCAGGTTATAGAAACAAAATAGGCGAGCAACCTCACTTTTTTTCGCTTAAATGCCTATGTATCTAGGTGTAAAAATCTTCTGTGTCGGACAAAAAACCCTGAGGTTTTTCGTGTGTTGGCTGTATCTGCTGGCTATGTAGGTAAACATAGAAACAATCAAAACACTCGAAGCATATAGAGTTTAAAAGGATATCATAAATAGAAAGACTCTAGCATGTTATTTCCACACAAGTTTTTATAATTTTGCCCAGTAAAAAACGTTCTAAAGTTGAGGAACAGAAAATGGCTGCTCGATATCCTTTTTTAATAAAAAGAATGATAGGCGTAAAATCGTCAAAATGTACAGTCATTTCTGGCAGAAATATTTTTGATAGTCTATTAAAGTTTTAGAGTACAGTAGGCCATAATCACCAGGCTAGAGCACCTATGTAGACTGGTATGTTTCTAACATTTAGGCTTGATCCTACCGCTGTGAGTGAACAAGGCACATCCACCACTGGTATATACAGTTAAGCAATATAAATCAAGCTACACTCGTTTTAAACTGTACCAGGGCTGCACCTTGTACTTTCATGTTTAGAGTGCAATAGGCCTTGTCTTCAGAAGTAACCAAAGCGTGTTCCTAAGCTTCAGATTTCTCCAAACGTTTACCAATTGGAGTGTTTCTCATTTATCTAGTTTATGCTCAAAGTCAATGTTTCCTGGCAGGTTTGGTCAGGTTCTAAGTTTCTTGTAAATTTGGGCCTCGTGTGCTTTAAAGCTAGGTTACTTCTAAAAACGTGCTCTGGCAGGAAAACTTGTAGAACCATCTTCTTATTGCTTAGCCCCAGCAAAGCTCTAACACGATCTTTACTGTTGTGGTCAGGTGAGATCTCCATTTTTGAGGCAAGCAAAAAAATAGTGGGTGGTATTGGTAAGGTCCCTTTACCTTGCTTTGGAAAGAAAACGTTGAATCCTTCCTAGTCTACACGTAACTCATACTTCATCAACCGTAGTTAGAAAAGTTTTAAAAAATCATCAGAAATACTTTGATTATAAAAAAATCCCGTACCCCCTCTTTCCACCCTTCTAGATAATGAAAAACCCCTTTTTATCAACCTATCCTTTACCCTTCTTCTAGGCCACATGGCCCTAGATAATTGCTTTTCTGCTAGCTTCCGTCCATTTTTTATTAATCATAAAGGCTAGTGCTTAGGTTTTACCTTTAAAGTTCTCCGTTCTTCCCTGAACCTCGCAGTCAGTGCCACGCAGTATCTCTTCAATACTAAACTTCATCATCTGCCTACTTAGACGCAAGCCTTCAAATATGGATGTTCGCCTACTCTGTCTTCTGAGTCTGACTGTCCCACCTGCATACCTTTACCATTGTACAGAAGAGGCGGGTGTATCAAAGGCACTAATTATCTATTATTCCGGACTGTCTTGGGTGTTCGGACATCTTTGAAGTCAGTTAATTCATCCAGACATCGATAATCCAAAAATTAAATCCAAAATTTTAAAATTACTCTTCATAATCAATTCCTTGATTAATAGAAAAAGTATACAAATTGGTATACCAATAAGAGTGTTGAAGATAATAAATGTACACGCATTTGTTAAGATTTTGATAGTTTTGTTGCACCCTCAGCTTCAGGGATTTGTCCGGAATTGAAAATAATAAACAGGTAATAATCTGGATTATTTCATCCGTATTAATTAGTGTTTCCACCACAGAATCAATTGTGGGACAATTTTCAATCGTGTGTACTCACAGAACGATAAGAATACGATAATGATTGACGCGGTTTTTTGTTTATTTCCTCTCCTTGGTATTTACATGTTGTTATTCGAATTATTAAAACCAAATCAGTTGGGGACACTTGTACCGCAATCTTTAATTGTTTCGATAAAGAGATAACGCTACCCTTGTTTATGTAATTAATTTCAATATAATTGGTGGAGCATGCTTTAGAAGATAATTCTTTACTGTACATGCCAGTCCGCTCACGAGACTGCTGCCAAATTGTGCTTCTATTGCCTAACTGCATAAATTCACCATAAGCAAATAGACCTAAACGTTATTAAGCACCATAAATAATGCTGGATACCACTTTTCTAAACAGTTAGAAAAATATTTCTTCTGAATATGTCTAAATGTAAAGATTGGCTGCGATATGCTTACGAGAGGCTGCAAGAAAGAACAGAAACTTTAAATTTATAAAAAGATTCACCTTTTTTGGTCCTCGTTTTTAATTCCTTCTTTACCAAAGTCGAGGTAATCCTCAAAGCCCGTCTTCACGACCACCTGCTAATTCGCAAAAATTAACATACGTATATGTGTGACAATTATTGTTTTGAATCATTCTGTCTATGCGAAATCAATGCTCTTTTTCATTTCAACAGAAAAAATTCGCACCAGTACCTTAAATATTATGTGCCTGAAAATTGATGCAAAAAAGCATATCTTGTTTCCTTGAGTTACAGTCGTGTGAACAGTTTTTAAATTGTTGAAAACAAAAAAATGGAAAAACCGGGATGAAAATAAGAGTAAATAAGTGTATTTAGAACAATGTAACTTAGACCTTACTATCAAAGATTGAAAAAAAATCAAACATTGTTCCGTTTGGATTGATAAGGAAATGGGGCTTGCTATGTCCTAGAGAAAATTGGCCCATGACACTATGCTTTATGGTAAATGATCTAGTGAAATAGATTGCGTCATAATTTTATATAGTAGTTTCAAAGAGCAGATATTCACTAAAATGATATATAGTATCGAATATTTATTTGTAAGAATTAACATGTTTTTATATCATGCATTGTGGACGATATTTTTGTATGTTCACAGATGCATCTTCACACCAAAACTTCCCCCTTTTTAACTTCATACATATGCGTAACCCCAGCTCCTTTTAGGACCAACCAACTACAGACTACCCTTTCAAAAAGCCCCAAAAGTACATTATCCCTTTTCCCATCCTTGAAAGGCTTCCTATTTCTTAGGCCCCTTCGACGCCTATTGCAGCACCATCTGTTAGGATGGTAATTAGTGAAATTTTGATTCATATTTCCCCTACTTGTCGCACTTTGCTTGCAAGTCTCCTTATCCCCGGGCAGAAAGCCTTTGAAGGTACATTGATACAGTCTAGGCTCAGGGAGCACACATATCTGCACGAAAATGGCCATGCCAAGATTCATATGTTTGTTTACACATGAAAAAGTTTAGAATAGAGCTGATGAAAATACGTTCTCAGTAAAAATAGTTGATAACCACATGGATATCAAAGGAATCTGTATACAGAAATATGATTTGAGGATTTCAATGCAATCGTCGCACTGAGTCTCAATCGCATAAATTAATTTGTTTATAAAGGCCTATTTAGGCTTTCCTTTTTTGTACAAAAAATGAGTTCATACAGCAGTAGTCTTCTATAGGTAAGCGAGATGCACAAACAGCAGAAAAAAGAGATTTTGGGGTGCTTATTTAAAGTATGAATTGCTATCAGTGAGGTGTTTGCACTGAAGTTTTGGGGCTAGGCCACCCACATCTATCGTGGAGCTGGCACTTAGATCATTTCGATAAACAACGTTAAAGATAATGGATTTTCTCTGCGTACCTATCAGACGAAATGGTTGCTGCAAAAACGTTTCTTGAAGTCCATTGGCAGCTTGAATTCTGTTCATTTTGCTCGTGAGCTCTGTTTCCTGTTTCTGCGCGATTTTTTTAAAACTGGTTTATACTAATTACATGCTCTTATTATCCGGATTGAACCGGTTTGATTTGTCTAATTAAGGTGCCAAGGTAACGACGAACATTTTTAAGTCGACTCTATAAAGGGCCCTTAATCTTGTAAGCGCCCCTACTTATTTACTACCCACTTGCTCAGCTACAGTAAATAAAATTACCCCTCTATTGAATCTTTTCCAATTTTTTGACAAACCTTTTTGACAAGGCGTCAAATCTTAATTGGCTGTGAAAGGAATTGCCAAAGGGGGGGTCCCCGTCGTTTTAAACTAATCAAATCGCGAGAAGTTATAAGGTATATTTACTCAGTATCAAGTTATAAGGTTAGTTGCTTTACAGGCGACTAGAACAGCATGTATCCAACCTTCACTTAGGTACCTTAAATTATCGAATAAGCCCCGGGCGCTTATTCAAAAAAGGCCAATTTTCCGCGGGCTCCTTATTCGGCAGGGTTCGCTTGAAGTTTAGTAATTTCTTTAAATGTAAATAGAAATTGATAATGAAAACTGCGAAAATTGCTGTTAATACATCTTTCTGTGATATTCAATAGAGTTTCAAGTGTGACGTCACCAAAAACCTATGTTTGAAATTTTGATTAGTCAAATTAGGCAAATATGTCTAAAACTAGTTGAGATATCACCAATGAAAGTTTGCTAACGAATCGCTGCTATTTCGCTCTGTTCGCAATGTTATTAACAGAGACCAAAATAAAGAGGTTTGATGGAGAAAGATCAGTGGAAAGAGCCAATTCACATGTGGCCATGTCTCAGCCAATTCTTAACGCATTTGACTGATTTTGCATATTTAGAGGTATTTCACGATGCTCTTTCAGCTCTAGGATCCAAATTCAAAAATTCTAAAAAAACAGATTTTTTTGTGACGTCATCACTTTGAACTCTATTATATGTAAATTTTTCCCGTTGTCCATCGTTCTCTACTTGCTTATTATTGTTTTGGCCCGTTTAAAGAAGCAGATGTCTTTTCTGGGTTAACATGTGTTCTTATAAGTGCCCCTTCAGTTTATAATGGCGCTTTTGGGGCAGTGGGGTTATGCTAAAATTGCTTGATCCTGGGCACTGATTTACTTATTCAGTATAGGCACTATTTCATGGGGGCGCTTATTCAATTGGGGTGCTTATTCAATTGGGGCGCTTATTCAATTGGGGCGCTTGTTTGGCTATTAACGTTGTTTCGTTTTACGGAATTCATGTTACGTGTTGTGCTCTGGTAAATCTATTACCCCCACTAGTTGAATAAAAAAGGACTGATACCAGTAATCCTCGAATTGCCCTACTCGTAAAGCCTCCCTCGTAAAGGCCCCTTGATTAAGCCCCCACCCTGCTAATAAAATTTTCAATATGTCAGAAGGGGTATTTTGCCCAGTTATAATCAGATAAGATAGACCTTTTTAATAAAAAATGAAGTATAAGTCAGTTCAGATACTATATACAAAATGTTTATTTGAGCATATAAAGTTTTGCTGATCTTTCGAAAAGCAGCTAAATTCTTCATATTACTGAAGTAATAAACAATTTTTAAGTTGCTGGCTATCAGAACACCACGACTGGGGGGATCCCGGGGAGAAGGACCCAGAGGGGACCCCACATCATACGGCAAAAAGACCACATTTCAAACACGATTTCCACATAAATTTTTCTACATGACGGCTGGTTTTTGAAGAGGTCGAATCAGTATGATTTGTATTCATTATTGCACTAAATTCCAAACAGAACAAGTTTAATAGCTAGTGAAAAGTTGTATCGATGCGCAAGTTAACAAGTTTTACTTCGTGAAATAAAAAGTAAACTTTACACTACAAAAAAATGCGAACAAGGAAATCTGTGTCCTAATACCCGTGGCAAAGTTTGATATTTCGAATCATTTGACATCTTTGCTTTAGAACTTGACGTTTTAACAGGCAAAATAATGATGGTCGGTAGCTGCATCAAAGTCAATTAGAAAATGAACACAAACATGATGTCATTGGCATTTTGAAGAAACAAATAATTGTCCTTCAGATAAACCTGTATGTAACGCTAAAGCTTCTCTAAGAGTTATTACACTGTGTGCGTATGCTTGTTCGTAGATAGCAGCTCAACTTACACTGCAAAATCAATTTTTTGTAATTTCATTTTTTATTTTTAGGTTTCAGAATCAGCATTTGCGACATGCCTGGCCAGGTAAGATGCTCCATTCACTTTTTAAACGTCTAACTTATTGATGATAATACAAAGTCACCATCTCATGTTAATGATGCTTTTCTATGACGGGCTGTCTCCCAGTTTTGTAACAGCCTGAGCGGACTTACAATAACCCTAGTGGATATAAGATCAACGGATTCCATGTTCCAAATGAGAATTTGTCACATCCTCGATGAAATCTGACTTTATTTTCTTTGCAAACAGAATATGACACAGTTCAGATCTTGATACCTGCAAACCGTCTGCCTTGAACAATCATCAATTTCGTCTTAGAGAAAAGTCAGTTTAACCTCGACACTCCTTAGGTAAAAACGAAAGGATTTCGAACTTTGTAATCATATCCGTTTTACCGACCGAAACAGAATCTTCAGAAACAATTCAGGATCAGACTTGACTTCAGCTGAGAGTACCTTTCGAGCAAAACTGTTTGAATGATGCCTTAAGTATACGTTTGAATTGATCGGCAATTGCGTTGTAATGCCTAGAAATGTTTTTAAGCCAACCTCTAATAGCCCCCTGGGGCCCCCTTGCGAGAAAATGTTCGCAAAAAACCTCATTGAAGGCAAAACATGACAATTGCCAATTTTCAACAGAAGCAATGATTTATGTCAAATGACTAGCTGAACTATAAGTTCGATGACTGGCTAGTCATCCTCAGTCCCCAAATAAAGGTATTCCGAAACGACCTCATTGCATTTTCTGTCAAAACATAAACAAAAATGTTCTATTTTCAACCAGAAATATTTGCTAGCTATCAATTTGTTTACGGAGCAAAGTTTGGAATGCATATTTTGTTTTGGAGAAATCATAAATTAACATCTCAGATTATTACATTGTGTTTATTACATTGTGTTCAGTTTCTTTATTGCTGGATACCTTAGTTCACACCTTGAGTATTTTTTTAATTTTCATTCCTGGGGAGGTATCAACTGTTGTCACTTGTTCTGACCCCGCAACTTTCAGAAGATCGTAAACGGCAATGATTGCATCATGTAAAACAGTGCTTCATAATATATCCTTATTCTGGTATATCCATGTGTAGGTCCTCATTCACTCTTGATTTTGCGTCTTTATACAGAAATGCATTTGACAGAGCAAATCTTAGCTTTGTATCCCCGTGAAAAATCTTTATTGCAGTAGACTGTCTGTTTCTTAAAGTTCTGCAAACATTGGATGCGTTCTTGTCTTCACGGATAAGCAATCTACAAGTAACTTTATTTGCTTCTTTTCAGGCACAACAGTTACATACGTGACTGCACTGGTTTCCGTGAAACAACGCTACATCTAACAGTTCACGACCTCAAGCTATTGCTTTTGAGGTTTGCCCAAGAAAAATCGTTTAGTGATGAGGCTGGTGGTGGCGGAAGAATCAGTAACATCTACTTATTCCCATATGCTGCTCATGTTGCTCTGTACATCCTGAATACGTGAGTAGATTTGACCTGATCTGTCTGTCTAAAGACCTACAGCAAGCTGTTTATTAGTTGTCGAGTTAATAGAATAGAGAATTACCTTAGTTTTAATTATGACACAAGTTCTTTGTGCGGTATCGTTTCAAATGAAAGTTTTCCCGTGACTTACAGAAAGGTTGTAAAATTGTAGGTATATTGTGTTGGCAAGATTGACACCAAAGATAGACCATTCAGATTATTTCTATCACATTTTTGCCCCAAGCCAAGTATATTTTATCTTTTTCTACTTTGCCAAGAATATAATCAGCGTTGATAATGGGACAGAAAGATTAATTTCTTAGCCATGTCTAACTATTCTGCTCTTTGAATGTCGCAAGTTCCAACGTACACATATGTTTTCTTGTTTTTGTAGTGTCCGCCTTCATTTGACGGAAGATAAAATCTTAACTGCCTTTCTTGAGTTGCCTCCGGACAAGTGGAAAGATTCCGCATATGAAGTAAGTATGCTTCAGATTCTCAGACAGTTATTCTTTTTTCACCCCCGAAAATTAATATATTTAATATAAAAAATTAATATGAGTTGTGGGACAATGCTTGTGAATTTGGCAAAGAGACTGGGAAAGGTTTAGCAATGGAAAAGTATCTGGTGTTACGTACATGTCTCAAGGGACAAGGGGTCTTATCTGTGAGCTCCTGAGAGCAATGCACATGGTAAAAGATGCAAAAATCCATAGTTCGGCGACACAGCTATTTCTTTGAAAGAGGAAGTTAATGATCGTATAAAAATATTGAGAGTCGAAGGAAAAAGAAGAGCTCTGATAAATATCGCTAGCAAAGGAATGAATACCTGTAATGGCGGAAGTTAAAAAAAATTAATGAAAAGGATGAATAAAAAATGAGATATGACAGGACCCCATGGAACACCAGCATTGATTAGATGGGGACTGGAGAGGTAGCCGTTAACTCTAATGGCTATGGACCTATCAGAGAGAAAGCTGCAAATCCAATTTTAGAGGGTTTTAAAAGGGTTCAGCCAGGATACCTTTATGCCAGACGCGATCAGAGATTTTTGAGATATCGAGAGGGATCACTCTACTCTCTCCAAAAGACTCCAGAACAAAGTACCGAACACAGGTGGCGTGCGCTAGAAGATCACCAGTCGATCTCGCTTGCCAAAAACCATACTGGTGATCAGTAAGGAGTTAGTGTCAAGAAACATAAGTGGCTGTCTGGTGATAATGGTCTCGATTGTTTTAAATGTAAGAGAAGTGGTAACGATTGGACGATAGTTAATAAGGTCAGCATTGCCCCCCTTTTAAGAAAAGAATTTGGCTTGTTTCAATAAGGATTGAAATAATATAAATGAATAGGGAGCTGGGAGTTTATTAAGATTTGGTGCGAGTTCTGGGACACAACTTCTGAGAACAATTGCTGGTATGCCACCAGGTCCTGTCGATTATGAAGTGTTTAGTAGGAGAAGAGCTTTGCGAACTTTGCATGTGGAGAACTTGATTGGTGACATAGAGAAAAGGGGGATAATGACAAGGTTGTAATTTTTTATCATCAAGATTTGAATGATGCAGTGCTAGTATAGAGGCGAAGAGGTTGGCCTTGGCTGATGCAGTGCTAGTATAGAGAAGTATCCATTTTTCTTTTGTAAAAGGAGGAAAGGAAGGTTCGCAAACGCTTTGTTTGACGAATTCAACGGTACATTTCAGTATCAATTCGTTTGCTTTCACGTTACGATTTCACTTCCAAAAAAGGGGAAAATCACCTAAATGGCCATTGGGCAGTTGAGTTATATCATTGCCGACTTTATCAGATACTTTATCGAGCAGGTTCATTATGTGAAGTGAATATTGGCAGCAATGCAAGAAGTAGTGGATTGTAGATTCTTCTCCCGAAACACATTTAGAGATAGGACTTTCACAAGCAAAGTTATGATTAAAGTGGTATTCAAACAATCTTTTGGTGGTACAAAACTTGTAAATGGCTTTGAAAAAAGCAAACATTTAGTAAATTAAAGCTTTTCGTCTGACACTCTTCAGAGTTTAAAACGTCAGAACATATGTTCTGCTGTAATGAAAAACTTTGCGAGGCAAGGAAGTACTATTAAAGTGGGAAGAAAGTGGATGTTTTAAATTTATTAGACAGTGGTTGGAATTGCCAGTAGATGCATCTATCATAGGAGTGGTATGAATTTTGGGGTTTGCAGTCCGAAGAAGGTCGAAGGTATTTGCTTTGTTCACAACACGATCAGAATTGCGAGTAGGCTCGGATATCATTTGAATGAAATCATTCTGAATGGCAAAGGCAATTGATCTTTGAAATAACCACTGATTAGGATTTCACATAGTGGATATTGTAATAGGATAGATGTAATAGATTTGGAAAGATGATGAAGTAGTAGTTCATGATAATTAGAGTTGAAAGAGTTCAGAACTTGCCACATTAGTACCTGCATTTGGCTGGTTAGTGGTACCCATGTTTGAAAACATATTTGGAAATAGAATGGGAGATGGTTGGTTTATTTACTATGGCAGAAGCAGCAGCTTGCGGAGTAAAAAGGAGAATCTCCCTTTATCATCCTTTGGTCTTCAGATGGCTTCCCGGGACAGCGAGCTATGAGTGGCTCCAACTATGTCTGGCATGACAAGCAGTCCAGGATTATTCACAGCTGATAAAGCAGCCTTCCAAAGCGCTACCAATGGGTTTGGACCTCGGTACTATCTTGCGGCATTAACAACTCTACCCTAGTACTTTAAGTAATACAGTCACTAAAGGTACTACCCAAGCATGTAGTGACGTTATATATTCTGAGACTGTTTGCGCTGTTAACTTAATTACTTAGCTTTATGTTCCCGCTAATTCGTGCCATTTTGAAGGTGTTCTGTGTTTAAATGCTTTTTTTTATTTTTCGAGTACTGTAAGGCCATTATGGGGAAACCAGTGAATTTGCTTTTTAGGCTTATCTCTGAGGTTAGCAGGCCAAAACAACATCGCTTCCAGACGCGTAGTATATACTGTATTGAGCTGCAGAGTTTTAGACAAAAGCCACATGCATACTCGCTCCCTTTACTTAGCTCACTCGTCCCCTCGCCGCCTCGCTCCCCTTTCGTCCGCTTGTCCCCTTGTCCGCCCCTCTTATCCTGCTCACCCCCTTCCAGTTACATGACCCCTGCTGTTTGTGATCAGTTAGATTGACTATACTTCTGTTGAAGTGTTGCCTTAGAATTTAGCTGATTTTCTTTCAGGCTGATGGTCCTTTGTTTGTGACAACGCTGTCTTTGCTCACAATGCCGCTCGCCACTTGGAAGGAGAAAAGGCTGACGTTTTTAAGACGACTTTTGATTCTTGCTCATGCACGCAGCATTTCCCAAGCACCTCTTAAGAAGTAAGTGCGTATTTAGCTTTTGTTTGTAACTAAAAATGTTTTGATAAAATTTTCATTGCGTGACAAATGTGTGACCGGATGAAGATTTGAATTATGTGTGAAGTCAGCAATTATGTTTCATAATAGAGCAATAAGATTACATCTAAATTGCCAAAATCGCTCGAAAAGAATCAGACCTTTCTTGTGATTGATTTGTGAAAAGACACAACACCGTTTGTAACTGACAGCTGATATCAGGATAAGGTGGTAGATATCATATATATTCTGATGTATGTTAAAGAGGAATAAGGCGCAATACAACTGACTCAGTAAATGTATCGTTACCCAGCATTATGATCAGTACCTTCTGCTTTTCAAGATGGCCGGATGATGATGCTGTCAAAGATTTTTCTGTTTACAAGCCAGCCCTCATATTCTACGAGATGACCAATCAGTTCCACTTGATATTCAAGGTAGGAGGATCTTTACTTAATCTACTTAACATGCTTGCTTCCTAAAAAAGCCTTGCCCAACGGGAATGTCTGCACACATATTTCTACAGGCAATACTGAAACTACTTTTTGTTTGATTAAATCCCTGCAAAAAGAAACCTGAGAATTTTAAAACCTACAAGTTTCCTTCCCTTAATTAAGCACTTTATGCTACGAACGGATTTTTGCCAGAAAAATCATAAAACTTTTATCTTATAGAGCAACTATATTCTCCTTGATGTAAAGAACCAAGAAAAATTTGAAAAAGTGGGTTTTGGATGGGGATTCATTTTAGCTTTTAGTATAAAGAAATTTAAGCACTAAGATTTCTACTATCACACTTTTCTCTTTAATTATTTCATCGTGCAAAACGTAGGACTAATAAAAATTGTATATTTTGGTGTGATTCCTCTTCCTAGATCCTTGCAATTTGCTTTCCAGACTTTAAAAATTTTTGACTTGACGCCATTGCTCCTCTTTTTGTATCAATGATATATCATCGTTATCTTTTTTTGCTTTTGTGATAATAAGAATTCTTTTTTCGAGGAACCAAGGTATTTTTAAATACTGGATCATCTTTAAGACTCTTAACATCGAAAAATTATAATCTTCCTTTATCATTCCCAAGACACTTAAACATTTCGGGCTCATGAAATTTTTATATTACAGAACAAGATTTCGTCATCTGACCCAGAATGGACTAGCTCGATGTCAAACTATTTGCGGAATAATGACGAAGCGATCCTAAAAGCGGCTGACAAGGTATGATTGAATGAACAAACCTCTTTTCTGAATTCCCAAAAAGAGCTAATGTTACGTAAAAAGCCATTATGTTGAGGGCCACATGGTTAAGGTCTTGTGGCATTTTCAGGTATTTAGTCATATTCTGATATTGTTACAAGAAAGATAATACTTTTTCCGTTTAATTATTGCGACTTTTGTTCCAGCTATGCACGCTAAGATAAATGTATATTTATGATGTAATCGGCAGTAGAATATGCGACAGTATATATCCCTGCGTTGTCTTTTAAAGATGGTGACCATCCAACGCCATCAGCTGGTATTGCCCAGTTAGAAACGACCTTGTGACCTTCCCATCATTACATCTCGGTCTGCGTAACCCATTTCTGTTGTGCTCAGGATAAGCATTGCATATTTGGCTATTCTTTGTCACTTTCTGGTATACCCATTGCTGCCAGTACTGCGTCTTTTAATGAGTCTTGAAAGGTTCTTGTCATCCAGTTTTCTTTTTATTCTTTTAGCTACTTGGCTTTTACGAAAATGATCTTTTACCTTGTGAATCATTTGAAGAGTTCTTTGATGTCGCGGGTATGTTTCGTTTAACAGCTTTTTTCCACCTTGTTAAGTTCAATTGTTTGTTCTTCTCGTTTTCTTGGTTTTTGTTGATTCAAAAGTACAAATTACAGTTAGTTAAATATTAGGCGAAGAGTGAAAGGTTTTCTGTGGTGAACTAAGTTGAGAATGATAAATTACCAAAGACCCTCCAAGTGAAAGGATTATTCTGTTCTTTTTAAGGTCTGTTAACTGAAATTGAGAACCCTGCAAATTTCATCGCGGAAACTCTGGTCATGACGCAAGGGAACTGATGAACTGCGAACATTGTTAAACTTAATAATTACTATACCCTTGACTTGTTTGTTATATCTTGTTATGTTGTTAAGCCTCTACTGATTCACAATAGCAGCCTGGGTTTCTTAGTTTATTCGAATGGGGAAATTTCTTTCTAATAAAAAGAAAACGGACGACTTGAATTTACATCATAATTTCCTTGGCAGTTATGTGAAATTATACGTGCCAAAAAAGCTTTTGTTGATAATGATTTCTGTCAACCTTTGCTTGTAACCAACTATATCAATGATGTTGAAAAATTTCTAAATTGAGGCTGATTGTTACAAATCTTGATAGATGCTAACCCAGGTTGCTACAGATCTGTATTGGCTCTCTATATTGCTGTTATTTTAAGTTGTATGCATTCTGATTTGGTATGAAGAATGAAGTTAAGGCTCAATGGAAGACTGCTTATCGTTTTGCTTCCTTTCAAATGAATTTTGATAGCTGCAGATCTAAGTTGCTAGTAATTCCACACCGCTTTTCATTGACTTTTTAGACACTAAGAAATTATTGATCAATTTTATTCTGACGGTACTGAACTGTTTTTCATTTGCCGACAAGTATAGTCTTCAAAAGGATATCACCTGCCTTGAGATAACGAGACGATAACGGGGTGGTTGAACCCTATTTTGGTCAATATTTGTAACAAACAAAAAATCTTCATATAGGGACAAAAATACGCTGTTATAATGCGATAAGAATATTTTTAACTTGTCCTACAATATTTACAAGTAATTGAAGTATTTGGGAATTGAAGTTCGAATTTTTGCAAGTATTTTGGAATTGAAGTTCGAATTTTTGCAAGTATTTGGGAATTGAAGTTCGATAATCATTGGTTTACAAATAATTGAAGTATTTGGGAATTAATAATAATAATAATAATAATAATAAGACCAGGTAAACTTGTAATAATAACAATAAGATAATAAGGTAAACTTGTTCAGCAAAAATAAGTTTGCTGCTATCAATCAAGGAACTGTGAAACTAATGTACCTACGATATAAATGTTACAACAATATAGTTTAAAAAGTTTTTAGAATAATTAAATCTAGAGAAAAAGTTAAAAATCAAAGTCGATATCCTTGCAGCAACTCTTGAACTTCAGTATAGATGTTTCACTTTGTAGTTTGCTGGGGACTTTATTAAAAGTTTTTATAAAGTTATTAAAAATTGAAGTTCGAAGTATTTACAAGTATTTGGGAATTGAAGTTCGATAATCATTGGTTTTCTGTTTTGCTTCCCAGAAAGCTCCTCGTTACTTTTTGACATTTTGATCGAATTGCTTGCTTCAGTAGTGATTGTAGACTATCACCGTATGTTCAGGGGCACACGGATAACACTCTAGGAAGAAGTTAATCCCTTGGAAGTCCCGACGACAGAATAGGATGGCAGTGCACTTTTTGCAGCATATATTGCTGTCGCAAGCAGAATGCCGAATGGTTTAAAGGACAGCCAGCCTAGTCTGCAGCACAATACAATTTGAGAGCGATGATGAGGTATATGTGACTGCGCTTTTTGGTTGTTGCCATCCCGGTTCTTGCACGAAGAAGATTTAAAGGGCGTCACTTAGAGCAACTACAAGTCTTTTTGAAGGTCAAATCTTTTTTAACAGTGGATCATTTTATTTCAGGGTTACCAATGACACTCAAAATTTATGCGCAGAGCAAACTTATACTGTTCTAGACGGAACTCGTTCATTGGTAGAATACTGAAAATAAAGAAGAACGAACTGAAGCATTTTTCATTTTTGCTTTTTTTGCAAAATTTACAACGTGTGCTGAATGTTTGCAGTAACTTAATTAGCGAAGCAGTACATTGGCTGCAATGCATCGTGTGGTATGTGAATTTATTCCGGCTTTGCTTTTAAAAATGTTATTCTGGCCTTCCTCTGTCTCTGAAGAAGGAGGGACGCGATACAACTATTTTTCAAAATGTTGAAAAAATATTATCAAGATAAAATAGTTCCTTATTTTATCTTTATATTATGCATTTACTAAGGGATCTTCTTTCGTGAAAAGCAAAATAACTCTCCATAATACGATTTTTATCAGGCTTTTTTTGATTTTGAAAGCATATCTTATACAGTGAAAAAATTGTACCTAGATTATTATCGGTAATATCATTACCGAGTGGATAGTTTTTTTAGGACATGAAATGATTGTTCTTAGGAAACTTATAACGTTTAAAAGCTCATATTTATTTATCATCCAGCCCTTCATTGAAAATCACAAACTTTAGAAAATGTTGGAATGAACTGGAGCAACTGAAGAAAGACGTACTCCAAATGAATTTCGGTGCAACCTAAAAACACCTACTTTGCCGCCATCTCATTGCTTTTGATATAATAAAGTGTCTTAAAACCGAACATTTTCAGCTTTTTTTCATGGACAATTTAGTTCATTTGAGTCCCAGTGGGTTGATTTTGCAGATTTAATGAAGATACGATAGAGCTGCAGCTGCCAAAAAGCTTGTTATTGAACCAAATATGATATCTCGCTGTTTTTATTTCCTGCTGCTACAATATGGTAATAAATCGAAATATTTTTTGTTTTTATTCGTGGTTTTATCCCGTAATAACAAAAATTTCTGCCTTTGAAGTTTCCGAACCCCTTGCAAAATCGGTCCTAGGCGACTTTTAGGACAGACCTGCAGGGATCACCACAGGTGAAGATTTTCAAATGCTAATATTTTCTTTAAAGGGTAGCTAGCAATGATAGCTGGCAAACGAAACCAAAAATTTTAGAAAATCTATTTAATTTAGGAAGGTAACATGTATTTTGTCAGCTTACCGTATGCATTTAGAAGGTTTTAAGCCATAATTTTTGTTTGTACACGGGTTTAGAGATTTTTAAAATATTTTTTTACCGTGGCGTTGATAAGGGCACTCTGGTTTAGAGAATATTCATATTTCTAGGAAAATTATTTTTGGGCTTATTTACAAAAATGTCGCGCTTATACAAAAATCTTGTGTTAATTTTTTGTCGTAACATTAAGAAACAGTGGTAAAAGAGGTCATCTTCAATCCTGATTCAGCCATGCCCCCTTCCTACAATATCCTGATGTCCGTAAATAAAAGTCTGATTTGCTGATGAATGTTAGAGGGAAGGTCTTGTCATAGGTAAAACTTAAAATGGATATTTATCATAAAATTCTTCACTCCTTACATTGAAATTTTTACCAGAAGTCATATGCAGGGGGTTGCCGAAGTAGGGGAGTGTTCATTTAACAAGTTGTCATAATGATATAAGACTAAGAGTACTTGCTTACATCTACCCTTCAACTTATAAAATACAAAATAAACCCATTTTTGAAATTATATTTGGTTTTTTGCAAATAAACACGAAAACAGTCTACCTGAAAAGGTCAACATTGCCTAGACCAGAGTGGACCGTGCGAGCGCCGCAGCAATAAATATTTTAAAAATCTTGAAACCCTATGTAACAACACAATTTATGGCTTAAAACTTTTGAAATTAATACGGCAAGCAAGCAAAGTATAACTAATCTTTCAAAATTATGCTATTTTCGATAATCTTGGTTTTTCTTCGTCAAACTTGCAATGTCCCATACTGAGCTGTTATGCGGAATCGTCTTTTTGCCCTTTTACCGCTTGAGTGATTTTGCCTCACCAGCTCAATGGGCAATTATGCCCAGTTAGACATCTAGCGCCTTTGGCGCTTCTATATCATTGGTAGCTAGTAATTTATCCAATACTGAAGATGGATGTTGTTTCGCAGTCGATTCACAACCTGAATTTATTAAACGACTGGTTCCTTGATAACAAGAAAGACTGGTTTGTGTGAACCCTTCAGCGCGTTTAGACAATGTGTTTAACTGGGCTGGTATGCTCCTGAAGCAAAATCACTGCGAAAGCAACAAGATCTTTGAATTATTAGTAATCATTTAACTGATGTTTGTGACGGTTACCATTCAGGCGTATGGAAATCCATAGGTATTAGGCAGCAAAGATATAAATTGCTTTTTGTACTGTAATTATGGGAGAGCATAGGCCCCTCATAGAAGAAGATAAAGATTATATAATTGATGATAATATTGGCGATGAGGATGCAATCGAAGGCGTAAACGAAAACGGCAGGAATCTTTCAGATTACGAAACGTTTTTCAATGTGAGCAACGGGATAATGGGAACTGGATTGCTAGCGATGGGATTCGTATTTCGATGTGCCGGAATTTGGGCGCTCATTATTGTCCCCGTGATTGCAGTAGCAGGAAACTATACTGGAAAGCTCCTTATCACATTGCTGTACACACGGGACAAGCACGGCAAAATGATTCGAACGCGAGCTGGATATGTAGACATTGGGGAAAGTTTTTGTCCCTATTTTGGAAGAGTCTTTGTAAATATTGTGAATTTTATTGAAAATTTTGCCCATGCCATTTTGATATTGCTAATGGCAGGTGGAGTAATGAACGAAATTGTTCCTGTAATAACAGACGATGTCTGGTCAGTCCTTTGTGCTATGCCGCTCTTGAGTATAGTTTTTCTAGACAGCATAAAATCGCTTTCGAGAATTGCGATGGCAACTGTCTTTACTGGAGCTGCACTTGTGATTATAGCTGCTGCGTATAGTTTGACATTTTCAGCAAACTGGGGCAGAACATTCAAATCGGCAGTTTCGCTCAGCTTAAAAAACAGCTCGCTTGCTATTGGAATAACTGTAGTAACATATGCTTGTCAGCCGTACCTCCCTTTTATAGAAAAAGACATGCTGAACAGGAAGCACTTCAACAAAGTTATGAACCTGTCATACACGTTGGTGACTATCTTGAAACTATTTACAGGATTTTTTGTTTACATGGCCTATGAAAACTTGACTCATCCACTTATGACCCTTGATCTACCAAATGGGCCCTTACGGACAATTTCCTCCCTTTTCTTGCTTGTTGTCGCATTGACCTTCTTCTTTTTCCCAATGTTTACTGTCTTCAACATCGTTGACGAAAACTGGCCGAAAGACAAATGGGATAGGACAACGCTGAGGTACTTCGTTCGAACAGTTATCCTGGTGTTGGCTTTGATAATTGCTGTCGTGACACCCCATTTTGGGCTCGGTATTGCTTTGGTTGGAAATTTCACCGCAAATATATTAGTTTTTATTGTACCTTGTGCTTGCCACTTGAAGTTTAACTATCCAAACTTGTCTTTTAAAGAAATGTTAGCAGATGTTATAATTCTTGTGGCAGCAACGATATTCGGTTGCATTGGTATAGTGTTCTCTGTATTAGAATTGATTGTATCGTCCAACGATGAAGATCTTAACCCAACAGAGCCTTTAGAACATTTATGATGAGCAACAGTGAAGTCTCTACCTCACTTAGACTAGATTAGAAGTTCTTATTTACTTAGCTCAAACGTTATAAAGGTCGCTATAAACTTAACCCTACCCTATTTTTAACAACAGTACTCTCCGTCGAATGTTTTCAAAGGATCTTTCGACTTGGATGGCTATTCTCAAAAGAATTTCAAGTATAAAACGCTTGGTCGTGGAAAGAACGATTTACCATCTTGTGACCAAGACCCCGTTTACACTGTGCCGGATAAATTTTATCCACATCAAAATTAGTTCAGATAGGCGTCGCGTTTACACTATCCGCACCGCACCCACGCTATCCGCACGAATTTGAGAGCGGCAATCCGAACAAAATTAGTTCACCTAGGAAAGTGGATTAAACTAGTTCGGATAGTTGTGGTAAAGTGTAGACGCTTTTATCCAGATAAATTATATCCACATCGTATCTTGCTCGAAAGCGATTGGTTATTTCATCCAGTTTAGTTTTCACTGTCTCCCAATCAAGACCTTTCGTCATCTTCGCTCTCGTTGTCGATAAACACTCATGTTAAAAGTGCAGTATCTTGCCAGTCCAAGAAAAATTGACATCCTTTTCAGCTTTCCCTACTTTCGTTGCTAGTTCGGTGTCATTTTGTTTCAAGAGCAAACTATTAAAACAAACTAGGCCTAATTTGTGTTGACAATATCTTTGGATTTGGTCTAAAAGAGAAGCAGATGATTCTGAAGAGAGAACGAAGTCTTTTTACGTTGGCGGGAATTTTGTTATTATTCTGTTGCCCAGAGAAGACTTCATTTTGGGCGCTCTGTGCATGATTTAGGCCACGTGACTGCAGCTATCCGGCACAGTGTAAATGGGAGGGCAAAATGGACAAAATTTGTGCGGCACAGTGTAAACGCAAATCAATCCGAACAGGTTTTATGCGGATAAATTTGGCCCGGCACAGTGTAAACTAGGTCTAAATGAGCCATGTAGAAAAGTAATATAAATATAGTGTATATATGTTTATATACTGTTCAATGAATATCTTAAGAAACAAAAAAAATGAATTACTACATTGGAATAACTGGGGACAATGTCATATTATTGTAAAACTGTCATTAGATTTTCGATGTCCTAGTCCTATTTACTTAGACTTATTCATTATGTAAATAAAGGGCCCATAAAATAAAGTAGTAGACTTGAAAGACGAGTTCTTTTAACGAATCAATAATAAATTGATGGAAATGATAATGATGTTGTTTTTTTCCAAGATGTACTTATATAATGTAGATGAGGATAATGTAGATCAAAGTCTTTTTCATTTTGTAAAGAAAAGGAGTTATCTGAGAGAATATTCCAGAGCGGTGTACGTAAATGAATTGCATCGACTTTACACAACATTTTACTCATTATAGACAATTTTAGCATAGACGATCTATGTACATAACAAATAGAGATCTTCATTTGTTCTACAGTCTTAACTTTAGAAAGATAGAAGGCAATATGAATGTTCAAATGTTTCCTTAACACTATGTACAAAGTATATTGTTAAGGGCATAGATATTACTTGGAAATAAATTTGTCCAATCAGACATCACTGCTGTCATTAGTTGTCACGTTTCGTCACTTTTTCTCTATATTTCACGATTCTTGGTAAGAACGTCTTAAGATTGAGTCCAGCTTCATTCCTTAATGGAAACATAACTCCATTCATTATACTATAGTGTGTATGAGTTTCATTTCTCACTCCAAGCGATTTGGTTGCAATGAATCCATTTAAACAATCTTCTAGCCTGTGTAAGTAACAGTTAACGCAATCTTTTTCCTCATCTGAAAGGCAGTTTTGATCCACAAGAAAGAAAACGATTTTCATTAGAGCTATTTCGTACGCTTGACCTCCAAGAGGATGGTTGTTCAGAATTTTCATTATTGAAGAAATTAGAGTCTTTCTATTTTGTGGTTGGATTCCTTGATCTAATAGCTGCTGAAGAAGTTGAATGCAAACTTCTTTCTCGGAAGCATTTGTTAAATTTTTGATGCAGTGTTCTAGAATAAATATATTCCATGGGCTTCTGAAATCAGGTAATGTTGTGCGTAACAGTTTCAAGATGGAGAGAAGACATCTGGAACCCATTTCTTTAGTCAACCTTTCTTCACAAAAGATCAAGTTCTGACTGTGAGCCAATAATGTTCTCATTTCATCGTTATTTAGTTTAAAGGGAAGACCGTTGTGTTTTAGAAATCCAATTTCCGATTTGTTTGTGCTAAGAAAATTGCGCCAGAATAGCAAACAAGCATTCAGCAGCAACGGGGATTCTTTACAGGTGACTCCGCTGAGCAGAAGTTCTTTATTCAACTCAACTGTTTGAATGGGAATCGTTTCAATATTTTGAGATGAAATTAGCATTACTAGTTGAGACATAAGTATAAGGCTTACTGAAGCCAGTTTCTCGAAAGATTCTCCAGCAAATGTTAAACTTCTTGGCAAAAGGGAAACTATTTCCTTGATGAAGATTTCTTTGCATATGACAGCTGCATGGAATAAATAGCCATGTTTTCCAATAGAACTTAGAAACTGATTCAAGAAATTTAGAGCTCCAATGCGAATTTGGGGATATGGATTTTCAATAAAAAGCCGACAGACCATGCTTGAAAATTTAAGGTCCCCATCATGAATTTTATCAATGTCTCTCGTAAGAAGATTGCTATATATCGTCAACAGTGCTGTTACATTGACGTGATCGAGATCGCTTCCATTCGAGAATATTTGTTTGGCGATCGCATCTTTTAGGGATGGAACAAAGTCAACCTCAGAGCCATTTTGGATCATATGAGACATCACTTTTACTGCGTGTGCAACAATATCGCCTTTTTGATATGTCACAATGTTTGTGCAAGTGACATAGAAGTCTGCGTTGGCCTCAAACGAGGCAAGTATATCAAGAGTGCGACTGAAAGTGATATTTGTCGAGTCCCCTGAATTTGGCATTAAGCTGGAAAATACTTCAGTTAACACCCATTGTTTTACTTTCTTACTTTCAGATGCTGTCAGTACCCAAATTATGAAACACTTTTCGTTGATAAACATATCATTGACTTCTATCATTCGGTCAAGTATAGACAAAAGCCTTTTTTCTCCTTCATGTATATCTTGGTCTTCATTTTGAAACTTAGCTTTGGCATATGACCATAGATAAAACAAGTTACGGTATGTGACATCGTCTTCAAAAGAGCAATCAGTCAACAAACAGTTTGCGATGCTTTTGATGATTGTCTCTGGTTTCCAGATTGGCTCATCTGCAAACCTTGTTGATAAGTAAAGTAAGGAAAGACAAGCTGTTCTGACAGGCAATACAATATTCACATCGGCATTTGACGAGCTCCTTCCAAAGTAAAGATACCATTCTCTTGGCGGGGGATTTAAAAAAGAAAGTGTTTTCTCCATGATTGCCCCAAGAGACATTTGTTTGTTAGAGCCATCTAGTTTATTTGCAAGATTCACAAGAAACTGATGAATATGAGAAATGCTGAATTCATTGTTCTGTTCAGCTAAGAGCCTGCATTTGATCTCTGATGCCATTCGAATGAACGATGCCTCGCATAACTTCTTTGCGAAGACAGCACCATTGACATCTTCCAATAGCAACGAAAGTAAGTGGAAGAAACTTGCAAAAATTCTTGAAACTTTTATGAAAGGTATAAGAATGACAGTGGCTGGAATTAGGTACAGGTCAGAAATGTTTCCATAGTGACACTGTAGGGAAAGCATGTGTTCTTCATCAAATCCTACTTTTTCTTCTTCAGATGCCTCTGTCGATTCCTGCACAATCCGGCAAATGCATATTGTAAAGTTTAGGGTGTTGAACAACAAGCTCATTACCCCCGGATCAACTGAAAAGTAAGATTATTTAAAAAATTAGTTTTGCAATATCAATATGTATGATTTCAAAGAACTTTGATAAAAGAATCTTAAATGTATGACTTAAGTTATATGGTATAACATATTGATAAACTATTTTTTCCATTTTTAGCTGTAGGCATTTGGTATTGAGATTTCCTTTCTATACATCTCAAGACACAGTACTCTTGCGCTATTTCATCCTCTTATAATCGTAACAAGAGTTATTTTGGCAACCAATTGCTGTGGAATTTAATCATCATCTTTACAAGGTTAAACATCTGTACTCTATGTATGTGTATTCTTCGCAAGTGTAGGTCTTTCTTCAACCAAGCTTTCATAGAAAGCTCTTCTTGGCAAATATTTTCATTTTATCTCATTAAGAAGAAACTGAAAAACCTTAACTGTTAAAAACTTGATAATATATGATAATATAATACCTGTTGTTTTTGAAGATTCCTTTGTTGCTTTCTTTAGAACAGCTTTGCAAAAGTTCTCAAGAAGCAATTTCACAATGCTTGTGTCTATAAGATCTTTTGGATCCTTTTTATCAGTGCCTCTGAGCAGATGATGCCCATATCAAGGATACCTGTTTCATGGGTTTCACTTATATTTACCAATATTTTCAGAATCACATTGAGGTCTTTCACCACTGTTCCAAGTCTGTTTGTATCCTCTTCTAGGATTCTGTGAAGAAGGCCTAGGCCCGGCTTCATTAACGATTTGTCGCTTTTGCCTAGCATTCTCAAAAGTGCTTGGACAATTGGTTCAAAACCATAAATTATATGACCTCCAGTGAAGAACTTTGGGCAGTTTGAGAATTTGAGCAAGCAGTTGAATACTGAAGCAACTAAAAGTGGTTCTGATGACTCTAAAAGTTCGAATAAAAATTCACACAATCCCTTGTCAATCATTAAACTAGCAAAATTTGCAATTTTGTCATTTTTAATTTGTGGTGAATCGTTTAGCATTGCTCCAAGGCATTGTGCGGCACCAAGCTGGACAGATTTAGTTGGAGAAAGGATCAATTTTTTCAAGGCATCTGCTATTGATTTTCTTGAGAGCACAGCATCCTGATCTTCTTGTTCAAAAATCAAATCACGAAGGTCTGATCTCGTCGCGAAATTCTTTAAAACTGCAAGAATATTTAGCTGCAGCTCCTTTGATACCGAATTCCCTACAGCATTTACAATTTTTTCGAAGAGCAACTTTGAAGTTTCTTTACCAATGTCAGTATCACTGCCAATACGATAAACCTGAGTGAAGACATACCAGTAGGAAACTGCTTCCTTCTCTTCAACTATGTCTATACCATCTGCAATGATTCCCAATACCCATTGGTTATTCATTAATAAACTTTTCACAATTGTGTTAGAACTTCGTAAGATTTTTCCAAGCAGGCAGACATAAGGATATATTTTTCCTGTTGTATTATCTTTTGCATTGCGAATAGCATTCACTAACAGATCTAGAAAACTGACAGCGTTTTCATCTTGAACACGTTGGGCAAATGCTCCTATAGTCTCAACGAGGAGAGAAGAAAGCTGATTATCTTTAGTTGACAAAAGTTGTAACAAAACTTTGCCAGTGTGGTGTAAAGTTGTCTTGTGTTTCAGGAATATCTCCCATATCAATCTATTGGTTGTAAATAGATCCAGAATTTCTGAAGCCATTTTCCTCTTCCTTATATTAAGCGTGGTTTCATCTTCCAAGGTTTCAACGGCACATGCAAAGCAGATAACGCTTAAACTTGAGTTTTGCAAAAGCCACATATCGTCATGGCTTGGATGCTTCTTTGTCAATATTCCTTGGTTGAAAGCAGACATTATCGATCAGAACCAATTACAGTTACGAAGGATGTTATTCTCACGGATTAGTTTGTGGTTATGCTAGAAAAGGAACCATATCACCTAGTTAAAGGTCTTGATCGACAATAACAAATGTTTCGATTGAAATTTCCAACTTTCTACTATTTCCGATGACGCAATGCTTGAATTTCGCGCGCACTGAGGTAATGCGCCCATGCAGAGGCAGCTAGTGGTTTGACATTAGGGAACAGAAATTGAAGTGAGGGACGTGTATGGGGCAAGAAGCATTTGCTTTTAAGGTGCCTGCTATCAAAGAAAAGACATTATTTTGAAGCTCTAATCAAGTAGGAAAGGGGGCATTTAGATGAGACAATTTTGTATACAATTAAAATGAGACAAAATGTTTCTTTGCTAACTTAGCATTTCTTTTGTTACATACCACATTCCTTATTATTTTACCTTAACAACTGCTCTGTTTTTAGCACCAATAATAAAATAGTCGAGCAAAAACAGGGGAACAGTGTCAAAAAATTTTGTACATGTCATTGATCTTCCAATCTTCCATGTCAACATGACTCATCCTCATTGGACACAACCCCCTGGTTTGTATGACTCTTGATTTTTGAACGCGGTTATCATTTACGCGGTTATCATTTACGCGGTTATCATTTACGTAACAGCTCACTTGGTGTACACAAGAACCCGTTATGAAAACGGTAGATAGTCTAAACAGAGAAATCACGTCTAACAGGAAGTAGAACTTACTGAAGCAGTTTGTCAGGACTTAAATCTTAAAATAATCGGATGGGATACACAAGAAAGCTATCCGCTGCTCTCTTAGGTAAGTTGGTATAGGTATTCAAACGGCCTACATTCGTAGGAGTTCATGAAAGCATTAACTCTTTGAATTCCATGCATATTTGTCAACTAAGTAGCACCGGTCGACTTAACAAACAGTTTGATTTGCAGTTTGCTGATGCTTTGACCTTTCTGAAATAAAACGATGTTGTCATGAACAATGTCTTGTTGAAGTATTTCATACCGACGGACCAGTTTATATCAATCTCCAGTTTTGATCATTGACAAGATTCCTCAAATGCTTTTCAGTGGCCTTTTTTCCGTTAGGCAATTTCGTGATTTACCGAACAAGAGCTACCCGGCCAGTCTATTGTTGCTATATATTTTATTAAGCCTATCTTTTCAGATGTCTCCAAGTTTACTAATTTTTATGTCAATAATTGGTAATAAGAAAAAACGTCAATCCGAAATTTTATCGAAGGGGTAAAAGTAGAGTCGAGAGGCAATTGTGGACAAATTGCTTGACATTCCAGAAGATAATATCATATCAAATGACCATACCATTCAGATAATAATGAGTGGCTACAGTGTGATTGTGCATAAAATACACATTCTCATCCTAAGCAGCAAATATGCTGTAGAAGGCATAAATTGTTAAATGATAAAGTATGTAAGTTACAGACATTGTTACATACTTTTGACTTCTTTTCCAGTCTTGTTTGTGGTTCCTGTCACAAGGCAGCTGTTCTTGAATGGGAATGGTCCTGTCCAGACAACCTCCGCTATTGATATAAGTAAAGGATTTTCATTTGAATTTAGGACTTGCAGTTCTGGAAGGTTATTGTATCAGGGCAATAGCACCTCCTATTTTGAAGTGACTTTAACATCAACAAACATAACTAGCTTTAGCAGTTTGGTTTTCTCTTGGAGACATGGAGACCATAAAGAACATCACATTCTTCAAAGCTATTTCTCATTGGATAGAAACAGTCAGGTAGCTGTGAATTTTATAGTAAGAATTGGCCAAGCACCTGTTTTTAGAGTGTCAAGTCCTATAGATGTAAATAAAACAATTTCAAATTACTCATCTTTAATGAGAATAAAGGATTCTGGTCCACTTTTACTTGGACCAAATGGGTACACTGGCTGTTTGTTTGATGGAAAAGGAGTAAATTTGTCTGCTGCCTTGAACCTTTCAAAGTTTCAGTCTAACTGTCCTTGGGCGGATGGATTCCCCTGTGCTGAAAAAGGTTGGTTGTAAGATTACAAGATTTTTTTATTTCATTTTTTAACATCAAGATTTACAATGCTGTACAAGTAAAACCTGGTGCATGTTGGGAATTGAAACTGTTTTTTGGGGTGCCATCCCAAGGGGAATACAACTGTTTGACATTTGAAGCAGAAAAAAAGCTCAGATAGTCCTATTACAGAGTTATAACAGGTTAATACAATTATCACATAGTTTATTGAATTTATTTCCTTAAAATTTGTAAGGTATGAATTATAATTTTATCAAATTGTGAAGTGGACACTATTGTAACAATAAGTTTTAGGGCCTTTTTTATTCAACTTTATTGTGCAGAATTACATTATTATGTTACTTGAAGATCAAGGTGCTTACAGTCAATTATGTTATTAATGTCATAATCCATAAGTGATGAATTATTACCTCATACATTTCAAAATTTTAGTTTGTCCTTCTGGCTTTGCTGGTCAGTATTGCAATAAAAATATCAATGAATGTGGCTCACATCCATGTCATTCGTTTGCAACCTGTATTGATGGGATTAATAGCTACAAATGTATCTGTGGACCACAATGGACTGGACCAACATGTGCAACATTCCTTGGCTCTTTATGTAGTCCATCGCCTTGTAAAAATGGTGGAGTTTGTCAAGAGTCATATGATAGGAATAACTACTCTTGTATTTGCCCGAAAGGATACACTGGTAGAAACTGTGAAAACATTTCCTATCCATGCACCACCAATCCATGTTTAAATGGGGGCCATTGCTACAACTGGACAATGCCTGGTGCTGTTTTTGAGTACAATTGTTCTTGTATGCAAGGTGAGTCTGAATTCAGTTGCACACCAATAAGAACATTGACTCACCCCTGTAAGCATTTGTGCCCTGTTTACACTGTAGCCAACAGTCCTAGTGCCTGGAAAATTTTACACTGACAGATATGGTTTCATTGTAGAAAAGAACCATTGCAGTCAGAAGCCAGGGGGCTGGGGGGCTGCCCCCAATATTTGCCAAACTGTATTATATTTCCTTTATGACAGTGTAACAGGGCCCATGCCACGAATTTGAAAGTAGGGGGGGGGGGGTGCAAGGCTAGAAAGGTAGAGGGTCAAGGCTTCTTACACCTTTACTGCAGCTTTAAAACTGCTTTCTTCGAAAAAAAAGTGGGGGGCAATGGCCACCCCGTCCTCCCCCCTGGTGGCACGGGCCCTGTGTACTGAATAGGGGCAAAACAATGAGCAGCCTCCAATATAAATTTCATTCCAACGGGGTGGAATGAGGAATTTGATTAAAGTCATCAACAGCCTTCTGCCTCCAGATTTTCATTTCAAGAGTTAGGATGTATTGGTAAAAATTGTATCAAAGAGTGCTTTTTCCAGGTAACCAAAAACATCAAAGTTGGCTGTTTTTTAATTTTTAGCAGTGGTGTTAGTGAGGAGAAAAGCTTCCACCAAAAACTGGCTGAAAGCAAATTTCTCGAACTTGAATCGAAACGAAACTGAGGGGTAATTAAGTTTCTACGGTGCAGGAAAGTTTTCATCTACTTAATTTGACAAACTCGTACGCTTTAGTACCAAGTTTTACAGCAAATTTTGTGTGAATAAGAAGTTGTCCCGTACCGTATAAACGGGATCTCAAGCTGTAGTGCCTAGAGTTTGATAATTTCAGACAGGCTGGCTAAAATTGAATTTCCAGGGGTTTTCAGATAAAACAGGATTTGTACTAAAAGTGTACGAGATTTCCATGGAGTGATCTTTCCCTCGGTCTAGATAGTATCTTTACACATAAAAATTGGAAAGCTTATCTTTGACGTCTCAATATAAAAATACAATAATATCCCGCAATTAACTTTCTTTAACTGCAACGTTTTTGGCATTACCCTTTAACCTTCCCAAAAACGTTCGAACCCCCGATAAGTCCCTCGATTGCCGGTTAGCTTGGGTCATGTTCATTGTTTCTTTGAATGCTCGAAACATTGAGATTTTATTGTAACTGTAGTTTTTTCCCTATTCACTTTCTGTATATTTAAGATTATCTAATTTGGTTTCCAGGCTTCAAAGGTATTCATTGCGAATTGAATATTGATGACTGTTCCAGCCATCCATGCCATAGAGGGGTTTGCATTGATGGAATTAACAACTTCACTTGCAATTGTTCTGGAAGTGGATTCAAAGGCAGTCGCTGCGCAGACGACATTAACGAGTGCATTACCGCAATGCCTTGTAGAAATAATGGAACGTGCAAGAACACCTATGGTGGATTCGAATGCAGCTGTAAAACAGGTTACACTGGTGAGGGCTGTCTACTTAGTTTCCCTTTAGCTTTTTTCATGATACAATCTACGAAGCAACTAATGCAACACGTTTTTTATGTTTATTCATACACTAAAGTCAGCAGTTCGAAATAAATACCAGTGCTAAAAGTGTGTGTTTTGCAATAAATTTCTTCGACAACTATCTTTGTTATTTCCATGGCTCCTATGTTACTCGCTGGTTGCTCGATTTACAAATACTTCTTTGGAGATATTTAAGGGTCAGAGTATAACCTAAGCAGTTGCTAATTGATGGTGATGTCTCTTTATTTGAAAGGGAATGTTCATGTCACAATCAAAATTAGCGATACCAAAGTGGTAACTGGGCAGAAGGGCGATAAACACCGGAAAGTTTCAAATTTTTGAATGACCACAAAGACGCATCAGTGTAGTAAAATACTACTGATAGTATTGTGCTTTCGTAATTTCAGGTCAAGTTTGTGAATCTGATGTCCATGAGTGCAAGGATTCTCCTTGCTTAAACAACGGAATGTGCCAGGAGAGGGTTGGTCACTACCAGTGTGACTGTCCGCCAGGATACACCGGACAGAACTGTGAAACTAATGTAAACGAGTGTAAAGGAGTCAGTTGTGGAAATGGATCTTGTGTTGACCTTATAAATGGTTATTCTTGTGGCTGCCTTGTTGGTTATACTGGAAAACAGTAAGTGCTCCAAGAAAAAAATAACAATATTTATACTTAGGTGCTTTTGGATCACTAAGATCTTTCGTGCTTAGTATGCTTGAGTAGTCGTAAAAAATTGTAGGTTGAATTTTGGGATCTTCATTTTTCTCTTCGCTGCTTCTTTCGCAGCTGTGAAACCAATATAAATGACTGTATCAGCAGCCCTTGCTTGAACAACGGAACATGTATTGATCAAGTCAATGGGTACCAATGTCAGTGTCTTGGTGCATTCAATGGCACACATTGTGAAATATGGAATGACTTATGCAGAACTTCCCAGTGTCTAAACAACGCAATATGCATCCCCAAGAATGATACAGTGGCTGGATTTGAATGCAATTGTACTGGAACAGGGCACGCAGGTCCACTCTGTCAATTTGTTCCTGGTTTGTGCTATCCTGTGAATCCCTGCAAACACGGAAAGTGTAATGATTTTGGCTCGTTTTATAACTGTACGTGTGATAGTGGTTACGAAGGGGTCAATTGTTCTATGGATATAAATGAGTGTGTTGCATCTCCATGTCAGTACTCCAGTACTTGCCATAATACCCCCGGATCGTATTATTGCACGTGTACACCATACAGTACTGGAAAAAACTGCGAGACTGATGTTGTGAAATGTACACCAGCTTGTCAAAACGGAGGTGTCTGTCAAAATTGGATAGGAATAAGAGATGTTTGCCTCTGCCCTGGTGGTTGGATGGGTAAGTAATGCTTGTTCAAAGAAACGTTTAAGGCATTGTTTGCCGAAGACCTTGTCTTAAGTATATTGTAAATGTTTGAATATTTTTGTTTAAGTCATTGTTTCTATCAGAATCACTATATCTTAGATGGTAGATGTTTCAGATAAAGGACAAAACACAGCTGCTATGCTTCCTCAAAGGTCTCTTGCATATTTCAGATTTAGCAAGAAATTCAAGTTGTTTCTTAAACTTGGTAGTAGACGAGCTTGAAAACCTGATAATAAAAGTATTCCTTTGAAACATACAATGTAAACACCAGATATGACCTCATTGGTTCGGGCTAGGTGGGCCTTTGGATACTATTGCTATTGAATTCAAAACTTAATGCCAAGAACTCTTCATTTGTTTAACGCTCTTTTCCATATATCAAGAAGGAAATATTTCAAAATTGACTCTTCTTCTATGAAGGAAATGCCTGCGAGCGGCGAATTGATTACTGCGCTACCGACAAACCGTTCTGTGGAAATGGAAGTTGCAGTAACTACTACTCTAACAGTGAAAACTATGCAGTATGCATTTGCAACGAAGGCTATACTGGGAGTAACTGCACCATTGATCTTGATGAATGTGCCCTTGGCTATTGCAAAAACAGTCTGTCTTGTAAGAATAGCGTTGGCAGTTATAGCTGTTCATGTAGTCCTGGCTATGGAGGCAAGAACTGCTCTGGGAATATCAATGAATGTGCCAGTGGTCCGTGCAGAAACAATGGTACATGTGTGGATGAGGTTAATGGGTACCGTTGTCACTGTAGGTATGGCTTCAATGGTAGCAACTGTCAAAATGACATCGATTGGTGCCTGAGCAGCCCATGCACCAATAATGCCAGCTGTACAGATGGCATCGAGACATACAACTGCACTTGCCCCAAGGGTTTTATTGGCAGGAACTGTGAAATTGATATCAATGAATGCAGATCGAATCCGTGCCTTTTTGGAGGGACCTGTATCGAAAGATCGAACCTTACTGCTCTTGCTATCAATGGAAAATTAACAAATGATTTGAAGAATAGCTATGCAAACAGGTATGAGCATATTGCTTTATTGCAATCCTGCATAAATTACCTTTGACTATTACTGTATTCCGGAGTACCATGTTTTGTGCCATCTTACATATTGTCTTATTAAAATTGCCCATGCACATAAAATCAATGAAGTCATAATGTCTTTATTTATTCGGGTAGTGAGGTTGGGGTGGTAAAGTAGTGTCTAATTAAATCGCGTCTTTTTCCGACAATAAGTTTTATTACCAGGCTAGTCCTTTGTTCGGACATGCCAACGTTAGATAAGAAACCCGTTCTCTAAGTATACGGGCTCCACCTTAACAAAATCCGTATAGCTTTCAGCACAGATGCTTAGCCTCTAAGTGGTACCTCAACCCCTTACCAACCTCAGGTTATAATCTTTAGCCCCATGCATCATCTACCCTCGACCCCCTCGGTATAATAGTTTCCGTCCCATTTCTCTCACAACAGAGAGTTTTTCTTTTGCTGATCCAGCAGGAAGGAGTTGTTAACTTCAGTTACTGAAGGTGCAAAGCAGGAATGAAAATGTCTTCAACAAAGTTACAATGGAAGGAATTAACTTTCATCTCTATTTGAATTAACTGGCATTCTAGGACATTACTGCAATTCACCCCGTTTTCTGTTTTTAGCAAATTCTCCCAAAAAAACCAAGAGGAAGCACCTGTTTTCTACTCACCTAGCGCATTTTATTGTGACTTGCACCTTCAGTTTTGTTTAAAAAGGGGGGTGTGTGCAATTATTTGAACTGGTGATAATTGGATGAAAGTGCCCTTTCCATAAAATTCAATGGTCAGTTCGCCTATAAGAATCTGTGGCAGTTTTCTGAAATTTAGAAGCACTTCTAGATGGTGTCAGGTTAAGAAACTATTTCCTTTCATCAATATAGATTTTTATTGCTCTAATGCCAATTAAGGTCTACCGTATGTCTTATATTGTAAATGCCAGACAGTTCCCAGTACGACACTACATAGGAAAAGTATTGGAGTTTCACTGTCTACAACTTACATATGACTTTATCATCATCCATATACACAAACATTTGTAATGGTAATAGGAAATTCACCTACAATTTGTGCTTTTCTTTTAGAGCTAAATTGTTTTATTCTGAGCACCTTCACGACTTCATGTCCAGCTTTAGCCATTAAAACCTTTATTCAAATCAATACACTCTTTTTTATAAGAACAATTTTATAAGAACACGAGCCTCAAAACTGGTCAAAAGTTAAGAACAAATTAAGAACAAGCTGAGGCTGAGCTTCTGCAAAATGCAATTTTGAACAACGTTTTTTCTCAAAATCGAGGATTTTTAGCGATGTGTGGGTGCTTTTTCGGTGAATATTCAAATTTTTCAGCAAATTAAGGCTGTTTCACTCACTTTGTTGGCAAATGAGGCCTGCACACCTCTTTAGAGCGAAAAAGCTAGCAATAGCTCTGCTTACACCCTCTTAATTTAAGAACAAATTAAGAACAATCCAGCCTCAGATTTTCGAAAAAATTAAGAATAATCAGCCTGAACTTAAAATTACTGGTTCTTATAAAAAAAGAATGTACACCCTAAAGAGTGTCCTGATCACTATTTTTAACCCATTACAGCTTCTTTCTGAGGTAAAGTAATACAATTATTTTAATCACTTATTTAATTACCTTTCGACAGTACTTTTTGTCCCTTAATGTAATCATTCAAAGGTTGGTATAAGGATAGCCTTCTATCGGTCCAAAAGAGGACAGGATTGCGGAGCTGGTCATGGCAGTCCAGAGTTTCTTTTATTGTTTTCTTTTGTTTCAAACGCTGAGAAAAAATTCTAGGAATTTAGTCGTTGGGTACTACTAAACAACAAAAGAGGAGGGGATTCCAACCGGGCTAATATTTGACATTCAGTCAGTGTAGTATTGGAGGAGTGACGGTTTCGCAAATTCTGTTGATTTCTGTCACGACCGCTTACATGCTACACGGTTGTCAGGAGCTTAGAACGGATTTTGAACACGAGAGTTGGTTCTTGAGAATGGTTTATGGAAGCGGATATAACGAAAACGAAAGATTGTATGAAATACGTTTTTTCGTTTGTTGAAAGTGACCTCTCAGTAACACAAATTCCGGGGTTTATTGAAACTGGTGCTGTTGCTGACGGAGAATTGGAATAATGAGTTGATTAGGTAACATCAGAATCAGTTTTAATCATTAACGAGAAGAAGCGGGTTGAAAGATAGCACAAGATGAAGGCCATGTTATCATCAAAAAGCAACGCACGGAAATACCCAGTCAAAGGTTTAAAGATTCTTACATTGCAGCTTCTAGTTTGGTAGGTATTGATTCTATTTTGGATCCAATTCGGTCAATCCCGTTATTAAAAGAAATAGATAATGACTTTTAACTTGACTTGTGCTTCGCTATTTATGGTGGCCTACGGAAACGCGGTAATACTAACAGGAGGCAAACAAATCGTTCTTATAACGGGACTTGGTTTATGTCTTATCTCAGCCAGATGTTTCTGTCAACTCTAACAGCTTGGAACCTTGTTATCGTGAATTACCGCAGTTTAATCTTGGAGAGTTTCAGGTTGTGATGTTTTTTATAGATGCTTGAAATTTGGCTTGAAAATTGTCTACATTTTAGTGATTTTAAGCATTTTTGCTTGCTCCTTCCAACCTCACATTTTGAGTCATACACCTACTTTGGTAAACAACTCAAACGATGCAGAGTATGAGGTGGTTTTATACGTGGCCTATTTTACGGTTGATTAGAGATCCCAGAACTTTCCTCTCTCGTACGTTGTGTGGTTGGTTTTCTAATTACGATGAAAGAGTGGATAATTCGCACCACAGATTTTGAATTGGTTCTTAACGAAGCATGCAGGCGGTTTCTACATCGGGAAATCATCAGTGCTTTTGACGTCAGTTTTTAGGCCCTCAACCGGTTGTTTTCAACAGGGAAGTATTATGAAACAGTGATGACGTAACGTGTTTCTGTTGAAAACAATATATTTAGCAGGTTTCAAATAGCAGGGAAGTTTGATGATTCATATTTTATTGAAATCAGTGGAATGTTTAGCAGGTCGTTGTCTCGATTTATGCGGTTTGTTTGATTTGCGTTTCTTTTTTGAATCACAGAAATGTCAAACCACGGGAATGACCTTTGCTTCCACTGCGCCTCCGTGTTTCTGCTTTGCGAGACCGCAGTCTGTCATGGGTCATAGAGTTTCAGTTACACAATGAAAGATTATTATTATGGGTCTCCAAGATACTTTTTCTGACGAATTTTTTTCGAGAAAATTTTGCAAAAATTTTTTTATGTTTTCTGACATCGGTACAAAAAAATTGACAAAGAACCTAGATTTCTGAAAAATCATGGCAGAATTTAATTAAGTGACATTTTATTTGCAGGGTAAAAATGACTAAGTTTAGCTTGGCTCTCATATCCAGAGACACATTTATAAAAAAGGCCATCAAAAATGTGCTACATATACCAGTTACCAAAGCGAATCCCAATGAAAATCTGGATAATCTTTGCCTGTAAATCAAAGGGGTTCATAAATGTGTTTATATGGTGTTGTTCCATCGACTGATTATTATTATATGGTTAAAGTAACTGATAATTACCTTTATATCAAATTCCATTGTCTCTTCCTATTCTTGGTCATGTAGGTAGTTTAATTAGTCATTTTCACACCTTTTGTTGTTATTATTTCCTTGATAGGAAGTTATTTACAGAAACCATTCTAGGAATCTGTTGTGGCTCTGATAAAGAAAAGAAGCATTAAGTTGGAAGGTGGAAACTGTTGGAAGTAAAAAAATTGTCTGGAAGCTATAAAAAAGGCATTTTGTAATTTTCTGGAGGATTGTGTTGTTTTTTTGAGGCTTTCTTCATAGATCATTTCAGAGTTCATGATGCCATCATGGAATTCAGTTGTTTGATAGGTAGTTGAAATGGCTCAGGTGGAGCAACATAGCAAAAAAATGATGATGGACAGAGGCTGATGTTTTCCCATTTATTTGGTCATGAAACCTCTTTAGAATAGGGAGAAATACCTTGATTAACAATGGACCTTGTTTGAGCTACAGAAGAATTTAAAAATCTTGATCATGTAGGCTACCATTGTATTTCTTGCAGCTTTTATGTCTCTTGAGTCATGGTGCTATCTATGAACTCTAAGGTGGTCTTTCCCCTTTACCCCATCAAAAGTTCACAAGCAACTCCATACTGTGTTTTCATTTCATCTTTTGGAAGAACTTTTTGTGAAGTGTCTTCAGATCTCCCATTTGTCAGCCACTTTACTTGGGCAACATTGTTTGAAGTAGGAAATACTTGATAACCCCATTCTTTTCAAACTATATTTATACTTCATTGATGTTATTTTTGTTTAGGCTTTGTGCTGTGTAATCTTAACAGTAAACATTTATCATAAAGCATTTTGTAGCTTCTTCATTTACTTTTTTAAACTTTTTTTCAGGCATGGGTACATTTGCTTATGCAAGCCAGGCTTTATGGGAGTCAATTGTGCTACTAATGTAAATGAATGTCAGCCTAATCCTTGCCAAAACAATGCAACATGCACAGACCTTGTTAATGCCTATAACTGCACATGCCAGCCTGGATACACAGGTAAGTCTTCACATTATATCACAGGCTGTATGGAGTGAACTGTATCTTATTTTAACCCTGTAAACCTTTTTATCAACCAGGTGTTATGATGTAACAGAAAATACTTCAGTTTCTTAGTAGTTGGCTTTTCTAATTAACTCTCTTTTGGTTAATATTATAATACAATTTTTTCATGTGAATACTATAAGTTGTTTTAAAAAGTGTAGTGTAGAGATATTATTGAGAGCAACCATTAAACTTTAATTCTGCCTTTGTAAACCAGAATGTCTGCTTCTTCTTCTTCTTGTTCTTCTTCCTCTTTTCTTCTGTTTCATCTTTTTTTGTCTGTTTCATCTCCTTTTTTTCTTCTGTTTCATCTTCCTCTTTTTCTTCTTACTCTGTATCTTTTTTCTCAGCTTTTTTTCTTTAGTTCTTTATTTTTGTTCCAGTTCCTGTGTTTCTTTTTCTACCTCTTCTTTTCTTCTTTTTCTCCAGACAGATAACATATGATCTGCTTTGCCTTGACATATTATGAAATGAGTGGATTCCTTCTATATTCATGAAATCTTTTCCTGTCTGCAGCATTGTAAATCCCTTGATTGTGCCTACTGTAGTGGTTTTTGAATGATTTTCCACCTTTATCAATATTAGATGCATTTAAATAAAATTTTTGTTAGATTAAGTGTAGGTGTTTAAACTAACAATCCAAATTGGGATGCATTAACATCAAACAACATACCTACAGATGGCTTTGGCAAAGATGGTTTGGCTATACTTTCCAATGCTTTCGTTGTCCTGAAAAGGAGCTGCTCTGAGCCTTTTTTACATCTCTTTAAGATTAATTGCACAATTAATTTGGTACTACCCTTAATGCAAAGGAAAATGCAACACTATTAGGATTCAATCACAAGGATTAATATACTGTAAATGCTGTGATCCAAAGGCTTTCAATGTAATGTATAGCTTTGACACACAAATCCAAAGGCTTTGACACACAAAGCAAATGCAAAAATAACATGTTATTGTAGTGTATGTAATGTAATTTTTACCCTTGTGTGAAAGTTTTTGCCACCTTTTATTCAAGGAAAAAACTGTTCTATAAATATTGACGAATGTGCTTCAAGTCCATGCCAGAACAATGCTACATGTGTGGATCTGGTTAATAGTTATAGCTGCAATTGTAAAGCAAAGTACACAGGTATGAGATGCGAGAATGCAGTCAACCAATGTGTTGTCAAAGACCCCTGTATAAATGGTGGTGTGTGCCACCAAATCGGTACTAACTATAACTGTACTTGCCCTGTTGGTTTTACTGGTAAAAACTGCTCAGTGAATACCACAGTAGAATTTGATGGCAATGCAAACTGGACATTGACTAGCAATGTTAGAAAGATTGATTTTGCATTTAGGACTACGCTCAATAAAGGTTTGCTTGTACAGTTCTTATCAGCAAGTGGAAGCTTATATCTAGGATTAAGTAGCGAGGGTGTAGTTGTGGCAACTGAAACTGGATCAAGCACTGCTTACATCATCAGCACTGTTAGTGATGGCGCATGGCATAGTATAACTGTGTTGTTAGACCAGAAATCTATGAATTTTTCCATCGATGGCAAACATTTTCGTCATGCCTCAGGGATCGCAAATATTATCCAATTGCATTTTGGCAAAGCGAATACTTCATCATCAAAAATCAGTGGATCATTTCCTAGCTATGTTGGCTGTATCCGTGATTTGAAAACTGACGGGAAAGACATGGTACCTGGACAGGACGGTCAGCTGAGCGGGGGAAAGATTGGCACTTGTACATGGAAGAAATTTTGCCAAAAGTCGCCCTGTGTGAATGGTGGAGCATGCTCAGACCAATGGAATAAATACACCTGCAAGTGTAATCGTCGCTTTTTTGGATCTAATTGCGAGAAAGGTAATTTATCTCATTTGCCTGGGTTGCTAAGAGAAACGTTAAGCCCAGGGGTTTTGTCAAGAGTGTTTCGCCAACAAGGGAAGGTTGGCTTGACCTTGGCTAACCACCTTTCGTCTTCTTGGTTACACCCCCTGTTCATGCTTTTAATGAAGAATTTGTAACCGTGTACATTAAAAAAATGCTTGTAATGGAGATTCACGTTTTTGGCTTGAACCTCTAGATGTCATGCCTTATGACATTATACTAAAATTTATATCTTCACTAAGACACTGGCAAACTTGTATGTATTTTTGTGTGTATTTTTTTCCTGCCACTATTAAGACCTTTCTTGATATTTCATCTAGCTACCATATACCTATTTCGAACAAAATAAAACATCGTCAATTCAGATCAGTCATTGCAGTAAGTATTTGTTGATATTGTTTGTCATCTTTCTCCCCAGTGTACGATGCTTTTACATTTGGTGCAGTTCCTGTCATAAAACCCATCCCGCCGCCTACGTCATCAACAAACACAAGTCGTAGACGTAGATCTGTGTCCAGCCCTGGAGGAAACCAGACTAGTTTCGTCCTGTCTGTCGTTAATACTACCTTCAATTCCGAATCCAAAATTTCCCTGTCATTACGTACTAGGGCATCAAATGGTATACTATTTCTCTTATCAAGTAACAGTCCAAGTTCGCGTACGGGGAGTGTTCAATCCTATCTAACACTGCAAATGATAAATGGTGCCTTGTTTTTCAAATTCGCTCATCAAAGTGAATCGAAATCGCAAAATACAAACCGGTTAGTCAATGATGGCGTTTGGCATGATATTAGTGTCAACAAGCAAAATATAACCGTGGATAATACAGTAATACATTCACCAGGAATAGCCACTGACATGCCAGCTCGATATTTTTACGTCGGAGGGGTGGATAATGCAACGTTCTTCGCAAGTGCATTAGAAACAAGTACCCAGTATAGCGGGTGCTTGCAAGCTATATCACTGAACGGAGCAACGCTGACAGCCAGTCCGGTTAGTGGTGGCGGCTCAACACACAATGTTAGCAGTAGTAATGCTCAGGCAGGCTGCAATGGGACAGATGTGTGTGGTAACAACCCATGCAATAATGGTGGCAACTGCACTGATCACTGGAATGCATATAGTTGTACGTGTCCAAAGGGTTATTCTGGTGACACCTGCTCTCTTTCCGGTTGCTCGGTTAGAAATCCATGCCCGAAGGATTCGATGTGTTTTGATCTATCTTCAAGAAATGTAACGTGTAAGTATAAAGATCAACTTTTTAAGAAATTCTGCCTTTTTTATGTAACAGATTTTAAATTAAAATGGGATATTGATTTGGTGACATAAAAACTTCAATTTGGGGACGTATCATTTTATGGTATAGATTTAATTCTCGCTAAGAACAATAAATTTTTTCAAATGATTTTACAAGTTTTCTCTACTTCTGCCTATGCAACAGAAACATATCAAGAAAGATGGCAAATAAATATCAAAATATAATATAACTTTTGTGAAATGTACTTATGTAGTTTTATGCCAATCCAGCTATTGGTTACCTTGAACCTGGTATTGGTAACACAAAAACATAGCAACAAGCAATCCATTCTCAAGTTATGAATTACCAACATAGTTTCATATAAAGAGATCAGCCACCCCGGTCTTGCAAATCTTAAAGTTAATCTAAAACCTGTGATTCTGCTATCAGGCAGCATTTACTGGAAAACCCAGATTGTGCAAAAAACTATAATGGCGAAATGTTTCGGATTATTGGTAAAGCCCGATCGTCGTTCCATCTAGCAGTTTTGGAATCTATCTACATAAGCACGAAAAACCGCGGTTCATTTTCACCCTAGGACTCCGTTGGTAACATTCTCTATAGGCAAGCGGCACTGATTGGGCAACCTCAAAAGTCATGTGCTCGGGTTTCTGATCGGTGACTCAAACAACTAAGTATCCAAGCTTTAAATATTGAGCCCCCTAACAGTTCGATTGACGATATTTCTTTTCACTGTTTTCGACCAAAGATAAAGACCAACAACTTTTTACACCAGATGCACAAATAGTAAGATTTTCGCATAAAACGTCCACAACTACATTCTCATGCACAACTAATTTTGTTTTAATTTTTTTTGCATCGACGCTGGCCTTTTGTCCCTTTAATGTACAGCAAATTAATACCCCAAGATTCATTTAGTAACCTAGCTGCTTTGCTTATAAAACTTTTAATTTTTGATAGTGACTCTACCTCACTAATGATTGAAACTAACCACCTTGCTTAAGGTGTGTCGTAGAGTGGATTTGTCTACACTGCGTGCTTTAAGGAAGGAAGCTGATAAACGGAATTTTTCCAATTCAGGTGTCATTCCAAGAACCTTCAATGGCAGCACCAGTCGAGCAGCCTTTAACAGTTTAAAAGTGGCTAATGCATCGACTTTATCTTTCTCTCTACGAACTCGTAGTTCCACCGCCATAATAATGGGGTCCTACAGCAATAATAGCCATTATGTTGCGATTGGCCTAAATGAAGGCAGGGTTGAGCTTGTATATCGGAATTGGTCAATGTCAACTGAAAGCAGAATTACAGGGGGTGAGTAGACATCTCATTTTGTATCAGGTTTTGTCAGATTAATATTTTAACATGATGTTTAAAAATCGAGTTACTTCGTCTTGGAGCTGAAAGGCTCTGAATTTGTAGTTATTCAGTATTAGGATAGCAGCAGTTTAGACGCTCAGTCAATGATTTGTCTTTATGATATTGCATATACCAAGTTTTTGGGAAACAATATTTGTTTTTGCCATCTACGAGAAATATCAAGCAATTTTCAAAGCTTTGTGGGAAACAATATCCTTTTTTGCAGTTTTATAGATGTTAGAATGTTGGCATCCTTAATTTAACCCGTGGAACAACAGAGGAGTAGTTAATATTCATATCTGTAAAAAAGAATTCCATAAACGCTTCGGCATTTGTATTTACAAGGGAAAGGGCTTGCGAAAGATAGTAGTTGTTTGAGTCAACTTCAACTGGAATACACCACCTTTGCTCCATATATAGAATCTGCATCACTTTTTGTTCAAAAAATATTTAACTTTACTAAGTTGTTTTAGCATTGGTATAGAAATTTTAGGGTTGATTTTGTCTCCATTAACAGCTAGCATATTGATCATCAAGAGGTATTCTATTGGTACGAAACTCGATGAAGGCATCTAGACTATTAGATATTTCATTGGATAAGCTTAACAGTATTTCATGGATAACTATAATATATGAATAATAATTTTTTTAAAGTTGGCGTACTAAATGAACGTCTGATATATAAAAAAGCTAATTAAGGCCAACTATCTATAAAGAATAAGTATTAAATAAATAAATATATGATACAATATTAAAAATATTTATGCAACGACTGATATGGTATAGCGCTTAAATGTTTATGCAACGTTAGAATATTAAAAATGTTTATGGTATAATGTTCTAAATAAAACCTAATCCAGCAATAAATATTTTACACAATCTACAGTCGCATTCTATAGGGTGTGCTTTTAATTCTTTTTTAAATGTTGTCAATGATTGGGACTCTCTTATACTGTGAGGTAGTGTTTGCCACAGTTTTTGACCTAAATGTCTCACAGTTTCTATACCATAAGAAGTTGTCCTGGCTTTTGGAATGCAAAGATTATTTTTAGTTCGCAAATCATAATGTACATTAACTGTTATACTATGCTGTTATCAATCTGTTGTAGCACGCAAAGTGAATGATGGGGCTTGGTATCACATTGAATTCAATACGGCAATCTCGACGACCATAGCTATCAACTACACTCTGGATGCTACTAAAAGTGGTAATGTCTTTGGTGAAAATTTCAAGACTTTATTGGACACAAGCGGCATTACAATTGGAAGCATCGCAACACCTTCTCTAACTTCTAAATTTAATAACACCGTTTTCATTGGCTGCTTTGCGAAATTTATGATTGGAAATGAACTGATAAGTATGAACACTTCTGTGAACGTTGGTTTGATTGACGGTTGTCATAGTTCGAATCCCTGTATTCATAAACCCTGTGGTAGTGGCCAGTGCCTTGACACTTTCAACAGCTATAGATGTGTATGTCCTCCTTATTATACAGGAGAGAAATGCAATAGTACCCATAATGTCGATTGTGGCTTTAAATCTGATCTGTGTCATCCAAGCTCTACTTGTGTAAATCTGACTTCTGCGCAGCCGCGGGTGTTTAGTATGTCTGGAAATGATATGTTCCGCTGTAATTGTGCTTCCGGTTACGCGGGATATCGGTGTTTCACTCTTGTGAATTTGTGCACGCCAAACCCTTGTGTTAACGGAACATGTGAACCGTTAACTGGTGATTACAATTGCAGATGTACGAGTGGATATGCTGGTAAAAATTGTTCTTTGAATATTGATGAATGCGCGTCGAATCCATGCCAAAACGGAGGGAGCTGTAATGATGGCTTAAATACTTATACATGTACTTGCACGTCTGCTTATACTGGTGATCGTTGTGACAAAGCAGTTAGTAGCAGTAATAAAAGTAAAGAAATTGGAATGTGGGTCGGCATTGGCATCGCCATCTTAGTTGTTATTATCATTATTGCTGTTATTGCCTTCAAGTACTGTAACAAAGAGCGTGGAATGCAGGGCACCTACAGTCCGAGTAGACAAGAAAAGGGACAGGTTGAGATGGCTTCCATGCCACCTATTCCACCGAAAGAAAGGCTTATCTAATAGAACTCTGCGGCCAAACGTGGTGCAATTGTAGCATTGTTGATCTAGTGCTGTATAGGTCCTGAAAATATATGAAATTCGAAACAGATAAATCATTGACGTTGGATTTCAAAAGGCAAAGTTCGTCGGCTGTGAAGCTCTCCTGCATATTCACAACAATGAAAAGCCCTTTTGGAAACAACCTAGGTTTTTCCATCGAAGGATTTATATGATTTGTAGCGCTCTTTCCAGAGAGATTAAGTTGTATATTATCCTGAATTACTCTGAACCATATATTACTAAACCATATTTACACAGATCGTCGGATTCCATTCATTTAACATCCAGGTAGTTTACAAGATCTATGATTGGCATTTGTAACTGATATTATTTCCGAGGCCTTTTGACGTTTTATCTAAGGGGTAGTTGCCCCGCCTTTGCTTAAGATAATAGAATATTTTTGAACAAAGCTCGAAACCCTTAGAAACAGGGTATGCTGAATTATACCCCCCTCCCGAACAGACGTTATTTTCTGCCTAAAAGTCAACTGCGCTAATAGAAACTTCCTAGCGTTGGTCTGATAATGCCCCCCATAAATTTAATTACAAAGGATTAGTGGAAAGCCCGTTCCTTTTTACGTTAAACCTGAAACCCGTTTGAGGCTAAGTCACCTGTCAAGTTTATTGTTACATTTCCCAACTATCATATTACAAATTCAGAATCCCAGTCATATGCAATCACAATGCAATTGAAAATATTTTTTTTCTGATTTTTTTATTCGTAGTATGTATCTTGCCGAAGTGGTGTAATTATTTTCTATTTTGTGCGAATTTCATGCAGTATGCAGTTTCTATGTAAGGATGTATGATATCATGTTACTCTGTTCATTGGAGATTTAGATTTTCATAAAGTTTCTATGCCGACGTGTTTAACCTTTTAAATGAGGCGGCTTTTCTGTCTCCCATTGAAAATTTATGACAGCTAGACTGAAATTTCCTGACAGATTGACTTGCCCCCCGTAATAATGTTTCAGCCCCGACGGTCCCTCCTTCAGCTTCAAGAACCTAGACCCAGGGACTGCGGAAGTGGGGGCTACGGGGGCTTTGTTCCCTCCCCCCACAAATTTCCAAAATATACAATAACCATACAAAAATTGTCCTGCATTTGTTTTTATCATATTAAGCCCAAATCTCCAAAAAACGTTTTAGCCCCCTCAATCTGTAATATGCTCGGTGGCCCTTGCCTAGACCTCCCATATTCAGAATCCACCTGAACTTTAATTTGAGAGGCCTTACGACGTGAAATTATATGTTTTGACAGTATCACATGTAACAGTCTTGGTTACTGTTTATAGGCTAATTTTGGTAACCCGTTTAAGATCTACAATTATCATTGACATTTGAAGCTTTACAGGAATAAGTTAACAGTTTTTCTTTATATATCGTTTTCACAAGATTTTTGAGTATATTATGTTATGAATTGTATTTAATAAAAGAAGGTGTACATAGTTGAACGTTGTAATATCTAGCTGTTTTTGCGAAGTACTAAATAGTAATAGACGTTATTTCTGCAAATTTTTGTGGCGAATCAAATTGAAGGGGCATTGGCTATTGATTTTTTATATGCATTATAGAAAGTTCTCCTGAAGATTTTCAAATCATTCGAGTAAAATCCCGCAGATTCAAAACCTTGTTATTGTGAAGTGAAAGGTGCTGGAGTCATTTATGGTCGGTTATTGGAAACATTATGTAGAATTTATTTTGTATTTTTTATCATTCTAAATTTCTCTTCCCATTTTCTAGGAGCTCTTGCTCAGCAAAATGGTAATCAATTTGCATATGTTTTATTAATCTGTCCTGGTTTTCGCATCTAAATACGTTTTTAGTTGCAATATTACGTACAACTGTTTCGATTTAGGAACTTGCTGTGAGGATAATGTATTCCATCTAGTCTAGATATAGTTTTTCTGCTGATCACCTTCTTTCGATGAAGATTTTGAATTGATTTTTACTTAAGATGATCGCTCGATGTGATTATTTCTCTAAGCATTCTAAGTAGACCCTTCTCGCATATAGGCTTTGAATTTTAGGTACGCAAACGTTTGCTAAAAGATGTTTTTTCTTTGCCTTCATGCCTTCTCTCAACTTTTGAATGCAGCGAATGAGATCCTCCCATTCCAAATAAATGCAGTTTGTTGGAATTGCATATTTTTTTAAAGTTGAGCAACGGTGCTAACGAGAACTGTGTTTGAATGAGGGTGGTAAAGGGTATTTTCTGAAACGTCGTATTTTTTTCTCATGAAATGTGAAAGGATAATATATCATTCCTTATATTCTGCCATATATTTTTCAACGTGACATGTGAAATTCTACAATTTTCCCGCAGCTCGTAAACCTGACCCCCCCCCCCCCCCCCCCCCCCCCCTTTACAACTCCTTGAAGGTAACAGGTATAATAGCTATAAATATGCCTTATATTATCTTGGTGAATCTGTTCTGTCGGTGTCAATTCCAAGCCTGCCCAGAACCATTCTACTCACTTAAGTCGGATCCCCCTTCCAAATTCGCAGGGTACCCACGACACACTGAATCTATGGCTGTTTGGACCTCCTAGTTTTGGAGTTCTAGGCTTTTTCAAATTGTTTCTTCACTTTTTTGAATGTTATAAAAAATGAGTGTAAGGTTGGCAGAAAGCTACCATTTAGTCATTCGTTCCAAGTTTAGCAACAAAACAATTTGTAACCAAAATCAATGTACTTTGATCAGAGAGATAGGATAATATCTCTATGGATTTGACAGTTTCATTTTAAGATTGTAATCATTTCAAAGTAAATCGTTCCGTTATTGTAAAAAACGAAAAAAAGAAGCCAGTCTTTATTAGTGTTCGTATTCTTCTTGATTCTTTCTCTCTCATTCAACTCCATTAAACCATTGTCAATAGAAAATGATTTTCTATTAACCTATGTATGATTTAACAAACTACTAACTACTAAAATACATAGTCAGCGGTTTTCCGCCATTATGTCTTTAACAATTCGTCTCTAGTTCTCTCTGTTTCCTGTTATCTCTTGCAGGACTTTTAATGTTTTTAGCAGGATTTACCTCAATGTTTAGTTGTATGTTGATCAGTGAGAAGCCTTCTCCGATCAATTTAATCCACGTAGTTTCTTCCGATTTTCTTTTTTGTCCTTCTCAGGCTTTCATTTCATCAAAAGCTATCTTTGCTTGAGTATCATTTTTTAGGCACATAAGGTGGCCCAGCCAATCTAACCGTCTACTCCTGATTGTTGTACTCCATGGCTCTGAGTTTGTTTTTTGCATATGTAGTTCATCATAGGCGTAGATTTTTTTTTCAGGGGGGGGAGCTCAAAAAATTTATGACCATTCCTTATGGCAGCTGCTGATGTCACAGGATAGAAAGTGGATTAGCTAAGGGCTTAAAGGTGATTTTCCTTGCATTTTTCATTAACGCAATTATCTAATGCAACAAATCTTATGCGTCAAACCAATAATATAACAAACTAATCTAAAAATTGGTAAAGCACTTCCTCATTTTCCAGGGGGGGCTCAGCCTCGGCTTTCGTCAGGAGGGGCTGAAGCCCCAGAGCCCCCCCCCCCCCGAGTTTACGCCTATGTCGTTCATCATTTCTGGTTTTTTCAGATTCAACAACCTAAAGTCGAAAATAAAATAAAATTGGATAAAAGGCTGAAACGAGACAGCGTCAGTACGAGGCTAGCTCAATGCAAAACGATGCCTCATATTTGACGCTGCAATGTTTACTACAATTTGGTAATAAACATGGTGAATGCAAAATGTTAATATTGCTGTAATATAAGTGTTCCAAATGGAGAATCTGGTGGAGCTGCTTGGGCGTACCGTCGCTGTAATGTCAAGTTTTGAAATAAGCGTAGGTAGAAGTTGACAGTTTGAAACCCTGCTAATTCTGTCAGAAAAATAATTTCAGTAACAATCTTTTGGTCGTACAAAACTTGAAAATGGCTTTGATAAAAGCAAACCTTTAGTAAACTAAAGCTTTTCATCTGACACTCTTCAGAGTTTAAAACGTCAGAACATAGATTGATGTTCTGACGTTTTAAACTCTGAAGGGTGTCAGACAAAAACCTTTAGTTTACTAAATGTTTGCTTTTTTCAAAGCCAATTTCGGTAACCAATAATGCCATGCCACCAAGGATGACTTTGAAACTTGTCATTATACTAAAGCGAACATGCTATTATCTGATGCTGCAACTTTGTGTTTTACAAATATTAATTTTATGTTGTGATTTCTGACTGCTGAGGTTTTAGTGAGCCCTCAAGTCGTTCGCTGGCAAAGAATGTATTTATCCTATTCAACTAATTTAAGATGCCATAAATAACGGTGAGTTTCTCTTAGTTGCTTAGCAGCTGTTCTAGTTGGTTTTAAAGGTAGATCGTACTCAAAGATGTAGAATTGTGTTGGTTGTAACAACACCAACAGCATTAGACTTATCAGACCCTTTCCCGCCCCAAAATGAATTTTGATTGATTTACCAAATTATTTTTCGAATGATATGCCAAATCTGATATGTTTTAAGGGTGTTCTGCCACTTAATAGCTTATTCTTAGGGTGTTCTTGGGGTGTTTTTGGGGTTTTCAGCCTGTTCTTGGAGTGTTCAGTCTTTTAGAATTGACGATTTTAGCAAAGGGAATTGCTAAAATTATTGATATGGTATCATCACTGAATTTAGTACATGTTATGTACGGTATGTTAGACTAAAGGGGTTATGTATAAAATTTATTGTTTATTTACTGTGTATAAAAGAGGTTTCAAAAAGTGACAATACATGCCCAGTAATTGATGGGCCAAAGATCTGCAGTTTTTCACAAAGGAATATTTCATTTTCAACATTGACATCAAATAAATGACTGAGGGTATTAATATTGTAAAGAAAAAGTCTCTTTACCATTGGTTTCCAAGTCTTGGAATTCTGAAAATTGCTGACTTTTAGTCTTTTGGTAGTAAGTAATTTTTGCTTAGCAAGCCATCCAGTTTCAGTTTCATACAATATTGAGGCCCTGGATGGAGTAAAACCTGCCATGAAGTGGCCCCTGAAAAGAACAAAGCAAACCTGATTCTTCTATGTAAGATATCCTTCTTTGAAAAATTTTTATTCCTGCAGTTTGTAATATGCTGAATAGGGTCTGTCAGTGGGACAGACAAACTTCATGTGAATTAACAGTGAGTCTAATCAAACTTTGAGACTGAATTTATACGCATAAATTTCTATAAATAATAAAAAAGGTTGCATTAAACATCAGTCACATGATATATTAGTGTATGGTAAATCTATTTATTGCCACTGCTCTCTTGATCAGGCCTTGCTCTAACCAAAATGAAGGTGCTCTAGGTGCTACAGTGAACAGGTCTCAAGCCAAATCAACACATATACAACACATACACATAAATTTTCAATATTGCTGCATTTTTAAATGATTCAACTCAAGTTGTTTTTAATTGTTTGTATTTTTAATGCATTGAAAGCAAAACTTTCATGTGAGAATTTGTTCTTGTAATATTGTGGTCATTTCAGGAGATAGTCTGAGTTTGATCAGCATTATTTTCAACCAATATTTGCTTTGTGGCAACATTGTTTTACATTTTCAGGTGCTCATCAAATGGCTCTCCATGCCTGTTTTAAGGTCCAATTTAGGCACTCCCCCCTCAACTGAACGCCTTTCTGGTTTGTTTAGCTTAACCCCCCTTCCCCTTATGTATAAGCATATTGAAACAAACCTTTCTTATTGGTGCTTCTCTGTAAGACATACAAAGTGGTTTCCAATTATAACATAAAATATTATGCTATTAAGTGTGTAATGATTTTAGGTTGGTTCCTCTTACAAAAATGGAATACAGAGACAGTATCTACTGAGACAGTATATAAAGCTACTTCTGTTGATGTTCAATTTTTGATCAAAAAGTAGAATTAGACTCATTCAAACAATTATCACACAGGGGCGGCTGGGAGTAGAAAAATATTGGTATTAGCCTCCGAAATTAAGACATAAGAAGTTCCCCTCCCTAGATCCTGAAACTATTTAACAGGGGTGGAGCTTATATGTTCTTATTTAAGAAGGTGGGCAAAATGACCTTTTCGATATGATGGTTTAAAATAGCTTTTGGCAATACCATATCTTACCAAATTATTTGAAGGCACTGGCCCCCGTTGTCTCCCCCCAGACACTGATGAACCTGTGGTAATGTAGTTCATCCTACTAGTTTTGGGTGAAGGATCGGTCCTACGAAATACAAATGAATTATGGCTGCGGCAAATTACTCGAGCGAAATCGTGTTTTGATACAGCGGTTTGCTGCCCAGTAATGGAGCCCCAAGGTATTAGCCCATTAATTCTAATACCATGAGGCTTTTGGCCCGCGAATGAGATTCTATTACGATAAAGCGAGCGATTTACTTTAGAGAAATGCAGCAAAAAAACGTAAGATGTATCATTTGATTTGAGAAACCGAGAGAAATAATGTGAGAATGTTGCCTGTGACTCTACAATCATATAGAATCAAAGTTTTACAAAACATACAGTTCATACAAAACAACTTTTACAACTGCCTTTAGCTTAAACAAATTATTTCATGACTGTTGCTCTTTATATTCAGTGTCTAAATTTTGTCAATCAAATTATCCATCCAAAGGCATTGCTAGCAAAGTACAGCTACATTTTGTAAATTCATAAAGTTAATTTCCAGAAATATTTTTTCTATAAGCTGAGGCCTTAGAATAGAGCTGGGGCTCTTTCCACCGTCCCTTCCACTGACAGTGGCCCTCGTAGTATTAGAAATGAAAAACTAATACCTTACTGCTGTTCACCCATTCTTCTACCATGGCTCAACAAGAGAAATTCACGTCATGCAGACCACAACACACAAAAGAAATTTCGGGGCAGTGTATTAGTTTTTGGAGGCTAATACCATGGCCAGGGCTGCTGATTACGGCATTGATTACACTTTTCAATGATTTCAATGAGGATTAGGAAAGCTTTCATTCAACGAACAGAAAAGCAAATATAGCTTGGCTATATGAATAGAGCTGGTCGCATCGATAAAATTGTTGTGAAAAAGTGGCAGCGTACAAAAGGCAAAATAAATTTCCTGCAATCTCAGAGACCCAAAGTCGCCTTCCTTTGAAAATAAAATGGTATTAGACTAATACCTTTAATACCACCCCACGCCGCCCCTGTTATCACATAGTGAATCTAACCAAACATAACAATAGTAATAACCAAAGAAAGCAGAAAAGAACAAACACATTGGTTCTTCCTGCTTCAAGGTAGGCCAACGAAACCTTTGAGGAATTAGGCAAAAGTTGAAAAATTTACCATGACCAAATCTTGCTAATGGCACTAGACTGCTTATATAACACTTTTACACTTTTTATTAGAAGACAATTGGGTACATTTTTTCACTTTCTTTTAAGTTGGTAGCACACAATACTAGCTATATTGAAGCTAATTAAAACTGACTAAGTCATGTTAAGGTTAAGTCCTGTTTGTCAAGGTTAAGATTAAGTTTGTCAAGATTAAATCATGTTTCAAGTGCTAGTGTGTCTAAGCTCTGAGATAATTCATTTAGTATTTGTTTGTTTTTTCGGATAAGTCTTTGTTTTCCATTTAATTGAGCATCATTATAAATAAACAATGCTGAAATTACTTATAACGATCCAGTTATATATAATATGTTTTTCTTCTAAAGTTCTTGATATATTTTTCTTACTTAGCAGTTTATGATATGAAACTCACATATAAGCAGAAAATGCATACTTTACTTCTTTTTTACAGTTGATAGCTTCAGCTGCTGTAACTGCTCTTATAGTGGTAATTGGATGTCTCTTTTTCACCAGAAAGAATAGAGGCAAAGGTATTCCTTGCTAAATCATTAAAATTTACCCAGAAACAAATGGTTAAGAAGAGAAATTGAAGTAGTGTATCTCTATTGCATGAATTTTAGATAATTTTTACAACTTTAATTAAAGGATCACAGTTACTTAGCATGTCACCCATAATTTTTGTTAATATTACATTGTCTTGCAATTTATGTTCACAACATAAAAGTATTCATTCATAACTGAATACCTATAAGAATGGTTGAAATGTGCCAGTTACAATAGTAACTTTTTTTCGTAATTGGTCAAGCAAAGCTATCATTCCCTTTCTAGTATTCTATCTTATGCTTCAGTTGTTAAGAACAGGAAGGAAGTGTTTTGAAGTTGTTGATATATGGATATTCTTTCTTGTGCCTCTGCCTTGATTTCAGAGATTCAGGAATATTTATTGGTCATAAGATAAAATAAGATAAAATCTTTCAAATTATAAGATAAAATAAATCAGTAAAACTAGTATTGATTAAATACATTGTCCTTCTTTATGGATCATCAAAATTGACCCCAGATCAGGATTTGGCATAAAATCTTTTCAGAAGTGCCTAGCAGATATAATCGAAGGGAAAAAGTAACCTTGTGCTTGAAGAAATTGACTGGAGCTTGAATTTTGCGTTAACTGTTGAACAAAGAAACAAAGATGTTTATCAAAAAGATTATTAATTTTGTTAGTTGTTTTTTGTTGTTTATTGGAGTTCCGCTGCTTCTCTGGTCTTCAAAATTTATGCTCTTGTTAACTTCTTCCATTCCTTTCTATCTTCTTCCATCCTTTCAGCCAGTGTTCTCAATTCTTCCAGATCTTTTTTGGTGTTGAGCTTTACCCAGTGACAGTAGTAATGGGGTCTTTATTGGCAGCTGTAATGGGGTCTTTATTGTAATAGGCATTCAGATCTTCATTCAGTACCTTTGGTAGAGTTGTTCTTGGTTTTCCTCTGAATCCTTTGGCTTTTTTGCTTCTGAAGTACAGTTCCATGGCTTTAAATTCTGGTATATTTCTATCTCTTCTCAAGATATGACCAAATAGTTGCCATCTCTGTTCCCTCATGGTGTATGATATTGGTTTTTCTCCCATCACTTCATACAATTTCTCATTTGATATGCATGTTGGATATCTTATTCCTAGAATTCTACGTAACTGCCTCCGGTGATATGCACCCAATCTCTGTTGTACATTTGATGAAACTCCCCATTTTCCACAGTTGTAGAGCAGTACTGATTTTACTAATGCTCTATATATCTTGATTTTCTTCTCAAGATTTACTTTATCTTTCTTTAGATATATTTTATTTCTTTCTATGGATGGTACTGTATTCCATTTTGTCGTTGTTGACCTTTGATTTCTCTCAATGCTGTTTCCGGGTATACTATGAATAGAACTGGACTGAGACTGCCTCCTTGGGGTGTACCCACATTTGCTAAGAATGGCATTTCATCTGCTGCTCCTTTAATTTTGATGGATATGTTGGTATCACTGAGTAAGAACCTCACTAATCTCATCTCATCTTCATCTAATATATCTTTCAAAATTTCATTAGATCATCATTTGTATCTACATGCAAAGATAATTCATAGCCTCTTTGATTCTTCATTTTTGTTTTTAGAGCCAACCAGTCAATCAGGGAAGCCTGTTCCGAAGCCACGGTTCAGAAAAAGGGACAAGGTGATGTTTTATGGCAGAAAAATTATCAGAAAAGTGAGTACTTGTTAATCATGACATTGACTTGCTTGGATCTAATTAAAACATCTTTCATGGTTACAAGAAAGGTTCCTCTGTAATTCTACCAAAATGGTTTAATTTCATATTGTGTTATGACAAATCTTTGAAAATTGTCACATTTAAATTGAATACTTCAATCAGGTCAGGGAATTCAAAGATGAAGTTCTATTTGATGACGATGAAGGAAAACTGCGGAGAAGAAGATCAGAAAAAAGTCTTCGAAGGCGCATTATTTTGCCACCATTTGCACAAAGGTATAGTGTTGGTATTGAGGCATTGTTAGGTGTTGCAATTAAACTCTACCTAGTTAACTTGTAAATTGTAGTAAACTTGCATTATATGGAACCAAGTAAGCAAAAGTGTTCAGCATTTTGTTTCGGTTTGCCTGGACCTTCAGTTGAATGCGATGACCTGTTCTTTTTAAATTTGCTTTAAAATCGCTATGATATTGGTACTTTGATGATACTGCAAATTTTTTTGCAAATTCAATTTTGTTCAATTTGATACAATGGAGTTATAAATTGTACTAAAGTTCGGCAATTTAAAAATGCATTTCTTCTTTTAGAAATATTTGATTTCCAAATGTGATATTATTATTTTTCATTGCTTTTAATTATATATGATAAGTTTTGATTTTTGAAGTAAAAAAATTATGTTTTAGATTTTTGCATAGACCACAAGCAGAGATGAGAAGACTTCAGAAAGACATACCCCAGTCTGCTCTAGAAGCTGACGATTTTGAGGTATATTTGCTTTAAACCAACTCTTTTAGATTACTTTTTGTAGCCTTTCATTTTCATTTCTACCAAAAAAGTTATATAGAGTCATATTTAAACAATCTTTTGGTGATAAAAAAAACTTGAAATTGGCTTTGGAAAAAGCAAACATTTGAGTGAACTAAAGCTTTTCGTCTGACACTCTTCAGAGTTTAAAACGTCTGACAATCTTCAGAGTCAGAGTTTCAGAAATATTTCTCAGCGTAGAGTTTTCGATCTATGTTCTGACGTTTAAAACTCTGAAGAGTGACAGACGAAAAGCTTTAGTTTATTCAAATGTTTGCTTTTTCCAAAGCCATTTTAGAGTCATCTTTATGTTCTTGCACGTAATTTTTTCTCAGTATTTTATAGCAATACACCGCTAAGGTCATACGAAGGACTTTAACATTCGCAAATTGTCAGAGTCTGCTATCACAAATTTTTAGTTTATAGGCTTAAGATAAATAACTCTATTTTTTCATGACTTTTCTAACAATTCATAAACGTAACTCCCTTACTATTTTGAAGGCATAGATAATCAGCTAAAGATTGTATTTCCTGTTTACATCAACAGGCCCCTTGCTTTGAGCCTCATCTTCCTGCAGAGATCATGTATATGTTACGCAGTGTAAGGTACTGACATTAACAAAGAAAATTTGATTTGTTTCTATTTCTCATTATATTTGATAGTGTTGATGTTCTTAAAATGATAGGTTTTATGCCGACATTGGTTATCAATATTAAATATTTGAATACTTGAATGTTATCCTGAGATCATCAGGCTTTGACAGAAAAAGCTAGACCAGGCTAGACGGACGTAAAAATAAAGTTTCATGCTGCGAACCTAATCTCATGCTGATCAAATAAAATCAAGTGCGTAAAACAGGATTGATTTAAGTTTGAACTCCGAGTTTCATCTGACCTCACAATATCAAGCACTCTGCCTATACCGGTTACCAGCAATCTTTATCCAGCAGTTACTTTTTCATGCGTGAAGTATTTCAGGGTAGTACGAAGACAGCAAAAAGTTAAAGTATAGTGTGTTTAAAAAACTTTGCAAGTAATTACCAGGGGTGGTGACACGGGGCAGATTGGGGTGGACATGTCTTTATTATAGTTTCTCACTATTCACGGAACTGGTGATCCAACGAAGAAAACTTACACCCCACTTTTTTTAATATCGATTTTCTAATTTTTCCAAAACTTGATTGAAAACCTAAGGGGGGATGTAAGTTTTTTTCGTTGGATCACCATTTCCGTAAAAAGTGAAAAACTTCAATGAAGAAGGTCTATAAAACACAGCTTTATCGGGCTAAACAGTTGGTTCTTAGAGTGTGGTCTTTGCCTTCCTTCCTTGCGAAAAGTTTTTGACAATGATTAACTTTAAAACGTGTACCCAAACATTTTTTAAGCTGTAAGGATAGTATAGGTGCAGCCCCATTTGTTGCAGCTGCATCGTGCAAAAGGGCACACAGCAATGTAAGGATCATCAGCAATTACCTCTGAGCCTCGATATCAGACGAAAGGTTGGAAAATAGACATAGGAAGGCTCGTTAATAAATTTAAACCACTGCACTCTGATGACATTGATATTAGCTTTTCTGTGTGTCAACCTTTGCTTATAAAATTTAACTGTTTTACTCAATGAAATCGAATTCTTCTATTGAGGGTTACAGAATAAGTCAAACTTGGTTATCAATAACGAGCACGATTTCTCTTTCGGTATTGCACCGGTTTCTCACCCCGACCCCTTTATCAGCTCCTCCCCTTCCTTGTCCACCCTACTTCAAATAAGAGTTTTTCGAATGATAATGAAACGGCTTTAAAGTTTTGCGATCAAATACTTAATGTTTTTTCGTTTCATAATTTTTTTAGCTAATGTCTTAAATGATTATGCATTTTTAACCAAACAATCTTAGTCGTTGAGCTTCAAAACAATTGCAATAAAGCTTGATGGAGCTTGTTTTTCAGCTGTTTTTCAACAGCAGTTGTTATTAAGACAACACACAAAATAATGAGCACCACTTGTATTTACTGTTTTAGTAATAACATATTTTAAATCGCAACTAGGTTTTACAACCAATTCTAATTTTTTTATAGTCCAGCGCAGTAATGGTGCTGGATGAAATATGCTTCCAATTTGTTCTTTGTGTACAAACCTGACTTTATATTTTGCTGTGTTAGAATTATAAGACATTTAATTGCCTCCATAGAGTTTTTGGCAATTTCGAAAAGCCTCTTTTCTTTGAACTTTGTAAACATATCGAAAGTAAACACATCCCAGCTGGCACGCTACTGTTTAGGCCCGGCCAGGTAAACTACAGACAATTTTTTCTTTTGTGTTGATTACATATTATAATTACGGTGAACTTGAAATCATACAAATCAACAATTAGCTTGATTTTGAAAAGTTTGGTTAACAAAAATTCGACGTTGTTTATTGCTTGAAGTGTTTTCTACCTTCCACCACGAATTTGATTTGCTTACTGAAAGAGAAAATACTGTCTTACATAGAAATATAGATTTCACTCCAAGTCAACTATCCAAAAATCACGTGAACCTTTTTTTGTTCTTTCTCGAAGCTGCTAGATTTTGGATGATATTTAAACTTGCGTTGTCCTTGCTCGTAAATCAGATTTTATAATTTCTAAAGTTTTTCAATACCATCTTTTCCCAAAGTTCCTCAAACTACATTTCTGAAAGAAATAAATCCTTATGAATGTGGTTTTTTAATGAATGTATTATTTTCAATATTTGTGAACATTTCAGTATTTTTTCAAATAGATGGATGATTGTCTTTATATAGTTCAAAATGGACAGCTCAACTTATACCTCGTTGACAAGGTATATTATTTTTTTCTGAACTTTTAAAACTTAAACTACCTTCATTTTGTTCAATATTCAATGCAAAATTTTCCGTTCATAAAATATATGTTTATTTGCCAAGATCTATTTTCTAACTTCAAAAGCTCTTTTTCTAGACCGGGAGCGAGCTTTGTTTAAAGACGGTAAATGCAGGCGAAAATATCCACAGTGTGCTGAACATACTGGATGCTATTCGGGTAGTTATGTTTTTTACCGTGTCAAAATATTTGCTAATTTTTCTAAGACGTCTTTCTAGTAAACAAAGCTTCCCCCTTTCGCGTTTCTTCATATTTTTTTCAGTCTTATGTTCTATTTTCTGTTAGTAGATTAGTTAAAGTTAGTATTTATCAAGCTTGCTTGCATTTTAGAGTTGTATTCATAGTAGAAGGAGATGAAACGGGAGTGGTTAAATGTTGTTTGAGTGGTTAGAAACAGTTTTCGTTCTAATGCATTAATTCACGCTCTTGCAAATGACTTAAAGTTGCCATCATCTTTTCTAGGGTACCGCTGACTTTCGTTTTTCCATCATTGCACGTGCAAATGTGAATTCGCAAGTTCTCAAGTAGGTGTTTCTATGAACTGATCAATACGACACCGAATAAACCTTTAAACAAATCATTTTTTAATACTTACTTTATATGCTAATCAGAGCTTGAATTTTATGAAAATTACAGCAAATTCTGCTAATTTGATAAAACGGAGATATTTGTTAGCAAATGCAAATGTCTAGAAAGTTTTGGTTTATAATCAACATTTTTTATTTTGCCGTTAAGTGTAAATGTAAGATTCAGTGACACATTTCTTGAAATTTCTGTTTCAGTCTCCTATTCTTAACTAAAATGTTGTCTAAGCATTTTCTAGCAGGGTCATTCGCTGAAATATTCTTGCATTCCTCTTCCCCGCTTATTTACTTTACCAAAATGAGAATGAAAGATCTTATCTGAGCTCATGTCATCAACTCGTTGAGAAAATCATTAAAAATTTGATCGAAAATTCTTACAGGATTTCGCTTTCATGACGGTTTGTGTATTACGAAGCTTTTGATATAAGCATCAGATGAAAGTAAAAAGAAAACAAAACGAAAGTTATACTGTTTTAATTTTATGCGGAAAGCTAACTAAAAATGACATTCGAAAGAATTGTTTTTGAAAGTAAACATAAACGAAGTTAAAACGAAGTACTCAATAAACAGACTTCAGTTGACAAATTAGAATCGTTATTTGGCCGACATACTTCTGTCAAAATAGTGACGCATTTCTAATTTTCGCATTGTATTGCAAAAGTTTTCTAATTCTTGACTTTCCATGAAATGTTGTCATTATTTGGCTGCGTTTGTTGTTTCTCAATTTTTCAAGCTGTAATTTTGATTTCTCAGATTACCAAGCAAGGCTTTTCAAAAAGTGTTTGAGGATCATTCCGATTCGCTCGTCCGTATTGTTCAGGTGCGTAAATAAAGCTTATTTCTTACAACCGATATTCCTTATCATTTGCCTTCAATAAGATCATTTTTGTGTCCTATGAAAGATAATTTTTTTTCATGTTCATTAGCATAATTCCCACAAATTTACAGAAGCAGAAACGGGATTATAGAATTGATCTTGGCTGATTTATTTTTGTTTTTCTTAACTGAACCTCAAAATAAACTTTTCATTAAACTTTTCAAGAAATTAAGCTGGACCTTTCTCCTTTCACTGCAGACGTAAATATATTTGGTGACGTGCAAGATGCACTTTTACATAACTTTTAACAATATATCTTTATACTTTCGAACAAAGTGCCTGAAATTGAAATTGTCAGCATCATTAAAGTTAATAGAAAATAATTTATTTTTCTTCGTCCTATGCCCAAGGTTAAGTAGCCATTTTGTCGTTTTGTGTTTTTACAAATATGTCGTCCAATTCCACAGCTTTGTTTTGGTTTCCTATTTTGCTCTGTTCTTTGTCGATTTGAGATTGTTTCCTCTTTTGACTGGTTTGGCTCGCTTTACTCTTTGGCTGCATCCAGGTGCTAAAGGCATCAAAAACGCCAGCTGCTAGTGCGAGTCCGACATTTGTGTACCATGCTATAAGCTCTCCGAAGCTCTTTACTCTCGTGAAATCTATTTTATAGTCTCCGTAGCCAATCGTGCTCAGACGCACAAATGCAGCATAAAACCCTTCGGTCCAAGACCATTTCATTACCGAAGTGTTGACACCAGCACCCACAGCAAGCCATAGAACACAGAATACCGTCAAGAGTATAGATGTTTTTATTTCCACATTGTTTATGTTTCTGATCTTGAAGATTCGTTTCTCAGTTGTCTTAATGATGGCTTGGAATAAATGAGATAGCACTGTGCCAATAGTGGTTATGAATATGATGTTCACTGGAATGCCTATTGTGCCATATATGATGACAAATATTTTGCCGCCATCTGTCATGGGTACGATATCGCCGTATCCTAGGAACGAGAGTCAGATACTTCCTTATGAAAGATCATGACCATGATTACTAGATAAAGACAAGAGAATAGATAAGAAATAAATAAGGAGAATAGAAAAAGAAATATATATATAGATTACATGAGAGCGTTTTTCTTGAAGATCTATCTATATATTTAGCCATATATATCTTTTGATAGTATATATATATCAGGCAAATTCATACCCTGGTGGTTGTTGGGTGGCAATTAGATAGCATAGAAGATATCTCTAGACTTTCCCCTCTAGACTGGTTTGAGAACTAATACGCTGTTGTTATACTAGTTGTTTTGTAGTTGTAATTTCTGCTCCTTTTACTCGATTAATTTTGTTATGTAGTACCGCCGATGATGCTGTAGGCAACAGATAAAGTGGTACTGCTTGGTTGCCTTGATACCCTGTGGAGTGCTTTGGTATAATGCTTATATTAAGTAAAGCCTCACAATGTTCAAAATTCATAAAACATTTCCTTACCTAGAGTTGTTAATGTAATGTGTACGAAATACCTCCATTTGTACAAGACTGACCATGAAATCTCTCTTCTCCATTCCAGATCCTTTTCTTTTTTCGATTTCTCGGCGATTTCTTTCGAGAGTTCGATCACCCTGTTTATCACGGTGCTATTAGCCGTGACATTTAGTTCCTCTTCAATTAGATGAACCAATGGCTGTGTTATGTTACGAGCCAAAGGTATTGACTCCAACTCATTGGCCTCTATAAACATAATGATAGCTGCCCCGATAAAAAGAAGAGCATAGTATACCAGAAATATTACCAATACCTTTTTCCAGGATGCCATTCTTCTGGTTTTATCTCATATCATTTCTTGGTTTATGTTTTTTCAGTTCTTTTGCCTTTATATCTGTGTTTGGAAATATCTTGCGTTAATCTTTGGCATTGGCATGATCTCCCTTACCTTTAGTTAGCTGCGATCTGTCTTTAAATAAAGTCCATAGTTATTATGTTTTGATCCTAGTTAGTACGTTAACTTCATTTGAGATGTATCACATATGTACTTTTTAGTATGGCGAAAAATTGCTTCGACTCGCTGCAGTGAAACAATCGATAGTCGTAACATGAATTCTGCTCTATGATTTTGGTGACAGTTTCTACTTTGCCTTGCTACATGATTTTCCTACAGCCTTCAACCAATCTTTTCAGCATATGTTTTCAAATCTGTCTTTTCTTAAGGTATCATTCCTTTTCAGAAGTACTTGCTATACCTGCGGTTTACACAAAGGGCGTCTCTAGGTTTTTGTTGGCTCGATACAAGAAAATATCATTCATACTGTCAACAAACACTAATTGCCAGCAGGTTTCATGAATCATGAATTAACTTATTCTATTTAATATTTACCTGTTGCTGACCCAAAAATGCCCTTCTTGTGCTTACTCCGGTTAAAAGGTATGGAGTCTACTAGCTCAGCAGATTGCGAAACCCACAGCTAACCCGCGGTGAATTGAGACATCTCATTATAGGCATTACCCAATTTATAAATCCATGATGCAGATAATACTGGCTTACCATGAATGCGAGAAGATGTCTCGCAAAGAACTATACCGATTATGTCGGCAGCTAAAAAAAGATTTGTTTATTGGATTCATTGTAATGATAGCCTGGTGGTTTTATTGGTTTTTCTACGTGATATAAAAGTAATCAGGCTATCTCACACAGAGAGCTTATGTCTCATATGCTTTTGCTTTTCTTCGCAATCCTTGTTACATGCTTGTCAAAAGCTTGTTGTTTGTTGTATTCAATTTCTCTATTTATGCTGTTGCCTGCCAAACCCAATTGGCGTATTGAAGACAACCACGATACAATAAAACTGATTAGATGGAGAACTTGAAACATTAATCATCACTGTTTGGTAGCAAGCTACTAGTGTCCTAGTCGCCTTTTCTACTAATAGGAACATTATGTTTTCGTGATCTAGAACCACGAATGCAAACAGCTGCAGATCTTTACAAACATAAACTCATTTTTATTTTTTCAAGCGGATGTTTGATTGTGTTCTTGCGAAATGAGTTCTGATATCCATTCAAAGAATCTTCTGGTTTCGAAGCTCAAAACTTTCAAAACTCTTCCTTCTTCTTGTCGAAAAGTCTGCTTGTCGAGAAGCTTGCCAAATCAACTTATCACTACACTTTTGTTGCATGAGAATTTTTCGATATCATTTTTTATCTTAAGATATTTTTCCTTTTTTATTTTTCAAAGTCACTAATTTCCGTGACATGATATTCTTGCTCCTTTTTGTGTTTGCATTCGAATGTTTGTGACGCACTCTATTATCTATCTTTCTTCATGTTGTGACGTGGTATTTGTCACACAGAATGCTCTTGATATATGAGATAGAATTAAACTACGCAGTCGGGTGTTTATTGGTAAGCTCGCAACAATCTAAAAGACTTAAGCTGGAACTTTTACATTTTTTATTAATAATCAACCAACTTGGTGCATTTGATAAGGACTTGTTTGATACTGTTAGTGCATACTCGTAAGGTATTTCACGATTAACCTTCAATTCCAAAGTCAAAATTATGTTTCCTTCTGCGACATAAATGCTTCACAAATCCCATGAACATAAATGTCTGTGAATAGCAAACTGTGGTCTTTATCAATCATTCTTAGCTTGAAATCAAAGTATGATTTAAAAGTCAACAAACTTATAAACAAAAGGTTTAAAGTTTTCTGCCTCGAAGACAGTAATCAGAAACATCAGAATCTTTTACATAATGTATTGTCATGTAGATGTACTTTCTGCATGGAAAACAGCATTTTTGCAGCTTCCTTTCAAATATGATAATCTTCATTATCAATCGGTATATTTTCATGTAACATTTTAGAACAATTCCAGTTATGTCTGCCATTCTTGCATTATAAGGCTCAAGGCTGTGTGAACAAAGCTTGTTATTGGCTGTACTGACATTACATCGTATCTGAGTCACTGTGAAAGTGGAATCTAGCACACAGGTTTGCGTTGTACTTCCTTTTTTGGTCGTGCATTTTTCGACTTAAGTTCACATCCTTCGAATTCATGCAGTTCTGTGTCATTGGTTCTCGGATTTTGCCCTTGAGATACTTTGCCTTCATTTCTCTTCCGCACAACTTTTGTCAAAGCATCGAAAATCCCAGCGACCACTGCCAGACCGATATTCGTGTACCACGACAATACTTCCCAGTAATTGCTCACTTTGCTGAAATCAAGCGTATAGTCGCCATAACCTATTGTGCTGAACTTGACAAAGACTGCATAGTAGCCTTCCAACCAAGACCACTTCATGACTACTGACGTCATACCTGCTCCAATGCTTAACCAGCCGACACACATAACTGTCAAAAGTATTAGTGTCTTAAACTCGACATGGTAACTCTCCTCGCGGCGGAAAACACATTGATCGATTCTTCGTATCAATTTACTTAAGTATCCAGATAATAGAAACCCAATGCATGTGGTTACCAGAATATTCAGAGGAATGCCAATTGTACCGTAGATTATAACAAAAATTTTGCCACCATCTGTCTCAGGAACTATGTCCCCAAAACCTGGATATGAACAATAAGAATTTACAATAAATAGGTATGTTTCACCAAAAAGAGTATTGCCTATTGAGAAAAAAGTTATCATGATAATGTTAACTGCATCGAAATCTAATGTCTTGTTCCAGTATCGTTAAGCATTTAGTTATGGTCAACATATGGTCGACATATGGCCTACCTAATAACATTTTATAAAGCAATCCGGTTGCTTCCTGTATCCTACTTTACTTACATGTTTGTACTCCCTTTCAAATAGCTTCTGGTCCGATTTATACCGATTTAGAATCATTTGAAGGTAAATTAAATAACAAGTTTTTGTTAGTGTGCTGGTACAAATTCTAAGTAAAATGCCACTTACCTACAGTGGTTAATGTTGTATGAGTGAAATATCTCCATTTGTAAAGAGTACTCCAAGAAATATCTCTCTTCCACTTTAAGTCGTCAATTCTTTTCTGCTTTGCTGTGATATCTTGTGTCATCTTTACAATTTTGTCTAAACTAGATCTGTTCACTGCTACTTTGAGTTCTTCTCTTAGCAGTTGTTCCAGTGACTTTGTCGAATTTAAGGTGTAATTCGGGACATTTTCCAACTCATTCGCTTCTATAAGCATAATAATCACGGCACCAACAAACAACAGTACATAGTACGTTAAAAATACAATAACGGCCAGCCTCCAGCAACGAAAATCCATTTTTTCATATCTCCCACTTTGCGCACTGCAAATTTTGTACCCGATGTATTTTCTAACAGAAAACCATTGCTTGCTGTTCCTATTATTTCATTCTATATTCAATATCCCTTTTCGCTATATTTTATGTCCTGTAAAGAAATAAATACTGTATTATGTTTGGGAGTTCGTATTTCTTTACGTATCCAGATCGTATTATTTTTAACCAGTAATTTTTCCTGTGCTGATAATCTGCTGAATTTGAAAGTGTGCTCTTCAAGATTTTTGTCCTAAGATCAAAATGTGATTTTCTTCCTTGATCAAACCGTATAATTCATGCATCTTCTTAAGTTTTCTTTGACAAAGCTGATCTGTAATACGTCTATCGGTAATACGAACGACTCTTCTTAATCCCAGATGCTATATCATTCATCTTAATTGCTTTGATTATTGCGAAGTACTTGCTCTGTTGACTCTTTTCAATCGTTTAAGTTTGGCGTGAATGTTCACCTTGTCGATCTCTAGAATGAATTCCAGGCTAAACTGGTAATTGCGTGTAATATGGCAACCTGCTGTGATGTTTTTAAAAAGTATAGATTGCCAACTTGGCATTTCCATCAGCACTTGTCAGGTTGTCTTTCTTGGTTAGCATTAGTATGCCAGTATAGCCTTAGAGCTTTATGCCGAATATCCTGTAATAATTTCACGAATAATAAAGGCCATGTCCTGAGTGAAGATGGTGTGATATTGAAAGTGGCGAGACCTACAGTGAGAAGGAGCTACAGGTCCCCTATTTAATTATTAAATTCAAATTGAATAGCCTTCCAAACATAGCACTTAGTTCTTTACACGATAGATGTTCTTATGAGCCTTGCCTCCCCCCGTGTCTGTTTGCCATACTAACATAGACAGATGCACTAATAGAATCTGAGATGGTTTTAATACAAACGCAGAAGAGCTGCATTTGTAGGCCTGATATATTAGCAGCTTAGATAGTGATCTTTTTATCAGTCCAATTTTTACTTTTAGCAGTGTGTCCCTTCTGCATAAAGTACCTGCTGGAAATATTATTTCATAAATCTGATGATAATTCTGGGGAGGTTTTTCTTAGAGCTTTCAGGCGATGGTTTGTTGTTTTTTGATTCGCGCCAAAATTTCGCAGTTTCGTAGCCTCTTGTTTTTAGTGAAACTCCCAGTTCTTAGTAAGGTTTGCTTCCAAAGCAAGTTTGTAGGGATTATGTTTTCAAACAAAATTGTAGAAAGCGAACCGACAAAAAACGTTGCCGATCGTGATTAATTATGATGTGCTGAATTACTATTTTACCAGCTTGTCATATAGTGCCCAATGCCGTGACGTGAAGACAGAGCTGTACACGCTGCTGCATCGTGTTAATGTTATACAAAATTAGTTTTGTTGTTTATTAGAACCTGTTCTTCAATGTTGTTTCTTATATTTTAAAAATGTTTTTACTGTGTGTATAACATTTTGCACCAATCTCTCAAGTAATAGCCTTAAAGCACGGATGTAGCCGAAACATTTTCACAAGGGGGGCTCTACTCTATGAACTTTTTAAGTTGTTCTTGTCATGTAATCATTGCAATTTGAACATGAGGAGGGTTGACTGGTTGAGCAGCCAGGTCTATTGACAGTTTGAACGGCAGCTGAGATCAGAGTATCGTTACTATAAGGAGAGCACGGGGAGGGGGGGGGGGGGGACTTCATTGCAAGTGAGATGGCAAAATGTTTATATTGCTCAGGGGTTTAATGAAAGCCTTAGTGAAAGAGACAAATTTTGAGATATGACATTCTAAGAATGACCAGAAATGCATCTAAATTATTAACGGCATCGATAAGGATGAACTTTTTTTTAATAAATAATAATGACCCATTGGCTGGATTAAAATTGAAACATCTTCTCTCGTGTTAACGAAACAGATGCGATTTTATCAGCTAACGAATAGTGCTACAAAAAATGTATGCAAAACTGTTATTCAGTGGCCTTGGAAAGTATTCATAGTTTGCAGATATTGAAAAATCAATTTTGCAATGAAAACAATTTTAAGAAAACCCGAGCCTAAAATTATCCAAAAAATAAGAACATCCAGTGTTGGAAAATTTTTAATTATTCTTATATAAAAAAAGTGTACTGCATCGAATAAAGAAAGACAGAGTCAAAGAATAGCAACCGGTTGTTGATTCAGGCATTTCTAAATGCTACAAAAAAAACTTTTTATACAAAACTGCCACTTAACTAGTTCAGTAAGAAATCATTCAAGAATCTTCTATCTATATATGTCAAAACTTGTGTTCATTTACATGCATATAAAGCTTGCAATGCGTTTAAATCTGTCAGTTGTTTATCTTTTCCATTTCTGGTTTAGTCATCAATAGCTGAATTGTGGCGAAGTGACAATTCTTCACAGCCTTCTTAGCATTATATAATTATTGGCTGTATCCAAGCACAGACGATGAAGGAGGCTGAACCTCTCCCACTTTTTTCGAAAATTTTAACAAGGGGGGCTGCACCCCTCTGAGCCCCACTACCACTACATTCCTGCTTTTAAGCTATGTCGTTATGTTGAAAAACGACAAAATAACAGACACAAAAAACATCGCTAAGTCTATTAATTTCCCAGCTTCGTTCTAACGTGATACAGCTTAGAGCTAGCCTTTTGCTATCCTTGAATTAAAGCCATGATAAATATTGCAAAATTATTTTACTAAATATGATGTTTTGAAGCAATGTACAAAAAACGAGAGTTGATACATGCCTGATACATGCCATCGAATGAACGCCTAAGAAAAGCATGACAGATTTGAATAATATCCCCGGCATTTTTCACGGTAAACTGATATATCGCTTGAATGTAAGCACCAAGTTTTTTGCACGCGGTATCGTAGTTAAATAAATTTGATAAATCTTCAATAATGGCGCCAGATGTTGAATTTTTAATAGAGGCCTGCTGATTATTTGGATATTTGCTTGTTAACATGAATGATTAATTTATATAGTTCATCCTAATGATCAAACATTGTTGCTTCTGCCTAATTTTTGCGTGCCTTCCGTCCTAATTAACGATTTTGGAATAACTTATGTTTGCTTATCTAGTTTCATGATCCTGAGTTATTTATTATTGGCTACCTCTTTGCAGGCGCCTTTTAGGTACCTACAAGTAATTCATTAAATTTGCCTCCGCTGTTGTCTTAAAACGAACCGATGTTACTGCATTAAAAAAGTACTCACCTTAAAGTACACACATTTAATTAGGGGATTCATTAAATGATTTAATACACATATAGTATATCTGATACATTTTCCTTGAATTTTTTATATTTTTCCAACAAGGGTATCTTCCATTTGCTGGGTGTCATTTGTTGCTACGCTGTGTTAGGTGTCTTTGGCTATGCTTATTAAATCAGCTTTCTTCTGACCTGTACTCAAAGATGATTTATCGAGATAGAAGTTGGTAAACAGATTGATGCTGAGAATTCTTGCTAAAATTTCTTGCAAAGAATTAAGTGGTTGATTAAAAACTCAGCAATGAAACATTTAATTTTTTAGTTGTCAGTCATAACAGTATTTACAAATGAAGTTTCTATGATAATTTTATGAAAACTCTTATTTTTATTTTAGATAATAATGGTTCGTTTACAACAAGTCACCTTTCAAGCTTTGAACAGATTTCTTGGCCTAAAGAGCGAACTGATCAGCAATTCTTCAGTATGTTTTTCATGTTCCATTTATGACAACACCTATAATATTGTCTTGAGTGTATTGAAACAAGAAGAAAATATCTTTTTGTCGAGGAAAAGCTGGTTAGCTGCATCGAATTTTCACTGTATAACAACAAATTTTTGCCCCCCCCCTACCTATTAGAGTTGCTAACCCCTTCATTTTAGAGCTTCTGCCGCCACCCCTGCCTCAGTTATTGTTTAATGTCAGAAATTTCTGATGTGCTGTTGAGGCAAGGGCATGGTACTTGAGGCAATAGAAATCAATTTATATTGATATGTTTGGAGCTGCATGACCTGAGAATATTGATGCTTTAGGGTGGTAGAAGCAAGTCTATACATTGCATAACAAGCATTCTTGCAAGTCAAACATGATAAACCGGGCGATGTTACATATACACCCCTTAGTGAATTTTATTTGTACTGTATACAACGTTTTGTTGGATAGAGAGCTAAAGCAGTGTAAGAGCGTATGCGATTTATATTTATGAAAATAAACATTATTGGTAGTAATATTGTGTAAATCTTATAGAATCAGAAAGTATCAGCAGAGCTCAAGGCACTTTCAGTGTATTCTCTTAATGATGCTGGATCCAGAATAAGCCAGAAAGAACAGAGGGGCAAGGAGCTGAACAGTTCACCAAGTAAGTCGCCAAGCAAAAGGTCTGTGAATCGTATTGACGAAATTTATGAGAAGATAGAAGGCGATGAAGACGGGGAGAAGCCAATACGAAGAACAGTTAGTTTCACCAATTCCGTATCTGTGATTGGAGAGAATTCAGAAACTTCAGAAAAGCCACTAGATACTCCACAGAAGATCAAAAGGACTCGGTCATCAGAAAGATTCAACGCAAACCAAAAAGACAGAAGACGCTCTTCGGTTTTAAGCCTTAGGTACGTCATTGGATCATAATACGCTTTGGAGACACTCTAAGGAGCAACGCGTTCAATTGAATTAAGTTGGATATCAAGAATCAAAATTATTATGTTTGTTAATAGATTTTCACCTGGGTTTAGCATTTTAGTAGAATCGATACGGTCAGACATGTTTGGAAAAATACGGGAGCCACTATCACCAGATCAAGAGAATTCTTACTCCCTTCAGATGTTTAGAAGACTTATTACTGCCCATAAATGCCAAGCGTGCAAATACGTAATTTGTGACATATTTCATCCTAGTATAATCACCAAGTTTTTTATGTAAAGTGTATTTTTGTAATGGTATATTGTATATATTTTCATAATAGTTGGCCTTAAGGGGCAACTACAGCAACAATTCATTTGCCAACTCTCAAGCAATGAATGAATGGACTGATTCAAATTAATTTCAGTATACGCTGTTTGGTGTATAGAAGAGAACGGTTCTAAGTTGCCACTCGATTAACATCTATGTTTAAATTATCCAACTGAATAAGATTTGCATTCACAGCTTTTTCTATTACAGGTCAACAAGCATCGAATCGGGTGCATCTCCATCTGATTTTGAGGTGGCTTGCGGAAGGGCTGGTATTAATATCATTGCATCATCAGACGGCGTTTTTCATGTTGGCTCTCCCGAAAGCAGCCCTGCTTCAGATTCTGACATCACATTTCAATTTCCGTCTCACCCACCATCCTCTGCGCAGGACGATTCGCCGAGATTCTTGCCAGTGTCAGAAGCGGATGAACGAATCATGAAGGAGGCTGCTTTGAAAGACTTGGTTAAAATTTTTGGTTTAGAGGTCATTTGAGCCGTTTCTTTGCACTGATATTTGTTTTATTGGGAGTTATTGAAAATATTTTCCTCCTCCTTGAAACTCTTGATGCATAAAGATGCAAAAATATTTCACGTCAATCAGGGGAACAGTAACCAGGCCTCTTTGTTGCTAGAACCTTCTCAGGAACATCCCACTCGTTGCCCTGCTTTTTGCTGAATCTCCTTTAACATCTACTCCGTTAACATTATTTTGCCTCCACTAACATCTTGCGGAACAAATACGTTAAAGGATGAATCTACAGTTAACGATTTACCGTTGATTTTCTTCACATAGTCAGCCATCTTGAGTTCTTCGTGACAAGATTTATTCATATTTCAATTCACAATATCCTTGCATTCAATGTCAGCTGATTTTATATAATTTTTTAAACACAGGATTCGACAGAGCTGGAAGCTATGCTCAATCTAGCATGCATCCCATTTGGAAGTGCCCTTGTTCGCCAAGGCGATAAGGTGAATCTTTTTACTGGCATTCAGTACCGCAAGAAGACCCATAAGACAATAACAAGAAATAGAATTTCGTCACTTTTCAGCTGTGAAAAGTGGGACATTGCCCCTTGCCCAGGCCCCCTCTTCACAACCACTGTATACGGCTGGAAAAGTTAGGAAATGGAGTTTTTTGCACAGAACAAATGAAATTCTGCTGGGGTTTTAGTGAAATCTACTTTTTGTAAAAGACGTTTCCTGAGGTTACAGTCTAGTTTTTAATTGTTATAAAACGTAACAGCGTTCTTTGTGTTTTTTCTTGGTTTGCACTTTTTATGAAAAGTATGGGAAACCTTTGTCACTTGGTTCATTCATGTCTTAAACTTACGGAAATCATTCTTTTTGTTAAGATTTTTGCTTTACAATTGCTTGTGATTTTAGTCAAAAGTTCAAATAGCATCATCAGCTTCATTTTGCTAGAGCATCTCTTTAAATATGCGAAGGATTTTGTTCTGAAATTGTCATATTTCCCTATTCTGAATTCTTATTCTCAATTATGACTACTATCAGTGGCCGTTTCCAAAATCAAATTTTTGACATTATTTTTTTATCCTAGAGCTGCAGCCTGTATTTTTTGGTTCAAGGTTCACTTAGAGTAATACAAAAGACCGAAGAAGGAGAGGTTTGTCCCTCGTTAAAATCCTAGCGCATAGATGTTGATTGTCCTTTTTTGTGGTTCATTATTATGATGTATACCTTTTGGCGGACATCAGGTTGCTCTCTAAATACTGTATCTTATAAGCTATATCTTTTCAAACAAATTTAGTACATATTTTTTCTTTCGCAAAATTGCAAATTTGTTTTGCTGTAACGCTGTACTTTGAATGAATGAAAGTTTGATATTTCTTTATCTCCAGGAGTCCTTGTATTCTGCTGTACCTGGTGAATTTGTTGGCTCTCTTGCACTTCTGACTGGTGAACCGTCGTTCTTCACGATAAGAGCAGAGAAGAAGAGCTTCATAATAATTGTCAGCAAAATTGACTTTTATAGGTAGAAATTCACCTCAATTTTCAGTTCAGTAGACTTGTTAGTCATTTCGATTGTGCTTTTTTGCCTCTAGTTGCATCATAAATAGATATTTTATATCTCAAAAGCAAGCATGATGTTATTTGTTAGTGAAGACTTGCAAATCGTAGATTGTCTCCTCTATGTGCTAAACCATGGTAAGTGCTAGTGGACTAGAGTTTTCTTAATTGAAGTTCTTTTGTAATTTGAATGTTGCAGCTTAACCTAAATTTCTTCACGATTTTTCTTTACCAGCCTGATGAAAGAACATCCAAACAGTGTTCTGCCTGTCGCATATGACACCATCAAGAGACTTTCTTCCTTTGTACGAAACATTGATTTTGCTTTGGACTGGATGATGATTGATGCAGGGAAGTCCTTATACAGGTACGATATAATCACCACATAGACCCCTTCTGAAGGGAATAGACATCTACTTGAAGATACTAATATATTTCTCAGTATCAAATATTTTCTTAACAGTATCAAAGAGTTTCATAGGTAGTGTTCTATAAATCTAGCATGAAAAGATATAGAAGGGATGCAAGTCGATGTTGAAAGGCTTAAAATGGCATCTTTGTCAGACTTGAGTTGTATAAAGTTGTACGTACATGGTCACGTGTTCGAGGTTTTCGAGATTTTGTAGAGTTTTTAATAAGAGCACCGCCTCCTGTGAATTTTAGTCACATTTTATGCCTCGTAGTTTTCTTAGTCGGTTGTCAATTCCAAATTTTGACATAAATATTCAACATTTATCGCAAAGGCATTCAATATTCGTAATGGTTGTGAGGCATGCCACAGCTTTTCTGCTTTCAAGAACTGCTTGTATTTAATTACCTCGCTTTTAATTTCTCTCTTATGTCTTAAACAAATTTCATCTACAGAGCTATTAGTCATTTCAATTTATATAACCATAATATAAGAAATGAACTACTTTGTTTTCAGGCAAGGTGACCACGCCGATAGTGTTTACATAATACTGAATGGTCGATTAAGGTCTGTTTATGTTACGCAAGATGGCAAAAAGCAGCTCGGAGATGAATATGGCCGAGGTGAATTCGTTGGATTGGTAAGTGCAAAACCGTTTTTTCGTAGCACTCGCACCATAATCTTACTCACAAAATGACTCATCGATGAAAAATGCAAAATGACTCATTTTTTGAATTTTTAATGGGCAAGATTTGATTGGGAGCGATAGTCGTTTACATGTTGAGAAAAATGTTGAAAAATTACAGCGGGTTCCTTCTTGCACTTGAATCCCATTTTGTAGCACAGCTACAATGCGAAAAAATCCAGATGGCTTTAATTCTGTTACTGATTATAACATTATAACGATAAAAAATTTTTGAAAAGATGTGAATAATGAATATGGAAAAGTTGCTTTTGGCTGCTCCACTTAATGACCTTGTCCTTTGGCTGTTTATCTTGTTGTGCTTTAGAAAAAGGTTATTTAGGTGAATCGTTCCCTACTAGCAAATAATTTCATATTCATATGAATTTACTGGATAAGAATGAGGATAAAAAAATTGATCGTCATTTTTGCATCCTTTGTGGATATTTCTTTAATAGCTTCTCCTGTATTCTAATAAGGTTGAAGTATTGACAGAATCTGCAAGAGTAAGCGATGTCCTTGCTGTCAGGTACGTAATTACCGTCCATCCTTTTATATTATATAATATTATACGGTATTATATCGTATCATATTCGATCATATTGTTTCATATAATATCATAATATTGATCGCTTTTTTAATATATCAAAACTTTATTTTGCCTTTTGTTTTTGTTACAACTATGCATTCATTGCTTCAGGGATACAGAGCTAGCGAAAATTCCAGATGGGCTTCTCAACACAATTAAGCTGCAATATCCTCAGGTAAATTAGATTTTCATTCCAGACTCAGCTTTGAATATGTCCTTTCTTATAATCATGGGTCCCGTTAAATCTTGAGCAATGATTTAAAGCCTTAAATCTAAAACTCTTCAGTATTTTCTAGGTCTTAATTAACTCTAAATTGAAGATAGAAAAGTTAGAATAGGGTTCTCCTGCTGCGCATTTCTAAATGATGCAAAAAATTTTGTCCGATTAGAATCTTTGAAAGGATGTCCTTTTAAATTTGCTATTATGATTTTTTAAAGCAATGTATTTTATTTCATTACTTACTTGCCATTAAATTGAATTGGCGCTTACTGATAGACTTTATGTTTGTGAACGCTTTTTTATGAATATTGTGAATGATTAATTGCTATTGTCTTGTTATTTGCTTATGGTTGCAGGTTGTGACGCGTCTTATTCACCTTTTGGGCGATCGCATGATGGGAACTTTCAAGAAGTCTCTGTTACCAAAGATGTCAGACCCTCAGCTTGGTATGCTAGTTGTCGTTTTTAAAATAACAGACCTGCTTCCTGAACGCCAATTGTGAACTTTTGTAATATGAAATCACCTCAATATCAAAAGTATCTCTGCTTATTGAATTTGAAAACAGAGCTTACTCATCCCTTTTCAAGTATTTAGGATGTGCAGTACATGTCATATAAATTCTTGTGCTGGAAAACAATTGAACGAAGGTCATGGAGCGAATTTAAACAGTGCTAAATGCACTGGCATGATTGCTCGTAAATGAGGACAAACATTGTGACACTTACGTACACTGCCATCGCTAACATTTCATTAAACTTTGAGCCTTTTGTTTGGAAGAGTAACTTACATTGTCTATTTCAGAGAGAATAAGTACCAATCTTGGCACAGTTGCTGTGATACCAGCCTCTAGCAATGTCCCGTACTCAAATTTTGCATTTGAGCTTAGCCTGGCATTGAATGAAATAGGTATGTAATACAACCAGTATAATCCAGAATAATTGCTATGTATTATATATGAATATGGTGTATTATATATGAATATGATGTTGTTTTTTCTTTACAAGTTATAGTTTTATAATGATCTGTTTTCTGAGAGTAACACTTTCCATTAAGCTTGGACGTTATCTTGAACTTCACCCTACTCTTTGTGTCTAGTTAATTCGATTCAAATAATTTTACCAGTTTTCGTCTTTAAGGTAATTATTATCTTTCAAGATGTAGTTACAAGTTGCTGTCTTGCAAGTCTTTAAGTTGATTTTCAAATCAATAAAGATTCAATGTGTCATATAGTGATTTAGATGTAGTTATTACTCACTGCAAACTAAAATGATCTAGGTTCAAAAACTTACCCAATATTTGTAATTTGTAGGACCAACGCTCCTCTTGACGAGTGATTTGATAAAGAGAAGACTTGGTGTTGCAGCTCTTGACAAGTACGTTGAATCATGAAACCATATATACATATATTCGCTTATTTCTATAAATAGAATGATAAATTAGCATTCAAATTCAAGGTTTATTTTACTCGTAATGTAAAGTACCTGGTGACAATATGCTTAGCAAGCTAGCAATTTTACAAAAATCTTTAGTTTGGAGAATCTAGTTCGAATGCGATCACATCTTTTACTTCTTTATGTATTCTGGATGTGCTGTACGTTTTTTTATCTAGTGTGTGGGATTTTCATTGAATAATGCTTAGATTTGCAAATGTTGCACAATTATCTGTGTTGGTATGTCCCTCTGACTTGGTCTGTTCTTTTTATTAAAGGGTTTTGAGGTGTTGCTAATGGTATACTAAAACAATCTTTATCGCCATTTTCCCTACGCTACAGTTATGGCAGATGTTGTTTCTCTCTTTTTTCAGTTTGCACGAGTACTATTTATCAAATTGGCTGGGACAGCAAGAAGAGATCCATCGAATTGTTGTGTACCAAAGTGATTCTTGGATGTCTGAATGGACCAAAAGATGTATCAGACAGGTAATTAACTTTTTCCAACATTTCTTTGGCTCTCATTTTTATTTATATAATCTTTCACTGCCTTGAGACGAATAGTGAGTACACTGTCAATTACTGTTTGTAGCCTTTTAGCAAACTATAACGAGCACTATTTTATAATTTTGCCATAATTTAACTGATTATTTCTAAGCATTCAGACATACAGATATCCCTTATGTCGAACTCGTTTAAATCGAAAAACCTCTTATCTCGAAGAAAAATATAGTAAAAGTTGCTTATATTGTCTGCCCCTCTTATTGGGCATTGAGTCAGCTAAGTCTCGGTAGATTCCGATATTAGTGGCGCCAGGCGGTGTGTTGATAAATGCCCCCCCCCCCTTCTTGTTTAAATATGCTCCACATAATTCATCTAAAAATTGATGAAAATGTACTAGATACGAGTGTGTTTTAACATTTGTCATGGAATGGAGCAAAAAGTCTGCAAGATGACTACGGCTACGCCCATTACTCTCACACCCCGCAGTAGGCTGCGCATCCAACAACGTAAAATCAGCTGATAATGCCATCAGTAATTTCGTTTCATTTTCATTTGAATCCACTCTTGCTTATTGTCTATAACAATTAATCATCATAATTGGAAATCTTTTTAGGCAGATGCAATCCTCATTGTTTGTCTTGATGATGGAGATCCGCATTCTGTTGGAGTGGTGAGTATCGAAAGCTGGAAATAAATATTCTAGACGTGTATTATGATAATCTGTTTTGATTAAAAGTAAATTTATGTTGCTATATAGCGTTTTATTGAAAAGAATGTCCCAAGTTACGAAGATAGAAATCAAGTTGAAAGATATGAAGATGTGACTTTTTATGATGAAAGGGATTACCGGAAAGATACGATTGACATATTTTTAGAAGAATTTATTTATGTGGTAATTTAGTTTTATTCATAAGGAAATATAGCCTATTCTAGATTTTCTTTCGTATCCCTTAGACGCATGTGGAAGATTGTTTTCTTTTTTTAGCTTGAAGCCGAGTTGGAAAGAATGACGTCTGTAAGAGCACAGAAGGATTTAATAATCCTTTATCGAGAAGATAACTTCGAGAAACCTGCAGGAACTGTCGAATGGCTCAATGCCAGGGGCTGGATCTCAGCACATCATCATGTAAGAACAAAATCTCTCCCTCTATTATTTCTCTCTGCGTTTCAATGTTTCCATGTTCAGTGTGAATTGATACAGATAATTGAATATCCTGTTAGAGTTTGAAGATAGCACCCAGGCTGTTTAGATTTCTCTGTCTTCTCTTTCCTAACAGATGGTAAAATTATTTACTCAAGCTTTATCAAGTGGCTGCCCCACCAAGAGTCTTCCCATCTCATAAAAATATGTTAACTGCAGTTAATCTTTCACTGGCCTTATTTTATTTTATCCTTGTAGGTACGCTGCCCAAAGAAAGTGTTCAGCCGACGCAATTTGGCTCAAAGGGTTTGTCTGTAAAATTCTACCAGAATTAGTAGATCAGAACCCTATTTTCATCGCTAATAATTTCGACCATGATGGTCACCCTACTCAGTTTAAATTGATAGATTTCAATTTTTTTCATTTTCCACAGTTATTTGAAGCTAAATTAAATTATACTCCCAACTTTGTTTTCAGTATGCCCAAGATGCGAACTACGAAATACCGGCTAGGTAAGCTGTTGCAGCTTTGATTTAAATTGAGAAAGAAGTAATTTTTTTCCAATTAAACTATAAAAGAGCATAATATTTATCCTGTGTTGAATAATTAGGTAACAAGGTCCCTTACCAAACAAAAATGTGATGAACTCATCATTATCCAATCTGAATATGGAAAGATAGACGGCAAAATGATATATGCACTGTTTCTCGAATACGTCGAGGATATGTTTTTGTATATTGCAATTTTTTTTCAAAAGTTTTTAAAGCTCTCTTCAAATTGTTTGATAAATCAGAAATACACAATTAACAAGATGCTTGTATAAAATAAAAAAACTAAGAGTTCGTTGACAATTTTTTTCAATCTAGGACATCTGACTTCGCTCGACTTGCAAGAAGGTTGACTGGTACATCAATTGGCCTTGTATTGGGCGGAGGAGGTGCCAGGTAAGATACGCAGAAGTGTTTGTTGATGTATGTTCCTGTACTTCCCTTTTAGTCATTTCAGCATTAACATTAATTAAGAATGTATCTCCTTTAAATAACATACGTCTGATCGTATTGCAGAGGATTTGCACATGTTGGAATCATCAAGTCCCTTGAAGAGGCTGGTAAGTGAAATTACTAGATTAGTTACCAGCATTACAAGCTTAGGTTCATAATCCCAGCCTATAAATGTTTTAAATTCAATATCTAATGACAATCCTAGGAATCAAGCTTCAAGCAATCTGCATTGAGTCTTCAGTGTATTAAGCGTCAAAATAATGATCGAAAGTATTAAGCTAAGAAATATGCATACCCAGCTGTGGATCGTGATAGGCCAATCAGAAATGTAAGCACATAACAGTCAAGGCTGCCTAATCAGTGTCACTTGCCTTTGGAAAATGTTAAAAATAGAGTCAATGGAACTCCTTCTGTCTACACAGTAGCGGTGTAATTTGATTTAAACACACATCATTCATTATTTATATATTTACAAATCAGTAATGCCTTTCTCGATACTTACATTTTCATAATCATTTTTTTCAATGCGTCTTTGCTATATTTCAATATCGCGTTCGGTATGTTCCCTTTTCATGTTCTGCATTCTGGTTCCAAAAAGTAGTCTGAAGAGCAAGAAAACTACCCCATCTTTTTTGTCACTCTTGTTGAATCATAAATGGAATATAAAGATTATTAGCTAAATGATGAATCTTTCAACAATTCTTGATAATCATTTGTTCAACAATTTGATCATCAACGATTTGATCAACAATTCTTGGTAATCAACCTCTGGTATATTTTTTCTAATGCCAGAAAGCTACTAATTTCCTTTTTATTGCATGTATGAATAATTAAAACTTTGTTTCATCTCAAACTTTCTTTTCAGGTATTCCTATCGACATGGTAGGAGGTACAAGCATGGGTGCCTTTATCGGAGCTCTTTATGCAGAAGATGCATCTTCGTTCAAACTGATACAGAGATCTCGCAGTACGGCAAAAGTAAGAAATCCCTTTGACCTTTGATATTTCTTAACTATCAATATAACAGAAGCATGTGCATGTTGCTTTCTGTATACTGTTACGGGCACTGTTAAAAAGCAATACAGTTGCAAATATCAAGTTATTGATTTACATCTGCTTTCTAACAGATATTTCTTAATAAAAGGCAAACTTACTCACCATCCGACAATATTGTCAACAAACCTTTTAGTAAGCAACGTGATATGCCAATTATTGCACAGAGACAATGCTTCTTGTAAGCAGAACATTGCTACATGACTACACTTGTAAGTAGAGCGTTGCTATATATGATTATATTTTTCACTTCTAGATCATGTCATCGATAACTGCCAAATTGTTTGATCTAACATACCCTCACACGTCACTTTTCTCAGGTAAGGAATTCATGCACTAGTAAGTAAATTATGCACATCGCATAAATGAATGTACAATATTTCTAGTTTTAAAACTGAATATATTAGGCATAAAGCTTTTTAGTATGTAATATAAACTAATAAATTTGAGGTTATAAACTTATTTTAAGGCGTCAGGCACGCAACTAAAATCTGAACTGTTTCACTTTCTTCAAGAAATTCTCTGAAAACAACATCCTCACGTTTATCAACCCCCTTTCAATCAAGTTGTTTTAAAATGTTTAGTTGCTATATCATATTAGCAGGTGAATCAGTGGCCATAACATCTGGTAATCTTTCGGCTCTTAGGCAATAAAGAATTGACCTACATGTAATTCACCGAATTTTGTACGTCTTATTTATTTGTCATAGTTTGTATAATGACCCATTAGGATAAAGTTTTACGCTTCTATGTTTTCCTCAAGGCAAAAGTTTCAATAAGGAGATATCAGACACATTCGGAGAACGACTCATGGAGGTACGAAAATTCAAAATAAATCATTTGGTTAATAAACAACTTAATTTTGATTTATTTCTTGTATGTTTTCATTTTCCTTGCTGTATACCTATGTAATTTTTCTTTTTCCTCTTAGGATATGCTTCTGCCATATTTTTGTATCACGACAGACATTACCAACTCAAGGATGAGGGTGCATCAAACCGGTATTCTGAACCATTTTGACTTGATAGTTAATGTGTTGATGTGTTAATGTTTTTTATGAATACAACAATGGACTGCTTTGTTGCAGGATGATTGTCTCAAATCAGCAATCTAGTATGATATGTTTATGTGTTCCATTTTTGCCCTTAAGATCTCTACAGACGAAGGAGTAATTAATGCCATTTGATCATTATTCATTAAATTTAGGACTGTTGATATAAAGACTAGATGAACTCTGTTTAAATGAAATTGCACCGCTCCGTTCCCTTCATGCAGTGTACACAAGACATGTAAGTGGTCTCATTTGTTAACATTGTGTTCCAGGTTCCATTTGGCGATATGTCCGGGCTAGCATGAGTCTAGCAGGCTACCTACCACCACTCTGTGATCCCACTGATGGTAATCTTTTGTTGGATGGTGGCTACGTTAATAATCTTCCAGGTAATCTTCAAGTTTGTGGATTTGAGAATGTTGTGCTATAGCTATTCAAGCGAATTTATGCGTTTTTCGAAGGGTGTTACAAAAGGTTGACAAAATTTTGTAAATGTTTCTGTTCGATTCTTATCTTGGTGATTTCAGGAAGATAATCAGTGAGCTGCTCGTTGACTCCAACACACGATTAAACTTAGAAATACAGTGAAGATGTAATATCTAAAAAATTCTCTTATGTTCATATGATACACGATTTTGGAGCAATATTTTATGATTTATCGAATATTTATGTATGAAGTTCAGTTCCTAGATTGGCTCTGCTGAGCAACTGGTCTTATATACAATAAGATTTTGATAATTTATAAAAATAAGATGATAATCATTCCACTGTAATGCCACAGTAAGGATGTAACACATAAAACAAAAAAGTCTTTGCGAAAGATTTTGCAATGCCTACAAATGATTTTCACAATTGTAAAACGTTGCTTCCCTTTTCCCATCACAACGTTGCTATATTTTAATTTTGTATGATTGACCAGTGCAGTACTCTTAGAATATTCAAATGAAAACAATAAAAATGAGTCTGTATTAGTGACGCCCTTATGCTTGCTATCTGGCTTTAGAGCTCTGCGCTTTCTTGGCAAAAATTTCGCTTTGCACTCTTATGTATTCACTTCAAACCAGTGTTCTTCAAACTTAGCAATTATTACGTTGAGTAATGCGCCTGTTGCCAGTAGTCTTATACTAATGAAAGTTCAAGTCATTAAGAAAAAGGGCTCTAATTCTGTGCACATCTTTTTACAGCTGATATTATGAGGTCACTGGGTGCTGAAACAATAATAGCAGTTGATGTGGGTTCTGTTTACGAACCTCGTCAGACCAACTACGGGGACTCTTTATCAGGCTGGTGGTTGTTATGGAATAAATGGAATCCGTTTACATCTACTGTTAAGGTATGTTATCACAGAGTCAGTTTGCACAACCATATTTCTGTTCGGCTGATGTATGTAGTACACTATAGAAATTTAGTTTTGTTGCGTCTTATTAGAAGGTATAGAAAATGTTTAAGGTCATGTGAAAGACAAAATGACTTTGTAGATGTGAAAACGGTTGTTCAAAGCCTACAAAAAGTCAAAATGGCAACACCGTGGGCGATATCCAGGGGTATATGATTGCAATTAGTAAGTCAACGAAAGAATTCGAAATGATGATATTGATGCAAGGTATAATGGAGAGGGAAACATTTTTTATATTGGTTTTCATCCTGTGTCAACCAATTGCTTCACGCTTTGCATGCAATCCAGTGTAGGTGGAGTTGCTTAATATTTCCTTGTTTTTTTCGCAGATTCCTGATATGCAAGAAATCCAGAGCCGCCTAGCATACGTGTCATGTGTTCAACAGCTTGAGGAAGTGAAGAGCTCAAGCTATTGCCATTATGTCCGGCCTCCCATTGACAAGTGAGTTCGCATTCACTGTACACGGGCAATAAGGCCAATATATATCCTCAATATCAAGTTATTATTTAGGTTAAATATTAAGGTGTTATCTTATAGGTACTTGTAGTACGAAATGGTTGTTTTTTGTAGCTATGTTTGTGTTGTGACTTGGGCGGGACATAGGTGTGTACCACAGAGAGACACATGCTTTCTAACAAGAAGATATATATATATGATTATAAGTGATTATTTATATTCAAGAGAGAGAACCTCTCTCCATGCCTCGTGCATCTAATTCTAATCAATACTGGCGACGGGAGGGCGTAATGCGAAGAGATGCCGGAAATGCCAAATATGGTAAGACCTTCTCATCATGTGTCCCGGAGCCCTGGACCAAAATGGAGGTTTTTTGTCTCCTTCGCAATAGTTTGTAAATTCCTACTTAGAGTAAGTTCACAATCAATAAACCCTTATTTTCAATAAGCCATAAAACCACCCTTTGCTTTTTCCATTTTTCTTCGTGCTTATTCCAGCTAACATTGAGAAAAGAACATCTTAAAATTCTTGCAATATTTTTAATATTCATGTAATATTTGTTTGCTTCCAGCTTTAAAACCTTACAGTTTGGCAGCTTTGAAGAGATTATGGTGAGATTTGAAAGGATTTTCCATATAAATTTTGTTGAACAATTTTTTAGGATCATGGTTAAAAATTTCATCTACTGTGTACATCATCTTTAATATTCATCATATTACTAAATGTTTAATCAAGGTATCCCGAATTAAACCCTAGAATCATAAAAAATATCATCCCTATCAATATCGGCATGTTTTAGCCGATTTTAAGCTAGATTTAATCATCTACAAATAATACCCCCATCTGGTTATCAATCCTTACTAATATTTAACTCTTCAGTTCGTGTTTCATACTCTAAGGGTTGATGGACGAATAATTCATGTTTGTTGCGAAATGTTCTTACATCTTTACAATGTTGAATTTTAAGGCCTTTTTTAATGTTTCCCCACTTTGTAATATCATTTGTAAGTAGTTATAACTACATTGCTAGTTTATGCAATAGTGAGAGTGTCTTCTTTAGTTTTGTTACTGGGGTATTCATTTGATCCTGTATTACCACTTCTTTTTCTTCCAGACAATTGGCTATCACTACGGCCAAGGTGTATTTCAGAGTCTGTTGAAGGGCAACGCTTTGCCAGATATGCTTTGCAGTTGTGAAGCAAAAAAACCTAAGGGAACAGCTGTATGTTTTGTTCTATTTTGAGATTCTTGGAATTGTCTAGAAACTACTTGTAATTATTGTAAAATGCAATCACAAATCGAAAAAAGATGATGCTTGTCACATGTATGGTCTCGCTCTAACAAGTCGCTTGTACCAACCTTGGATTCATTTTTTTATAACCGCAGAGATATATTATCATTATTATAAGGGATGGTATGTTTTATAAAGCTGGCAATTGTTTTAAATATTTTTGGGTTTTTTGTAAATAGACCATGCTCTTTACCAGAAAATGACAATTTTAATGTCAATTTATTTAGGGACATTAACTTGAAGTTAAGCTTTTTTTGAGCTGCTTTTAGTTTGTTGTTGTAATATTTTCGCTTCTCGTTTATCGGCTCATGCAGATTATATGCATTTCAAAGAAAATAACTCTCTGAAATTATTCTCTCTGAAATTATTCTCTCTGAAATTGATAGCACTTTAATATTTATAAGATTTCTTTCTTGTCCAGCCTAAGTAATAAAAGTTTCTTGGCCGTACAGAATACGTTTGGTATAATGCTGTATTTACGATATACTTTTTACACTGAACTAAACTAAATGCTAGCCGATTGTATCATCTGGGAATTTTTAGTGATGCATCTCTCGGCCTTCAGCGTCAGTATGTTTCTCCTTTGTTTCAGAGAGACGTAGGTCCAGTATCGCCTTCGTTCACAGCCCTTGCTGAATTAGCATCGCGAATTCACCCGCCCACTTCACGATCATCATCCGAATGGCTTTCCTCCGGACAATCTATTTCAAATTTACTGATATCAAATACTGAACTTGATTATGATGATGATCAAGACGAGGATATTCTTCTTGCACGACGAGCTCGCTCTGGGTCGCTGTCTGATCAGGATTTGTTACATGACGGAGAATTCCACAGCGGTATCGAAGAGGCAGGCTACGAGGTTCGCAACAGTTTGAATTGCTTTTGTAGATTAAACGATTCGAAGCTTATCGCACGTTTATGCACAAGTTTACATAGAGAGCGCAAACGAAAACTGCAAGAATGCAGTCACATTTCTACAACTTTACTTTTTTGAAAGTGATTTTAGCTAAAGTAGTTTTCGTACTGTGGCGTTATATCTTTAAGATTGTAAAGTTTTTGCTTGTGTCTATCGATCATTTGATAAAAGAATTTCATTTCATGTGATTCTTTGTGGTCGTTTTGACAGGGGTACCTTTCGCTTCTTTGTGGATAATCGAAAATTATACTAATGTCATCCCAGGATTTTTATTTGTTGTTTATATTTCCTTAAGTTTATAAAGCATTTAAACACAATTGACTATTTTCGTAGAAAATCTTGGAAGTTGTCCTCTAAATTGACATCGTGACGCGTGACCATGCCAAAAACTTCCGATATTTTGGTCAACTAAAAAATAAGTAGCTTAGATAATGAGGAACGTGATGTCCATATCTCAAATTGTACCTCGTGGCATCAACGGAGAGCATGCAATTTTGACAAACAATTTTGAAAAAACAATTTTGACTTATTCTATTTTTATTGAGTATGTCCCATGACCCTTTATCTTTTCCTTGAGTTTTACGGAGCATATAGATTAGATCCTTCACCCTCCGATACATTGTCAAAATAGATCGAGAATCTCTCCTGTCAGATTTGAATTTGCCAGGGTTTATTAATCTCTAACAAAAGCTCCTTTGCAACAATTATAGCAATAATGATATTTGTTATGTTTATTCGTTATTTTTTAGTCTGAGGACCCAGCCAAGTTGAAGCAGATGAGAAAGAAAGCTGCCATATTTTTACGAACGAACAGTAATGCTGTGTGAATCACCTTCCTTTTTGTAGGCTTTGTATACGAATGTATCTTTAAATGTTTGTTAGAGCTTGGCAAGTTTATACTTTAACGGTGCAGTTTCGACCAGCCTTTGATATGGCGCGCTTTGAGTGGCGTTTGAGTGTATCTCTTGATTGTTGATACAGTTGAAGATATGTATCATAGGTAGAGTAAAGAAAATATAATGTTTTGCCATTACTTGAGGTTTGTTAGAATGTTTTCAGAATTCCAAGAAATACTAGATTTGTTACTGTGGATTCCAGCTGAGTATTTTAAAACTCATTATTTCAATTCTTACGTATGTTAAGCTAACTAACTTGGACGGAAGCTGTCCATTCTCTTTATCTTAAAATACATTAAACCCCTGAAAATCCAATCAACGTGATATCAGTTTATCCGACGATTAGTGCTACTTTCTTCAGTAACTTCCTAATGCTGTAATTTAAGGCTCCTTAACGATGATTAGAGAAGGTCAATTTTGATCTTTGGAAATGCTCAGCGAATGAAGTTCAACCAAGAGCACGTTCTCAGCCATCTTGCTTCCTACGAAGACCCCGAAAAACCCTTATCAAACTCTTTTAGCAGTTGGGACAATTTATTCGTGCTGCCATTATTATGCCACTCCCCTGTCCCCAAATTTAACTATTAAGGCCCAGTTCCACTTCGTTCGGATTTTGGATACGAACTAATTATCAATTTAACTTCTTTTAAAGCGAGAGGCAAATCACTTCATAAAAATCTCGTACACCTTTGGTGGAAATCCTATTGTTTTATGAGAAAATCCCTGGAAATCCGTTTGTTTTTGTGGAGATCTGGTACACTTTTTGCAAGAGTGAACTACCCTTCGTTCTAAAGGACATATTTGTTCCAAGAGTGTAGCATTCGAAGTTTGAGAATTATTTTCGTAAATATAAATAGAATTGCAGATTTTTTCATAAAAGAGTCCGAATGGTTGTATTGGTAACTATTTAGAATGTCTTGTCCTAGTATTAATATATTTTCTTTGAGTGAACACAAATGTTTAGTGCATTGAATGGCGAATTTTGGCGTCTGTATGACTCATCTTGACTTTTTGCAGTATATCTTCTTGCTCGCTAACGTTCCTTGCGCTTCACTGTTTCTTTCTTTTGTGAAAAGGGTAAAATTAAGGGACTTCTGGACCAAGGAAGTTTGGTACACTTAATCATTGCTTAAGACCATTGCCATGAAGATTGGAAAGTTTACTTGAAAGTACACCCATCAAATGTCATTTATGTGCTAGAATTAGGGGTCCTTAAAATAATTCAGTCGATAAGAGAATTCGTCCTCAGTCGATAAATTTTCTAATGATCATGATATTAAAAACAGCTAATGCTTCAAATTGTATACTTTAAAGGACAGCTTTTCCAAAATTATATGGTAAAGAGTAGCAGGGAAACAAAGAAATGAACTTTAAAATTTCCAGCGTAGGAAATTAATTTCATTGTTATTTATTCGAGCTTGCGGGAGTGTATCACCGAAAGAGCGAAAGTTGTTGTTGTTGTTGTCAAAATCGCTCTGCCCTTGCCTCCACGATTTTCACGTCCGATTCAACGCCTTGGCGACCAATCGATTCATCCTCTGTTTTCAGCTGACAGACAGTTCACAGTAGCTTAGCATCATCGGTGTGTTATTTCAAACTTTGCTTAATTGTCTAAAGGTAAGATTTTTGCTCGTTTCGGGTAGGCAGCTGTATTAAGATACCTTTTGTGCAAACAACACTAGGCCAATTTGCCCTTTGTGGGACTAAGTTTGATACTCTTTCCGATTTCATGAAATAGATATACCTAGTTCCATTTATAGTACAAAAGGATAGTTTAAATTGTTAGTTTAAGCCTAATATTAACAGCAGTCACTTGAAAATACTCTTGGTCGTTTTTTATAAATACTATGTGTAAACGTTTGAACGGCATTGTAATGTCCGGGGGCTTTTGGAAATCGTAAACCTTTGCTATGGATATTAGCTGTTCTAGGTACAAGAGTTGATTTAGCTTTTATTCAAGGATTTACATGAAGCTACCGGTTATTTTAAATTAATTTAAAATAGCTATGTCATTTCTGTCTGTATTATGGAGAAACAAAAACATTACTAGATTACTAGATATGGAAGACCCCTCCTCTTGTTGGGTCACTTGACCAATTGAGAAGACATGTAATATGGTCACAAATGTAAATTTATCTGAAAATTGGCTTTCTATGATGTACCCCAATATTTTTTGAACAGACCAATCATCTTTGTAGGGCTTATATTGTTACACTATCTTTATATTTTGCTCAGATTTAATGAATAAAAATTTGATGAAATTCTATTTTATGTATTGAAAAAGGAATGGAAAACTTTCATTTTACATGTAGCGAACTGGGAATTAAGAGATTAAGCCAGTGTTATTAAAATGAAATTTTTATGGCAGGAGGATGGCAAATTGGAGGAATATAAGAAACCAGACATCATAATAGTTTGGTGTTTATAGAAAACCATCTGTTAAGCTTTTGTTAATAGGTCTCCCTATAAAAGACATTCTTCTTTTTAAATATTACTTGTAAATATAATTATCCTAACTACTAGAAAGTTTATCTTTAAAAAGAGACATTTAGCAGATTAAACTTTAATTTTTAATGATCTATAGAAATGAATTAAACCATTTGCTAAATGATTGTAGAGGACTTCGGGCAAAATTATTGAGGCAAGATAACAAGCACAGTCTATCACTAAATGAATCATATTTTGCATGCAAAAGAATAACTTATACCAGCAAAAATAAACTGAATCTCCATACAGTTGTGTATTTTGATTATAAATGAATACTTATATTCTTATACGATAATGATATTAATGAAATTAATTTTTATAAGATACATGCTGTTCAATTCTGCTTATAGGGATGGTTAGACAAATATATTTTCATCCCGCTTAACAAAAATTTGTCTGAATTACAAAAAACAGATTGTCTTTCACTTGCAAAATGTTAACTGTAAGGACAACTCTGTTTTTCCAAAGCTGTTACTTTTTCCATTAGCATTTATCAAACCTAGCTTACCATTCTCTGTTAAAATTACTGTTTCACCTTCTGCTGCTAATTTTGTTGGAATTAATAAATTCTCAATGGCAAACAATTCTCCTGTTGTCTACAATTTGCCTATAATTTCACAAATTACATCTATCATATAAATACTCCATCCAAATTGACTTTTATCATTTCGGACAATTTACTAAAAGGCAGAGAAACATGATAAAATATTTTTCATTATCCAAATGTTTTTCTAGAATGATGATTTTTCAAATATTTGTCAAAGTGTATCTTCTGTATTTCACAAATATGTCTTACTCCATAGACCTTTAGCAGGGGAAAGTCTAGATTCTACATTTATATCAAAGAACAATCCAGCTAATTTGCTTATTAGGTCCTTTTTTGATTGAGAAATTTTTCTTTAAAAAAATTAATTTCAAATTATTAATTTATGCTAGTCAGTGAGTACAAACTTAAGGTCAACTGCATGGCATAAATAATTTCATTCATAGCACCTTACTAAGTAAAAAACATGTTTTATTTGAGAGATTTTTGTATAAAAAATGCAACAGATTTGAAATTTTGGATAATAACAAAACAGGCAACATTTACAGTATGGGAACCCTTTTTAACTGACAAAATCAAATGAAATAAAATGAGATGAAAATGACTAAACCTTATACCCCAGTTCTGCTCAAAATAAGCCAATAGAAAAGCTATAGGTACCTCTTTATTGGCTTCTCTTTTTATCTTTATTTGCCAATTTGACATAGGCACAGACCTTATTTTAAATAATATGGAATTCTCTGCATTCTTTACAAATATTGCTTTTTCTGGCTGGATTTGAGACCATCTTGGAGTTCATTACACCATGATAGATATTTTTTTGATAGCTAGCTCAAGTTGCTCAGGGCAAACCAATGAAAAATTCATTATGGATAGATGTAGTTCTTCCATTATTTTGGTTGTAGATTTTCTTTTGTTTATGGAAAAATAATTTTAGAATGAAAATCTAAATTTTATTGATCAATAATGGGCCTTGTTTGAGCTACAGAAGAATTTAGAAAAAAACCTAAATGATATAGTTCGCCAATGTATTTGTTGTGACTTTTGCCCAACCTGAATCATGGCTCCTTGAACTCTGAGATGGTCTATTTTGAATGTGCTTATCAACAGTCATTCAGATAAAAAAAAATTTATATATACTTCTATCTAAATTCTTTAAAGAGAATTTCAAAAATTCCTCAAACATGTGATAAAATCTACCTGTGTTCAATTGAAAATGCTAGATAAACTGAAAATTTAATTTAGAGTTCAATGAAATGCAAGACAATCTTTTTGAAAAAGCCCTCCTTATCTTGTCACCTACCTCAACATGAATTCAATAGTAGCCCCTTTTTAAGGATTTATAGGAAAATGATTTATTAGCAGAAAGTAGTTTTGTTTTAATGTATACTAACATTCTTTTTGTCTATATGACAGGCATCTTCAAATATTTATTTTGTCCTGAAGTAACAATATGAGTAGTTCAGAAGAGGTCTCTTGGATTTCATGGTTTTGTGGTCTCAGAGGAAATGAATTTTTTAGTGAGGTAAAGTTTATATTAATAATTTTTTAGTGTAGATGGCAGTGAATTGTTATATACTTAAATTTCTGTTAGGCTTGCTAATGTAGTTTTCTAATTCTGTTCCTGTGAAGATCTTCTAAAAGTTCACTGAAAGGGTAATGTAAACAACTTTATTGGAATTTGATTCACTTATTAAAACCATTAGGCATCTGTCTTTTATTATACACCAATCAAAACATTCAATTAAAGAAACTTTTTTATTGCAAATAATTTATGGGTACTCATGTCATCATAGCTCAGTTTTCATGTAAAATTAGAAAAAATCAAGAATGTTTTTTATAAATAGCTCTATACTTTGATAGATTTTCCATTACATTCCGGGTAAAAACTCATTAAAAAACTTTTCTTTAGTTTGTTATAGCTCTTTGAATTATTTTGTGTAAAAAATTTGCTGTTTTGATCAGGGGAGTGCAATACTGTTATGAGAGAAATTTATCCTTTGAAGAAAAAGTTTACTAGGGTCTTTAAGTAAGTTTTTGCAAAAAAAGCAAAGGAAGGGTAGCTGAAATTTGCAAGTAATGTAAAGTTTATCATGCAAACAACCAGAGGATAAATACTTGATAATGCTTATGATTTTCTTTTCTCTTATCTAATGAATAAATTTAGAAAGTCCAACCCTGCTCTTTTGTATTATGACCACAAATGATTGACTGTGTTTATCAGATTGTATCATTTCATTTCTCTTCCAACCCAACAAAAGTTAAGGACTGAATCCATTATGTTTGAGGTTCCTAAGCATATGCAGATCCATGCTAACTCATGTTTGAGTATTTGCTTTATTTTTAAGAGTCCACCAGTATGGCTGAAGTACAAGCTTGCAATGTCTTGAAATTTGTTTTGCCTGTCACTGGATAAATCAATATGAAAACATTAGTTAGAGACTTTATCACAGTTTTATATAAGGAATACATCATAATTTATTATTTTTTCCAAGTGTGTATCAAAAAGCTGTAATTGGTTTGGTAAAGTAGGCATTTAAAAGGTTTTTTGTTTTTTTGTAGAAAACAGAACACAGTATCATGTCCAATTTTTATCAGATTGTTTATTTCCCTACTTCGATGGCATGCCCATGATTCTAGCTGTCTTTAGTATCAACATGTGTATGTTTTCAAGTAGATAGAATGGTTGAAGGAATATAGAGGTTTCATCTTTATCAAATGGTTTATTGATGTTTATTTTATCGTCTAGGTGGATGAGGATTACATACAAGATAAGTTTAACCTAACTGGACTAAATGAACAGGTCCCGCATTACAGGCAGGCACTAGACATGATTCTTGACCTTGAGCCAGGTAGCTTGCTATTTGTTTACTTATTCTGTTTTTTCCTTTAATCATTCTATTTTATGATTGTTTATTCCTTGCTTCTTAGCCAAAAGGGCTGAATCATGAATATGAAAACATGAAAAAGTATGAATGATATTGTGCAATGTCGCAAAACGGAGGCAATATCTAGATCATAAACTTGAATTTTGGAAACTCAAAAAGTTGGCGCAGCTCTTCTCACCCCTCCCACTGCTCATTCAGTATCAATTTTAGGGTTTTTAGTTTGAGAAAAAACAACAAATCAAGTTAAAAACTGCCAAACTTACTCAGCTTCAGTGTGACCAGATCTAGCATAATATAATGCTTTCAGCATAATATTGACAAAAAATCATCATTTAGCATAAAATCTAGCATAATTTGGAATCTAGCATAACTCTGGCATAATTTTGATAGTTTTTAAAAAATAGCTGTTTCCATTGATCCGTTGTCTATCACCACCAAATGGAAACACTTTACACAAGAATGTGTGACTTCCCACTTTCAGGGTTTAGCCAGTTGTTTGGAAAGGTTGGCAGCCAAATATTTTATGGTTGGCAGCCAAATTCAGCCAGCTAAATTCAGTACACAAAAAAGCTAAATTTTTGACAATTGCGGGGAGTGATAGAGTAATCAAAATTTGCTTTGTAGGTTACAAAGCTTTCATTTACTTTTATCTTACATTGTCTGTTATCTTTTACGTTGTTTCATGTTTCTTTATTTGCAATTTTGAAATCATTCTAAAACAAATTTGAATATCATCTATGTAAAAAATTTATTTTCCTTTGCATTTTTTGTGATTTTTTGCAACATGCTGCCAGAATTCTGCCAACTTTTGCTTCTTCGGCCAAATCAATTTATGACGGCCAAGGGGTTAAGAAATTTGGATGTCAAAACCATTGATCTAAATTGCCTTTTTGTGTAGAAAAGATGGCAATTTTGAGTACACTGTGTTTTAGATTGGGGGTCAAAAAGGCCAAATGGAAACTTTGGTCACTTTTGATATTCTGAGCATCCTCTAGCCTCTTTCACAAGCAGGGGTGCCTTGATTTTAAATTTAGCATAATTTTTGCAAATCTAGCTTTATTTTATGACAAATTTGGCATAATTCCAAAATTGAGATCTGGTCACACTGCTCAGTTTAGGGTAACACATACTCTAAAAAGCATGTTTGATTTAGTGCAAGGTTTCAAAAAAGTAGCATAGATTTTTATGAAACTGATGTTGGGTACAATAGGGTGCTGCATTTATTGCTTAGGCGTTTTGTACAAATTTAAAAGGCAATGGGATCCCTAGAATATAATCTTTCTTGCTTTGAATATAAAAAATACCAGGTTTAGATTAACTGCAAGAGTATGGCTTATCTAGAGTTAACTTAACTTAAAATTCTTATTTGCTTTAAAATTCTGAGCAGTCATTTTTGATGTACATGATAATTTTGCAGATGATGAACTTGAAGACAACCCAAATCAGAGTGATCTTATTGAACAGGCAGCGGAAATGTTGTATGGGCTAATCCATGCAAGATACATTTTAACCAACCGTGGACTTGCTCTTATGGTACAATTTTTTTGTACTTTGTCTATTGTTTCTTTCTCCAGGGGTGTATTCTTTGAAAAAGAACACTTGTCCAAGAGTCTTGTCAGGATTTTAATGAGCAAGATTTCCATCTTCAGTATTATTTTTATTCTAAATTGAGATTTAATGCAAATTTACCTGTCATATAATGCTCAATTCCATGTAGGCAGGGCTGTTACATTTTGGTGTATAGAACAGCTTGGTTCTAAATTACAATTCTAAGTTTCATGCTTGATGCAATGGCTAGATAACGGATGATGGTACTAAGCCCAAAACAACGAGATGCAATTTAGAAGTGTCCTGTTCTATACACCAAATTGTAAATTAAAAACTAAAAATGTATAATTGAAATTTTATTTATAAATATTGATAACAGGAATTGTGCAAAATGGTGCCATAAATTTGATGCTTCTGGAGTTTAATTAATAAATTTTTATTTTCCAACGGGGTGTTCTATTGATACGTTTTCTAGCATGTAGAATTTTTAGGATAGATTTTAACCAGTAGCTTGTTTAGATGTTACTCATTTACTGCCAATTTCTGTGCAGCTTGAGAAATACCAGAATGGAGATTTTGGTCACTGCTACCGTGTATATTGTGAAAACCAACCTGTCTTGCCAATTGGTAAGTCCACCTTTCAAAAAACTTCTGTAGTTAGTTTATTTTATTTTTTGTAACCTAGAAAAAAACCTTTCTTGCAACAGTACATTCCCACAAAGAAGGACCTATTTTTCAAGATTCAGGCTGTTCTCATTCCTTATTCAAAGTTTCATTTCGGAGTCAACAGTTCTTATTTCAAAGGGTATATTCCTTGGATTTAAATATCTTATAATTTCATTTTTTTATTTAGACACAAAATTGTTTGAAAATAAACAATACAGAGTGGAAGGATCACAGTCACAAATTATTCTTTGTCAATATGCTAAGTTTTATGAATATACTTGTTACGGAATCTTGTATATTTCTCAGTCTAAAACGGGCCTTTGGTAAAAGGTGCTCAAAAAACTTTATAGGCTTTTAGATTCTAAGGAGTTTCTTTGAAAATCTAAAAAAGCTTTTCTTGCCACACGCAAAATGCAAAATGAAGTCACTGGCTAGAAAGGAGACCGTTTTAGTACTTTAGAAATAGTTTTGCTGGTGTGACCATAAGAAGATTTCTCACTTCAATTGTATTATAACACCACCAACAGCTTAAATATGTTGGTAGCTAAATTCATGAAAATATCGCCACATAAAAAGCTAAACCTTTAGCACAGGATTTATCCAGCCCCTCCCTAGTACAATCATTTCTCTGGCTGCTATCATTTCACATCTCCGACTTCTAATGTTCTCGATCTACTATGCACGATGCCTTTCTCTGTTACTTCCTTCAATCGTTTTTAGCCTCGAAGTGATTTCATTTACTCACTTTCCTCCTCTTTATCATTTCCAAAATTTCCTAGTTTCCGTTTACACTTTGATAGTGGCTTTAACCCAGCTGTCTTCTTTTCTCGCCAACTGACCTATGCGAAACTTTGCGAGAGGCCCAGTTAGAAAGATTCAATCCTAGTTTTCCCAGTTTTTCGCTATAGTTATACTACAGTTATATTGAATACTGTGGCCAGCGCTTACCTATATTGAATTCAGCACATACCTTTCGGCTGGGCCTTTTTTTGGTCTAGATTGTGAGAATAGCAATATCTTTCAAGTTGTTAGCTGTACACTGTTGATAGACAATAGATAACAAAAACCCTCACTCCTATTCCCTTGTTTTTTATATCTTTGTGATGATCTTGGTAGTTGCAAAGGTAGACCACCCGCAGTAGTATGTTGTTTGAAAGTTGCTTTAGGGAACACTTGGTTAGTATGATTCTACGCAACCTTTGTTTTGCCCCCTTAAGTATTAGGTAACGCAATCTTATTAAAACGTCTTTTCTTTATCTTGTCTTCTTACGTACATTGACCATATGCCAATTGACTATCAGTTTATCTTCATCTGCAACTCTAAAAGTCCTTAATTGGCGTAATTGGCCTGACACTGTTTTATATGGCGTCCTCAATTATCTAGAACAAAATTGGTTGCTCTTACCTCTTTTCGAAAATCGTTCTCTGCATACATCTGGAGAGTATACATGAATAAATGATACATGAATAAACTGCAGTTTTTGAAAGTGCAAGTGACGTTGTTTAGGTAGATTTCTTGCAGTAGTGGACCAAGTGATGATTCTTGAAGACATTCGTCTCTTACGATTCTCCATACCTTTTTTCTGTCACAAAGATTTTCCACTATTTCTTCGAGCCTCAAAGCGTTACCTTATCGTGCCTTTGCTGCCTCTTTGTAGCTGTATTTCGCTCTTTTCTTTCATAATCGTAAATGAAATGGGAGAAAAGCTTCGCTTTAATCTTTCAATAATACATTCGCTATCCATTTTTGATCAAATGACTCTTTCGTGTCTCAACTAACTAACTTTCATATTTCATTACCTCTTCTAATTGTGATTGATTTGTTTTGATTGTTTACCATTGTTGATGAGTCTCTCAAAGACGTTACCAGTTGCTCTTTAGGCGAAAGAAAATGTGATCTACCCCTACCTATCGCTTTTTTAATCAAAAATTTGGAACATAGAAAAAATAGAAAAAAATTTGGAACATGTTTTGACAAAGGTAAGGAAGGGATAATAACCTTGGCACCGCCACTCAATGCAGGTGACCTTGGTTCCAGTGGCGAGGGGGGGCGACCGCCCCCAATACTTTGGAGTACAATGGTCTTTTGTTCTAAAACAATGGGAAATGTGACGTCATCTTATTAAAACAATAGGCTTGCCCCCCCCCCCAATGTTTGATCAAGTGTCCGTCCCTGCTTGGTTCCTCTTCCAAGTCTTGAAACCACACATTTTGTCCGCACTTTTCAGAGGCGCTTTGGAAGGGTAGAAGAGGACAAGTGCCCCCTTACTTTTTAGAAAGATTAAAACCCTAACAAGTACCTCCTTTTAGACAGTTTTTTGCTTCGCTCGATGAATCACAAACTTGAATAATTTTAAAGATTAGTCAATAGCAGAAATTCAGAGAATAGATTTCATTAAGTCTGCTCTCCCTACAATAATGTAGCTATGTTGCCCCTGTTTTCGATGATCGGGCTCCTACCTTAACTATATATGCTGTAAACAAAACTTCTAACATGACAGTAAAATGGCAGGCACAGAAAAGGGGTTCACGATAGTAAGCTTAAAATTTTATGTCTTGGCTTTCTTAAATGCAAAAATAATCCTTTTTTTGGGCAACTGTGTCTAGACTTTCCTATCAGCTGTCGGTCATAACAATATATTTTATGCGGATTCTTTTATGGACAGGTCTATCAGATGTTCCTGGAGAGGCAATGGTTAAGCTTTATTGTCCTAAGTGTATGGATGTGTACAATCCAAAATCGTCGCGGCACCACCACACTGATGGTGCATATTTTGGAACAGGATTCCCACACATGTTGTTCATGGTACACCCAGAATACAGGCCAAAGAGAAGTCCAAACCAGTTTGTACCAAGGTATTTATCGTTAATATATTTGTGTAACCGTGTACATGCATTTATATGTGTATTGGATGCTTGAGATGAAGCTATCGAGGTCTGATAAAATAATCTCATTTCAGCCTTATTTTTCCTTAATAGTTGTTTTGAATTTGTTTTTGCATGTTTATATGCTTAAAACAGCACTATAAAGCGACAGAGTTCGGTGTGATAACATCAGTTGTGGTTAATAATTTTATAACCATTGTATGTTGAAAAAATGACAGATTCTTGTACCTTTTTTTATTCCCAGAGCTCTCAATCACAGATATACTATAAACGGAAGCACGCTGCTCAGTTGAATGCTTCACATATGTCTACTTGAAAACATTACTGTAATAAACATTTATTTATTGGATTGCACGTCTAAAACTAGCGATAAAAGTGCCTATAAAAACGACATCTTTAGTTGTGGGGGAAAAATTTTCATATAAAAACGACATCTTTAGTTGTGGGGGAAAAATTTTCATAACAAAAATATATGTAAGCTGAAGGGAACCCACGCGCAAACAAAGCTTAGTTGATATACATGGGTTAATGCACTAGGGTATCACAAAGGTACAGCTATCCTCGCAGAGTTTTTTAATATTACGCTTATTATCAGCAGCTTAAACTTATTTTTGATGATAACTGTCGACACAAATTAGGAGGCAATACAACAGCATTAAGGCATATATATTGTAATAGGACATGAGTAAGAGGAAAGTTGAACGCAAGAAAGTGCCTCCTACAAATTTTCTGGATTGTATTGTCAAACTTTTTGGCTAATTCTCAAAGAATTTATTGCTCTTTGAATCCAAAATCTAGGAAAAGTAAAAGTGTTGCTATTTGTGTATATTGATTACGTGAAAATTAATTGGTTGAATTTAGACTTTATTTTTGAAGCAGATTTTTTGAAACTTGTTTTATTAAAAATCTGGGCTCAGTAGTTGAATTTATTCCTCCGAAAGGGGGGCCATCGTGAATCTATTTATATTAGATAAAGAAAGCGCTATCTTGAAGAGGGGTCACTTTTAACTAAACGCCGCGCTGAAAACATTGTTTCATATAATAGGTGCTTTTGGTTTAAGCAAGTTTTAATACAATAAATATATCAAATTTTGTTTATAATCATCTGTAGGCATTTTAAATTTTTGCAACCAAGATTTTATAAATTTGTCAGCACTAGAATTTATTTGTAACTGTTAGCATGCTGAATCCCAGCAGAATCACTGTATGATTCGTTAATTTGATAGCTATTTTTTCAGTTAAGGTGAATTATGTAAAATAATTTCTTCGTTAAACTTGCAGACTGTATGGCTTTAAAATCCACCCAATGGCATACCAAATCCAAGCACAAGCAGCTGCCAATGCAAGAAACAGAAGTGCGTCTGCCAGACAGAGACCTTCGAAAACAAGCCACTACAAATAAAGACACTGTCTCAAAATCTCCAGTTCATATGAACATGGCTTTTACATCATGGACTAATTTTAATATTGGTACTATGTTTGTTGTTAGGTTTAGTCTCATAATTCAACAATAGATGGTCAAATCTGCTTCCAAGCTTGATTGATTTGGGACAGTTGTGTCATTTGCATACAAAATACGAACTTACAGAATATCATTTGTTTGGCAAATTTTCATAGTTATGCCAATGGGAAGGACTAAGAGGAAGGAGAAATACAAAAGTAGTTGCCAGATTTTGTGCCTGGCTGGGTATGTTACTCCTTACTGTAGCAACAGGTTTTTACCTTAATGCCTTATAGTTAATGATACCTTATAGTAGATAATCTTAGGAAAAAATCAATGACCCTTTACGATTGATCCAAGTGTCTCAGATGATTTGGAAGCAGGTGTCTGTTAGCAACTTTCTTTTAAGTGTGATAGATTTTTCATATTCAAGTATGCACTTAATTTTCATGTTAACGGCCAAATAAAAACAAATGTTGAATAAAGTATGAGTAACAGAAAGAACCGTTGGTTTAGTGAATGTATCCAAAACAACATGTATGAAATTCTCTGTGGTGTTTTTCTGCTTATGACTCGAGAGTATATCTATAAGGTTCTTTATGTGCTCTTTTTTGAAGCAATGTTTAATGAATTCTCCAAGAAACCGCTCACCAAAAAGTATCCAAGCGCCTACCTGTTGAATCTGGAATAAACTGATAAACGAACTTAGAGTTACTATTGGGATTGATGCCTGTTTTGGCTTTGTGTATTTCAGGAAACCGTTTTATAATACACAAGGGTTACAGACATTTTTTAAATATTTTAAAAAGTATATGGAGCAAAAAGTATATGGAGCAAAAAGAAGATGTCATGCAGGGATGGCGTAATTGGAATAATGAGGTACTGGGTGTAATTTTGACAGTGAGGTATATCATTCCCCTTAGAGAACCATCTAGCCCAGAGGTAATATAATTCAAATGAGTGCCAAAGGATTAAGTTGCAATCAAGGCTCTAGATTCTTCATATGCATTCTATGACCAAAAGGGTCTTGTTTTCCAGCCAAGATCAATCTGGAAATGTATTGGAAAGACATTTGTTTGCAGCTTTAGAAATCTTATGGATTTTCGTTTCCAGAAGATGAAAATAATCAACAAAGTATAAAAGGAAACCAAAATTGTTAGGAACTTTATTTAGGATAAAATTTTCCGAGCTTGCAAACTCGAAATTTATACAGCCTCGTTTCCAGGATTTGTTATTAAAGTTGAAACCAAGATGGCAGATTCTCTCACGTGGGTCGAGAAATCTTGTCTAGAAAACGGTTACAACAGCAAGGTTTGTCACGATTATTTGTATTTCGTTCGCTTATCAAAATTTTACTTTTATATTGCTATATCCAGTGCAGAGAAATTTTATTTTAATCAACAAAAGATGGCTGCTGTTCTTCGAAAAGGAGCAATAGGCCTATATCGGATCGGAGTAAGTAATGATTTAATTTATGCTCGTGGATTTGGTATTCTAGCGAGCACAAAATGTAGAATCCTTTTGTAAACTCTTCTTTAAAGCAGTTTTACAAACATAACTAGCTTCTCAGGCAGTTCACGGATTGGAGACTAAAAAGCTAGATCGCATTAGAAAAGATAAGAAAATTTATTAATGGGATCGGAATAAAAAATCAATGGTATATAGCAAGAAAGATTAAGGGGCAAGAGAAGCAGGCAAGGACATTTGAAAAATGATCCTCAGCCTCTGCCAAATATTTGTAACCGAGAGTTCTGTTGATCTGCTAATATCGTATTAAAAATCAGCTAATTTATGGGCCGTTAGAATTGATTGTGATTAAGTGTAATGTCACCAAAAAATGTAGGGAAATCAGAGGTGCTGCCCTGACAGGATATTGCTTTTCATGAATAGTCTTTCGCAAAATAAAGGCCAGCACAACATTTTTTCCAACTAAACATGTGCTTGCTCTTAAGGGAGGCCAAGCCCCCTAAAATCTCTTGGATTTTAACAAGGGAACCTGATCCATCAAACCCCTTTCTTAATGACACCCCTGTGGAAAGTCGATTGAAAAAGCTTCTGAAAATAAATAATATCATATTAATTTCAATAATAATCAGAAAAGTTAACTTTCATCAAAAGGGCATTTTGCCTTCTTGCTTCTCATATCAAAGGGTAAGATGGGTGCTTCATCTGTGTCCCTTTTGGGATTCCTGGATATTTATAAAGACCATCATGAAAATATGAGCCATTTAGCTATCTCTTTTGTATTTTTTTTAGAAAATTTAGTCATGCAGTGTGTGTGCTTATTGAACTTCTTATTCAAATGTTGACATTGTAATGAATATAAATCCTTTCTTTCAGTTCTCCATGCCATAAAGACAGAGTCATGTCCAATGTTTATATTTATGTTTATGAAGCAAATTTTTTCAAAAGGCACATAATTTCATCACTTTTATTTTTTTCCCATTAAGTCATCTGGTGATTAGTCATTTTTAATTTACATTTTTAATTTATGCTTATTGCAATAAGATTTATCTTCCCAGGTCAAAATTGGATCATTGTTTGAAAGTTCTAGGACCATGTAGAAATATAAAGATATTCTTTCATTAAATTATCTGTCAATTTTTCTTGTTTTTCTACTTTTTCTAAAGTTAGCAAAATCCTTTTCATTTTGTAATATGTTATTTTCTTGAAAGGAAATCCAAAGATCCCCTTGTTGCTCTATCTTCTATGGCAAATAATTTCTCAAGTGCTCATTTGATTTATTCACAGATCAACACGTGGACCATGTGTATCATCTCAAAATGAGACTCTTTGTTGGCCAAATCCAAATATGGTATGTCCCTGACATCTCTATGTCATGACATCCTCTAGTCCTGACATTTTTCTTACATTTTACATTTCAACTTATTTTATAACCCTTTTATATTTATTCTTAAGCAATAACTTTCCCTTTCTTTGAGAAAATGAAATTTATGAAGTTCCAGGTCAGGCTGCCTTTAAAATCAAAATAAAAGATTATTTCTAACTAACATAAAAAGAAGTTGTTGTGGTTTACTTTGCATTTTCAATTTCTTGTTGGTATGAGCACAACCTCATGAGAGAGCCATGATCATCTGCTTCAGACACTGCCTTATGCTGTTTTGCAAAATATTATCGTATAGCAAGACTTTTCCTCTGGCTCATATTGTTAAATATGATAAATTAATATTTTAAAATCTTATATTAAAGTCATCAACTTAATTTGTTGTTAAGGCAACTAAATGAGCAATTGATTGAAATATCCTCAGGTCTTTCTCAGTTTATTTTATTTCTTGTCATTTTTGCCTTCTCGGTTTCAATTATAAGCGCTCTATTTGAACCTTGTACCTATCAAACATTTCCTTGCCGTTGTACTGTGTGGTTAATTTTTCATTTTTATGCCATGGCTTGTCTTAAATCTCTTCTTTGCTTTGCTTCTCTTATCTTTTTTCTAAAGTTGCTATCTTTATTGCACGACTTTTTCTGATTTTTTATTGCATCTTTTTATTGCTCTGCTTCATGTATTACTCTACTTTTTATCCTCTTTTGTTCTCTAATCTTTGTTTTGATTTTGCTGCTTTAACAATTATATTTATATCATTTATTTGTTTCTTCCTTTTCCTTCAAACGTTTTTTTGAAGTCATATTTGCTTCGTATCTTTTTTTGATGCCTTGCCTCCTCTAAAAATCTCTTTGTTTGTTTTCCTTCTCTAATCTTTCTTTCTAAAGTTGCCATCTCTAATGCACGACGGTTTCTGATTTTTTATTGCTCTGCTTCATGTATTCCTTTAATTTTTATCCTCTTTCGCTCTCTGGTCTTTGCTACTCTTTTGCTGTTTTCAAATGATATTTATATCACTCAGTTCCTCCTTCCTTTACCTGTCAAACATTTTTTTGAAGTCGTATTTGCTTGGTATATTTTTCTGATTCCTTCGCTCCTCTTAAATCTCTTATTTGTTTTTCTTCTCTTATTTTTCTTTCTAAAGTTGCCAACTCTATTGCACAACCTTTTCTGAATTTTTATTGCATCTTTTTATTGCTCTGCTTCATGTATTCCTTTAATTTTTATCCTCTTTCGCTCTCTGGTCTTTGCTACTCTTTTGCTGTTTTAAAATGATATTTATATCAATCAGTTCCTTCTTCCTTTACCTGTCAAACATTTTCTTGAAGTCGTATTTGCTTGGTACAATTTTTTGATGCCTTGGCTCCTCTTCAATTCCTTCTTTGTTTTGCTTCTCTTTATCTTTTTTTCTAAAGTTGCTATCTTTATTGCAGGACTGTTTCTGATTTTTTATTGCATCTTTTTCTTGCTCTGCTTCATGTATTACTCTACTTTTTATCCTCTTTTGTTCTCTAATCTTTGTTTTGATTTTGCTGCTTTAACAATTATATTTATATCATTTATTTGTTTCTTCCTTTTCCTTCAAACGTTTTTTGAAGTCATATTTGCTTCGTATCTTTTTTTGATGCCTTGCCTCCTCTAAAAATCTCTTTGTTTGTTTTGCTTCTCTAATCTTTCTTTCTAAAGTTGCCATCTCTAATGCACGACGGTTTCTGATTTTTTATTGCTCTGCTTCATGTATTCCTTTAATTTTTATCCTCTTTCGCTCTCTGGTCTTTGCTACTCTTTTGCTGTTTTAAAATGATATTTATATCAATCAGTTCCTCCTTCCTTTACCTGTCAAACATTTTCTTGAAGTCGTATTTGCTTGGTATATTTTTTTGATGCCTTGGCTCCTCTTCAATTCCTTCTTTGTTTTGCTTCTCTTTATCTTTTTTTCTAAAGTTGCCATCTTTATTGCAGGACTGTTTCTGATTTTTTATTGCATCTTTTTATTGCTCTGCTTCATGTATTACTCTACTTTTTATCCTCTTTTGTTCTCTAATCTTTGTTTTGATTTTGCTGCTTAACAATTATATTTATATCATTTATTTGTTTCTTCCTTTTCCTTCAAACGTTTCTTTGATGTCGTATTTGCTTCGTATTTTTTTTATGCCTTGCCTCCTTTAAAAATCTCTTTGTTTGTTTTGCTTCTCTAATCTTTCTTTCTAAAGTTGCCATCTCTAATGCACGACAGTTTCTGATTTTTTATTGCTCTGCTTCATGTATTCCTTTAATTTTTATCCTCTTTCGCTCTCTGGTCTTTGCTACTCTTTTGCTGTTTTCAAATGATATTTATATCAATCAGTTCCTCTTTCCTTTACCTGTCAAACGTTTTTTTGAAGTCATATTTGCTTCGAATCTTTTTTTGATGCCTTGCCTCCTTTAAAAATCTCTTTGTTTGTTTTACTTCTCTAATCTTTCTTTCTAAAGTTGCCATCTCTAATGCACGACGGTTTCTGATTTTTTATTGCTCTGCTTGATGTATGCCTTTAATTTTTATCCGCTTTTGCTCTATTGTCTTTGCTACTCTTTTGCTGTTTTAAAATGATATTTTTATCAATCAGCTCCTCCTTCCTTTACCTGTCAAACATTTTTTTGAAGTCGTATTTGCTTGGTATATTTTTCTGATTCCTTCGCTCCTCTTAAATCTCTTATTTGTTT